ACCTTTTTTTTCAGATTAACCCTTCTTATACTACCCGAAACCTTGTTCAGTCTGCCAAATGTCAATTCTGTGCCTTTTTTATGTCTGCTGTCAGCGTGCACTGCGGGCTTGCAACAGATGTAATCTGCTCTGCCTGTAAATGGAGTCTTATGTCTCCCCTCCCTCCCTATTCAAAGAAAGTAGGTGCCTCGGCTAGTGAAGAGATTTTACGCACAGTCCCTTTATGAGTGACCACCAAGAACCTGGGGGATATCCTGTGGTATTCCACACCGGCTGCTCTCAGATGGCTAGTGACTGGTTGCAGGGATCGTCGCCATTGCAGTGTGGACCTAGTAAGGTCCCGGAAGAAGGAGAGACTAGTCCCTTTAAAGGATAGTGGCGTCTTGTCGTGCATCGCTGTCATCAGGAGTCTTTTATCCTGTGAGGTGGAGCATCGGACGATCACATCCCTCACCATGGTAGGGGCAACTCTGCCTGCTGCCGGTAGACGGTATATCCAGTCTATGGAGAATTTCTTGAAAATGCAATTATTTATCCTCATCCCATACATACGCCTCAGCAGTTTGTGTACTACATATTAATTATTACTCGTGCCGATAAAGGGAAAAGTAGTCCAACAGGGTTATTCACTAAACTCTGAATTTTAACAAACTAAAATCCAAATAGGAAACTTCAGGCTAAAGTAGCCATGATGTGACTATAATCCACCACAAACAGTGATCAACTAATTTGTTTATAGACAGCTATTAGTGCACTCATTACAATATATACTTATACAGTATCACACAAAAGTGTGTACACCCCTCACATTTTTGTAAATATTTTATTATATCTTTTCATGTGACAACACTGAAGAAATGAAACTCTGCTACAATGTAAAGTAGTAAGTGTACAGCCTGTATAACAGTGTAAATTTGATGTCCCCTCAAAATAACGCAACACAAAGCCATTAATGTCTAAACCGTTGGCAACAAAAGTAAGTATACCCCTAAGTGTAAATGTCCAAGTTGGGCCCAATTAGCTATTTCCCCTCCCCGGTGTCATGTGATTTGTTAGTGTTACAAGGTTTCAGGTGTGAATGGAGAACAGGTGTGTTAAATTTGGTGTTATTGATCTCACACTCTCTTATACTGGTCACTGGAAGTTCAACATGGCACCTCATGGCATATAACTCTCTTAGGATCTGAAAAAAAGAATTGTTGCTCTACATAAAGATGGCCTAGGCCAGTGATGGCGAACCTTTTTGAGCCCGAGTGCCCAAACCACAATACATGCCAACTTTTTTTCCTCAAAGTACACGGCAATTAAACCTGAATACTGAGGTCTAAGTTTAGAAAAAACAACTCATACAGTTGTCCAAACTAATTCTCCTCTTCTCTCCCCCCAGCATCTTCTCTTCTCTACCCACAGCATATCCCCCTCTCCCCCCAGCATCTCCATCTCCTCCTCTCCCCAGATTATCCTCCTCCTCTCCCCCAGATTTTCCTCATTCTGTCCCCCAGATGCTCCTCTTTCTCTCCCCCAGATTCTCATCTTCCTCTCCCCCGGATTCTCATCTCCCTCTCCCTTTCTCCCCCCCAGCATCTCCTCTTCCTTTCTCCCAGATTCTCCTCTTCCTTTCCCCCAGATTCTCCTTTTCCTTTCCCCAAGATTCTCCTCTTCCTCTCTTCTCCCCCCAACATCTCCTCCTCTCCCCAGCATCTCCCCCAGATTCTCCTCCTCTCCCACAGATTCTCCTCTTCTCTCCCACAGATTCTCCTCTTCTCTCCCCCCAGCATCTCCTCTTCTCTCCCCGCAGCATCTCCTCTTCTCTCCCCTCACTACCCCAGCATATCTCCCTTCCCCCAGTATGTCCCCCTTCTCCCTCCCAGCACATAAATAATGTGTTTTTTTTGGTGGGGGTTTGAAGTCCACCCAGGCTCCCTACCTGGTGGATCCGAATCCTTCCCGCTGCTGTGAGGGGGTGTGGGCGCGAGAGAGCACTGACTTATGTGCTGTTCCAGCACCGGGAAACAGGAAATTCCGTCAATCAGGTGGCAGCGCCTGACTGAGGTAATTTCCTGTCTCCCGGCGGCATCAGCGGAGGTAGCAGTGCTGGAACAGCACGTAAGTCAGTGCTCCCTCGCAGCCCTCCATCCCACCCACCAGTGCCACCTTAACAACATCATGGGCCCCCGGGCAAAGCAGTGCACTGGGGCCCTGCCTACACACAACTCACTGGAATAAAAATTTAAATTATGAATACACACACTGCTGAATACACATACAGACAGACTGATGAATACAAACACACACACACAGAATGCTGAGTACACACAGACAGACTTCTGAATACATACACACAGTCTGCTGAATACATACACACAAACACACACACATACTGCATATGTGTTTGTGTGCATGGGTGCGGAGTGCTGTGTGTGTTTTGGGGTGCTGTGTGTGTGTGTGTGGGGGGGTGATGTGTGTGTGTGGGGTGCTGTGTGTCGGGTGGGGTGGGCGGGTGCCCCTGCAAATGTATTAATAAAATCTGTATTCCCCCCCTCCCTTCTTCTTACCTTTGGTGAAGGAGGGGGATACAGCCATCCCTGGTGGTCCTGCAGCTCTCCTGTCCTCCTGCGCGATGCTGTGTGGAGCGTTACCATGGTAATGTGCGGCAATGTCCGCACAGATTGCTCGCGGGAGGACAGGAGAGCTGCTTCTCAGATCCCTCCCCCTGACCTCCAGACATGGAAGCAGAGTAGGCGCCTGCCGTTTTGTGCAGGCAGGTGCCTACTCTGCATTGATGCCGACTGGCGACCTATGGCCGCGTGCCCACAGAGAGGGCCCGGCGTGGCACGCGTGCCATAGTTTCACCGTCACTGGCCTAGGGTATAAGAAGATTGCCAAGACCCTGAAACAGAGCTGCAATACAGTGGGCAAGACCATACAGCGGTCACAGAACACGCCTCACCATGGCCGACCAAAGAAGTTGAGCGCACATGCTCAGCGTCATGTCCAGAGGTTGTCTTTGGGAAATAGACATATGACTGCTGCCAGCATTGCTGCAGTGGTTGAAGGGGTGGGCGGTCAGCCTGTCAGTGTTCAGCCCATACACACACTGCATCAAATTGGTCTGCATGGCTGTTGTCCCAGAAGGAAACTTCTTCTAAAGATGATGCACAAGAAAGCCCGCAATCAGTTTGCTGAAGACAAGTAGACTAAGGACATGGATTACTGGAACCATGTCATGTGGTCCGATGAGACCAAGATGAACTTGTTTGGTTCAGATGGTGTCAAGCGTGCGTGGTGGCAACCAGGTGAGGAGTACAAAGATAAGTCTCTCTTGCCTACAGTCAAGCATGGTAGTGGGAGTGTCATGGTCTAGACCTGCATGAATGCTGCCAGCACTGGGGAGCTACAGTTCATTGAGGGAACCATGAATGCCAACATGTACTGTGACAAACTGAAGCAGAGCACGATCCCCTCCCTTCAGAGACTGGGCCGCAGGGCAGTATTCCAACATGATAATGACCCCAAGCACATCTCCAAGACAACCACTGCCTTGCTACAGAAGCTGAAGGTAAAGGTGATGTACTGGCCAAGTATGTCTCCAGACCTAAACCCTATTGAGCATCTGTGGGGCATCCTCAAACTGACAGTGGGGGAGCGCAAGGTCTCTAACATCCACCAGCTACGTGATGTCGTCATGGAAGAGGACTCCCTTTTGTTGCCAACGGTTTAGACATTAATGGCTGTGTTGAGTTATTTTGAGGGGACAGCAAATTTACATTGTAGCAGAGTTTTCACATTAAAACATAATAAAATATTTACAAAAATGTGAGGGGTGTACTCACTTTTGTGAGATACTATAGATCCAACAGCAAGACCACTTGAAGAATAAAAAAATATAAATCTGCAAAATATAAAACAACAGAATATCTGTATACTACTAAAAGCTCAACCAGTATTCCTAAATAGATGACACTCACGTATCTCAGAGCCACTTCAACCTGGCTCTGGGTATAAACAGCACCAATATGAAAGGGGCTAATCCCACAAAGGCTTCTTCACTATCTACAGCAATTCTGCAGAAGTGTAGCAATGCAAATAGAGGTCCAGAGAAGGTTTTAATAGCATTATACCATCTCATATATTTATTGTAAAAAAAAACCAAAAAAAAAAACCCATTAAAACCCTTACATCACATTGCTATGTGTTTTGACAAGCAGCTCAGAAAACATTTTCAATGTGCCGCCTTTCCAAGTTTGGTTTCACTCCCATGGTCCATAGTATCCGGTCAAGCAGGATCTCTGGGTCCGCCTCCTCAATTGCCACTTGTGGCACATTTCCCCTGTGTCACGTGGACCTTCTCGGACCAAAGTCCATTTTGAAGGGATACGTGGAGGGGAGTGACACTGAAGCTTCCACTTGCAGACATGCTACCTGCAAGTTCTGTTTCCCCTTTTTTTACGCAATATGAAAGGCAAAACATTTTCAGTGCTCTTTGCATTGTTCTAGTGCTCTGAGTGCAACGCTAACGCTACACTTTTTTGGGGACAGTGCCCGCTGAAACTGGGATGGCTGGCAGGCAGGCATGCCCAATTAACACCCTTGACCAGCAATTTCTAGACCAGTCCTCAAGGCACACCTACTAGTCCAGGATTTATGGATTACCTAGTTGTGTCTATGGTGTTTTTAGAAAGAAAAACAAAACACAACCAAGTAATCCCTAAATCCTGAACTGGTAAACTTGCCTTGACTGGTTTGAAAACCACTGCCCCTAACCAATTATATGTTCTATATGAGATGAATCCACAGCATTTGGTGACCTCACCCTCGGCATGATTGACATAAAATAGCTTAATAAGTGACTATCAGTCTAACAGCCATGTTTATGGTCCATTATAGACATTGCTTTATCTTTGCCAGACTGCAGGGATAGGGTCTATGTGTGTCCCTGTTAGTGAATATCCACACACATCTGAATTTAAGGTACCAAAGGTGAGCCATATGTTATATAATATAAAAGTAGCTAACAGGTGGTCTCCGCAGAGCGCTACACACACAGGAGTTCTTGCCCTTGCGTTTGTAACTCTGCCTGTGGGCGGAGCTTATAAACGAGGCCTGTCGCCGATCATTGTCGTCACTTCCTTCCGGAAACGCAGCCGTTTGTCGTCAAGGCGAGAGGTCATCGAGCAGGCGCACAACTTGTTCCTGTAGTGACTGCTCGACGGGTTGTCTTTACCGGTGGGTTATGGAGAGGGCGGGAGAGGGCGGGAGATGGTGTGTGCGGGCAGGGCCGGGGCACCGAGCGCGGCTCAGCCTTTGGACCAGCTCTGGGCGAGCAATGGTGCACTGTGGGCTAGTGCGGGGTCCGGAATGACGGCAGAGAGCTGGACCGGGGGCTACTGGGAGGGAGGTGCAGGCTGACAGCTCCGAGGGGGACACTTGTTGTGGTGTGACTGCCTGTCAGAGATGGCAAGGGTTTATGGGAGCTTGGATTGCCAGTGAGATCCCCGGACAGGGGTGACAGGCTGTATGGGAGCTGGGAATACATGAGGATCATAGGACTTTAACATCTCTTGGAATTTAAAGAGTGTTTGTGTAATGCAAAAACTCAGTCATTATTATTTTTTTAAACTAGTGATATCACTCAATTTTAAACTAGTGATCTATATGTCTATATATGTAATTTAAAAAAAGTATATTTTTATTTTTTTATTAGATATACATTAAAATGTTTGTATGTGTGTGTGTATGTATGTGTGTGTGTGTGTGTATATATATATATATATATATATATATATATATATCTATATCTATATCATGAGGAACGTCCTGCACTGGGACTGAAACGTTGACATTTTTTTTTTGCATTGTTTTATATGTAATCAATAAAAGCAAATTTTTATTGAAAACGTGAGTACGGACCATCCATCCATCTGTATTTTGATGACCACGGGCCAGCGCCTGGATTAAAGAAGTATTAGTTTTATTTACAGCCTGTAGTGCATGGGAACATTGGAATTTATATATATATATATATATATATATATATATATATATCTATAGTTTTTTTTGGATTTTTTTTTTTTTTTTTAGATTGGGTATCTCAAAAACAATTGATAAAAACTTAACTCCCTGCACAGAAGCAGGGGAGATCATAGAGACTTACTTGTCTGTTTTCAAATGCTGTCTAACCCAAGGTGCATGTGTGTAGGATTCATTCATTTTTGTTCATAGACATAATTTTACCAAAATCTGTTTACTTTTAAAACTTTATGAAAGAGTTATTGTATTAAAACAAGTTTTGAGGTGTCTATTATTTAAGCATAATTATTCATCCCCTTGAAGTGGTCTGGATGCACAGTCACTTTTTCCTTCACTCTGCAATGTAAAACATTACAGTTTTAGAGAAATTGATGTGAGAAGTGATAAATCTGTCTCTAGTTGCTTAATGCTTATGTGGCGCATTCACATTAGGTTCACCCCATTGGCTGACGTCAAGGGACATTGGAGCTAGAGTCAGATAAGTGATTAAAAAGTAATTTAATCCTTTATTTTGGTAGGCGAGGGGACTGCGGTGGTCGCAGTGGCAGAGGGACAATATAGTGATGGGCATACTTCTTTGTATTCCTAACACTATAGTGTTCCTTTAAACTGATGTTGCAATACATTTTTTTTGTAAATAGACTGTAAAATATACAAAATGCAAGATTCCAAAATGTAAACCTGCTTGAAATAAATATTCTAAAATGACACTTAATCCTGCAAAACTCCACACGTTTATGATCATAATTGTCCTCCAGATATTAAATGTTAAGACAAATAGATTTTTTCCTTTGCTTATGGGATACAAGCGAGATATCATTCCAATTCATTTGTCACTTTCAAAAATCTTTTAACCTTTTAGGAAGGAAAAAATTAACTTCAAGAAGACACTGCTTAATCAAGCTTTGAAAATTGCGACCAAAACATTTTTTTTAGGAGAGAAACTCTACGAGAATAGGTGAAGAATGGCAGCAGATAAAGCAGGAGGTAAGACCCCTGATAATTGTTGTAACTTTGACAATTTTATCCACTCTATAGTACTTTGTAAGTTTAATAACATCCATATGTATTTATTGGTAGCTGTTTAAAGAGAGATTCTAAGCTCAGTTCTGATTTGAGCTTACAGTCTTAGTATTTATGTACTTGGAATATTGGGGCGCCTTCTTTAAGCTTTGTTAAACCGTTTTTAAGAAGTTTGACGATAAAACAGCCTCTGCTGGCACTCAAAGGATGGTTCCTCTGCTGCCTTTTGAAAAATGCTTACATTCCACCAATGAATTATCTATCTTAGTTCACAGTATACAAATGCTTCCTACCTTAAATGCCCATTACCTGAGTTTCCATACATTGTTATTGCTTCTCTCTCCATGTAATTGTTACAAATGAAGTGTGCAGAAAAGTAAAAACCTACAATAATCAAACATATTCAGCTTTACCAAATGCCTCTTGCTTGAAAATATTTTAGCGTGCTCCAAAAGTTCAAATTTGAACTTTTTTAAAAATGTATTTTTTTTTTTTTAAACTGTCATGTGACAAGGTTATTTCCCCCCCCCATTTTTACAATTTTTTTTTTTTTATAGTAAATAAACCTCTCATGTTTTTTATATTCAGCATTCTCTTTGCTTCATCATTCAAACTTTTAAGAAACAGGATTTAAGTGATCCGTATTAGCCTGTTGCGCTTTATTTGAGAAATATGTGTGTATTTGTGCTATGTCAGATGCAGAAGTCTTGAGGTTTTTGAATCCTGAAGCTTCATATTTTTAACCGCAATTAGACATTTTGGTTTATGTATAAATATTGTCATGTTTACTGTCATGTGAATGTTGGATTTTGTGTGTACCATTTTCTTAGAAAACTATTACTCTACCCTTTGTACATTAGTGTGTTAATTATTATTTTTTTTTCTGTAGTAGTGAATAAAAAAAATGGCTTTTTAAAAAAAAATCCGATTACATCTTTTCTAATGCTTTTTATAGTAATCACATTTACACAATAAGATAAACTACATTAGTAGGAAATAAAGGTAAAAATCGTCCGGCGCTGGAAAAAAGGTAAGTTTAACCCCTTTCCTCTCCCCAGAGCCCGGCGGGAGTGGGTCCCTGAGGGTGGGGGCACCCTCAGGGCACTATAGTGCTAGGAAAACGAGTATGTTTGTTTTCCTGGCACTATAGTGGTCCTTTAATTTGATTTGGCAGAATGTTATCAATAAATGTTTTATTCCCTCTGCTTCTCAGAATTTCTGTTAAAATACCTTGTATGAGATATATCTTTGCTAAATGTTTACAGCGCTTTTTTTTTGCCAAATATATTGATTGTGGTAAATTTAACTGTCTACAGAGCAAGGGACTGAAAAGCATGAGGGATCTGCTAATTGTTCTGCTATTTCTGACCAGGAAAAGGAGTTGGCTAGATGCTCGTTGCAAGCATTTACGGTATGTTCTTTTGCATGCACTAGTTTTCTCTACGAAAAGTAGGAAATCTGTCTATAGTGAGCTTTTATAAAAGCAAAGCAAATCTCTGTATATTTGGCATTGGACAACTATTATACAAAAATCGTATTCACTTTATTTAACATTTAAGAACCACATGACATTCAATGCAGTGCAGGGCTTTAATGCCAAGTGATGGCATAGACTGTCATGCTGATAACATCAGTGTGCCTTATCTGCCTTATTTGATCTGGTATTTGACACTCTGTTAGACTGTAAAACTACACTGCCTGACCTGACCTTTGACTTTCCCTGACTGTGTTTGTTTATTCCTTCTGTAGTTTGCTTTAGCTTATTTCTGCTACCTGGGTTCCTCCTGTCAAAATACGTAACAGTTGGATTGTGGGTTGCATTAGGGGAAAAAATATTCATGTGGGGTGTCATTGTACTCGAACAGTAGCGGAATACAAATACGGGGTGTTTGCAGTAGTGGGGCATACATGGTCTGTGAAATTTCCAAAAATAAGAAGCCTAAAAAAAATGCACAAAAATAGCGAATTTGACCCAGGTTTATGATAAAACAGTGTCAAAATGCTCAGTTACATAACCTGGGGGTGTCAAATTTTGCAAAGTTTTAGTTTTAAAGCCATAATTCACTCCTTTATATATTTGTTTTAGATCTAGAATTAATTTAAAATCCTAGACATATTGGGCATTTTAACAGTCAGGACTAATTTGTGAATCTGGTTTGTTCTCTTTTTTTTGCACGCTGTGTGTAGAGATTATTACTTTTTTTTTTTTTTTTAATGTTATATATGCATATAGGGTATCAAAAGAAAAAATGATTTCTTCTTTGAAAATTGATTCATAATACGTATGTCTGCACTTAAACAGGGCGAAATTGTGACCTAGGTGTTTGGCACTTTTTCCATGTGTTCATTCTACCACAAATGCATTGCATCACATAAAAGCCTTGGTTCTTAAGGGGTTAAAGTGGACTTGAAGTGAAGACTGCAACAATGCCATTCATGATACACTTTGACTGTTCTGAAATGGTGTTGTGGCAAATTAAATTTTAAATATTTTGTTTTCCAAGGCTGGAAATTATGAAGCTTCTCTTCAACAACTTGCAGAGCTAAAGGAAATTAACAGAGATGATTACAAAATCGTATTGAATACTGCTGTTGCAGAGTTTTACAAGAGTGGCCAGACCATAACGGACAATTTGAGGCAAATGCTTAATCATTTAAAGAATGAGGTAATTTATTAATATATTGCACACTGATAACTAACGCATCTGTTTTAGTCTAAATCGAAGACCATGCTACTGTCTTCTGAAAACTGTTCAACATTGTTGCCTGACATTTGTTATAATTTATTTGTAAACTACACATTATGTGCACATAAACTATACCTAATAACGTGCACTTAATAAAAATGCCAAGTGGCGAACGCTTGCAAGCATGCTTCAGTAGTCACTATTAGAGATGTCGCGAACTTCTCACGAACGGTTCGCCACGAACCGTTCACGGCGAACTCCAGTCAGCTGACACATCCCGGCCAATCTCCAGCAGACCCTCCTACTTCCTGGACAGCATCCATGTTGAAGGCAGCTTCAACATGGATGCTGTCCAGGAAGTAGGAGGGTCTGCTGGAGATTGGCCGGGATGTGTCAGCTGACCGGAGTTCGCAGCGAGAAGTTCGCGGACGGTTCGCGACATCTCTAGTCACTATATATGTAATGGAATACACAAGAGTTGGCCGTACATTTTAAGGTAGGTTAGTTTGCAATTGACAAAGTTACTACAATAGATGCCAAGAAATTTGTGATCTGATGGGTATCATTGTCCTACATTCTACAATAAAAATGTTTAAAGGACCACTATAGGCACCCAGACCACTTCAGCTTAATGAAGTGGTCTGGGTGCCAGGTCCTTCTAGGATTAACCCTTTTTTTTATATCTATATATCTATATATCTATATATCTATCTCTATCAGTTTCAGAGAAACTGCTATGTTTATGTTAGGGTTAATCCAGCCTCCAGCGCTTGCGTGCTTCTCACTGTGATTTCCTCTCCATCCAGCCCGGCGGGGGGGCACCTTCAGGGCACTATAGTGCCAGGAAAACAAGTGTTTTCTTGGCACTATAGTGGTCCTTTAAGGAAAGAACATGTTTTTTGGGGAATAGGAGTGAAATATACTGTAAAGTTAATACGTCAGATTATGTAGCACTAGAACAATAGTTCTTACCATAGTTCTCCAGTAACATCAAAATTCAAGTTTTGTTAGTCTCCCTATTGTTGTCTGGAGGTCTTAACTGCGAACAACAAGATATAAATTACTGTATAAAAGAAAAATACCCAGGCATGTCCCTTTCAGTTCTTTTCTTGTCAAAGCGTGGGATTGACTATCCTAGATTATTAGACATGGTGAAGCGGCACATGTATTGCTTCCGGGGGATTCGGCCTGAGCGCACCCAGGATGGAGAGCTCAGTGGCCAGACTTGAACTGAGAATGTTACAAAGCAAAGACTGGGTACGTTTTAGGAGTGTCAGTTCCAGCTTCCAAGAAGGGCAGTCCTGAGCGGCATTCAATGCATGCACAAGTTCAACGCATGCTGTAGCGGTTGAACGCACATCCTGGAGGGGCTTTTTTGATTTAATTTATATCTTTGATGCTTGTCCCATAGGGAAGAACATCCCTACTGAACTGCGACCATATTAAGGAAAAAATATTTTACGGCAAGCAAAATTGCTGATGTGTGTTTAAAAAAAAAAAAAAAAAGTGCTTGCAAAGTTATTTGGAAATAGATTAATTATTATCGTTACCTGAAGTTTGTATTAAAGTAATACCAGTAGTTGTGCCCGCGATACTAGTGCTGCATCGCATATTGTCTTTTGTCAGTGTGTTGCTTTTTCATGAAAGGGGTATTTTAAAAGCAGAGCGGTTATGGAATGGTTTGAAGCATGCTGTAGGGTCTCACCAGGTGTGAGTGGAATTTAATGAATTTGTTATTGTCATGAATAGTATTCTTTTGCTACTGAGTAAAGTTGTTACATTGCTAAGGAAATATTCTTGTTTTTTTTAAATTTAATTTTTAGGTTCATTCAGCTGTTGATGAAATAGACAGCCTAGATGACGTTGAAAACAGTATGCTATACTATAACCAGGCTGTAATTCTTTATTACCTACGTCAGCACATGGAAGCCATTTCTATTGGAGAGAAACTTTACCAGTTCATAGAGCCGTTTGGTAAGTGAATGCTTGCTAGCATTCATTTGTAGAAAGCAATTAATATCTCTTTATTTACCCATTTTACGGATAAGGCATGAAATTGTTCTTTTAGAGGTCTGTCAGCCATCTTCCTTGAACTAGTTACTGTGCAAGGAGTAATTTTTAAATAATGCGACATAACCATCTGGGTAGAAAAAAAAAAATCTATCTCTATATTATAACCACATCAATGTTGCTAAGGTATTGATCCCATAACATCACTGTGCTTTACTTTTTTTTTTTTTAAAGTCCGGTTGCACGAGGGCCGCACGTTCTAGTGCCCAGTCTGTTTCCATAGGTTACAAAGTAGCAGGGGATCTGCAACATGTAAGCTTTAGACTTGACTAGTTGGATAGGCGTTTGTAATTTGAGCCCTGCCTAATAATATAATTATGTTGAACTATGATTATCCAACATTACATCATGGAAGTTGTAGTTCCAGTAAAGCTGGAAATCTAACTAAATGTTGTATTTAAAATTTGTTCAATGTGAAATATATGTATATATGTATATATGTGTGTGTATGTATATGTAAATTTCAAACTGGTTCTTTAGCAGTTTACATACATAGCATACAATAGAAAGAGTGAACTACACGTTTAAGGATACAAGGGTGTGACAAACAGTCAGCTGACTAAGAAGCATGTCACTTATTTGCTGCAGGCGTTTTTAGTCATTTTAACTCTGCTTTAATTTGCAAAACAGTTTAATAACATGTAGCATTTTACTGTTTTTAACATGCTTTTTATTTTTAAACAAGCATTCTTGGTCAGTGACAGGAGATACATTCATGTGTTGCTTACACCAGGAGAGAAGCTGGGCAAGGACAATCTGTTAAGTGCAGGGATTGGTCATCATTGAAATTATGCAGGACCCCAATATTTGTGATTGAAGTACTGGACCAATTTTATATGTAGTCCTCTGTCAAAACCAAAGTGGCAACCTTTTTCTTTTTACTGCAGATCCTGCATGCAATGTTAAAACCACCAATGCATGACTGATCCAAGATCCACATAAGCTTAACAGTATGCAAATAACGGATGACAGAATCTTACTGCATCAGTAACCGTAGACCTAAAGTCACTCGTTCCTCCATTTAAAACAGAGCGGAACAGGGGTCACCCATTGTGTGTTTCACCTGATCTGAGTACACCAGCTTCTTCTGGTACACATTATGTTTACCTTTTTTTTACTCATCAGAAGTGGTAGTCTGATCCAATTACAGTGCTTCTCCATAGGATTGGCTGACACTGACAAAGAGGCAGTTCAGGAGCAGAGCCAGCATGATTCAAACACAGCCCTGGCCAATAAGCATCTCCTCATAGAGATGAATTAAATCAGTGAATATCTATGAGGAAAGTTCAGTGTCTGCATGCAGAGGGAGGAGACACTGAATGTTTGGATGCATTTTAGGCAGCAATGACACAGGGGGATCTCTAACAGCCATCTGAGGAGTGGCCAGTAAGGTTATCACTAGACTGTGATGTAAACCCTGCATTTTCTCTGAAAAGTCTGTGTTTACAGCAAAAAGCCTGAAGGTAATGATTCCACTCACCAGAACAAATTCAATGAGCTGTAGTTGTTCTGGTGACTATAGTGTCCGTTTAAGCCATTATGTGTGTTTTGTTTTTTTTTCTTTCTTTTTTTCAGTCCACCGTTGCATACTAAGAATCTAACACATTTTTAATTAAATATTCCCCATGCCTACTTATGGCTTCTTGTACTAAACGTCTTACTTAACCTGTTCAAGGTTACCAGGATTACTTTTAATGACCTCCGTTAACCACATTAATATATGGGGCAACCTTTCTTTTGTATAACACACAAACTGGTATCTGCAGAATCTGCCTCCCTCTGTCTTCATAGTACAGAGTGTGCTAGCATCCAGTGTTTCAGCCTGTGTATCCTGTATGGGCCTTGCTCATATTGAGTACAGCAAGGCAGGTTACTTCTTGTATCATGTGAGCTCATATATTTTGATTCAGCACATTTATGTTTATTTTTTTTTTTAAAGTATGTTTTATTTTTTTTCACTTTGGTAAAATTCTTGAATGTGGTTTTTTTTTTTTGTTTTTTTTTTTTTAGAACAGACAGTATTTTTATATATGCACAGCATTTTAATAATGCAGTAAACGATTTATGTTTCCTCTGCATTTGATATTTTAATGTAGATTTGCACATTCCTGGTATGCTGAAACATTAATAATAATAATAATAAAAAAAGCAGCCAACAGGGTTTGTTAATTTATATACCAAGTGGAGGTTAGTTAATTCATAATTACATATGACTTAATTGTAAGTTTTACTTGGCAAGGAAAAAAAATCCAACATAAAAAAACAAACATTTAAGTCCTGAATTTGACAGCACATAAGCTGTGTGTTTTTATTTTTTTTTTTTTATTTTTTTTTCCTTCTGTATATTTACACTTGTGGTACAGTGGTACAGTGGTGTGTGTTTATTTTTGCAGTAAACATATTGTTTGACTGAATCTGATATTAACTGGAAGGACACTATCCTGTAAACATTGCATGTGTTTGTATTACACTATGTTCATATTTGACAAGTGCCATATATTGCTGCTCTCTCCTTTTAACCATGTAAAATGTCATTCCATATTGATTTGATATCTTGCTTTTTAACCAATTCTATGTTTTTCTGCAAACTTCTCTTCCCCATGGTGCTTTGTTTGCCACTGACATTTTTAGGTAGGCGTATTTGTCTGAGAACACCTAGATCGTCGCCCCAAAGCCCTAAAGGACTGCCTACACCAAACAGACGAGGTGAAGATCCACTGATATTTAATGTTAAGGTTTTCTCTCTTCCCCTCCCCTCCCTTCCCTTCATCAAGAACCACTGGAAGTTGGCAGGATAGAGAACCATCTGTCCCCGGAGCCAGTCATAAAAGTTTAGACCACTTCAGTTCTCAGAAATTAAATTTATATATATATATATATATATATATATAATATTTTTTTGGTTGTTGACAACTTCCATAAATGCAGTATCTCCATAGCGCTTTGATTTTTTTTTTTTTTTTTTTGACTAAATGGTAATATAGACACACAACTTAAATCACAGTTATGTTATATGTATGCTTATTTAAATATCCTTTATATTTTTTTTAAAGCTGTTCTACTACTGAAGTGTTTTCATAAATGTGCAATCTGATTTTATTTCTAGCTATCATGGGCTTTTTTAATTTATTTTTTTACATTTGTTAAGCACAAGTACCTCTGTGTATAGTTTCCGGTGCTGATTCTGGATTGGTAGCTCATTGAAACTAGATAGGCTGTTTAAAATGTATTCCCCCAATTAACTTTACATTTGTCTACTAAATATACATTTAACCAGTACCTCTGAATGTGACTCCAGATGTAAATCCTATTCGGCCTTTATGGATCAAACAGGAGCTGTTTATGAGTTGCGGTAATGAAGAAGAAAAAAAAAATTTGCAGGATATAAAATGTTTTAGCTGACATGTACCTTATTTTCTCCAATAGGTATAAATATATACTTTTTTGCTAGAAGAAAAAGACTTGTTAATTAAGTATAGGTTAATTTCTCTATAATATATATATATATATATATATATATATATATATATATATATATATATATATATTACACACACACACACGTTCAAATATGAATGTGATGGTGATCTTCAATTGCCCAGTTTGTCTGCATTCAATAACCTAGAGGATGATGGCTGCTGTTGCCGGAATACATTTTCTGATCTCTGACCACAATTTGTGATAGTTGTTTACATTCCATGTCTCTGCAACTGTCTTTAATTTCCTTGAAGTGCAGACCTTTCTAGTTCCCCTAATCTAATACTAATTTGCATGTGTGCAGTTTTATAAAATATTCTATGTTCTTCAGTTGTCTCTCAGTTTGTTTACCCATTAATGAAAAAGCTGAAGGATGAAGTAGCATAAACATTGTCGTTGTGAATTTTTTTTTTTTCTCCATATTCAAAATGTCCATTTTATGCGGCTTGGTTACAGTATATGTGACATACGCAAAATATTTGCTTATTGTAAGTTAATGTATGCTATGTTTTTAAAATGTTCGTAAATAAAGGTGTTATGTGTTTGTGAAATGTAACACAATAACCGCCTATAGTTATTATATATTAATTACCACCCTCCCCCCCCAAAAAAAACTAGCAGTTTCTAAACATTCTCCAAAATGGAAAGGGGATTTGAATTATTGTTTAGAAACCATTACAGAGCATGGATAAAAAGAGCTGCAGAAGTTTTCCAGTTCATATAATTGCAGATATTCTCCACGCTGTATTTGGAGGAATTTGAATTGTGCAAACTGAGACTGAAGAGTCCTATACAAGGAAAAAGTAAAAACAAATTGTTCCTTTTTGTAAAGTTTATAAAACCAAATGAAAAACCTGAGAAAACTTAGTGTTGTTCACTAGTGCTATATTCAGGGAACTGCTAGTGAACCAAGCCCGGCGTGTTAGTGGTTATGGTCCATAGAGTGTTCATTTAAGGCCAAAGTAGCTGAACATAAATTCAAGTTGGTTATTCTTCCAGTTTGACCACTTTGCCCATAAAGTTTAAATTCACTTTGAATTCCAAGCCTTGTTGGTGTTTAATATACAATGTCTTTATGTGTAATTGACTGCTTCCCACCTCCACACTTTTAGAGCAAGATTTACAGCATAAAAAAAGTATACACTATTTTATATTTCTACCAGATAGCATAAAGTTCAGGTTTGGAGGCAAGATATTCTGTTTGTAGTTATTCTATAAAGTCCAGCCACAAAAGACAAGTTGTATCCTGAAAAATAACGCTCATAATTAGTGATGGCATTTGTTTTGTTTTTATGTTTATTTTTTTTAATCATTGAAATTTTAATGTTCAAACCCTCCCTCCCCTGAATTGATAGTTTATTAGTGTTCTATATAGAACAACTTTGGGGGGGGTTATCTTTCAAAAATTTCAATAATATATATTTAAATTTTTTTCCATTAAGGAAAAAAATAACTTAACCTTTTTAGTTAGAAGTGTACTTGTTTACTTTAAATTTGCTCTGTCTTACAATAACTCATATTTATCGTAAAAATTTTGCCCATTTTACAAGTAGTGGTATTTTTAACTTTTTAAATCCATTTAATGCTAGTGTGTTAAAATGACTGTGTATGTTTTTCAACTTTGCTACCTCTGTGTCCATCCAGTATTATACTTTTCAGTCTATATGTTGATTAAAGTTAAAGGGGCACAAATGCTCAGTATTTGCTGAAATTCTATGGCATTTCAAATTGAAATGTACATTCCCATCCATGTTTATGAATTGTCCTATTTTCTAAATAACTTCACAATGAAGTAACAATTTACTTTTCTGAAGGATCCGTGACACTTCTTTGCCAACCATCAATCCAGAAAGGAATTCCACAGAAATGGCTTTGTTTCTAGTGTGTGAATGCCTAATGGTCAAACCCGAATTATGCGAAAATCATTTTGAAGATCTCCTTAACAGTCAAGTAGTTTACGAATGTCTGTATTAAAACGTTATTGATCTATCACTTAGACTTGCTCTAGGAGAGTTTGTCCCTCCCTGATAAATACAAATTTCACTTTGTTTTATTTATTTTTGTCAATATATTCAAATTTATTGAATTCATATCCTAGATCAAGATCCAATTGGGACAAAATCTTTTTGTTAATATGTCCATATAAATTGGGTAAATAAAAAAAAATATATATATAAATATAAATATATATATATATATATATATATATACTAAATGAATTCTTTCATTTATATTTGAGCATTAATGGCCCTTTAATGTGTACTGTATACGAACATCTCATGCTCGGTATTCAATCAATTTTAGACGTTATCAGCACTATTTGTTTGGCTTCTTTTGATTTATTTATTTATTCCCCCCACCCCTCCCCTGATTTTTCTTGCTGTGCTGTACATTTGAAACTTGCCTACTTTGCTTATTTAGCTGTGTGTGAACATGTAATATGTAAATATGCTTTTATTTGTACCAGGGGTTTCTAGACGACCAGCTGGGATGTAATTCTTCCATACAGTGTTTTTAGTGTTCTGATTTGCAGTATTACTTTCACGTCCTTGTATCTTGCCCACATGCTTAACTGGTAAAGTGAATTTAGTGCATATTTTGGTCACCCTGTCAGAAACCGCACTCAGACCTCAGTGTTACCTTGGTAAAACTTGGTATTCTTTTCTTTTAAAGTAAAGCTTATTCATTTGGTTCGAATGTATACTGTATTTGTTTTCTGCTGGATAATTAGTGTCATGGCATTCAATCAGTATTATTTTTTTATTTTTTATTTTTCTTGCAGAGGAGAAATTTGCACATGCAGTATGTTTCCTGCTTATAGATTTATATCTCCTCACATGCCAAACAGAAAAGGCCTTACATTATCTGGTAATTCTGGAAAAAATGATTTTGCAAGGCAACAACAATAAAAATGGTAAAAATGAGGTATGTCGCCCAATCCATATATAAGAATGCTTGGTATGTTTGCGTTGTATACTTCTTTGAGGAGGGTTTGTTGTCAAATTTTATTGTTTGAGGTAATGATTTTTAGAGGCAAAAAAAATAAATTCCTTTAAAACTGAGGGTTGTCTGTAGTGCTTGACATCATTTTGGATCAACCTTACCTAGATAACAAAATCACTAAATTAAACTAGAAATGGTCGGGTGATCCCGGCTGTGTTAATAGATGTTTTTTGTTAAAACCATTAATGATTGTGCTAGAGAAATGTTTACATCTGTTCATTGATTGTAAATATTGCCAAGATCAGAACTGTGTTGTGCTGACCCTTCGATTGATTTTGTCATCAAAGATTAAATCCATAGGTGTTTTTATTTATTTTTGGTATTTTTTTTTTTTTTTTTTAAATTAACGTTGAGCTATACAATGTAAACTTTAAATTTAGTTATTCCAACCAAATTAGTCACTTGATTAGTTTGATACATTCAGTTAAATGATTCCATTGTATAGCTGCAATCTAGCTACTATTGTCACAAAACAGCTTTTTATATTTTATGTCCCACACAGTGTTCCCTTTATTGGATGAACTTTAAAGGGACACTATAGGCTCCTAGATCACTGCATCTCATTGAAGGTGGTATGGATGCAGTGTTTTCTGTCCCTCTTAGTCCTGCAATGTAAATTACTGAATGTAAGATCGTTTGAGCAGGGTCCTCTTCAACCGATCGTTCCTGTAATTGTCATATTTGTAGTTGAATCCCCCTTTTCATCATAATGTAAAGCGCTACGGAATCTGTTGGCACTATATAAATGGCGATAATAATTGCAGTTTCTGAGAGTTAAATTGTAGAACTAAGACTACTTCTAGTGGCTACTAATCAGACAGCCACTAGACTCACTTCATGGTGGTTACGTGATTATTTTGGTCACTTAATCAACGCTGGATGTTCTCACATTCTGAGGACATTCCCATAGGAGGGCCTAAAGCACTTACCATGCATCTGCTTTAGTGCCCCCTGTAGGGGGATGTCAAAGGAAGCAAAGCTCCAACCCAGCTCTAAAGAAATCAGTGCTGAAAAAGGGCTATTTTTAACTATTTGCGGAGGGAACTGTAGTCTACTATACACTATATAATCCCTTTAACCCTGCAATGTATAATGTTTGAGAGATCCTACAGTGTTTACATTGCAGGTTTAAGACCATCTCTAGTGTTCGTCTACTACTGGAATCGGGTAAGTGTTAAAAGGATATTCACCAATGGAGAAGGGGAGTGCTGGGTCAGAGGAACACTATAATGTTAGGAATACAGTTTTGTATCCCTAATACTTTACTGTTTAATTCAACTCTGTATATTCATAATACAACATAGCAATACGGCCTAAATATTGTTTGTGTCAGTGTGGGAAACCTGTCTGGACAGACATCATGCTGACTACAAAATTCTGTCCAACATCTCTGGGCACTCTAACAATTTAATGAGTTGGCACTTTATGTTTCTTCTAATTGTACTAGATATTGGTAACACAACTAATTACATGTTTGTTTGGGATTATTGGTGAGAGGGGTTATGCATTATATTTGAATGCAATCCAACACTGGGCTCTTCTCTTAAAGGGACATGTAACACTTTGAGCCAACGGACTCATTCAAAAGCTTTAGCTTTGAATGACTGTTGCTTCACTCTGCAAGCTTTAAAATAAGTGTGTGTGTGTGTGTGTGTGTGTGTGTGTGTATATATATATATATATATATATATATTTTTTATTTTTTTTATTTTTTATTTTTTACAATGTTAAAGAGCCGCAGCTCTCACCCGTGTAAATCTCCCCCAATGTCCGCATAGCTGGTGTGCTTGTGCCTCCGGCCATGCAATCAGGCGTTTGTTCTCTGTCTGCAGCTGTCCTCATGCAGGTGTGTAGGCCGGGTTCATCAGTCTCGGTGTTCCCCGTGAATTTTTGGCCGTAGTCTGGTATCATATGGGTGCTTGGGTAGTACCCCATTGTAATGCAGCATGTAATCCGGCCCTGGGGCAAGTTGTGAGCAAGTTTTATGCTGTTGTTTAGGGCTTAAGCTCTGAGCCACGGTGTTCTGCTGCTTGGCGGCCCGGCCCCGCCCCCTGACCGCTTAACAAATTTGCACACATGCGGTTGGAAGCTCTCTTCACCTTCCAACATGACTGGGGGAGTCCGATCGTGTAGAGCAGGCTCTGGTATTGGGCTGCTGCACCATGATGCCTTGTTTTTGTCATTTGTGGACTGGCCTGAAACTAAGATGGGTGGGGGCAGGGCAGTGGTGTTGCTGGTGGAGGGGGTGGCCAGAGGGGGGGGGCATGGCCCCCCTACATCATGCAGTGCCCCTTCTTGAGCCCCAAATTGAAGTGGGAGCACCAAGCCTCCATTCACAAGCTGCAGCATCACTGTCACTGGAACTGTGTTCACCCTTTTCCCACGTGTGACCAGAGGGGGCACTGTGCTGGAAAGGACTTCCTCCTGCGTCATAGAGAGCAGCGCAGTGGAGAGACCGGGAGAAGAAGCAGTGTGTATGGGTCAGTATCTGTGGGTTTGTATGGATCAGTCTGTGTAAGTGCTAGAGCTCCAAGAGAGATGCCTCTCATTTTGTGACCTCCCCTGTACCCGTTGGATAGTCAGCCTTCTCAACCACCACGGATCTGATTGTGCCACCCCTTCCCTGCAGGGTAGGATCAGGGAAAGGGTAATATTCATAATTTTTTTTTTTTTTTAAATAATTGAGAAAGTAAAAATTGTAAAGCTCTTCCCTATCCCACTCTCTACAAAGTACACTCCCATCAACACAGAGTGCACCTTTGCATTCACACACATCATCTCTTCACCCACATACACACTTCTTCCCCACATACCTTCACCCCAACACGCATACATACATACATACATGCTTCACCCCATTACACATCGAATCTTGTATAACTACAGCGCCTTGATAAGCACACAATGCAATCCCAATACACATACACTCACAATGCAGCCCCTAGGTGCGCGCGCGCACATTTTTTACAGGCCCTCTCAGCACACACACAATCTCAAAGCTCCTATACATGAGCACGTGCTCACAATGCAGCCCCTAGTTACACATAGTACACCATTAACAGACTTCTCTATACACACACACACACTTCACCACAGCCCCTTCTAAACACCATGAAAAATTATCTTGCATCTCCTGAAAAGGTTTTCCAGTTTCCCTGAAAAGGTGTCTTGCCTGTAATGAGGAAGGCGTAGCAGCGGAACTACAAGGGGTGCTGGGGTTACACCGGGGCCCATCGAGTTGCCCGTGCAATTAGGACCACCCTAAGGGCATGTGTCTTCAGGGGCACAAAACTGTTTTTGCACCAGGGCAAACTGTAAGTTCATTCTGCTACTGTGCAGCTGCTTCCCCAGCACACAAGCTCTGCCCCTGCATGGAATATCGCTTTCCCGTACGCAATCTCCAACCCCAATCTCTGACTGAGACACACACTGACACACACACATTCTGCCAGACATACAGTGACAGGCACATACTCTCTGACTGAGACACACACACACACATTTTCTCACAAATTGCTATTTTTAATTTAAATCCACGTTGTCTCCCTACCTTTGGGAGAGCTAAGTGGATCTTTCCCTGGCGTCCAGTGTGTGTCTCCCCCTGGCGTCCAGTGTGTGTCTCCCCCTGGCGTCCAGTGTGTGTCTCCCCCTGGCGTCCAGTGTGTGTCTCCCCCTGGCGTCCAGTGTGTGTCTCCCCCTGGCGTCCAGTGTGTGTCTCCCCTGGTCAGTGTGTAATCTCCCCTGGCGTCCAGTGTGGTAATGCTCCCCAGGTCAGTGTGTCTCCCCTGAGGTCAGTGTAGTGTCTCCCCTGGCGTCCAGTGTAATGTCTCCCCTAGTCCAGTGTGTGTCTCCCCCTGGCGTCCTGTGTGTGTCTCCCCCTGGCGTCCAGTGTGTGTCTCCCCCTGGCGTCCAGTGTGTGTCTCCCCCTGGCGTCCAGTGTGTGTCTCCCCCTGGCGTCCAGTGTGTGTCTCCCCCTGGCGTCCAGTGTGTGTCTCCCCCTGGCGTCCAGTGTGTGTCTCCCCCTGGCGTCCAGTGTGCGTCTCCCCCTGGCGTCCAGTGTGCGTCTCCTCTCAATCTTCCTGCAGTTTCTCTCTGCTCCCCTGCGCGCTCTGTAGTAATGCCTGGGCCAGAGTTATATCATGTCACTAAATCGCATGCAAGGGAGCAGAGAGGAACTGCTCCCTCGCATGCCACCTTCATGCTCCCAGCGGCAGCCGACTTTGTTTCCTGCGCGGTTTACCAAAGAACTGACAAATGCTAGGCACCATGGCGAAATGTCTAGTCGTGCGCACACACACACACTTTATAACTGCCCCCCTACTTTTGTCCCTGGCCCCTTATGTGGCCCCCTCTATGTATGAATCCTGGAGAGGCAAAATAAATTCCCTTAGCTGAGAGGTGTAACAAACCATGCAATCTGGCCAAATTTAATGGGATTTATTACATACATATTTTTTATGTCTTTTTTTTTTTTTTGTGTGTGTGTGTGTGTATATGTATGTATATATTTATTTATAAAGTGTGTGTGTGTATATCTTTTGGTTTGTCTGTTTAAAAGGGTTTGCTGGTTTAAAAAAAAAAAAAAAGTGATGCATGTTCCTTTAATGTATATCACAGTTACGTTATTAGATATTCAAATCAGTCAGTTTTACAAAGATGTTTCAAATCTTGTCGTCAGGTTTGTTGGTGATGTCTAACAGGGAGCAGCACATCATTGTATATTTGAGAATATGCACAATGTTGGTTACAAATTACATAAGTAAATGTAATAATTTGTGTATAATCTTCATTGCTATTTACTTATTGTTGCAAAGTCTCTTGTATCTGCTTTTGTGTGTGTGTGTGTATATGTATGTATGTATGTATGTATGTATGTATATATATAATATAAAAACCCCAACGTACTGCATATTAACAGATGAAAGGGTTAGAGCGGTAGGGATACGCAACATAAAGACAAAGTCATTACCGTATATAGTACAATAAGTCTTGCTTTATCTAAACATCTTCCTACTCCTAATACTGTACTTTGATCCATATTGTAGGCAATACCTCATCTCATTCTTTACCTCATCACTTTTAAGTGTCTTGCCTCCCCTCCCCTCCGGCTTATTTTTTTTTTTTTTTTGTTAAATCTTTTTATAAGATGTACTTCCTGAGTGCATCTCTGTACAAAATGGTTATTAATACCTGCTGCCTATTTTGTGTAATGTTCTCTTAGTACAACATGGGCTTCTTAAACTTTTGTACCAATTGTATTTTATGTAACAATGCTATTTAGGCATTTAAAACAAATATGAAAAAATCTTGTTTCTTCCCAGGCAAACAATAACACCAACAATAAAGATGTCAGCACTCAAAAATCTGAAGGTGGTGTACAGTTAGAAGCTGCAAAATCTAAAATTCATCAGGTAATCACTCCGTGTCTGTTGTGGTATTGTATAGCATACTTGTCGTCCACACTTGCACAAGTAATACAGTGTAATGGTATATATGTTGCTAGTGAATGTGTATTTTAAGACATTCTTAACTAACAGGGCTATTCTAGTATAAGTGTGCATGTGTTAAATTTCTTTAATTCATATGCTCAATTGTTGCTAAATTACTTCCTCCATTTCAGAAAATAATCACAAAATAATTAAATACAGATCCTATATTGAGATATCTATCTCTATAACAAAGGTAAACAAAAATCTGCACACCAGTCAAGCCATAAGACTTTCTTTTCCCACGGAAATCCCAAGCACTACCAACCCTCAATAAGCAAACTATCCACAAACTTCAGGTGGAAGGGTTTTTCCAATCACATTTTTTTTCCTTCCACCATAACCTTTTTGGTTTCTGATATAGCTATTTATATTTATTAATAAACTGGATCATTAATTGTCTAAACTTGCACTTTTTACAGTATAAAGTGAGAGCCTATATTCAAATGAGGTCCCTGAAAGCCTGCAAGAGAGAGATAAAGTCGGTGATGAACACCTCTGGAAATGTAAGTATAGCTTTACCGTGATTTTCTCCACTTAAAAATGTTTTTGGATAAAAGTTCCTTTCTTATATATATCTATATATATATATATCTATATATTTCTATAATATATTTTTAATGGTGTTCGAAGACCCACTAAACTTGGTATTTGTGTTTTCTCCTCATTTAATAGAGGCAGAAGTTTAAAGAACAAAGCAAAAAAAAAATCTCACTTGTATCTACTTTTGTTTAATGTAATGTAGAGTGCAAACAACTCTGACTACCTGCATATACAGAATGTTGCGACTTCTGCATTTGCCCTGGTGTTATCTGCTAGTTGTGGATAGCTAACAGGAAACCTAGCACTCTGTGGTTTCATAAAATATTTTAATTGATCGAGATTGACTATAAAAATTGAAATAAACACACTCCATTTTAGCAAGCAGACAATGGTTTAAAAGTCCAATTTTGTCCTTGGCAGTGTACCACCATTCTCAGAACCATTTATTGTCATTATTGTACCATAATACTTATGTCTTCACTTTCATGTCTTATAATACTAAATGGACTCCTCCTTCTGAGCTGAGACTGGTAGATAATTTTGGGAAGTATGATCTAACTGTTGGAAGGCGATATTGGTCCACTCCTGTTTTAAGAGGATTTTCTATTTCCTAGAACTGCTGGGTTTTACTTCTTTATTCTCTTGTATAATGTTTGTGTATGTAATTTTGTTTTGTGAGTGCAATTTAACAGTATTTTATTTATTTTTCATTAACAGTCTACCCCATCACTCTTTATGAAAAGTAATTTTGAATACCTCAGAGGAAACTATCGAAAAGCAATAAAACTACTAAACTCGTCAAATATTGCTGAACACCCAGGGTTTATGAAAACAGGTATGTTCAAGCAAATGTGCTAATATTGCATCAATCCACGAATCCCATTTATGCACAGAAAAGATCATACTTAATTTTCTCTGTGTGTGAGAGGACACAAGAGAAACTGAGCTAATTATTTAGATAAAATACCCAGCCTATTAAAGAGTAATTTTTTTTAATTTTTATTTAAGGTCCTTGTTGTAGCCTAGCAAACCACTCTAGATGATCTCAAAGAAATGTATTTAAAAAGAAATGCTTGGAACAAACCGTCTCTGACTTGAAATATCACTTTAGGCCCAAACTTGCTTTATTTGCATTATTACAAGTGTTACTTTGTATCTTTTCAGTCATTTGTAAATCCTTTCTACGTTCTAGATTAAGACTTCCACTCTTTTTTTGTATATACTCCAGAACCGCCTCAATGTGCAGGATGTTTTGTAAATGCTTTTACCTAGTATTAAAACGTTATTCTTGCTGCATTTCAAATTATATTGAAGTGAAAGCTATAGCAGAATCTTTACTTTATCTAAATGATGTCTCTTATTACGCTACGTTTCTTGTTATGATTACAAATGGGGATGTGTGAAAAATAACACACACACACACACACACACACACACGAACATCTGTAAAATCTTCCAGATTAAGGCTTCAAGTTAGTTTGCGCCACAGTTACATGGTACTTAGACATTCCCTGGCAATAATAGTGCCCATACCTCACCAACCTAATACAGTGCAATTAGATTCTCAATAAAGTTGTCTGGCTGCATTGGTTCTGGCATGTTAATCATGTAGTGTAAAATATGGCAGTTTTATAGAAGCTACATTGTTTACAACCCCTAGTGACTGTCTTCCTGACAGCCGCTAGAGATTTCCTTCACCCTAGTAAAACTCTGTCCTGATATCTAATTATGCTGATAGCAGAATTTAATTGGAGAGCTGCTGCATTTGGCCATGCATTCCTAATTCCAATCCACTGTTTCTCTGTGAGAAGGATTGGAGCAGATCGCAGAAGATGTCGGCAGGTGCCGCAGGAGTCTGCAGCAGAGCAGTTCCAGTTCTGGAAACAGACATAAGTAATCATTAACTTCTATATCTTGATCACCAAAGGGTGTGGGCAAAAAAAAAATTAAAATATTAATTTTTGGGAAATTAAGTTCCCTTGAACATTTACAAAGAAAATGAAAATTTCATTTTTTTTTTTTATTTTTTTTTGTGAATATAATTTTTATTTGTATAGATTATTCCAGATTTTGAGACTCGCAGGTCTCCAAGGTGAGTCATCCGAAGATAAAACACTGATATTTAGTTGGGCTCGCAGGCGCACAATGTTGACGGACTTGCAAGTCCCTTTTATCAGGTTTCACGAGTATTCTCAATTACATTTTTCTTCTGCGACTTGGCCTATTGAGCAAGCCGTATGTATATGGTTTATACGTTTCGTATACAGCAGTTGTGATTTGTGTACAGAATGTGCTGAGGCTCGCAGGCCTCTCGTCCAACCTCCATTGTTAGGAGACTCACAGGTCTCTTCGTCTTGGGTTGTGTATTGTGTCCTGAGTGGATTCGTGCGTCTCTCCTCTGTGTCCTGAGTGTCGTGTGTGTGGGTAAGGGTGCGTCCATGTTGTGGGGTTTGTGTTCCATAATTTCAGGAGGGCGTGAGCGTATTGTGGTGTAGCCCTCGGGCTGTCCGATGATTATCATGGCTGTTCGTTGTGTGCCACGGGGGTGGTATCCCTTGTAGGTCGGGAGATAAACCCGGATCCATATGAGTTTTACATTCAGGGCTCAGGTGTCTCCTCTTATTGGTATGTGTGTCTGCTTGGGTTGGAGTTGTTGTCTCATGTGGGTCCTTAGAAGGGGGGGGAAAGTCGGGGTTGGGGTGGGGGGGGGTGTTAGGGTAGTCAGTTGTCTGTCATTGTCTGTCGTCCAGTGTGTGTTCTCCAAGTCCTATCTGTCTGTGGTGTGGCATTCGTCGGATCTGAGTTCCATTTGGAATCCTTCCTTCGCCGTCTCTAGGATCCCATATGTCCATGTAGGTCGTTGGGGTAGCATTAGTCGTCAAGGTCAGTTCCTCTATTGTCCTGAGTTCCTCCATTTGGCTGAACCAGGTTTTAAGTGGGGGTGTTATGCTCTGTTTCCAGAATTGGGGGAGCACTCGTTTGGCTACATTGAGTATTCGAATGGTCATAGATCTTTTGTATTTGGAGTGGGGAACAGAAGTGTGATGCAGGAGCATTGCTGCCAGTTCCAGGGGGGGTGGTTTATCCGTGAATTTCTCTAGCATTTTGTGTATATTCCGCCAATATGGTTTGATCTTTGCACAGTCCCACCAGATGTGTGTTATACTGCCTTCCTCTTGTTGGCATCTCCAGCATAGGCCGGATTGGTCTGGGTCTATCTGGTGGAGGAGGTGTGGTGTCTTGTACCATTGTGTTAGTAATTTATAGGCTGTCTCTTGCGTTTTGCTATGTGTAGAGCAGTGGTGTGTGAGATAGCAGATGGACTCCCACTCCGTGTCTGTCAGTGTGTATCCGAGGGCAACCTCCCATTTCCCCATAAATAGGGGTGTCTCGGTCGGGATGTCTGTTTGTAGCATGGTGTATAGGAAGGACACTACATGTGGGAGCGGGTCTGGGTGCATGCAGACCACTTCTAGTGTGGTATGTTGTCTAGTGAGTGCTGAGCCCTGTGGTAAAGTATTGACGAAGTTGATTAGTTGGGTATATCTAAAATGATGCATAAAGGTTGGGGGTATCCCTCCCGTCATGTCTGTCAGTTTTTTTTGCATTTCCCTCCCTGCAGGGCATGGTGTAAGCATGGGTGTGAGTCTGGGACGATGTCTTTGAAGGCTCTTGGGTCTAGTCCTGGGGGGAAGTCGTTGTTGTGCGTCAGTGGTGAGAGGGGTATGGCGACATGGTCCCCTTCCTCGCTGCCCTCCTCCATACTTTCAGAGTGTGTTTTGTGTAGATGGACATTTTGCCCCATTTTGCCGTGTCTCGGCCCCAGGGTAGTCCCGAGAGCGGTCTACCCGCCTCTGTCTCTTCCACCGTCTTCCATAATTTGTGCACTCCGTCTTTTGACCACTCCACGATTCTCTGTAGGTTTGTGACCACGTAGTATAGGTGGAAGTCTGGGAGGGCTAATCCTCCTTTATCCTTAGGTCGCGTCGGGGTGGAGAATTTCACCCTTGGTCTCCCCCCGTTCCATACGTATCTGGTCATTTCTGTTCTAAGAGTGTTAAAAAAGGGGCCCGGGATCTCGATGGGGATGGCTTGGAGGAGGTATAGGAGGCGTGGGAGGAAGTTAATTTTTATAACCTGTACTCTCCCTAACCATGAGATGTGGGGGTATGACCATTCCTGCATGTCTTTTTGGAACGTCTGGAGTGTATCTGTGAAATTTTCCCTAAACCCATCCTCGCTCCGTTTGGTCTCCCAAATATCTAATTTTGTGTTTGGCCCATTGGAAGGGGAAGCTTTGTCGGAGGGGGTCCGCCCGTGCAGTAGGGATGTTAACGTTAAGAATTAACGATTTACCATAGTTAATTTTCAAGTTGGATATTTCTCCATATATCTGTAGGTCTCTCTGGATGTTCGGGAGGGAGATTTCGGGGTTGGTTACCACAAAGAGTAGGTAATCCGCGTAAGCGGCTACCTTGTGGTGTGTAGTGCCTGTCATTAGGCCGGTTATATCTGTGTTGTGTCGGATGTATAAGGAATGGTTCCAGGGCAAGGACGAACAAGAGTGGGGAGAGGGGGCATCCCTGTCTCGTGCCATTATGTATTGTGAAGGCGCCAGTTAACGCCCCATTGACCAGCACTTGGGCCGTTGGTTCTCGGTACAGTGCCTCTATCCAGCGTCGCATGTGTGGTCCTAATCCTACGTGGGCTAGTGTTTTGAAGAGATATGTCCAGCCGACTCTATCGAAGGCCTTCTCTGCGTCTGTTGACAGCAGGAGAAGGCCCCCTTTCGTACTTTCTTTCCCGTGCATGAGGGTGAGCGCCCTGATGGTGTTGTCCCGAGCCTCTCGTCCTGTCATGAATCCCACCTGGTCTGGGTGGACCAGTGATGGGATGTGTTTAGTAAGTAGAGTCGCCAGAATTTTGGCCAGTAGTTTGATATCGCTATTTATAAGTGAGATCGGCCTTTAGTTTCCGCATTGTTCCCTGTCTTTGCCGTCCTTGGGAATAATAGTGATGTGGGCTGTTAGGGCTTGTCTGGGGATGTGGTTTCCGTCTCTTATCGAATTGAACGCTTCCACCATGGGTGAGTATAAGTCTTCGGCGTATGTCTTATAATATTTAGTCGGTAAGCCGTCTGGTCCTGGGCTTTTGCCCGGTTTAGTTAGTTTAACAGCCAGTGCCTCTATTGTGATGGGTTCGTCTATTAACTCCGCTATCTCTGCGTCGAGTGTCGGTGTGGGGTATTTTGTCAGGTAGTCTCGGATGGAGTCTCTGAGGTGTGTCGTCGCCGCGTTGGTCTTCGGTTGGGGGAGTGTGTATAGCTCTGTGTAGTATGTGCGGATCGTTTTCATTATGGCTGTCGGGAGTCGGTGTAGGGTCCCCTGTTTGTCTCTAATTTTGTCAATGTACGTGTGTTGCCTCTGCTTCTTCAGCATCGCGGCTAGGATTTTGCCGCTTTTGTTCCCATGTATTGTAAAGAAGGCTTTGTGCCTAGTCGTGTCCCTGTGATGTTTAGAGTACAATAGTGTGGCTAGCTCCCGTCTCCGTTGTAGGAGTCGAGTTTGGTGCGTGTGGTTCGGGGTTTGTTTGTTTTGGTTGTCTGTCTGGTGTATGTTGGTCAGCAGTTCATGTAGCCGAGCTTCAGCTTGTTTCTTTAGTATTGCCCCCTGTTGTATGTAGTGGCTTCTGATCACGCTTTTGTGTGCTTCCCATCGAATCGTCGGGGATGTTTGCTCTGCCGTGTTGGTTGTCAGGTAGTCCTTGATTTTTTTTTTTTTTTTTTTCACCTATGAGGGTTGCGACCTCTAGTTTGGAGAGTAAGTATTCGTTCAATCTCCATTTCGAGGTCGTGGGGCGGTAAAGTGGTGATTTAAGTTTGAGTAAGACTGGGGCGTGGTCTGACCATGTGGCCACTCAGATTGTTACATCGGACACTAGGGAGAGGTCGTAGTGTGTAGTGTAAATGTGGTCTATTCGGGAGTAAGAGTTGTGCGGGTGGGAGTAGAAAGTGTAGTTTCTTACGTCTGGGTGATGGGCTCTCCAGCAGTCCACGAGTCGTCGGCTCCGGAGTAGGGATTTAATGGTTTGAAGTTGTTGTGTGGGGACGTGGGAGATGCCCGATGAGTTGTCCCATGATGGGTCGAGTGTTATGTCGGCCCCCAGTATGAGAGTCCCTTCTGCGAATTCTTGGAGTTTGCGGAGTGTATGTTTTGAGGAAGCGGTAGTGTTGTTTGTTTGGGGCATAGATGTTTGCGAATGTGTACTGGTGGTCTGCGATCTTCCCTTTAAGGAATAGGTATCTGCCTTCGTCATCTGACTTGCATCCCCCCTCCTGGAACGACACCCTCCTGTGAAGAAGTATTGCTGTCCCCCTAGCCCAGGGTTTTCAAACATGCGGCCCCCCAGATGTTGCTGAACTACAACTCCCATGATTCCCTGGCTATCTGTTTCATTGAAAGAATCATGGGAGTTGTAGTTCAGCAACATCTGGAGGGCCGCATGTTTGACAACCCTGCCCTAGCCTTACTCCCTTGATAGTCACTGTAGTATCCTTGTGTGTAGTGCTGATTAGTCAATTTGGGTCTGGTCCCTTTTTTGAAGGGTGTTTCCTGTATCATGACTATAGAGGCCCTCTGTTTGTGGAAGTCTCTCAATGCTCCTGATCTCTTCTCTGGTTTATTTAGGCCTTTAGCATTGATTGTGAGGATATGTAAATGGTCTGCGGTCGGTGTCATATCGTTGAGTAAGGTTGTTGTTGACTGGTGTTGTGGAGGTATCTTTGCCCTAAGTCCCTGTGGTGTGTGTAGTCTCAGGAGGTCTCTCGTTCTGCTGTCAGTGTCGGGTTGGGGAGTCAGGGGATGGGGTTAGGTAAGGATTAGGGGGTTGAGGTAGTGGAGTAGTCTTGGAGATTTCCAAAGACCTCCTTTGTTTGCGTCACAGTTCGTGACGACTAGGTAGTGGCGTCGGGGAGCGTCAGTCCACGGCACCACCAGTGATGCACGTGGGATGCTCACCTTCTGGGTGACGCCTCGCCTGTTGGGCAGTGGTTGGGCGTCCAGGCGTTTGGGACAGTGTCCTAGTGGTGTGTCCTGTCTCGTGGCTTCCCTATGCGGCTCCTTAGTGATTACTTCGTAGGAGTGTGTCTGTTTTTCCCCGCCTCGGGGTGTGGTGGTTCTCGGGCTTGTATGGATGAGTGTCTATATACGCGGTCTGTTTGTTTGTGGCTGAGTTGTAAGACATAAACAATAACAGTAATATTAACATTTCGGTTTAAGATCACAACAGGTGAAAACAAAACAATATTCCGACAGCTCTTATTTCAAGTTCATGCACAGTTTACCTCCGTCTTCCTGCGTCCCAGGTTCCCATTAGCCCATTGTCTAGTGTGTGCTCTTGTGTCTTTGCGTCATGCTCACTAGCTTTCTCGAGATGTGTGGGTGTCCCTGATAGGGGTTAGAGTGTGAAGGTTGTTCCCATGGGTTTGGGCCTGACTGGTGTATCCTTTTTCTCTGCCTCTGTGGCTATGTGGGGTGCACCCTTCGTAGTGTTTTCCCGTGTGTTGTGCTTCCCTCCCCCTGTTTCCAGTAGCGTGTGGCTGTTCGGTGGGTGGTTATGAGTAGGTCTTCTCGGTTTTGTCGCTTCCCATCTATTCTGGGTGCGGAGCCGGCGCACCCACCCCGGGTGTGCCCCGCCAGCAGCGCCCCCACCTGCTCCCCGGGGTTCTTCACAGCGTGGTTGGGCTCCGGCGGCCGGGCCCAGCGGTGGGGGGGGGGGGGCGGGCACCCCCTCCCTGCTCCCTCTTATTGCAGTGTTGGGACTAAGAGTATGGAGCCCTGGTACCTCTCCCCCCACCCCTAGCTTAAGTACGGTTAGTCCAGGAGTAGCCCGACAGGCCGAGGGGCTCTGCAGGGCCAAGCATCTGTGCCGAACCTGCCACTTGGGTCTCAAGGTTCGGTGCATCTCTTTGTCTCAACCTTTATATCTGTGTTAGACCTTGTTGAGTGTGCCGTCACTTGGGCCGTATACTTGCGGTTTTGAGGATTTCAGCGCTGTATATTCAGGGATTCTGGTCTCGTCGATCGGGGACAAACAGTGTCTGTCTAGTTCATTGCTGGGCCATGTGGGTTCCCGGGTGGGTGGGCAGGTAGTGCGTGGTCTTTTACATGTTGGTGCCCATAGGGCGTGTTGTCTGCTGTCTCGTTCTTCTGGGTCTGGGGGGGTTGTTGCGTCTGGCGCTGTATCTCTGGTGAAAAGGCATAGAAGGCCATTGGATCCGGCCAAGTCATTTGTATCGGTGGGAGTTAGATCCATCAGGTCTCCCTTGTTCCTCACTGTGAAGGGGCCATTACTTGTGGTGACTTGTATTCCGGTGGGGAAATTCCACCTGTATCTGATCTTGTTAGTATGTAGTACTCGCGTGAGTGGGCGCATGGCTCGTCGGTACGCCATCGTTGCAGGGGATAGGTCTGGGTACAGTTGGATTTCAGTGCCATTGTGGATGATTTGTCTATTATCCCTGGCACTTTTCAGAATGTCTTCCTTCACCTGGAAGTGTTAGGCAGCATATTACGTCTCTAGGCGGGGAGTCAGGTGGACCCCTGGGTCTGACAGGTCTGTGCGCCCTAATAAATTCGATGGGCGTTGTGTTCGGCCTTTGTAGGAGGGCATTAAAAATCTCCGTGAGGGTGTCCCGTATTGGGGTAGTCTGGTCCCATTCTTCGGGTAGACCCCTGACTCTGATGTTTTGTCGCCTTCCCCGGTTGTCTAAATCCTCCAAATGGAGGGCCATTTGGCGCAGTTGTGATTCTTGCCGCTTTATGGTGCCCGTGGTAGTGTTCTGCGCCGATGTCATGTGGTCGCAATCTGCCTCAAGCTGGGCCAATTTATGATGGATCCCTTGCATGTCTTCCCTAAGGCCCTGAGAAGCATGGTCGGCCTGGGTTGTGAGATACTGGCGAATGCCAGTTGGTTGAGACCCTCTCCGTGTGGTGGCGACCGCTGCAGCCTGTTGTGGCTTGTTAGTTTTGCCCATTGTTTCGGTAGTGGAGCTGATTAGGCGGGTATAGGAGCTGAGCCAGCCGGGCGCTCGTGGTTCACGCCGCCATTCCGTCCGGCGTCCAAGCCACGCCCCATATTTTTGATTTTAATTGACTTTTTTTTTTTTTTTAAACTGAGGCATTGTCAGACTGTTTCAGAGAGAATGTAATCATGAAAGTGTAATTTATTACCCGTTTTGTTTTTTTTTGTTATTTTTCATCCCCATGCAAAACATTTGTGCATTTCTCACTTAAATAAACTTTGTCTAGGTTTCTTTTTCACACATTCCTAAATACTTTAATTTGGACTGAAAACTATAGGGTGTGTGGTTAGTTCATACAAAATTTGTCTTGGTGAAACTATTTTCTTGTTCTTTTGAAGAGTAATATGTTTATCATCCACTGCCACTGTTTTCTGCAGGTGAATGTGCAAGGTGTATGTTCTGGAATAATCTTGGCTGTATTCATTTTGCAATGGGGAAGCACAATTTAGGACTTTTCTACTTCAAAAAAGCCCTTCAGGAAAATGACAATGCCTGTGCTCAGTTGGGAATAAATACCTCAGACCCAGGTTAGTGTCATGTGTTCTGTGTTCGTTTCATCAGTACTGCCAAAGCACCCAAAGAAAACAGAACAATCTCTCTGTGGCTATTTACTTCAATAGAATAAACCTAGGCATGTATTACTTAGAAGAACCACTCCTCTAAAATGAGACCCTAGAGTAAACTGTTCCCAGTCCTAGTCTACCTTTTCCCAAGTTGTAATTCTAGAGTTACTTAATCTATCCATGACACTTCCCAAGTAGACTACAGTACTATGTTATTGTATCCTACCATGCTTCTGCTTTCTAATATTTTTACCCCTCACTGAATGTTAACAGTCGTGTATCTTTTCACTTGCTTTTCTTTTTTTCCGTATATTATTTTATTTTTATTTTTTAATGCTACTCTATATTTGGGGAATTTTTATTTATTTATTTATTTATTTTACAATTGTGAAAATGTTGCCAACTAATTTTTGTGTTTTATTAGGAAAGAAATTTTCAGGAAGGCCAATGTGTACTTTACTTACCAACAAACGCTATGAATTGCTATATAATTGTGGAATTCAGCTCCTCCATATTGGGAGGCCTTTGGCAGCATTTGAATGTTTGATAGAAGCGGTCCAAGTGTATCACTCCAATCCTCGCCTTTGGTTAAGATTAGCTGAATGCTGCATAGCTGCTAACAAGGGGGTAAGTAAAACCGCTAAATTAATACTCTTGTAGTTCTATTAATTAATGGGAATCTTTCACCACTCACCACAAAAAAATACATTCTCAAATATTTCCATCTCTAGAATAGCAGAAAGCCGGTCAACAGTGGTTAAGACTCTCAGTGCACCTTTGCACTATACAGTTCAGGGCTCAACATTTTCACTTGCCACTAGTAGTTTACCTCTGAGCATGCTATGGCTTGCATTTTCAGATTTTAAGCCCTGCTTGTACAACATATTGTAGTGGTTATGTTGCTAGGAAGCAGTCTCTCCAATTTATGTTTTAAATCCATTGGTTTTCTTTGTTTGTAGCTTAACCCCTTAAGGACACATGACATGTGTGACATGTCATGATTCCCTTTTATTCCAGAAGTTTGGTCCTTAAGGGGTTAAAGGAGACTATAGGCAGTGGATGGGAATGTCAGGGTTTGTTTAGGTTGGGCAAACTCCGTACGAGAGCAAAAGTAAAGAAAGTGGTAATGAGGAAATTGTAGTCAAATCAATTACGAAAGCTCAGTGTCTAGAGAGCATAGTTTAAAGAAGTATAGGCCAGGGGTAGGCGACTTTCGGCACTCCAGGTGGTGTGGACTACATCCCCCAAAATGCTGACAAAGCATCATGGAAGGTGTAGTCCAAAACATCTGGAGTGCCGAACGGCCATGGTCAAAATCTTTTATGTATTTGTATTTGGGGAAAAAAAGAGAATTGTAGTAATAGTTCATAGCAAAGCTGCACAAGAACAGAACTGTTTCTGAGACTTGCTGGATTTCTAAAAGAGATGTTGTCAGGTACACACCACCAATAGACTTACTGGCATCTTTGTACAACCTTTCGAAGTCCTGGGCTGGGCTTACCCCTGTGCATGGACCTTCTGGCTAGAGAAGAGGTAGCACCTGGTAAACTACAATTAATATGTTAAACTTTAACTAAACTGACTACTTACACTGAGGTCCTGTGCATTTGTACACTCCCTGATCCCTTTTGTTTAAAATAGTTGCTAATGATCTCACCCAAACCTGCCCAGATTATATGTCTTGGTTTTCACACTTTTGCAGACACCACAATTTCCCAAACACTACATGTGCGTCTTGTTACTAGAACACCACGCTGCAGTCCACAATCACTCCTTACCTCACTGTACTGGTTTATTGGTATACAGTCTAAAGTCCTGTGTTCAGTCTTGGGTGGTGTATAAAATGTGTTTTATTGAAGTGACTACTGCATTTCTCTTACGTGTGAGTTCATTAGATGGCCCTCTTAACTTAATTAATGGCCCTCTTAAATCGTTCATGGTTTATTATTTTTGTTATGTTCTAAATCCTGCTTCTGCAATTTATTTCCCTTCTTTGATTAAAAGGTAGACTATAATGTCAGGAGTACAAATGTGTATTCCTGACATTATAGTGTTTAAAACACATTTTAGGCCACTGGCCCCCTCTGCCTCACTTTAAAGGTAATAAAAATGACCTTTAGTCCAGTGCCGCATGTGTCAGTCACAGCTGGCCCTGGTCCCACCTGGCCGAGATCATCAAAATTGACAATCTTAGCCAGACCAGTGCTTTTGCATATTTAATGCATCTCTAGGAGGAAGTTCAACACCTCCATGCAGAGCATGGAGACATGTCCTTGCGGCACTTTTGTGTAGCACTGACCCCAGAAGCACCTCTGCAGTGTTTACATTAAAATGCTTGCATTGGCATACTAACACACACACCTAAACTACATTTAAGCTGTAATTGTTGTGGTGACTAGGGTGTCCCTTTAATAAAAAGTTATGCTATTCTGATTCAAGGCCAGCAGGGTGCGCTCACTTTCCAAGCAAGCTTTTCATCAGACTTGGCATATTTGGAAGCCTATTTCCTCAGACACCCTAAACTTATTTATTTTTACATGTTATAGTAGTTTGAAACGCAACAAATAAACTATTTTCCTGTGTGCATTTATTGTAAATCTTGTTCCTCTTAAACCTTAACACTCTCATGAGGCTTTTTAAAAATAAAATGTATTACAGTGTTTCTCCGAAAATAAGACCAGGTCTTATATTAATTTTAGTCACTAGGGCTTATTTTCAGGGTAGGGCTTAGAGCCAGTCTGTCAGCCGGTGTCCGCGCTGTGTAACCCCCCCCAGAGACCCTCACCTCCCCCTCCCTGTAATATTATCCCCCCTCCCTCCCTGTAATATTATCCCCCTCCCTGTAATACTCTCCCCCCTCTCTCCCTGTAATATTCTCCCCCCTCCCTCCCTGTAATACTCTCCCCCATCCCTGTAATACTCTCCCTCCCTCCCTGTAATATTCTCCCCCCTCCCTCCCTCCCTGTAATACTCTCCCCCTCCCTCCCTGTAATATTCTCCCCCTCCTCCTGTGGCTTCCCCCTCCCTCCCTGTAATATCTCTCCCTCCTCCCCTGTAATATTCTCCCCTCCCTCCCTGTAATATTCTCCCCCTCACTGTAATATTCTCCCCTCTCTCACTCCTCTCTCACTGTAATATTCTCCCCCCTCTCTCCCTGTAATATTCTCCTCTCTCACTGTAATATTCTCCTCCTCTCACTGTAATATTCCTCCCTGCCTAATACTTCCTCCCTCCCTCCCTCTCTCCTGTAATACTCCCCCCCTCTCCCTCTCTGTATTCCCTCTCTCCCTGTACTCTCCCCTCTCCCTGTCTCTCTCTCTCCCTGTACCTCCTCCCCCTCTCTCTCTCCTGTGGCTACCTCTCTCTCTGACTCTCCTGTAATGCTACTCCCAGCTCTCTCCCTGTAATACCCCAGCTCTCCCTCCTGTAATACTCCCCCCTCTCTCCCTGTAATACCCCCTCTCTCCCTGTAATACTCCCTCTCTCCCTGTAATACTCCTCTCCCCTGTATGCTCTCTCTCTTCCTGTAATACTCTCTCTCTCTCCCTGTAATCTCCCTCTCTCTCCCTGTAATACTCCCCCTCTCTCTCCCTGTAATACCTCCTCTCTCTCTCCCTGTAATGCCCCTCTCTCTCCCCCTCTCTCTCTCCTGTAATGCTCCCTCTCTCCCTGTACCCTCTCCCTGTAATACTCCTCCCTCCAATCTTCTCCTCACCTGCTCTTCCTTGTAGCGTGGCCGAGCTCCTCTCCGGTCCGTGACCCGGCCGGACTGACAGGAAGTGCACACCCAGAGAAGTCATGCTTGAAAAAACAAAGTACACCCTTACTGCTTCCAAAGGAATTAAGAGGTGAAGTACCAGACAATTGTTGCTAATAAAATGCCCTTGATTAACTGATCATCAGCAAGTGCGACCATCCTATAAAAGCCAACATTTTAGCAGTTTCCTGGTTTGGAGCATTCAAGTGTGTTAAGTAGAGACATCCGCAATGATCTTAGAGAAGCAACTGTTGCTGCACATCAAACTTGGAAGGGTTATAAGGCCATTTCCAAACAATTTAATGTCTATCATTCTACAGAGAAAAAGATTATTCTAAAGGGGAAAAACATTTAAAACTGTTACCAATCTTCCCAGGAGTGGAGGCCCCAGCAAATTGGCCACAAGGTCTGACTGTGTCATGCTCAGAGGAATCGCAAATGGCCATAATGCACAGTGCCATGTTTGGCGAAAATCAAACACCACACAAACACCTCATACCAGTGGTGGAGGGGTGATGCAATGGGCCTAGGAACCTTGCAGTCACTGAGTCAACCATAAATTTCTCAATAGCAAAGCATTCTAGAGTCAAATGTGAGACCAACTGTCCGACAGCTAAATGTTGGCCTGAATTGGGTCATACTACAGGACAATGATCCCAAGCACCCCAGCAAATCTACAACAGAATTGCTGAAAAATAAATGAATCAAGGTGTTGCAAAGGCCCTTTTAAAGTCCACACCTCAATCTGATTGAAATGCTGTGGTGGAACCTTAAAGGGACACTATAGGCACCCAGACAACTTCAGCTCATGGAAGTGGTCTGGGTGCATTGCCACAGGTCACTTAACCCTGAGCAGGTAATTATTGCAGTTTTTGAATGGGTTAACTCCTCCTCTAGTGACTGTCTACCAGACAGCCAGTAGAGTTACTTCTGGGCTGTTTGGCGGCTTTTGGTTGCTAAACTGGTGGATGTCCTCGCGCTACGCATAGGGTGGTCCAGCGTCTCCCGTAACCCCATAGGAAAGAATTGCATAAGGCTTTCCTATGGGGAAATCCTAATGTGAGTGCATGCACATTAGGTCTCCCCTGTCAGAGAGACAGAGGAGGTGGACCAGAGCCAGTGCTGAGGGAAACTTGCCCAGGTAAGTTTAAAAAAAAAAAAAAAGAGTAAAAATGACTGCTGGGTGTGTGGTAGGACATAGCTACTATTACTACTACTACTGGCTAGGAGTAATGGGAGGAATCACTTCACACTTTTGGCCCTCTATGCAATAAAAACCCTTTGCATAAGGACACTCCTGCATTCACATATACTGACTTGTTAAGTACACATCTTAAGTAACTACATGTTGTATGAAATATTTTTCATCTATGGGTGGTGGTTAAAACAAACCATTGTGTTATAAAGTATGTAGGGTGCCTGTGTATTTTTCTAGTTGGGTTAAACACACCCCCCACCCCCATATTATATAGTTATCATTCATGGTTCTATCCAACTTTTAGAGCCATGTAATTTAATTTCAAAGCAACATGGATCACACTGTTTTGAGAGAGACTAATCTTGCATAATTTGACAATGGGAAATTGTGGCTTTCCCATGCTGAGAATCATAGGGTTTATGGTAAACTAATTTGTACCTCACTGGATCCCTTGATCCCTTTTAGATCCTGTTTGTACTTAAGCACTAAATAACAAGTTATGAGTTGACAGGTCAGTTAGAAAAGTTCTCCAGCTCAGCTGACTTCAAAATCTTTTGGCTTATTTAAGGCGAAAAATAAGTGTGTATGTACACACACACACATACATATCCCAAAGAAAATGTGTGCATACCTTAACTGCTACTAACGTTCGCTACATTTCCTGGGGCACAACGGTCATCTGATTGAAAACAGGTGTTGTCCAAAAAAAAAAAAAGATAAATTTTTGCTCATTTTGGAGATTTGCATCTCTCTTCATTATTGCTGTTCCCAAAGCACTATGACTTCATACCAGGTATTATCATACCCACCTTCTCTGCATTTTCATCCATGTATTTCTTTACTAATGTCCTTTATTATTTTGAAGAACCATTTTTATTGTCAGTCTTCGAAATAGCCCTTACTATTATAGTTAGTGTGTATGATTGCGTAGTGTAAGCATTTGTTATAAAGTATGTGTGCATTTTCGACTAGTATTATTTGTATGAGAGTGAATACCTGCATTGAGCAGGGTAGTTTGTGGATGTTTCTAATAATAAGCTTGGAAATGTATTGGGATTCTGAAGGTTGAGTTTAAGTAAAATGTTCCAAATACTAATTAGAAAGATATTGTTGGGTGTTGTCTAAACCGTAAATAAAGAGTCTGAGCGAAATATTCAACCCAAATGTGGGCTTTGTAGCAGAGGTCAAACCTTTGTTACATATTACTGAATGCCATATAATCTCCACTTAAAGGGACACTATAGTCACCTGAACAACTTCAGCTTAATGAGGTTGTTCAGGTGAGAACTATAGCTCTCTGCAGCCTTTCTCATGTAAACACTGTATTTTTTGAGAAAATACAGTGTTTACATTGAAAGCTAGGAACACCTCCAGTTGCAGTCACTCAGAGTGAACCAGAGGGACTTCGAAGTGTTGATGGAGGCATAATATGCCTCCATCCACTCAGATCTGCTGTGCATGAGCATCCTGTGACCCAGTATCTCCTCCCACTGCATGCAGACACTGAAATTTCCTCATAGAGATTAATTGATTCAATTCATCTCTATGGGGAGATGCTGATTGGCCAGGGCTGTGTTTGAATCATGCTGGCTCTCCCCATGATCTGCCTCCTTGTCAGTCTCAGACAATCCTATAGGGAAGCACTGTGATTGGATCAGGCTATCACATGTAAGCAGACTGCTTGGTTTTTCCTGAGTCTCAGCATGCAGATTTACAGCTTCTGGCTTGAATACAGTAAGATTTTTATTATATTTATGGAGGCATGAGGGGCTCAGGGGGGCTAGATGGTCGTGTTAACACTATAGGGTTAGGAATACATGTAGTTGCACTGGTGACTAGTGTCCCTTTAACGGATTCTACCTGATTTTCTAAAACATTTTTGACACAGTGAATGAAAGCATACTCTATAATTTAGCATTTAGTGTATTTCGTCACAATGATGAATAGTAATGTAGCTTTTGTGCATTAGATTGTCATAGTGATGTAAGCTACTTATTCGGTCTATAAAATACTGTGCTGTTTCTAAGACTATTGTTACCTTGTATTGACATGTATCTTGTGAAGCCAAGTGGCTTTGTAGTTCTACAAAAATAAACCGATCATCTGCAAAGAAAAAGCAAACCATGTTTATTATATCCATAAACTTCAACTGAAGTACTATCACCAAGACGGCAACGGTGTGTCGGCACCTAAGTAACCCATTGTTCCCTATTTTATACAATTCCTATTATGATATGGCTTAATCAATTTAGTTGTATTATGAACAAAATAAAGTTTAGTATTTGAGTATGCTTGTTCTGTGAGGGGGTCACCATGTGTCATAGCTTCACATGATTCCCTTCAAAATTACTTTTATAGTCCTTTTTTGATCGCACTTGTGAAAAAGTATAGCTGCATAAACTAGTAGTCTATCAGAATATGACTGAAATTAGTGCATCATCTGTGACTATTTTCTAAGATTTTACTCAATCCGTTTTTATCCATTGTCCATATTTGCAGATTAATGTCCTGCACCGGCAGCCATTGTTGGCACATGGAGTAATTGGTGCTGCTCTGAGAAGCATTTGATTGGAGCATAGCAACTGTTGTGTTGTGCATGCGCCCTGTGTCTCAAATTATTCTCTGAGAAGCACTGGAGTGGACTTTAGTTCTCGTAATGATTACTTTATGGGAGACAGAGGCTGATCTGACGATAACTTTGGGACACTTGAGGTTTTAATAAAAAAATAAAAAAAAACAGGTGGGAGGGTTATGTTAAATTTTAATGATTTTTAATATTGGTGTTCGTTAAAGATTAGTCTTTGTATCTTACACACACACTTTATTTCCACAGCAGACTCTGTACAGCAATATTGTTTTTTTTATATATATATATATTTTTTTTTTTCCAGACTTCAGAGCAAGAAACAAAAAGCCTACCAAGCAAGAAGGGCATAGTACAATCTATTGTAGGTCAAGGCTACCATCGTAAAATTGTTCTAGCATCCCAGTCCGTTCAGAATCTGCTGTATAAGTAAGCACTAATTTCATATATTTCATAGATGCTGTTTTAATGTGTTTTTGTGAGACGATATCTTCTTCAGACCGCTTCTGTATGTGACTATTATTTTTATGGCTAGACTGATGTTTTTTGTATTTCTCGAACAATAATAAATATACTTTTTTTTTTTCCCTTACCTGGAAGGCGGTAACAAACCTTTCTAAACATTGCTTACTTGTCTAGAAAGTAAATTAGAGGAAAGCTACACGTCCATCAATTGGATAAGTAATAATGTTGAAGAAAATGAGGCTTGTGTTTGGTGCTTCAGAACGTTACTTTTATCTTCTAGAACATATACTGAAAATAGCATTAAATATCATTTTTCTCCCGATTTATAGACTGTTGATAACAGTGTAAATGATTTAATATACTGGGTCAAAGCTGATTTTATTGATTAAAACACATTCCAATATAACCAGCTAAACTACCGATTTACAGAAAATAAATTTGTTATGAATGCAATATATAATCTTATACTTGGCATGCAGTCAACAGAACTCAGTTACTCCGCAATTCAGACCTTCGGTTATACCTAATGTTTGCAGTACAAATGAAGCATACTTATTAAGATATCTCCAAAAAGAAGACATCAGACAAAGAGGTAGTCTAAGCAACATAACCGCACAACATGGTATTGTGGTTATGTTGCTGGAATGTTGGCAATCAGGGCTCTCCCAGTACCTGGAGACTGCACCCTCTGAGTTGACTCTACCTGGGTCCTCTGGGTGCTCGCTGTCCAGCCTCTCATTAGAGATCATGCCAACGCTGTAAATTCCCTTCTTACTTACTGATATAAATTCTCTGTGTTTGGATGGAGTGCTTCATAGTCCTTTAACTACATTTCAGATGATGCTCATGTAGCAGAAAGGTTGGCTTTTATTGTCTTAATCTCTAATTATTTCTGTCCAGGCTATGAATAGGAAATGTGGCTGACACAGTTCTGTAAACCCTAACACATGCAGATGTTGTATACTGAGCTAGCATTTTTAAGAAGATGTCTTGCTCAAGCATGCCTCCTATACAAATTGTAAAACAATACATTTTGTGCCTGTAAATTAATCATGAAGTACCACTGATCAGTGAAACCAGGTAGCTTACAAAACCAGAAGATGTACAATTACTACATATGCTTCTTTGTGCTATTGGGAGGCAGTAAAAAGAGAGATGTCTTAAAGGTCAAAGTATTTAATTTCGGTGTTGTAGTCCACAAAGTTTATTTTTTTATAAATGAATCATAAATTCAATAATTACTACTGGCACATAACGTTTTAAGATATTTTATATTGAAGTCTGTGGATGTTTCCTTGACCTTAAACATTCTTTCATTCGTCTTTCATCATTTCACACTCTCATCTGCTAACTAGCAATAGAGCTCACCTTGTCATGCTTTGTGGCAGTGAATTAATATAGTAAATGGCCAACAAGTGCAACCGCTTTGTGGTTGCATTTAGTACAGATGCACTTTGTGCTGTGGTGATTCCTATGCAAAAAAATTCTAGGGCATATTTAACTTCTTTGAACTGTTAAAGATTTTGTTTGTTCCCATTAACAAAAATTGAAGCCCTCCCCTATATTTAGTGTAAGCATTTTACCAATGAGGCATGTTTAAAAATATTTCTTTAAAAATAAATATATTCTATTTTTCTAGTGATGGTGAGTCCTCCGCTATTCCAGTTGCCAGCATGGAGTTTGCAGCTATATGTCTGAGAAATGCATTGATCCTTTTGCCGGAGGATCAGCCAGAGTCAAAACAAGAAAATGGTTCTAAGACGACCAGTCAGACAAGCAATACAGACTCAAGTGGTGAGACTGGCGAAACATGCAGGTAACATTAAAAACATTTGGAAATATTGTTTTTATTTTATTGTACTACACCTAATGATTATAGAACCAAAGGTATTTCAGGCTGCCTGTTTTAAAGAGGCTTGTGGGACATCATGCCTGTTGCGTGCCTCTAAACATACTGTACGTGATTTCTCTCTTAAAAAGATCCCTACTTGCTTATACTATCAGGGTACATGTTGAAAACTGTATCAACTATCCAGGTCTGTCCACTAATGAAGCTCTTAACTTTTTAATAAGTCTCCAGTTCGCCCGTCAGCATTCGGTCTGTCTTGTTTATTGTTGGTCTTTTTTTTTTTTTTCTTGTCTTTTGTCTTTTTATAAATTTTGTATTATTGTTTGATGTTGCTTTGAACTAATGTATTTAATTTCAGGACATATTAAACTTTGTAATAGTAATTTCATGTTTGTATGTAACAGTGTCTTAAAATTTGCAATTAATAATGAATTTAAAATAAATAAATAAAAATTAAAATGACTCTTTGTTGTGGTCCAGTGGGGCTGAATTGGCCTTGTAGAGGACAGTGCATTGTCCGCCTGCTCAGTCTGTCACTACTATTGCATGGTGCTTTGTGTGAGGGGAACTTGTAGAATCAGTACATTATAATGTCACACCCTCAAAAAATTTTCTTAACACACCGTGCCCTTTCAAAGGGATGGCAGCAGCTGTGCATCAGGAATATATACACCTTCAGCTTCTTTTAGATGAACATGCGATAGTAAGGCATATTGGTGGGCATCCCCTTTTTGCCTCTGGGCCACCTATTATCCCTGCTGATATCTGCCAGATGGCTAGCAACCTTAAATAATTATAAAAGAGATCCTTTAGTCAGATCTGCCCGGTGGAATGCCTGGGGCTTGAGTCTAGGATCTGTTCATGTAGTGTACAGATTACTGGAAATCGTGTGTGGGTGGAGGTTGTGTTTTTAATGTCTTTCAGTGACTGTGTGTGGGGTTAGTGATTATGTTGCAATGTATTTGTCAAAACAAGTGTGTGCTAGTGAGGACCGTTTGATATAAACAGATTGAACAATTTATGCTTTCATTTTTGAAAGTATTATGCATATTTACATACACATGTATGTTAATGTGTTTGTGTGTATATTACAAGCATTTCTTAGATATGCATAATACACTCAAATTGTACATAATAAAGAATCTGAATCACACTTTAAAAATACAGCCAGTACCCACACCACACCCATTCAGCATGCGACCGGCACACACGCATATGCACACACCCTGAATGAGGCTAGCGCATGCAAGTCGCGCGCATGCGACCGGCGCCCGTACACATGCTGCGTGCGGCCATCACACCGCACGCATGCTGCATGTGAAACACCACACGCTGCATGCGGCCAAAATGCATGCATGTGCGCATGAGGCCAGTCCCCCCCGCCCCCCTCACACACCCTACATGCGGCCATCACACACAACCCTAACACACGCTGCATGTGGCCAGCAAGCACACTATGACAAGCTTGTTAAAGCGTTGCTTACTGTGTATGAACTTGTCTCTTGAAATGATATTGCTTCATGTGTAGAAATCACGTTCCCTTTGTTTACATTTTATATCTTGGCTGTCTAAGTACATAGCATTTTTTTAATTCATTTTCTAAAGTTCTTAATGTTAGTGGGGTTATAAGTAGCTGTATGTACTTTTACATAAATGAACACAGAGCTGCTTTCCATACTTTGGTCCTTTCTTACGGCTTCAAAGGCTCCAGATTTAGATCTAGTACAACTTAGTTCTGCCCTGCCCCCAAAATTAGGTGAATTTTCCCATGTTTTGGAGCAACACTCCTGTTTTTTGGGTAGCCATGATTTTTCTACAACCCTTCCCCCTACTGATCATATAGGAAAAGGAAAGTGGGGGCTGTTTGGACAAGGCATCTTCCAAATTTCCCAGGTGTCCAAGCATTTCAGCAGAATAGATTTGTTCTCTAGTAAAGCATATTTGGGTATGTGTTTCAAAAAGGTCAACCTTTGTTTGTTTTTATTTCAGCAATAAAATCCACGAAGGAGAAAAATTTGTTACAGCTCCACCATCCTCTCCACTGAGGAGACTAGAACTGGAAAACTTAAGGTGCGTAAGTATACATGTTTCAATGGGCAGCGCTCTAGTTAAACACCTTTTCCATGATTCCACCTGTCTGTCTGGTTTTTGGTTAAAGATATAGCTGTTGTATCCTGTTGTCTTTAGACATTATATCAAAGTGTAAAAAATAAATAAAATAGTACAGTAAATGTTAAAGGTTAAACCTACCCAACAACAAAACAATGTAACTTAAAAAAAAAATCCATTTAAATCTTACTATTTCATATTTATTTTAGTAATATTGTATGTGTGAACTTTATATTGTACATTTTAGTACATGAAAAATACTAAAGTGCAGGTGTTGACAAAACCCGCAGGCCTCCCACCACTAGAGTGCAAAAATCCAAGTAACCCCTGTTTTTTGGTTTTGTGAATTCTCTATTTTGAGTGTGACCTTTCCTGGAAATTTTCTTTACCAGACTCAAATACTCACTCAAAATAGTGGATTCACAAAAGTCCTGTGATCTACATTTGACTCAACATCCGAGCTTACACCCTAAAAACCAAAGCGAGAGACCAATATTTCCTGCAAACTCCGTTCTGTTTCATAATGAAGCAAAATGCAGTAACACAAACTACTGCTAGGGGGAGCCTGCTTTCTTTTTTTCCCCCTGAAAATATTTAGAGGTGTAGCCTGTTATTACAAATGAAAATTAAGTTGTATATTTATAGATGTTGTGAATGTGATTTGTATCTGTGTTGGAGGGGGGGTGGAATTTAGATCATTTAAATTAGCTCCTTACAAACACTAAAGTTGCATTTGGGATATAATTTATGCCTATTGACTTATCTAATTTCAGGTCTTTTATCTAGCTAAAATGCCTTCCTGTAAAAGTTCAGCTATAATAATTCTTTATGATTTAAATCACTAGCCCTTACAAGTGAATGAATGTCATCAGCCAAGCTTTGCATCTTTTATGCATATTCACTTAGCTTCTATACATTAATACAGTGATGGTTGGGTCTACATTTACGTGCTGATTTTGAACGTTTGCCCATTGACAAAGAATTGACCAGTCTATAATTTTAATGGTAGGTGTATATTAACAGTGAGAGACAGAATTAAAAAAAAAAAAAAAACTTCCAGAAAAACTCATGTCAAAAAAAGTTATAAATTACTTATGCCTGGATATTTGGCTTCTGCGCAAGCCACTCATAGAAATGCTAATGTACCATGGAACACTCGGCTTCTGTGAAAGCCACATACAGAAATGCTACTGTACCATTGAATTGACTGTCAGTGAACAAATAAAGAATTAAAAAATATTTTTTTTTTTTTTATATAAATTGATTTGCATTTCAATGAGTGAAATAAGTATTTGACCCACTTAGTACTTGGTGGCAAAACCCTTGTTAGCAATCACAGAGGTCAGATGTTTCTTGTAGTTGTCCATCAGGTTTGCACACATCTCAGGAGTGTTTTTTTTTCCCACTCCTCTTTGCAGATACTCTCCAAGTCATTAAGGTTTCGGGGCTGACGTTTTGCAACTCGAACCTTCAGCTCCCTCCACAGATTATCTGTGGGATTAAGGTCTGGAGACTGGCTAGGCCACTCCAAGACCTTAATGTGCATCTTCTTGAGCCATTCCTTTGTTGGCTTGGCTCTATGTTTTGGGTCATTGTCATGCTGCAATACCCATCCACTACCCATTTTCAGTGCCCTGGCTGAGGGAAGGAGGTACTCACCCAAGATTTGACGGTACATGGCATTGTCCATTGTCCCTTTGATGCGGTGCAGTTGTCCTGTCCCCTTAGCAGAAAAATACCTCCATGTTTGACGGTGGGGATGGGGTTCTTGAGGTCATAGGCAGCATTCCTCCTCCAAACACGGTGAGTTGAGCTGATGCCTTGAGCTTGTTTTTGGTCTCATGTGACCACAACACTTTCACCTAGTTCTCCTCTAAATCATTCAGATGTTCATTGGCAAGCTTCAGATGGGCCTGTACATGTGCTTTCTTGAGCAGAGGGACATTGTGGGCGCTGCAGGATTTTTCACAGCATAGTGTTTTACCAATTGTTTTCTTGGTGACTATGGCCCCAGCTGCCTTGAGATCATTAACCAAATCCTCCCGTGTCGTTCTGCGCTGAATCCTCACCGTTCACATGATCATTGAAGCTCCACAAGGTGAGATCTTGCATGGAGCAACAGACTTAGGGAGACTGACAGTTATTTTCTGTTTCCTCCATTTGCGACTAATCGCAACAACTGTTGTCACCTTCTTGTAAAGCTGCTCGACGATGGTCTTGTAGCCCATTCCAGCCTTGTGTAGGTCTACAATCTTGTCCCTGACATCCTGGGATAGCTCTTTGGTCTTGGCCATGGTGGAGAGTTTGGAATCTGATTGCTTCTGTGGACAGGTGTCTTTTATACAGGTAACAAACTGTTATTTGGAGCTCTTTACCTGTATAAAAGACACCTGGGAGCCAGAAATCTTGCTGATAGGGGATCAAATAATCAATTTGGCAGTGGGCAAACATTCTAAATCAGCAGGGGATCAAATACTGCCCCCCCCCTGTACATTTTTAAACTCCTGTATGCAAAATGAAGGATGTCAGTTGATGCCCTTTTTACTTTGACTATCATCTACCTTTAGTTTAATAACTGTGCACACAGTGATGAGCAGAATCTGATTTGAAATTGCTCTCAAATGACTTGAATTGTTTAAAATTTTATTTTCAAAACCATAAACAAATGCCTCATCAGGAGTTTGATGCCTATGTACTTCTAAAATCAGTGGTAAAAACAAAACATCTGAAAGGAGGCATTGTACAAATAAGTGCTTCTGTTATCTCTGCATAGCCTTGTGTTTCTAAGTTGTTGTCTTTTTTTTTTTTTTTTTAATTCTTCTTAAATAAAGGATTTAAAATGTCAGGAAAGATTACAACGATTGATTTTATTTTATATTTCTTTATCGGGAAGTTGAAGTTAAAGGGAAACTATAGTGCCAGGAAAACAAACTAGTTTTCCTGGCACTATAGCTTCCCCCCTCTGTCAAGGCCTCCTCCTGCCTCCAGTCACTTACTTGGGTCCAGTGGCGATGTCCCTCAGCGCTGGCTCAGCTCCGCCCATGCTGACGTCCACCGCAGGGGAGACCTCATGCGCGGCAGTGTCTGCACTCGCATTAGGATCTCCCCATAGGAAAGCGTTATTCAATGGGGGGGAAATCTGACGCTGGAGGTCCTCGTGCAGTGTGTGAGGATGTCCAGCGTCAGATACTGGACCAAAAGTCTCTTTGCATTCAGGAAGTCGCTCTAGTGGCTGTTTGGTAGACAGCCGCTAGAGGAGGCGTTAACCCTATACAAAAAACTGTAATAATTACCACTGCAGGTTTAAGGGTGATGGGAGTTTGCACCCAGACCACTTCAATGAGCTTAAGTGGTCTGGGTGCCTACAGTGTCCCTTTAAATTGCTTGAGAACCAGGTAGTAGTTTTGACATGTTTATGTAACTTGCCTAGCCAAAGATAAGACATCTGGGTTTAGCCTGCCTCATGTGTTGAAGACGCACAGTTACGTATAACTGATATTGCTAGCCAGGAAGAGCGTATTCTTACTGACTGACTGGAAAAAAGTTTATAGGTGTGTGTGTTTTTCTTTTTTTCTTTTTTAAAAGCTGGAAGGAAAGTTCTGTAAAATGAAGTGATTGTGGTTGTTGGTAACCATTTAGAAGCATTAATGCAAGCGTGATGTCATTTGCAGTCTGCAGAAGGCACGGTTCCTTTTATCTACTCATCTGATCCATGATGCATGCACTATTAGATTATAGCAATTGCTCATTTCCACATCAGTCCAACTGAACTTTGTCTGATTGTTCTGTGCTGAGTGCATGTACCTAATATGTCTGTCTTTTACAACTTAGTGTGCTCACTGGTGTGTTGTGGGGCCTAGTGGAGGAGATGCCATACATCCCACGTGGACTGACCATGCCTCAGTAACTGCCAGAGCTTTTTCCATTGCTCTTGGGCAACGCTTCAATAAGTTGCTGCATCACCTGGCTGAACACTGAGATTCCATAAATTTTAAAGTGTGAGAACAAGCAAGTCTTGTTTCAATAGGTCATGACCAAGTGATCTGATCATGGCAGCCATGGGGCGATGAAGGGGGAATACAAGTTCAGTATAATCCCTTTCTTGCTTGGGAGGCCTTCCGAGCATCACAGTCTGGAGTTGGAAAGCTTCTTTTAGAAAATTAACACCTCCATGATCTGTCCGTTTAAAGCAATTTTGTAATGTCACACAGCGGTTTCAGAAGTAGGGCAGAACTTTCAAGGCACATTTTTAGAGGTTTTAATAAGGATGAAACTTCAGAATAATAGAACAATCCATAGATCATCACTAGCCAATTTTATAACTCTCTAGTTATTGACACTTTGTTTCTTTTAGAATGATGGCTAAGCATCATTTGAGATTCAACAGTTGGAGTTCGAGCTGCTGCATAAACATTTCCACAGGTTTTGGGTTTTTTCAATTAATCAAAATTTGTAGCCATTGATTTATTGATTTAAAAGGTGCACTCACAGGGGTTTTAAAATGAAAATAATATACTTTACATTATATGCATAGATTTTTAAGACCGTGTAAAAACACTTTAACATTAGCATCATCATATTACCTCCCCAATTTCAGGAGACAGTGCTAAGGCATATAATTATGAAGCCTATAATGGTGCTGAAATAAAAATTTCTACAATATCAATCTAAACACAAAATTAATTTCTCTGCTGTGATACTTAAAGGTGCAAGTGATTAGAATAGCTATTCTGATTTATAAACAACAACAAAAACTTACACTTCTATCCTCCACACATGTGCTATCGGATTCTTCTGTGGGAGATATAGCATACCCATTGGGCACAATTATGACATTTGAGGGAGGGAAAAATTTTGCGAAGATGTACGATGTCCTTTTGGCTGCTTCTGAGTGCGTTCGTTTTTTCTTGTATCTTGTCTATGTTGCCGTTCTTTGTCCCTACCTGCTTCTGGTGGGTGATCTGCAGGTTCTCAGGAGATTTGCTTAGCATGGAGGTCATGGACACTCACCATCTATGCTTGCGTTGGGAGTACACCAATGCTAAACTGCTGTCCCTAACAGTACAGTGCAGCCATCTTAGGCCTGTCACTGTGAACAAGTCAAACTCACTGTGGGCTCTCAGGGGCTTTGGTCTCTTTGAGATGAAACTTACTAATCAATGTCCTAAAAAATTTAGGCAATTAGCAATTCCCTGCAGTCGTGACCTCCTCTACTAGAAGTCACCAATGGTAATTTCCAGCCTGAAAATGTAAAAGCATTGGCATATGTTAAATGGTTTCCATTGTAGAAATCAACAAGATTTTCTGTTGGGCAGAGGGCGCCCAGGTGACATTCTTGAAGTGGAGAACCAGAGGCTGATTTTTCTTGGACAAAAAAAATCACCATGGGAATTCCAACTAGAGGTGTTTTTATTCTTTTGTGTACAGGTAAGGAATCCTGGCCACCTAAATTATGGCCTTTTACCTGCTAAGATTCTTAGGTATTCTGACTGGTCACAGGATCCAAGATCATTTTTGGTAGACATATTTGTGGTTTAGTGAGACAACAGAGTGACCAGTTTCCCCATATTTATTCTTTATTTTTGTTATGGAAAAAAGACTTGCATCTTATGCAATAGGCCAGAAATCCACATTTTTTTTATTTTAATTTAAGTAGGAACATTTGTGCACAGAGAACAACAAGAAATACATCTTGACAACCAGAAAAGGTGTGCATGCTATAAAACATATGCTTAAAATATGTAAAACTTAAAACTTGGTGCACTTGTGCTTCGTAACTGTGCACAAGTGGATCAAGCCCAGTGAAAATTATCTTGCTTGGTTTTGGGTTGTGGTGGGGATGTGTATGCAAGACTGTAAACTAAAGTAACATGAACAGCATTTTTTTAGGGGTAGCCTATGAAGCAGGGTAGAAACCCATTTATCACCTTAGGCCTGTGCAACGCTGATCATAAATGTGGGAAGTATTGGTGTACTGTAGACATGAGGTCTTTGGAGCCATAGTGTTTGCTAATGCGGCCACTAGTGTGCAAGCTCTTGATAGGACATGGTATAAACTAACGGCTGACCCTTATCCTCCACTGTTATACAAAATAAAATTAAAGGCATTGCGAGAGGAAACTTAAAACAAATAATATCCATTAAAAAAAAGTGTTGCACTCAATCTTGGGTGGGGAAAGAGTTCAGCCACTCCAGACATGGGACTACACTAGACATCGTGACCACAAGCCCCATTGCTGGCGCGCGGTTTCCCTATGGAGTATAGTGAAGCCAGCTGTGTTTTGCATAGAGCTAGTGCGATTCGTTTCCCCCATAACTGATGCTTCTGAGGGTTATTGCCAGGATCCGCCAGGAATCTCCTGATGGCCTAACAGGAAATGGTATACGACCTGTTTTTATAATGTCCCAGTTGATGCCTTGAATGTTTGTGCTGCTCCGGAATGATCTTACCCATAGCATTTTCAAACATCCATGTCCTGATGTCTTTGGCAAATGTGTAGTCCTTCTGCGGAAGGGTTTCTCTTGTGTAGGATTGGAAAAGCGTTTATCATCTTGTTTAGCATTGGCACCTGGCACATATTCCTGATGTCCAGACATTTGTTAATGCTTAGGCCTGAATTCTCCCAATGGTTGATCGTGGAATTAAATTTCCTTCATCAGTCTCCCTTCAATCCTATAGATTGCATCTTCAGCTCTTGATGGGTAAGGCTCTCTTTTGGTTTGTCATTTCTTCAGCTTAGAGGATGTCTGTGCTTTTGACTCTGTCGTGTGCTCACCCCTCTCCTGGTTTTCCATCAGGTTAGGGTAGTTCTTTGCACTGTCTTCCTTCCTAAATTTATTTTCACTTCTCGACTCAATTAACAAGGAGAGCGTGGTACCTTGGTTTTGTGAAAAGTAGGCCAATGTTAAGCAATGCTACTACATTCTTTAATGTGGTCTGAGCACCTAAATGTTATATGGAAGTTACAATGGTTTTTTTAAAACTCTGCTTCGCTCTTCTTTCAGTACCTCTTAAAGGCCCCAAAGCTTTGACTGTTTCTTTGCAGTTTTGGCAACTAGTGTTTGGCTGACCATCATACCCAACATCTAGCTGAGTGGTGTTTCCTTCAGGACCTTCAAGCATGAAGTTTCCTTTGTGCACATTTGCAAGGCAGCCACTTGGTCCTCTCTGCACATCTTTTACCAGGTTTTATTGTTTTACTACTTTTTTCATCCTTTTGATGCAGTGTTTGGCAGAAAATTTATGAGCACTGGTCAAGTTTAGTCTCCTGTGCCCACCCTATCCCTGTAACTTGGGAGTTACTTATTTCATATGTTACGACTCTCAAGCACCTTGATGACCTTAAAGGAACACTATAGGGTCAGTTGTGTATTCCTGACGCTGTAGTGTTAAACAAATTATCCCACCCCCCTTGCTTCCCTTAAAACTAGTAAAACTCACCTTATTTCTAGTGCCCTGATCTACCTTGGCTGACAAAATTGATGATCTCTGCCAATCACAATGGTTTCCAATAGGAAAGCATTGGCTTGGCTGAAATTGTAAATTCTGATTATTTCTGTCAGGGAGGCGGGCTGTCTAATGGAGCCAGCCGCTGCCCTGGACAATCAGTATCTCCTTATAGATACATAGAATCAATGCATCTCTGAGAAAAGTTCAGTGTCTACATGCAGAGCGCTGACTACACTTGCCAAAATAACTACATTAAGCTGTAGTTGTTCTGGTAACTATAGTGTTCCTTTTAGATGTGAAGCAATATTTTATGCTTACTGAGAAATTTAATATCACTTGTTTGTAAAGGCTTCTCTCTAGGATACCTGTGACAAGTAGATTTGCTAGGAAGGAGGGAGTACTTCAAGAAATTCTGAGTGTTCTATCTGTCCAGTTTGGGGATCTAGTATTCCACATGTTACGGCTCCCGTGGCATAATAAATGACCACATAGGTTAAAAATGATTAATCTGTAAGCATAAATTGTTTTTTATAGTGCACCTGCTGTTTTATTAATCCCTTACCTACAGATGAGAAAAAACGAGGAAGTCTTCTCCTTAGGTACGGAGTCCCTTTGACTGCACATTATTTATCTCCATTAGCTGTGGGAGTGATTGGGTAGCTGATCCTGCTTACCCCCTGTACTATTACCCATCATGCTACAGGGGCGTGTTAATAGTAGGGTCCATATCATAGTGGGTGCAGTAAATGATTTCATTTTTAATTTATATTGTTAGTTGCTGATACAGATTAACATTTTGTTTTTAGAGCACATTCATGAATGATTTTTTTTTGGTATTTGTGCCACTGCTACAGCCAATTAGTAATTTTCTGAGTATAATAAATCTAGCAAACCATCTTAAAGGGACACTATAGTCACCCAGACTACTTCATCTCAATGAAGTGGTCTGGGTGCCAGGTCGCTCAGGTTTTAACCCTTCAGATGTAAACATAGCAGTTCCAGAGAAACTGCTATGTTTACATAGCAGGGTTAATCCAATCTGTCTTCCCGACAGGCGCTAGAGGTGCATCCAGTGTGCAGAACATCCATAGAAAAGCATTGAGAAATTGCCACGCATGCGCATTCTGCTCCACTCAGGAGAGGAATTCGCCGGGGGAGCACGACGCTGGGTTAAGGTAAGCTGCTGAACGGGTTTTAACCCCTTCAGCGCCAAGGGAGGGGGACCCTGAGGATGAGGGCACCATAGTGTCAGGAAAATGGGTTTGTTTTCCTGACACTAGTGATCTTTTAATTTATACCCTTGTATACAAATGTATTTTTTTCACTAGTCCATTCACCCACTCTAATTTTTCTAAATCTTTCGTTTATTGTGCTTGCGGAAGAACACTTAGGCTTGCAATGCCACACCAGTGGTTGCTCGACCGTCAATGCGACATACATAAACATGTGTTGGGCAGATATTAACAATGCACATTTTATATTTTATAATACGATAGTTTCAAGAGAATTCTCAGTGTCTGTTATAACCTGCTATAGAGTCGGCTTTGAGTCATATTGACACTGCTGATACTGAGTCATGTGAATACAAGCTTAGATGGGATAATTCTATAGTATAGATTACACATAGATTTTGAACCGGCTAATATTGAGGATCATGCTAGGGCCCTATATTAGGATCTAAACATAAGATCTGAGTGGTCATAAGTTTAGAGACGTAAGGTATTGAACTGCAGCTCTCATGTCTAGAGACGTAGTACTAGTTTAGACTAAGAGTTTAGGTAGTTTAAGAGTCTTCACGCTATAGGTTGAGTAGAGGCATTCGCCTTATTTGCGCATTTCTACAGTTAGAACAAGTGAATGCTAAGTAAGGCTACATGTTTGCAAATAGGAACATAAGACAAGGTGATGTAGACTGTCATTTTGCTTCAGTGGGGTTACAGGACTAAGTTGCAAACAATTTGGTTTTCAAAGAGAGGGAGGGCAAGAGTAGACATAAGCCAACAGGTTAATCGCATTGTGCAGAACCGTCCTTCAACCCAATAAATAGTCTGTCAGGGTAGTGCATAATGGTGGATCAACCGATGCCCACTGCTGGTAGGCTATCACCCCAGAGTACTCCCTTCAATATGCACGTGTGCTGTCAGTCCCAAAGTCCTCTACACCGCTGCACCATGTCTGCAGTCGGGCGGCACAGCTCCTGTCCTGGACTAGGTTCCCTGGGTCTTTTCCGTGCCTGTGGTTGGTGCTGTATTGTGCGTTCCTTCTGCCAAGGTGATTTGGGAGCGTGTGGTCGGTCTTTGCCTGGTCGTCGTGTGGTGGACCCGCGATAAGATGGGTAGGCAGGTCCACGTTGGTGCCCCGTTCGGGTGATTGTGGGTTTTGGGCGCTCGCTTGGTGGGAGTTAATTAGCTGTGTGATCACGTTGTAGGAGTGGGAGGCCGTGGTGGGGCAGGTTGGTATAGCCTGACTTTCAGCTTCCTCCAGAATGCCTCGAAGTGGTTGCGGGTTCGTGTGAGGATGTCTTGTGAAGTGTCTATTGGATTATCGGCACATGCCGCGTCCGCCATTTTAGGTAGGTCTTAGTTTTCCTGCCTTGGCGCCATTCTGATTCTCTGCATGCCTGGGGTAGCCACCCTTGGGTGGACCGGGATCACCCCCGATGGTCGGGGGGGGGGTAACAGGCCTGGTTTTTGTGGTGAGCAGCATCAGGATGCCAGGGGAGCAGCTGCCTCCCCCGTCTGTCGCGTACTAGTCTGCAATGTTGGTTGTGGTGTCTGGAATTGCCGTTTGTGCCGCTTGTATGAGCCATGTTTTTCTTGTTTTGCCATGTTTGTGAGGGAGCTTGTGGAAAACACGCCTCTCCGCCATGATGGTCCGGCCCCGCCCCACCCACTCTGTAATTTAAATGTTACTTGAATTTATAGAATTTTTTTCTTAAATTAACAACAAAAAATTAAAAAAATCTTGAAAACCCATCTTTGCTGAGTAAACTATTGATAATACACAACTCTTTTCTGTAGCATCAGTATCACACTATGAACTATGACAAACTGGCTATATTGTACAAAAAAGAAACCCTCATAAGATGTATTTATAAATGGGCCATAAGCCTATGACATTCTAAGCAACCAGGCAGATTTGCAGATCTGGAGTTCTTGGTTCCATGACTGGGCAGTGTGGATTTGTTATGTGGTGTTTACTATGCACAGCCAGTGTAACCTAGCAGCACAATCTAAAACTTGCTGCACTGTCTACAGGAATGTCAGTGAGGATGGAGCTACTTGATATGCTCTCTAGGTCTCCTTTTCATAGCTCAAATCGATGAGTTCAACCCTACCCCCCCCCCCCATGTTGTGATCTAACACTGTTAATTTGAAATGCTCCTCCTCAAAGAAGTTCTATGCTGTTTAAAAAAAAAAATGAGATTAGGAGTTAAATATAAAGAATTTGGAAAGTTGTGTAAAATCACATTTTACATCAGGCCTTTTATTTTGACTTCCTTTTTTTTGGAGTGGAATGGGGAGGGGGAAATGGGGGGTTGGGCTTAAATTCAGATGCTGTGTTAATATATCCCCCTTCACTGTATTTGGATTGTAACACATCATTTATTTGTGTCTTACTTCTCCTTGGGTATTAAGTATCTATTGGCTGTCACTTCTCCTGATACTCTTTTTCTACATGCTTATGTTCTACTTGGAATGTAATAAATAAGCACAAAAGCCACTCTTAATGTGTTAGTTTTGCTGCATAGTGTCTAGTATGAGTACTGCTGTGTCTTAGAAATGGAAATGTTTGTCAGTCAGTATGTTTCTAGTAGCACTGTGGACAGAGTGCCGCTGAATTAAAGTTGTGTTTTAAAAGAACACTCCATGTAACGCAACCAATACAGCCCTATTTAGTGCCTTGCGACTGGTTTGATAATGTAGTTAGGGTCAACTGGGCACCCTTTTCTGCCTCGCTTGGATACAAAAACACCTGCAAGGAGATTCTGCTGGGCTAAGCCCTGCAGTGCAGGTCCTGTAGTTTGGCTGAAAGTATCACCTGAGCGCTGTCAGCCAATGAACACCTACCTGCATGACCAGGCTTAGCTCTGTGGCAGAGCTTTTGACTGCAGGTTTCGTTTTCAATCAGATCTTAAAGCACAGTGTATTGACCTTTCGAAGTTTTTATCTCCTGCACTATTAAACAAACATTTAATCACCCAAAAAAGGCTCTCGCAGGCTTTTAACAGAGCAGGAGATTGGAAATTCTAAATCAAACATATTGACCAATAACGTTTAAACATTAGATCTCTCTTTACAGGACGTTTAGGGAGATAGTGTAGTTCACATACATGGGGACTTGTGACTAGTGTTACATAAGCAAAGTGATTTAACTCCTAAATGGAAGAGAATTGAGCATTGAAACTGCAGGGGCATGATCTATACACCAAAACTAATCCACCGAGCTAAAGTTGTTTTGGTACTTATAGCATCCCTTTAAGTGTAAATCACACTTAAATCTATTATCTTGGCTTTTTTATACTTTTAAATGGCTATTTATATTTTATAATATGGATGCTGGTACTGGACATTTGTAGGGTGGATAGAATTTTTATTTTTTTGGTTATCCGTTGCATTATGGGCAAAGCAATAATCAAATTAATGTATTTATTTTTCTAGCAAAAAAACATTTTTATTTAAACTTTGCAACTTTGCATGATTTAGTTTATTTTAACTTGCATTCTTCTTAGCTGAGTTTGCTTGTATGTTTAGAAGCAAAGTTGAACTAAACCTTGAAACGCCTCGAAGGCAGCTGTACTTTGAATGGGTGTTCTGAAGGCATTATTGTTTAGGATTAGGCAATTTGTAAGTGCTACTTCTGCTAGTGGTTCTTCTGCTCCAGAAGTCTGTCTAACTTGGTTAAGCAAACACTTAGCTGATCTGACATTTCATCTTGCAAAACACTGTTGCTTAGAATTTGCTGCAATCTTTCTCAGACACGTGGCGCATTTCTCTTTTTGAAAGGTTTTGTGTATGTATGTGTGGTCCCAGTAAAGCAGAGCACAGCCAAATCTTTCAAGGTTTCTTTCACTAACATTACTGATAAATGCTTTCAGCTTCTGGTAGAAAACAAACCCTGACACAAATATTATAAAATTTTATAAAGAAGTGTTTTTTTTGTTGTTTTTTTTTAAATGTAGGTTTCACATTCTTTGTGCAACGACCTTACATTATTTAGTTCTAAAGTAAATGGAATAAGTTTAACAGTTGTAAAACAGTGTGTTGCAAATGCAAACGTTAAAATGCAGTTAAATATGCATTAAGCTGTGTGTTCAAGCAATGTTCATTCACCTATCACCCTTTTCGAATAGTTTCCTTTTACTCTGAGAATAGCCATCACCATTTACAGTTGCTTGTGCCATTTCGTTAAAGGATCACTATAGGCACCCAGACCACTTCAGCTCAAGTTTTAACTAGTTTAACCCCCTAGTTTTAACTCTGCAGCTGTAAACATAGTTTCAGAGAAACAGCTATGTTTACATTGAGGGTTAATCAAGCCCCTAGTGGCTGTCTAACTGACAGCCACTAGAGGCTGCTTCCGCGATCCTCAATGCGAAAATTGCTGACGTCCATAAGAAAGCATTGAGTATTTTTTTTTATAGGCTATGCAGTAGAACACAAAACTGTTTATTTGAAATACCTCTTTTTCAGTGTATTTCCTGGCTTACCCTTGCTCTGCAGGGGTGGCCATCTTGACACGTTTCTCTGACTACAAATCATGTGGGTAATCAAAAGCCTAGTGTAAGTTCAGGGGTCATGATAGCATGTGCACGAACCAGGCATCTTAAAAATAAACTGTGGGTGGGTTTCCAGGCCTTCCATGGTGAGACAGTCCCGATTTTGGTGTCAAACGTTAGTGTCCAGGTGTCGGAGTTAGTGGACGGAGACCAAGATGCAGATCGGTGCTGAAGGCAATGGACCAAGTTCGCAGTACCAAAGTATCAGACGAAGAGAGTAGTCGGGGAAGCCAAAGGTCGGGTCAGGCTGCACAGGTTCAGAAGCAATAATACAGGCAAGGGTCAAGATCAGGATACAACAGGACAGTCTCTAAAGGTCTTTAAACAATCAGGACCACAGTGCAACTGAGTGAAGAGTCATGGGTGTGTGCGACTTAAATAGGGAAAATGGGTTGTCTCCACCTCCTGTACTTTTAAAAGGCTCTGTGTTGGGGCGTGCCCTTTGATTCTCCTGAAGTTCTATCTTCTGTGTGGTCGCACATGGAAGCAGCAGCGTTCAGACTTCTGTTATTGCTGTGTTTGGGAGCCGATGTCAATACGAATGGACTTCTGCCTGCAGTATAGGTGAGTGGCGTTCGTAGGCATGGAGTTCTGCCTTCTGTGTCTGGTAAGTGGCGTTCGCATGAACAGAGGTGCTGTTTGTATGAACGTGGGTGGTTAAGCCAAACGTGCTGCCAGAGGGTTGCGCTCCGACAAGATGTCACCGTGGCGTGGGAGTGAGGTCCTGATACCAGGGAACTGTCCCCAGGCAGCACAGTACAGGTGCATCATTGGACACTTGAGATGTACGGCGGGCACTAAAACCATGCAGGAGAAGTTCATACAAGATCCAGCGCACTCACTCATTCACTAAACAGCAGGTTTTGTTTTTTTTAAACGCCTAACTGAAATGAAAGTGATGGGGGTTTAGTTACAGTATATGATCATACATTGCAGTGCAAGGATAAATAGGGCTCTGGAATGAGGTATCTGTGACAGTGAGGGGTGGAAAACGTTATGAATTGGCCTTAGAATTATGCATGTTCCGGTGAATGCAGCCCTCTTGGTTTCCTCTATAAATATATTTTAGGTTTTGCACCCCTCTCTGTGCCTTATTTTAGGGCACTATTTAACCTTGACCTGCAGATTGTCCCAGGAAGAAGCTTTTCCCAAGTAAGCAGGTTAATCTCATACGAGCCGGCATTAGGATGCTAGAGTAGGATCTGCCAAAAATGGGGTATATTGGCATTGTGGCAGGTTTATGCAATGTGTGATCATATACTGTAACTAAACCCCTATTTTTGCAAAGGTAAGAATTTTTTCTTTTTTTAAATTTATATATTTTTAAAACTATTACAATCTGTGAGCTTTGGAATTGCAGTTTAGTGAAGTGAGTGTGCTGGATCTTGTATGTTGTATGAATTTAACCCAGCAGCACCCTAATAATAATAAAAATAATAATAATAAAAAATATATATAACACAGATGCAATGGTACATTCAATGTAATTCAATTTTCAGTAATTGAAAAAAGATAGTTTTCCTTTAGTGGACAACACAAATACAGAACATGAGTAACATCGATGTGGGCTGATCTTTTTGAAGGGAAGAATGAAACATCACCTGAGCGGACAGAACAAAAAAGTTGTTCCTCTGAAGTATCATTTAGTTCCAATTGGAAAGAAATTACAAAGTATAGTTCCTACAGAATTTTTACAGCCTTTTGTTCCGAAAGCAATTCTGTCTTGTCTGGATTTCCAATTATTGATGGAAGTGGTTTTGGCACTGTTAAGTTGCAGGCTGCTAAGCCTTATTGGTGAAATGGCATTAATGTTACACCTTAATGTGGATTTCCCTGTGTTTTTTTTTTTCTCTCTCTCTCCCTCCTCTCCTCTGTAAACTCCTTGCAGAATTGGAATGAACTTGCCCTATTATTAAAAGCATTTGTTTGTGTTAAGATTCAATGTGACATCCCTCAAGGGACGTAGCAGCACTTGCACGAAAGGCTTTGTGACCGGTTTGCTGCATAATTAAAGTGCCAGCCTCCTGGGAATAAATACACCCCAGGCCGTGCCATGAAATCCATGACTTACTGCTGGCCCAAAAGTGGGCTTGACAGTTACCAGAAGGTTGCAGCTGTAATAGCCCACCTACCGACTGTCACGTTTAGTGTTCTCCGGACTGGCCTGGCAGCTTCACACAAGGCTTGCAAACCTGATCCCCCTCAGCTTCCTACAGACCACCCCCTAGGCTCATGTTTCAAACTTAACTTACATCCTGCACTTCGAGGGGGAAACACAATATCTTTAAAGGTGCATTTTGCAGCCTCTGGTCCTTATTAATTTTTCTAAGTTTATTTATTCCTTCAATTTTAAATCGCTCCCGAGGGGTTTTGTGTGTTCTGGAGCAGGGTTTACCTGAATGTGCTCTCTGAAGCAAAGATATTATTGCCATCATGTATGATTAGCAGTTAATAAGTTCATAAGTAACAATCAATTCAACAGCTCTATCACTGAAATATGTATTAAGAATAATAGGAAATTAAATCTGTCTGTCCGGCCCTCATCGTTGTTGAACTCACTGGCTTTGGCAACCTGACTTGCTAGATTTGCTGTGCTCATATCAAACATGCTATTTATAATAAAAAAAAACAAAAAAAAAAACACACACACAAAAAAAACCTATGCAATGTCCTTTAAATCGTATTCGCAAATAATGGATTGAGTTTTTATATTTTGTCTTTTTTTTTTTAAAATAATTCTTTATTTTGGTCATGCATGAAATATAACATTATATTGGCAGTCTTGGCAGCATTACAAGAAGAAAGGTCAGCGTATTTAGTCTACCAGACATATAATCTGCACTTTTAAATTTTTTATAACTCTGGCTTAATTGTGAAATATTCAGAGACTGGCTTATTAAGTAAGTAAAGCCGTTATGCTGAGGAGAGAACATGAAGATAAACAGTAGTGTAACTGTGACTGCATTATACTAAACAAGATGCTTCTAGCCAAACAGACTGATTCTACATATGTAAGCGTGTGATATTGCAGAAGTAAACTTCTAAGCAAACTCAACTTGGTATCAAGCACCCCATTGCAGTCCGTGATATGAGGTTTTGGACATATGAATAAGATAAGGGTTCAATAATAGAGAATTCAGCTCAGTTTGTTGTGGTTAGGGGTTGTAACGTCCCGCAGGGGGAAATTGTATGGAGACAGGACCCTGTACCCACTTTCAGGATAAATTATCCCCACTCAGCCTATGCTCTCCGGTCTTCCAGCACAGTCCAACCGGTTATTATGGTGGCGTTATGGAGACTGTGCAATAGAGGCAGCTGTGGTGTCAGTCCCAGTGAGGGTCGTGCTTCTGTCTGGCTTGCGCAGTCTTGGTGCTTCTTGGCAAGGGTTGTTTACTCTCTGGTGCTTGGTCCGCCTCTGCCTATGAGGTCGGGATAACTTGCATTCCCATCGTTTGGGTGGACTCTGGTAGAGTTTCCTTGTGTCGATGAGGTGGGTTGTCGTGTGGTAGGACGCTTGGCAAGTGTGCGTCTGGCTCCCTCAGCAGTGTCCACGCGCCCCTCAGCAGTGTCCACGCGATCGGTTAGTGTAGCATGCCAGTTGGCAAACAGGACATCCAGCTTTTCCTAGAGAGAAGGTGCAGGGATGCACATTGCCTCTGCCATTTTGGGTGCAGTACGCGGGCTGCTGCTGGAACTCACTACCGCTTCACCACTTGATGGTGCCAGGATATCCCTCACCGGTGGGGGGTGAGAGAGTCTTCAGGCTTCATGTGTAACTGCATGTCGAGGGATCGCCTGCCTACCCTGCATGAGTTGTTAGAGGGCCTCTTGTAGGCTGCGCGTCTTCTCTTACTGTCGCCGCCGGTCTCGGTCAGGTACATGAGTAAGACCAATACTGCTGGGTTCTTCCACCTCCAGGACATGTTGGCAGTGTGATTTCAGCTTAAATTGTGTTGTAATTTTAGCCACTTTAGAGTGCTTTCTCACAGAGCACTCAAGATGTGACTGTTCAGCGCGCCAGTCTCCGCCCCCTGTGTATTTTTATTTGTTTTATCTTAATATGCTTTTTTTTTTTTTCTCTACTTTTCTGTATGCTGAATAGTTAGTACAAAACTTAATAAACGCCATAGCAGCAATCATGGAGCAAATGTGTTTTGGGAGCACTTAAAAAAATTATACAAATTTTAAAATAATTTTAACATCAAGCACCGTAGCAACAGGTTGATTAACAAGCATTAACCTCAATATTGACAGTGGGGAGTGAGTATCTCAAACCATGGCTGAAAAAAAGGGGATTAAACAGCGCTTTGGAATTTGTTGGCACTTTGTACACAATAGTAATAATAATAAATCTGATATACTGTATATAGTAATAAAGTTAAAAAGAAAAAAAATGTGTATGTTAAAGCTCCTTTCTAAAGTCAATTCAAAATAATATTGGTGATGGATGAACAGGGACCGACTTGTTAATCGTTTTAATTAACTCCCTTTTAACCAGGTTTCTTTAGTACTTGGACTCCAGAGAAGATTATTGGATTATATTAGAGATGAAAACTGTAAAAATGAACATAGTGTGGCCATTCTACATTTAATGGCAACACTGCAATTAGTATAGCATCCAGCACATTAAATGCAAGGTTTCTATTAAAGATCCGGTTCTCCAGATTAACTTAATGTGCGCACATCCTGTTGCGGGATTCTTTGAAGGAGTGAATGTGTGGCTTGTATTTCCTTGCAGGGATTTTTCTTTCTTTTCTGTGTGATTCAGGAAAAGGACATGGTAAATCTCAAGTCTTATCACCTTGGGCCAAACACAAGACATGTTTTTCTCACTTGTTCTCGAGATCTTGTGCTTACAAAACAATTTATTTATGAGGTGCCCACATAAACTACAGCAGAGGCTTATGGGAGGAAAACATTGTTGTGCCGTGAGTATACATTCCTAATGGGGAGTTGCGATAATGCAGGAAGAAAGGGTGTAAGTAGCCTAATGTTTCATTGGAAGTGCTCTTCCATTTAAGATGAAAGCAAGCAGCGAGCGAGTATGTGGGTTGTTAATGACATATGTTATGAAACAAGCATTTTAAATTATTCATGCAAGTCTGAAAGGCTGAATTTACTTTGAGAGCAGTTTCCTTAAAGGGCTACTAATCGTTGAAATATGATTTCAGTTAATGAAACACCCTGTATTAACCGCCCTCACCTACAGAATCATCTCTTCAATATGGTAGCTGTGTAATTTGATTGTAAAACAAACTAGCAGGCAAAATAGAGATCTGAAAGTGAAAAGGTGTCTGGTCATTCAAAGTATTTTATACAGAGCACTCTTGAAATCTCTGGGTTACATATGATGTGTTTGACAAAGGACCTGTTTACTTTCACCGCTATTGACTTATGTGTATACATATGTTTGTATGTATGTGTATCGGATACATCAGGGCTTGACAAATTTGCTTGAATTCTAGGAGCCAACTCAAAAAGTTAGGAGCCATTTTTTTTTTTTTTTTTTTAAACTAGAGAAGTAAAATTTACGAGAAATACACAATTCTTATAGGGAATCTGTAGTCACCAGAACCACTACAGCTTAATGTAGTTGGTTTGGTGCCTGTAGCCTGTCCCTGTAGCTTTTTCAATGTAAATGCTGCCTTTTCAGAGAAAACTGGCACGGCATGGGAAAGAAGGTGCGTAAAAACACCCCTCTTGTGATCGGAGGGATGCAGGTACCTAAACACATACATGCATACAAATTGTCATTTTCCTTTTTAGTTTTAATCCACCCAGCCTCCCTACCTTTGGGAGAGCTAAGTGGACTTAACCCTGGGGTCCAGTGGGGCTGCTGTTCCTGTGTGCAAGGGAGCACTGATTTTCCTGCAGCTCCTCTCTGCTCCCTCGCACTGTCTGCAGTGATGCCGGGGCCGAAATCACATCCTATTACGGTCCCAGGCATCATTACACAGCGCGGGGAGCAGAGAGGAGCTGCAGGAAGATCACTGCTCCCTCGCGCGCTGCCCCAGCCTGTCGTGTGCACTCGATCTCCAGGGCGGCCACCTCCATGCTCCTTAGGGCAACCAGCCGGCTCCATTGTTCCTGCCTTTAGCTAAAGGGCTTCAAATCCCAGGCGCCAGGGCAAACTTTCTAGTAGCCATAGCGACCTGGCGCCTGGGATACATAACTTTGAAGAATGTCATGGGAAAATAATGCCATTGGTGGTTTTGGAGAATAAAATGACAAAATATTGATGGTTGACAAAGGGGCTGAGCAGAGCCCTCCTCCCAACATGTCAGTAGTGGAAGGTAGGGGCCTATATCATTGAAATATTTAAAGCACCATAACCACTACAGTGGGCACCTAGTAGACCCCAGGTAGAAAATCACCCTTTGACATCCTTTTATTTACCTGCACATGTACCATAAGCCACACACTTGTGTTGTCGGTGGCTGTAAATATGCAGTTAGCCACTACTCTGTAACAGGTATCAGCTTATTGAGTTGTTGCACTTTTTATGATTAGTAGATATGTAGCTGAGGCCTAAACTATGTATTTTGTTTATGGGGTAATAAAAAATCCTATAGTCTTGAATCAGAGGCTTCTATTGGTGAATTTTTTTGCCTCCCATTTCCATTTATCCTAAGTACATTTTAATACATAATAATTTTACGGGGTTCAAAAAACAGTTGAGAAAAACATTTGTATGTTGGTAATCTATTCTTCAAAGCAAAAATACATTTCTGAAAATCCTCTGGCAGATGTAAATGAGGCATCCAGGCAGTAGTATTTATTGGGTTTATGAACTAAAAATGGAAACCAATATGGCATTTTTTTTTTTTTTAATTGAATCTATTGTAACGCCTGATCCCATTGACATCCCAACTTCAAATATGATATAGTTAAAGAGCAGCAGAACTTTTTATAAAACAAAATTAAGACCGTATTTTGAGAAAATGGCTGCCTAAATATTAGAACGGTTTTAAGTTTCTTATGTACTCCACCTCCCCCCAATATAGACAAATATTTAATCTTCAAGAACTTTCCAGAGACACCTAGATCCTTGTTTTAGGTGCCCTGGTTACAGACATATTTAATGCTAACGTTAACAAGATCGAAAAAAAGAAAATGGTCTGTATCTTAAATTCTGCACCCTTATAACTTGGTAAAAACAGAAAATATCGACCTGCAATGTTGCAGAGGTACTTGAACTCAGGTGGCCATTTCAGTATTCCAAATAAAATTTAAAAAAAATCAAAGAATACGAAGTTGAGAACCTTGTTGATTTCAGTTGGAATGGGCCCATGCCCACTTTATACATGGATTTCGTGTAGTATGTGTCTGCTGCGTTCAACTCAGGAAGAGGTGCAGTGCCAGTGAACCACTCATGGACAGCTGTTTCGTTGTTAGTTATATGTATGTATGTGTGTGTGAGTATTTGTGTTTAAACTACAGACTTGGTGCCTGTGGCAGAACCCCTATTCATTCGTATATTTTCCCCGTGTATTGTTTTCCCTGGCTTTTCATGAGTTATGCCCTCTTTCCCCGTTCGGGATCACCATATTTTATGTTTTTAAAGTAAATTATATGACTTGATACAAATAATGGCATGTAAAGAAAGCCCTTCCTGTCCTGGAAAAAAAATATATAATTTGTATAGGAACAGTAAAATTACAGCTAAACACAAACGCCACAAAAGTGTTAAAACAGCCCTGGTCCTTAAGGGGTTAAATGATTGACACATACATACACATACTGTCTCTGCGTGTATTATATATATTAATATTAAAATACACTTAGAATGTAGTTAAAATGCCATGCAGAACTAGAAAATTAACTAAATATCTTTCTCAATTTTTTTTTATTCATATTAAATTTTTATATATTAATATTTTTATATGAAAGGCCTGTTTCTCCTGAACTAAATGATATATAATAAGTGAAAGAGGTGAAATTCTGGTTGAACAGACATATAGCGCAAATTCAAAGTTTTGTTTTGATCACAACTTGTACAACTGCCTCAGCCTTTAAGTGGTTAATAACTTTATTCTTATTAAAATCAAACCTTATGGACAGACGACATTATAAACACTCAAATAACACCGGAAGTTTCTGGCGCTTTATTCACAGCTCTGAGCAGTAAGACAATCACATGCAAGCACCACCACCACCACCTTGCTAGTTCTAATGTTAATACATGTGGGATCTGACATACTGAACATAAAATAGGTGCTAATATGGATTTATATTTTAAAAAACGTTTGTAGGGAGGCTGTATGATTACCAACCAGGCAAGGTGTGGCCTTAAAAAGGTCATAATTCCCAAATAGCAGATAATTTAACAGTGTGACAGCGGTACATTCTTGGTACCAAAATCATTTCATGTAGTTGAAGTGGTTTTAGTGCTTCAAGTGACCCGTTTAATAAACCTACAGATGTACAATGTGGAGACCAAATGTGACCAAAACTTATTTATCCGTATACTTATAACATATAAAGTAATATTATTTTGCAACATTTTCATATACCAAGTTACTAATGGTTTCTCATCTCCTGATGTATGAGGCAGTTATGAGAATGTAAGAAGGATGTCATTTTAGAAAAACGTTTAAAGGTGTTTGATGTAAAGGAGCACACGTCCCCAAAACAATTATTCACTGTATGAAAAATTCTCCCCCTGCAATGTGACCTATGTAAATCTGGATGTACTTTCCATTAATGTACCCAAAACACATGGAATCATTTTATTTTATCACTTTTGTGTATGCAATGTGCAGGTGTTTTACTAGAATGTGATTTAAGAAACATTTGTTCTACTCCTTAACTAAATCTAGCATTCTATTTATTCAGTTAATTTTAGTTGTTGAGTATTTAAATTATCTTTTACATTTCAGATTCTGCTAACACCATGAGCTCTTCTGCTTTAAGATTTGTCATGGTGGTAGGAGTCTGTGTGCATAGTTTCTATTTGATATAATAACTTTTTTGTGCCAGTGGCTAGTTTCACTCCTGGAACAGCCTGGTATTCTGTGATGGACTTCCAAATCTATATCACACACCCCTCCCCCGCTCAGAGCTCTTGCATGCTTGTGACATCAGACAAGGAGTGAAAACCAGGGAAGAAGACCTTGTCTGAGCTGGATTAAATTTTTTGCCTTTTTGATAGGGTGTGTTTTGTTTATTTGGAAAAAAAAAATGGGTGTACAGAGTCAGTAGTGCCAAATAGGGCATATTAAAAATAAGAAAAAATTACAGAAAAACTGGATATAGTAAACCCTTAACAAAGCTGTAAAGTGTGAAAACATTCAGGTGTTCAATGGAACTTGCAACTTCCTGCAAACGGAATTGTGTATTCCCTAAACGTGAATTGAAAGCCACGTTCAAAAAGTCAGGTTAAAATAGCCAAGGTGGAACTGTAGCCAAACTATTATTTGAAGATATTAATATATAAATATATTATCAAATTATCCTGAATATGTGGTGCTTCAGCTAAGCACTGCCATTTTCTTCATATGTTCCTGTTCTTTTCGCAGGTGTTCTGTCCTTGCTTGTAGTGCCTATGTTGCTCTGGCTTTGGGTGATAACCTCATGGGTTTGAACCATGCAGAAAAACTTCTCCAGCAGCCTCGTTTGTCAGGATCCCTAAAGTAAGTGGCAAGTTTCTCAATACTGTGCACAATCTGCATTAATAAAACCCTCTGAAATAATTATTGAAAATTAGATTATTTTTTTTTTTTTCTGATTAAGCACACTGAAACCATACCTCAGGTGTGTAAAGGCACATGTCTATTCAAAACCTGGCATCACCCTGAAAAAAATATTCTGGTGGTTACTGTAAAAACCTGTAACATAAGAATGTTTTTGGTTAAATTAAAGGATGTGGGCATAGCTACTCCAAAGTCTGCCATGACTATTCCTAGGTTTACTTTGGCTGTAAGCTTGCTGTTTTACAGACTTAAATCCTTCAATAACAGCTCCCCTGTCAAGGTCACTTTTGTGTACCATTACATTCTGTCACGTTTTTCACGGATTAATGAAAGTTATGTAACTAAGAGAAAAGTGTGGTGAAAATGTATGAAAAAAACAATGGAAGTAAACTCTGATCACATGACTGTTAAATGTAAAATGTTGGTAAGCAATGAGTTTTCTAAGGACTTAATGCAAATATTTAAGACCTGTAAAAGCTTGGCTTAGTGTCAAATCTTACAGCAAAGCAATGTGTATACAGTAGCAAGGAAAATGATTCATGCAATACATGTGATATGAAGGCTCACAAGAACCATGGCACATTTTGTACTAACAAAGCACTGTACTATGCAATGGAACACAAATGGAAGTGAAGCGGTTACTAAAAACATGCATTCCATTGGTAATTTAATATTTAAAGGCATAATCTTTCATAAAATCTCAATTTCTTTCCTCCCCCTTTATACAATCAATACATGGTAGTTTTTATAGTTTTATATTTAATTATTTACATACAGCTGATGCATTATCTATCAGAAATGGCAAACTGTAGTATAACTGTTTAGCCTTCCCCCTAGCCCCCCCGCCAACACAAACACACAAACACACACACACACACACACTTACTTGACATTCCATACATACTTAACACTAACCATCCATCTCTGCATATTTGCATACCATTGTTAAGTCAAACGAGCAAGTTCAGAGTGATCTATAATGGTATGGCAAATGCAAGAAAGTCTAATGCATCTTTGTGCTCTTGTGGATGTACAGTTAATTTATTGCCATAGGTGAAGGAGCAGGCAAGGTACTCCCAGCATCGAGGTCAACATTTAAGTAAACTGCTTCCCTCTGGTCCAGATTGCTGATGCCCAGTAATGGAGAAGTAATGTAAATGTACTATTCCGGTATGTTCCAGAGGAAGATTTAAATTTTTGTATTTTAAAAATTTTTTTTTTTATTTGACTACTTCATTAAGGTTAGAGCAGGTAATCTGTGTGTGGATATGCGCTATCCATATATATAATCTCATTATAGATATGTCTGGCGAGATACTATGGGATGCTAGAGGATTAGGTTGTGCATCTTTAATATTCGATACATATTATTAAGGCAGTATATTTCAATATAGCAAATGGCAAGTTATCAAGCATAATTGAAGTATAAAACCTAAAGTCATAGCCTCATTTACACAGGGTGTGCAAAAACGGAGTAGTGTTTGGAGACAATAACTTTATAAAATTTTTTTTTGTATTTTATTGAGTTTTCTCACACAACACACTTGTATCACATTATGAGAGAAATATAGTGGTAAAGACAACGGTTTAACAACTGCTTAATCCAGTCTATTCATATAGTATTACATCTATGTAGTACATCTTTTGGGGTTGTTTTAGTAAGGATTCTTGTGGGGACCTGTGTCAAAGGCTGGTATATGTGTAGGTCGCTGTCGGCTTGGCGTCTCCCCTCCTAACAGGGTCTGTTACTTGGTGGTTATATGTGGCTGCAACCAGCTCCCCTCTGGAGATAGGGTTAAACACTAACTATATACAGGATATCCATTTCTACATTGCGCTTCAGCTACGGGGAAGTATGTCAATCACGTGTCGACTGGCCCTTTATGGTCTTACCCTCCCCTGTCAAGCGAGCCCTGTGTCAGGTATCTTTTTAATAGTCTACTTGGAACCTGTGTGGATACCGGGTGGGTCGTGTACTGGCCGTGTGGCGTTCCCTGCTCCCCTGGTGTAAAGTGTTAGCATTTTGTGCTGATCTTGGCCTTTTGGGCCGGCACTGGATCAGTTCTGGACCCTGGCAGGCTGCGGAGGAGTGCGGCCTGGTCTCCGGGGTTAAAGTAATTGTTTCTCCTTCCCTTTGTGTGACTAGGTAACCCTCCGCTCCCCACCTATATTTAATACCTGCCTCTCTGTTGTTTTGCTACAAGTGCTAGTGGCCTTTTGGCCGCCAGCACCGCAAACGGGAGATCCCCATATATAGCTACAGTCGATCCCTCAAATCTGACACTTTTGAGCTCTCTAGAGCGTGACATTATAATGGACCAAGCCGCAGTGTCCTTAGTGACTGCTATAATGTCTCTGGAGGCTTCCTCTGGGCGGTTGCGGCCTTTCTGATCCGGAACGCTTCTGTCACCAGCTCCAGGTCAGTGTCTCTTTTGGCTCCCATGTGGTGCAGCAGGCGGTGTAGGAAGGGCAGGATTTCCTCGCCTGAGATCCGTTCTGGCACTCCTCGAAGTCGGATGTTCTTCCGTCTGTGCCTTGATTTTAGTACTGTCACGCTTCTGGTAAGTATCTGAACTTGGTGGGTGAGCTCGTGGATCTCCTTCTGTGCGGTCTGTAACGTTTGTTCCCTGGTTCCCTCTCTGGCTTCCCCGTCCGCAACCTGTGTGCGAGGGTCCCCAGTTCAGCCTGTGTTGCTCGTAGGTCTGCCTTCCAGACCCGCCTCATTTCCAAGAGGAGGTCCTTTATGTCCCTCTTGGTCGCCGGCGAGGAGTCGTCGTCGCCGTCGGAACCCGACTCACTGTTGGTGCAGCTTGCAGGGGTAGTCCCAGTGGGTTGTTCCGCCTCTCGTGATGCCTCAGAGGCCTCGCTTTCGCTCAACTCCGCAGGCGTCATCTTGGGAGCGACTCGACGAGTAGGTCTTTCGAATGAGAGCCTGATGTCGGGCATATTGTGAGTCTTCTGCGTGTGGGTTTTTTTGTTTTTGCGCCCCATCATGTTGGCTGGGTGGGGGGGTTGTTGCTTGCTACTTTTTGGAGCTTTTTAAAAGTTTTTGTCCACTATTATTTTGTTTCTTTGGCGAAGCACGTCTTGATCGCTGCTCCGTCAGCCCCCCGGAGTCAATAACTTTCTAATTATATTGAACTATTAACAAATATATGATTTACCTGCCAAATCCTACTCTCCATTTTGGCTCAACCTGTATAATATAATATAGAACTCTATTTCCCCAACGACTTAGAACTCACTCTGTTGGGGTAAAAAAATCAGTGTTCATTTCAACAGTTTGTGCAAGTACTAATTTGTGTTTAACGAAAAAAAAAAGACATTGTTAGAGATTGTAGCTGTATTAGTCCAGTGATGCAGATGTAAAATGAAGTAGAGCAAAAAACAAGTCGCAAGAGTGCTGAGAACAGACAACAGCTAAATTAGCCTGACCTTTTATGGGTCCCTGCTCAGTTTTAGCTCATCTTGCGCCATTACAGAGAGAACCACGCCATGCATCTCAGACTGATTCCACCCAATAGGGCAAAACATCCAAAATACAGGCTGCCCTCTGCTCGAGAGATACAGCAACCCCAGACCATCGTTTCAACCTTGTTAGGCATCATCAGTGAGGTATAGCCAATATCCCTCAAGGCACCATGAGCAAGGGGTCCACATCTGGATTACCCCTTAAAACTTAAGTGTAAAGGGTAATCCAGGCGTGAACCCCTTACTTATGGTTCCTAGAGGGATATTGGCTATACCTCACTGATGATACCTTACAACAGTGGTTACCATCCTTTTTTCACTGGAGTATCCCTTGACAGCCAATTTCCATAAATTGTACCACTCACAGTAGCGAAATGTTTGCAATTATTAGAATTGCTCTTATTTCAAATGTATACCTTTTTTTCTCTGCCCTAGACTCTCCTTGCTTTTCCTTTGCCCCAGTTATACGTATGTAACACTGCATCTGCATGTGTGTCAGTGTTTGTATGTGTGTCTGTGTATCTACATGTGTGTCAGTGTGCATCTGTATGTCTGTGTCATTGTTTGGATCAGTGGATTTGCATGGTGCCAGTGTTTTGTATCGGAGTGTATGTACATCTATGTATGTCAGTGTTTGGATCTATGTATCCACATATGTGGCAATGTTTGTGCATGGTGCCAGTGTTTGTTTGTATTTGTCTCTTTGTGTATGTATGTATAATGTGTGTGTGTCAGTGTTTGTATCTGCAATCTGCACTGTATAATATATACATACTATACAGTGCAGATTTCAGATAATCAAACTGACACACATTCAGATTCAGACACACACTGCCACACATGCAAATACACAGATACATACACTGCCACACGTGTAGATATACTGAAACACTGACACACATGCAGTTGCAAAGGCACATCAATACACACGCTGACACACATGCAGTTGCACAGATAAAAACACTGAAGCACATGCAGATACAGACACACCGATACACACGCTGATATGCATACAGATGTACAGACACAGATAAACTCTGCCACATATACAGTTACATACACATCAATACATACACTATCACACATGCAAACACTGCCACTGATACAGATACACAGATACAAACACTGACACACATACAGTTGCACCGACAAATTGCCACACATGTAGATGCACAAACACTGACACACATACAGACTGACACAGATACAAATTGACACATATAAGAAAATACAGATACACAAATACATACATTGCCACACATGCATATACACAGATATACAAACACTGACACATATGCAGTTACACAGACACACTGGCACACATGCAGATACACAGATACAAACACTGCCACACATATAGATACACACACTGATACATACAGATACACTGCCACACATGCAGATACACATATAGAGATACACTGCCACACATGCAGATGTACATGTAACACTGACATGCACACTGATAAAATGACACACAGATATAAATATTACATACATACCCAAAAACACACATACAATTAAACAATTTAGCCAACCCCCAGTTGTCTAGCTTGTTGGTGCAAGAGGGGGGCTCCTGCTGGCTGGGGCTGTTAGGAATTGGGAGCTTGCTCTTCTCCCTGTCCGCCCCCTCTTATCTGTTTCCAGTGAGACTAGCTCTGGGTCAGCTGGGAGGAAGTGACCGGCTCTCGCTTCCTCCCAGCACTCACTGAAGATCAGAAGGGGCCTGGTCGGTTTGTTAATTGTGACAGTGTGGGAGGGTGGTGGGACAGTGACCGTAGGGATGGGGGCAATGTGGAGGAGCAGTGAGTAGGAGAGTGACAGTGGGGATGGTGACAGTGTGGTTGGGCAGATTGTAGGAGAACGACAGTGGGGACTGTGCATCTGTGTTGGGGGCAGTGTGGTGGTGAGTGACAGTGTTATGGGGCAGTGTGTTGGAAAGTGAAACTGGGGGTGGTGGCAGTGTGTTGGAGAGTGAGTGGGGATGGTGACTGTGTATTGGAAAGTGAAAGTGTGGGTGGATGGCAGGGGTGTTGAAAGGTGACAGTGTGGTGGGGCATTGTGGGAGAGTGACAGTATGTGTGATAGGGTGGATGTGTGGGGAGGGTGACTGAGTATCTGTGACAATGGGGAGGGTGGCAGTGTAGATGTGACAATGGGGACGGTGGCAGTGTAGATGTGACAATGGGGAGGGTGCCTGTGTGGATGGGTGGCAGAGTGTGGATGTGTGGCAGTGTGTGGGTGGATATCTTGGGTGCGTTGGGGCATGATCTCCTCTCCCCCAGCCTACCATGCTGTGAGCTCCTCTCTTCCTGCCTACATGCCTGACAGGAGGTGTGCTCTACTTTGTCCCAGTGTCCCGTGCGAAGCCTCTGTCAGTCCTCCAATAAGCCGCGACACAGGGAGAAGGCAAGCTGAGGGTTACATCACTCGGCTGCCAATCAAATTTAGGGCACGGATCCGTGTGCAGCTGCGGATGTCGGTTCCGCCCCTTTGGCGTACCCCCTGGGGAATTGAATTGCACCCCTGGGGGCATGCGTACCACAGGTCCGGAACACCTGCCTTACAAGGTTGAATCGATCGTCTGGAGTTGCCCGATCTCTTGTGCAGAGGGAACTTGCTGGCATTTCGATCTGGACTGCCCGTATGGGTGGGACCAGTCTGATATGCTTCAGATGTGTTCTCTCTGTAATAACACAAATTGAGCTAAAACCAGCTTGAGATCTGAGCGGGAGGCTAATTGAGCTGTTGTGTGTCTTGTAATACTAAAGTTTTTTTTATTTATTTATTTTTTTTTTTTTGGACAAACAAAATGTTGGAATCGCAAGCTTTCGGTAGAACCTCCCTTTTTCAAGTCTAAAGGTTTTTTGACTAAAAACGACACCTAAAATTCAAAGCTGAGTTGTGATACTGGGGTTAAAATGACATGAGTACAGATAAGACGCAAGACTGCCCAAAAATAGAAGAATCATTAAGTAAGGAGGGAGGAGACATAAAAATACCAAAACCAAAGTGTAAAAAAGTGTGTTTTTTTTTTTTTTACACAGATGAAGATTGCTTGAATTCACATCCAAGAATCCAGAATATGCACCTATGCTCATATACACATGTACAGTGAGGGAAAAAAGTATTTGCTCCCCTGCTGATTTTGAACGTTTGTACACTGACAAAGAAATGATAATTTTAATGGTAGGTGTATTTTAACAGTGAGACAGAATAACAAAAAGAAAATCTAGAAAAACGCATGTCAAAAAAGTTATACATTGATTTGCATGTCAATGAGTGAAATAAGTGTTTGATCCCCTATCAATCAGCAAGATTTCTGACTCCCAGGTATCTTTTATACAGGTAACGAGCTGAGATTAGGAGCACGCTCTTCAAGGGAGTGCTCCTAATCTCAGCTCATTACCTGTATAAAAAAACACCACAGAAGCAAGCAATCAGATTCCAAACTCTCCACCATGGCCAAGACCAAAGAGCTGTCCTATGATGTCAGGGACAAGATTGTAGACCTACACAAGGCTGGAATGGGCTACAAGACCATCGCCAAGCAGTTTGGTGAGAAGGTGGCAACAGTTGGAGCGATTATTCACAAACTGAAGAAACCACAAATCACTGTCAGTCTTACTCGGTCTGGTGCTCCATGGAAGATCTCACCTTGTGGAGTTTGTGTTCATGAGAAGGGTGAGGAATCAGCCCAGAACTACACAGGAGGATCTTGTTAATGATCTCAAGGCAGCTGGGACCAAGAAACCTTAATGACTTGGAGAGGGTGTACAAACTTGGTGGCCAATTACAAGAAACGTCTGACCTCTGTGATTGCCAACAAGGGTTTTGCCACCAAGTACTAAGTCAAAGGAGTCAAATACTTATTTCACTCATTGACATGCAAATCAATTTATAACTTTTTTTAAAAAAAACTTACATGCCTTTTTCTGGGATTGTTTTCTTTTGTTATTCTGTCTCTCACTGTTAAAAATACACCTACCATTAAAATTATAGACTGATTATTTCTTTGTCAGTGGGCAAACATTCAAAATCAGCAGGGGATCAAAATACTTTTTTCACCCTCAGTGAGTGTGTTATATAGAAATGCACACCCACATATAATCGCCTACATGCATTTGAGTATGGGAAAACATATTTCTGTACAGAATACTTTATATGTTGGTATATTAATAATATACCAATCCAGGGCCCTTCACCTTCTCTACACACACTAAGACAACCAGAAACCCCACAAACCTCATCACAATACCCTGCCCTTTACCCTCACTTACCAAAATTAATTGTGCACTCTGGAATGCCTGCTCCATCTGCAGTAATTTAAAATCAACAACCATACACGACTTTCTCATCTCAAACTCACTCACACTGCTTGCACTTACAGAGACCTGGCTGTCCCCCCTCTGATAGCGCTACTCCTGCCTCTTTATGTTTTGGTGGGCTACAATTCTCTCACACTCCCAGACTCAACTGTAAAGGAGGCGGCGTAGGCATCCTTCTCTCTCCTCAATGTACTTTTCAACCAATCCTAACTCCCCCTGCCCTATCCTTTTCTTCTTTTGAAGTTCACACTGTCCGCCTATTTAAACCCACTCCTTTAAGAATTGCTATCATCTACCGCCCCCCCGGTTATCCTAGACTATTCATTGAGCACTTTTCTTCCTGGCTTTCCCATTTCCTCTCATCTAGCACTCCTTCCCTTATACTTGGGGATTTCAATATCCCAATCAATAACCCTAATTGCACTGATGTATATTTCCATTGCCCTTCAAACATGCAACTGTAACCCCAATTCTAAAGAAGCCCAATCTTGACCCTAACTCCCCATCCAACTATCGTCTTAACTCGCTACTGCCTTTTGCATCCAAGATCCTTGAAAAAATTGTGTATGCGAGATTGACAGACTTCCTTGAGTCCAACTCTCTGCTAGACCCGCTTCAGTCTGGTTTCCGCGCTAAGCACTCTGTGGAAACGGCACTGACCAAAGTATCCAATGATCTACTTGCTGCAAAATCTCGTGGTCACTACTCTATCCTAATTCTCCTTGACCTGTCTGCGGCTTTTGACACTGTTGATCATCAACAGCTTCTTCTCATTCTCTGCAATATCGGTCTACGAGATATTGCTCTCTCCTGGTGCTCCTCCTACCTCTCCCAGCCCTCTTTCAGTGTTTCTTTCTCTGGCTCTGCTTCTTCTCCCCAACTCCTCTCTGTTGGTGTCCCCCAAGGTTCAGTCCTTGGTCCTCTACTGTTCTCCACCTATACTGCCTCCCTTGGTAAACTCATTAGCTCCTTTTGGCTTCCCATATAATTTCTATGCAGATGACACGCAAATCTACCTGTCCTCTCCTAATCTCTCCCTGTCCCTCTTGACTAGTGTCTCTGACTGCCTCTCTGCTGTTTCTAACTGGATGGCTGCCCACTTCCTTAAACTAAACTTGACCAAAACTGAAATTCAGGTCTTTCCTCCCTCGAGTGTTGTTACTCCTGTGTCTCCCTCCCTCCAGGTCAACGATGCTACCATCAGCTCCACCACGCAGGCTCGCTGCCTAGGTGTTCTCTTTGACTCCGACCTCTCCTTCAAACCTCATGTTCAATCTATCGCCAAATCCTGTCATTTCCATCTCAAAAACATTGCGCGCATCCGCCCCTACTTAACGCCACATGCGACTAAGGTGTTGGTCCTTTCCACTGTCCTTTCTCGCCTTGACTACTGTAATCCGCTTCTCAGTGGTCTTACATGCTCCCAACTTGCGCCGTTACAGTCCATAATGGAAAATTATGGAAAATTTTGGGACATGATGCTTACACACGGACGGGCCGAAAGCCATCTTACATGTGCTAATATTAACATAATGTTAAACTTTTACTATACGACACAGTTTTTTTGAAAGTTGTACTGTTCAACCAATTGACTGTAACATGCTCTAAGCAAACTATTCAATAAAAACATAATAAATAAAAAAAATCTCCCCCCACCTCCTCCCCCCCTTTGTGAACACTGTTGTAAAAGTATATAATTACCAATAATACTAATATTACACTGTTTATATATTTACCAGTGCCTTTGCCATTTGGGTATTTAAAAAAACAAACAAAAAAAACCCATTTAAACTGAACTCACATTATGTGCAGCACAGTTTTTACTGCATCTGCTCAAGCATGTGATGTTCAGGATTAGTGAGCACAAAGTAAAAATACATTGTCACAGTTGTCACGTCTGCACCATAAGGTATGTCTTTTATCTCTTAACAATTAGGGGTTGTTATCTCGATCCATCCCTTAGTCAGCCACATGAAAACCATTTGGGATTTCCTTTTTCCTGTCCCGGTAGCACTTCACAGACTCATGTATTAAGACAAATGAGAAAATGTATGTATAAATTATACAGGGCTCAAAATTCACACGGTCGCGTTTAGCTGCCGGTGAGTGGAAATTCAACCTTGGTGTTTGTGCAGTGGGTACAATACTATGTGTCAAGATTATCAGGGTCATTTAGTCACCAGCACTAACTAATCCAGCATGCATTGCCCAACTCATGCAGAATGATGGATTTACAGGAGCGCGCTCAAGTTCCTCTTTCGATTTCATATGTCAAGGGACAGTTACAGTTTACTACTGTGATTTGCATTGCCCCTTTACTTCACTGTAGTGTTACATGTGGGAACAACCCTGTGTTTTAATCGAAGAAGAAAAAATTTTTTTTTTTAATTATTTTAGAGAATTTTTCATTCCAAGTCCTTTTTAATTTTTTGTTCATTTTAATGACCCCTTTTAGTCCCTCATCATTGCAGTTTGTATGAAAGGATATTTCAGGGCATAACTGTGAAGTTTAATGGGGAAAGAGTTGAGATCAAGGGGGTCCTGTGTCCTGGTAAGGAGTGACCCCTTGGTGTGAGGCACTGAACCAGAATTGGTCATTTCCTCACTTCAGTTTTATGTCCCACACTGACAGCTTTGTAACAGATTGATTTTGTAGTTCCTGTAACAAAAGATAATATAAACCTTGCTTTTTTGTACTTGATAAAAGCTGTACTAGTTTACATTCTAAGTAACTAGTTTATCAGTGATGGCTGTGCTTGGCACCCTAGATATGTGGGGAACTATAGTCCCTATGATGCTCAGCCAGCTTTTTGTTTGTGGTTGTTTGCATGATACTCAGACTTAAAGGGTGTTAAATGATGGCAATTGTTAAATGACTGCAATAGATCACATATCAAATGTAAACCTTAGCTTGTTTAGCAAACATTTTATCAAAAGAGAACTTTTAATGCACTGTTGAAATGCAGAGAGTTATATAACATAGTATGGGTACAACATATACATTTCCCATATTATTTAAATAAATAAAATTCTACTTCCTAACAGAATGGTCGATGCCTACGTTCTATAAGTCATCTGGTCCATAAATGCATTCTGTCTCTATTGAATACATAGTTCACTCTGAAAATTTGAGAAATATTCTCAGCCATAGTAAGAATGCCCATGTTTTTCCAAAGCCTTAGAAGCCAAACTGGGCCTCTGTGTGCTTTTTTCAGGCTCAAATTTGGTCATGATGAGTAGGGGGAGGAGAAACCTAGATCAGACATTCCAAAAATGCTTTCAAGTAAGCTAAGACCTCCTGCATAGCCTTTCTGATGTGAGCTTGTTTGTCAGAAGTGGGGTAGCAGCATGTTCACATTTATGGTTCTCTTTTTTGCTTTTTTTGTTTAGAGAAAGTTGAAAATATACAGGCCAGAGTAGCTGAACTGAAAACATAGTTTATGTAGAGGTTTTTTTTTTTTTGTTTGTTTTTTTCAGTTCCGCTTTTTTTTTTTTTTTTAACCATAAATTTGGAATTCACATTTAATTATTACTTTAGTGAATAGCCATGCTTGTCTGTCTGTCGACCCAGGAGGGTTGAAATGTTGGTTTAATTTGTTGATCCTGTGCATACAGACTTTTTTCATAGGAAATACTGTGAGTGCTCCTTCATTGACCTGTTGTATATTTTAACACTAGGTAGCACCTAGGTTAGTTCTGTTCGTTCATTTTTTAGTGAGATTGACAGAATTGGGACATTTTAATTATTTTTTAATATAGATATACAGATAATTTACACATCAGTGGAGCAAGTAACTCTTAATATTTAAATGTTTTTAATAATATAAATCGATGTACATTACCTATTGGCTGTGCTTGTATATATGTACCAAAATGTGCACAGTTGCCCTTATTGTCCCTCTCCATCTCCTTCCCATTGTACACCTTTTTAAAACTTAGAGTGATTTTAAAAAATGTTTTATATTGATATGTGAAGGTAGTTTGTTAGTGCATAACCAATCGGGTGAAATATGTAATCACAATGATCTTGATTGAAAGATATCTGTATATCAAAAAGTCATGCATGAATATTGAGTATTGACAATAAAAGTGACCACACAGTGGTTCTGCAAAATCTCTACCCCCATCTAGGGATATTGGTGTGTCCTATCAAGGACTGGAATGTTAAGTATGCAGTGGAAATGGGAGCTATTTGACCCCTGTGACTGGACAGGTTAAAGGTCACAACATTGTTACATTACAATGCAACTCTGAGATGTTCACTGTAGCCTAAAATATGTTGTCCATATTGTTTGGCAGTCCTACTGCAACTTAACATTTATTGCATATGATGTTTGGGGATATAGACAACCGATTCACTTATGTGGCTTTTTTATTTTATTTTTATAATTGTGCGTTGTAGATTTCTGGGTCATCTGTATGCTGCCGAAGCTCTGATTTCTCTGGACAGGATATCTGATGCAATCACTCATTTGAACCCTGAGAATGTCACAGATGTGTCCCTTGGGATCTCCTCCAATGAACAGGAGCAAGGTTAATGAAACCACACTTGACTAAAACCATGCTTTTATCTGCCTACCTCATAGAAGTGGTGATTCACATGTGTAGCCGCACAGCCTTTCCAGACTCAGTACTGAATAATTTATTTGCAAGGTGTATACATGCAGCATCAGAATACTAAACTAATAACTTTATCAGTCAGATGCTTAAAATGCAACGGTTTCTCCCATGAAATCCAGTTTCACTTGACAACAATGATCCATTTTAATATAGGAATTATTTATTCCATTATATCATTGTTAAAATAATGTATTTATCTAATCCATTATCTCAAAAATGTTTATGATGACATTTATCCTTGGGTTAGATGAGAATATTCGTAACCCTCTCTGGTGCAAAGACTAGTGATTACCATAGGTATCCATCTATTCCAGAACCTTTCAATTCTATGCATCGCAGAGTAATTATCAGTTTTATTAGTTGAGGAAACATTCTGTTTGCCATGGATGTTAAATAGATTAGATTGGTAAACTAACTACTAAAAAGTCTTTTTTAAAAAAAAAAAAAAAATTTTTATGTTGTTCCATCTCGATAAAACATGAGCTGAGCAGTCCAAATTGTCTGTTTTTACATGTTTGCTGATCTGTTTGTCTATCTTTCTAATAATTGTAAAGTTTTTCAACAGACTTATCAAATTGTCTCTGCCTTTTCCCCACTTGCGTACAAATCTAACTAGCAAGCTAACATTTCACTTAAATATACTATGACATAAATAAAATATTAATGTCATAATATGCCCCTTCAAGTAAGTAAACTGCCAGGATATTCATTTCATGCTCTGGTCACTGTAGAATGTCTTTATTGGTTGTCATGTTAAGGTTGAGCAGGTATCTCGATGCTGAGCGTAATTTCTAAAACAGTGTGCCACCTAGTGTTTGGAAAATAAGAATAATGGTCTTCAGATTTTCTATTTCTCATCATAACCTTTGGGAAGATTTATATTGCTTTAGCCATTTTGTGAAATATGATTTGTTCCGTGCATACATAATCCTTATATTTGTTTACATTTGTATCATTATTTTACATGTGTGTATCATTAGTATTTTGTTTAAATTGTGTGTGTGTGTATATAGAATTTTTGTAAAGTTTTAAAAATGTTTTATTGCTTTTCTTTTCAAGCTCTCATGGTATATTTGCAATTTATCTAAAATGAATTGGCATGGTACATACCATATCCAATTCACCAGTATTGTAGCCACATCATAGTGCTGATCGAGTCATGTTTTGATCTAGTCTTGTCTATTAAGTTCTCAAGAATGAAACAAAATTTACCAAAAAACTAATGTGTAAATATTATCAAAGTCTTTAACCAAGAATGCTTTTGATTTGTGACTTTGTTAACCTTATTTACAGAAGTACTACTTGAAAAGGAACGGTTTCTGCGGTTGTTATTTTTGCTGGAAGTAAATTTTCCTGCCATATTCCAGATTATTTCTAAATTCCGAGTCATTTAGAGACTATACCAAAAATACACAAGTGTACAAAAAGTGCTGTAAAATGTATTGCAGTAACATAACTTACTCCGAGGCATCCATTAACCCACAAATGATAAAATACAGTTTGCCCAGTACTTTGTTAAATTCACTTTTTTTTTTTTTTCCTTAAATATGTTTTTAGGATCTGACAAGGGGGATAACGAGCCCATGGAAATTGGTAAGTGTTTATTTAAATATTTTTGTGAAAATTAAAAAAATCTCTTGGTAAACTATCTTGAACATGTCGTTATTAATATGACCATATAGCACCAACATTACACACAGCGTTTTGCAGTTTTTATGTTTTGGATATAACTGCAAACAAGTAAGACACAAACTATTTCAAGTGTCAACAAGAAACAAGTTGCTCACACAAGTTCACAACATAGAAATGTTTAAAAAGACAAAGCAAAAGCATGTGAGTAATAATACCTACAAGTGAATGTACTGTAAAGCACTGGTAGTGAAAGGTAGGAGAATGAAGTGGACTGTTTAAATATCAATTATGGCCTCAATTTTATATTTGTAGATAAAGGTTTAAAATGATTTAGTATTAGAAGTTATTTTTGGATGTATAATTATATATTTTTATAATAAATATATATTTTTTATGTTTTGAAAATAAATCCTTTTTTATTCAAAAATCTATGAAATCAAAGCTTTATGTTAGAAGAGAGGTAGAAGACAATGTTAAGGAATGAAAATTACCTAGGAAGGCTACAGCTTTAGGCTGATATTACTTTTAAGGGATTTGAGACAAAGGGAACGTCCTATGGAGTGAGGCATTTTTTTTTTCTTGATACAATACATAAATACATGGTGTATTGTACAGTCTAGCATTATAATAAAATATTGTTTTTGGAAATACCAGAGTATTGTTGGATTTTTTTTTTATTTTTTTTTAAATATATGGATGGGGACCATACAATGCAGTGCCTGCACTCCTTTCCCTGGACAAACACTCACTAGAATAAATTAAATCATTTTAAATAGTCTGGGGCAATTCTTATCTTTTTATTTTTAGGATTAGGGTGGGGTACAGAGGCTCCGATAGTCTCCCTAAGCAGTTTACTGTGTGATCTCACTTACATGATCTGAGCGGGATGTAAACTGGGTGTCTGCATTTCGTTATCCTACTTTACATCCAACCTTGCCTGAAATGATGGAGTTCACAGGTGGTTTGATTTGGAAATGTTCTCAGTGGTAATCAGGCACGTGATGCATTTTCTTTATGCGAGGAAAGAATTTTGAGTTTGTACTGCAAAAATCCAGATATTTCTGACACCAAAAATATGCCTAGATGACTGAGTAAGGATTGTCATATCTGGAAAAGTGCATACATCTCGTCCTGTGCACATTTAAGGTCATTTTTAGATATTCTCTAAAAAAAAAAAAATTTTTTTAAATCTTTTGTATTTTTAAGAAATCACTTTTTTTTTTTTCTTCTTCTCTACCAACCAGTTGAGAAAATCAAACACTTAATTGTTCTTCTTGTAATATTCTACTACCCAAATGTAATAAGGAAAAATCATTGAAACTGTGAATCCCCTAAGCAATTCAGTTCTGCTAAAAAGTGGAATAAAATTACTTTATGATTTGGACAGTTTTGCTTTGTTTTTGTTTTTGTTTTTGTTTTGTTTTTAGACAGAGATTGTTTTTCAGGCTACTCTAACTCCAAGGACATGCTTACTTTTTCTGGGGAAAACCTCATGATACATTAAAGAATTATTTGTAGTCATGGAAGAACCTTCTCCAAAAAGCAGATATTTTCCTGAAGCCAGACATGTAGTTTGAAGACTAAAATTCTTCTGGAAAGAAAGGGCAAAAACTTCAAAAGACTGCTGGTCTCTTCAGATTTTGAAAAGATATTGTCTGTAATCAAAAAGAAACCTCTCCACCTCAGTTTCCTCTACCAGCTTAGAAGAAATCTTGTACACAGAAGTAAACAAATTAAGGAAAAGACGGTTGTAGAAAGAGTTTAGCAGATTGTTTTTTGGTTTATTTTTCAGGAACATATTCAGGGATACATATGGCTGATTCAGACCTATTCTCGAGCACAAGAGTGTAAACAAATTTATCCCAAGTATATTATTTCTGATGTAGATAATTCAGTCTCACCTTAATTTTTCAACCAAGTGATTTTGTTGTCTCTTGATCCAAGACTCCTTAATTCACATTCTTCACACTCTCATTACAACAGTTCTCAGAAAATACCTGATATCTGCAGGTCATCTGTCATTTCCGATTTGCAGTTCTTACTTTTGTATCTAGATGATTGGTAAGTCAAAACCAGTTCAGCAAACAAACTTCAGCAACACATATAGACTGTAATTGTAGTCTTACAAAAGACATGGATGATTGATAAATTGGTAGACGTCTTAGATGAACGCAACAGGCTTAACTTGGATTGGATTCTGTCAGGCAAAAAAAAAATAGCCAAGTAATAGCTAGTCTATTAAGATTGGTTCTTCATCTCTATACAGCAAAAGAGCTTTTGAAAATGCATTCTGGATGGCTCTGCAGAGCATTTCAGCTTCATCTGTTGAACAAGCTTGTATTATTAAAAACACAACTACTATGGCTTACCAAAATCACCAGTGAAGCACCAACTCTCTCCGCAACCTGTAGGAGAGGATTATTCTATGAGCAGCAGCTCATTTGTCAAGCTTCCAGACCTCCTACATCAAGGGTTGAGAGAATGTCTTGGCAGATGCTCAGTAGGAGTTCTCGCAAGCATGCTGATTGGTCTCTATCTAGTTTTCATTCAAAAACCCTTAATTTATGGTCAACCTTGGGAATAGCTTTGACACAGAACTGGAAGGATTGGTTCCTCGCATCCTTTTTCTGTCCAGAAAACAGACTTCCTCAACACCATATCATTTCCCTGTAGTTTCAGACTGGATTACAACTTTCCTCAAGTGGCTTTGAGCCTAAATATTTAATCCTATATATTGTATATCGGATATATTACCAGAGTGGAAAAGGTTAAGCTATCAGCAGTTTTACCCTGTTTGAGAATATCCTGATTCACAGACCTTCTTTTACTGTTCATGGCTCACCATTGGAGTCATCCTCCCAGCCTAAATATTCTGGATTACCAGCTGATAGATGATCAACTGGAGAGGTTTGAACTGACCTACGTCTGAATGCTTTCTTCTAACTTCCGAAGGCATTAATCCGGAAAATGTTGATAACCTATTACATGAGTCATTTATTGGTGCATGATATGAAGATTCAGATTATTCAGTTTCTGCAGTTGGATTTCTCAAGGGAAACTAAGCACTTTTCTTATACCAATTTGGTCTCTGATCTTGTAATTTCTTAGAGCCATCTCTGACATAATGTCAACAGTTTGTTCCATGGTGTATCCTTGACCTCTAAAACGCGTCCTTACAGCCCTATGTCAGCATCCTTTTAAACCCATGCAGGATTTTTTGTTACATCTTGAGAAACGCAATGCGTTGTAGCAGTCTTATCTTCCAAACGACTAGGAAAAGTTAACATCTGGCATACTAAGAGTCTTTTAATTATTTAGACAAAAACCATAGTATCCTGAAGCCTTTACCCTTCTCAAGCCTAAAGTCACACTTATCAAGGACATTACCTACCTCTTTGCACATTCCCAAGAATGCTGGCTGCAAAGGCAAAACTGGAAATAAAATACTGGAAAAATATTGCACCTTTTTGTTTTTGTACAACAAAGACTATTCCAAATGTTGACAAGCTTCAAAAACTTATTTGGATTAGGGAGGGATTATTTCTCCAGTTTATTAATCGTTTGGATCCCCTGAGCCATCAGAGCTACTTTATTAGGTCCATGGTAACATCATTGGCTTCTCCATTTTCAATGGAACCGATTTGTAAAACTGAACCTTGGTTATATTTGCACTCCTTTATAAAGTGTTACAGATTGGAAATCCTGTGCTGTGTTGTCTGTTGTGTCCTGAATTTTGACCTTCCCTTCAGTAAATCTTGTTGTATCCTAGAAGTATTGTACAGGGGTTGTCTGTATGAAAAATGGTCGTTTTTTTTTGTTTGTTTTTTGTTGATCAGATGATCCTTTCTTCAAGTGATTTTGTATTGTTGCTGTGTTTCCCAGTGTCTTTTTTTTGGGTGAGAGCTTGATGGTTTATGATACTATTATACGGGATGAAAACCGGGAAAAAGAGTTAGCGCTAAATAACAATTGGGGCAGCAACCCTCTAAGGGAATCCCTCAAAAACAAGAAAAAATAAATATAGGAGATAAGAGAGCCAGAGAGACTTTATATCAAACAGTAAGAAAAGATAGTCCAAATAAGTCTTATTTAAAATGCTTTTATTGGGATCAGAGTTTATAAGGTGCTTGGTCAGGAACAATGTCCTCATCCGTGTGGATCCACTCATATGCAAGAGATAAAACAAATAGAGAACCAAATAGTGCAGCATGTACAGTAATAAATCAATCCCCGCTTAAGGGATATAGGGTAAACTTCCTCCGTCAAGGCTATGTTTAACACTCAAATAAAGAGACAATCAATAGTGCTCACTGACTAAAATGATCCAAAAAATGTATAAACTGGTACTCCCAAGAGAGGAGCAGGCCAACTGCTCCTTGATGATAGCGTTGGTGGTATGATCCCCACCTAGGATTACTTGGAGTGCAGGGTGATAAAATGCCAGGTAAAAAACAATCCGAAGTGGCACAAGTAAAAAGTGACCGAATCATCTTTAATATATAAATATATAGTATAAAATATCCACAAACGCGTTTCGCCAATACGGCTTCTTCAGTATGGAATAGTGACCTATTACCTGGCAGGAAAGGTTTAAATAACAGTGCAAATCCTTGAAATTGGCACCAAAATTAGGGACAGCCAATCAGAATCTTAGCTGTAAACAATCAAGTACAAACATGTTAAAAAAAAATGTTTCTTAATATATATACAACATGATAGGCTATATAGACATTGTTTGGTTGTAAAACATAAAAAAAGGATATTTTGTGTATATATTCTTGTATCTTGTGGTCACGTGACCAGCATGGGAACCGCATGAGGTACTGGGATATCTAGTACATTAATGACGTCGGCGCGCACTAGGCAGCCGCCGACGTCAAAACCAGTAGGTGGAGTGTAAGCGTCGGCTCGCATATAGTTGCGGCCATCGTAGAGAAAAGGAGATGTCGGCACGCATGAAGCTGCGGCCGTTGTCAAGGAGAGTGGGCATGTCTATTTGTAGAAGACGATGGCATGAAGCTGCGGCCGTCGTCATGGAGAGTGGACTTAGGTGTATGTGGATCTCCCTTCCCCTCTCTCCATCTCTCTCTCCCCTCTCCTCCTCTCGCTCGCGCCCCTTAGCTACACATTTCCTTATATTGTTCATATTACTATCCCATATTACTATCCCTCCTCTATCAGATATATAGGATCACTCTGTCATCCCTAAATATGGCACCATACCCGGCGACACTTTGCAGTGTGCCGGGTACACTCCGATATTCTGACATCACACACGATAGGCTTTATAGACCTTGTTTGGTTGTAAAACTTAAAAAACGAAGGTTATTTTGTGTATATATTATTGTATCTTGTGGTCACGTGAGGGTCGTGGGAACCGCCAGGGGTACTGGGATATGTAGTACATTAATGACGTCGGCGCGCACTAGGCAGCCGCCAACATCAAAACCAGTAGGCGGAGTGTAATCGTCGGCTCTCATATAGTTGTGTCCCTAATTTTGGCGCCAGTTTCAATGATTTGCACTGTTATTTAAACCTTTCCTGCCAGGTATTAGGTCCCTATTCCATATTGAAGAAGCTGTGTTGGCGAAACGTGTTTGTGGATATTTTATATTATGTATTTTTTATATATTAAAGATTTGGTCACTTTTTACTTGTGCCAATTATCTTTTTATACACTTCAGATTGTTTTTTACCTGGCATTTTATCACCCTAAACTCCAAGTAATCCTAGGTGGGGATCATACCACCAACGCTATCATCAAGGAGCAGTTGGCCTGCTTCTCTCTTGTGAGTACCATTTTTATTCAGTGAGCACTATTGGTTGTCTCTTTTTGTTTGAGTGTTGAACATACCCTTGACGGTTGAACATACCCTTGACGGTTGAACATACCCTTGACGGTTGAACATACCCTTGACGGTTGAACATACCCTTGACGGTTGAACATACCCTTGACGGTTGAACATACCCTTGACGGTTGAACATACCCTTGACGGTGTTTACCCCATATCCCATTAGCGGGGATTGGACCGCTGTATGCCTTTTACACTAGAGCTAGCTATAGCTCTTGTACATGTGAGCTTTATACCAGCTTTTCATATTTATTTTGGTTTATTACTGGATGTACTGCACTATTTGGTTCTCTATTTGTTTTATCTCTTGCATATGAGTGGATCCACACGGATGAGGACAGCGAGGACATTTTTCCTGACCAAGCACTTTATAGACTCTGTGATCCAAATAAGAGCATTTTAGATAAAACTCTTTTATTTTGACTATCTTTTATTATTGTTTGATATAAAGTCTCTCTGGCGCAGCCCTTATCTCCTATATTTCTTTCTATTATACGGGATGGTCTGCTATTGTGCAAAGGTTGCCTTACAAACCCCATCTCAGCCTATTTGTTTTGTACTGTAACTATTCATATGAAAAGGCAATTTATAATCGGTTAACATGTTATATTTAAAAATGTGTAAACAAAATTCTGTGTCACCATGAAACTTTGATACATTTCATTGTAATGATATTCAGTACAAGGTCAATTATTTTCTATTTTAGTGGGAAAGCCGATACCTCAGTGCTACCCAAGTTCAGTTACGTCTGCACGAACAATGATGCTGTTCAACCTTGGAAGCGCCTACTGCTTGCGTAGCGAATATGACAAAGCTCGAAAGTGCCTTCATCAGGTGAAATTTTCCTACGATGATTTCAATATTTAGTGCATGGATTTGCTGATTCCAATTCTGCAGATATGTGCCTGTAGTTAAACTGTGTCAACTATAGCTGCAGTATTCCACTACCCTGTGTTTTGCTTCTTAAAGTGTCAGCAATTTGTCTACATTGAAAGGACATAGTTTATTTTTATTATTCTGTTTGTTGAGCAACACAAAGGGGTTGAGGTTCAGATTATGGCATGTTAAAGGAACACTCCAAGCACAATAACCACTTTAGCCTACTGTTGTGGTTATGGTTCCAGGAGTGCGCTGGATCCATCTGTTGTAAGGAGTCAAGCACTAATGAACTGTATGATAAAGTAGCTCAGTTGGTAAATTCCCTGATTTAAAAAAAAAAAAAAGAGAGAGAGAAAAAATATTGCAAGGCCACAGGTTGACCTGGCATGGTCATCCTTCCGAGGTTAATAAAATGAGTACCGTCAATTGGGTAAGAATATCTATTATTCAGCTGCCGATACGGTTCATTCCAAAAGCATGCTTCAGGTTCTCACTGAACAGTAGTGAATGCAGGAAGTGGCACCCAGCGGACTGCAGGTATGAAGTCAAACTGTTCTAAAATGGTGCCCTGTAGTGGCTATTGTGCTTGGAGTGTTCCTTTAATTATTAGGAGTTTTGAATCCTAGATTGTGATTATGTAGACCTGAAAATGAAAAGGTTTGCTTAGAGTAATAAACAATGTAAAGCACAGCGTGTTAAAACATACATAAAAGCTAAAATGAGAGAAAGCAGAAGTAGAGTTTTCCTTTTAATGATTCATTATTGCAGATAATGTTGTGAACGACGGAATGTTTTAATAGGATGTCAGATACGATTTACACACTTTCTAGTTTGTAACCTGGATATAACAGCAGGGCTAAAATGATTGAACGTATCGGAGTAAAAAAACAAATTCTGCATAGCACTAAGCCTGCAAGCATTCATAAAATATCTAGGCCATTGTCCTCTGCAGACTCATTATCTTTTAAAGCATAGCAACATCTTAATACAGCCAAGGAGGACTAAGTAGCAAAGTGGGGATATAATTTACAGACGATATCTAAATCCATGGGGAGTGATCGTTGCAATTAGGGTTGAAAGCAACGCAAGTAAAGTTTCAAGATGCTCTTCAGTGGCGGATCAACTTACAAGCCTGCAATTGGGGAGACGTGTCTGGGAAGTACTTTCAGATGTTGTAATAATGCATTCTGATATTACAATGTGCTCCTTGATGTCTTCTTTTCCATTCCTAAGGCTGCATCGATGATCCATCCTAAAGAAATCCCTCCAGAGGCAATCCTGCTTGCTGTGTACCTAGAACTTCAAAATGGTAATTATTTTTAGAACTGCCATATTCTTACTGCATGTATGTTGTCAGCTATGGAAAAGCCCATCTAAAACCTGGCTTAAAATTAGTGTTAAAAAATGGGGTCTACAAATAGTATTGCATACATTTTATTTATATATTCTATCAATCTATATATATGAAATCTAAGTGTAGATATATTGATGGCACATCAAGGTAAAATTAGAGGATTCAGCATAAGTCTGCTGTGCACAGCTTGTCAAACTTGGGATTTGCTGTGTGTGACTTGACAGATTCCCCTGATGTTCAGAAAAGTCCAAGACCAAAGTTTCCAACACTAAAATTCTGTGTAATTATATGTAGTTGAACAAACTCATGAACCTATTTGTGTTGCAATGCAGAAAGTAAAATAAATAAAACAACCTACACGCAAGCACCTTATCAACAAGGTGTGCTTTTGAAATGTGGATTGTCATCTTCACAAATGGCATAGACGAAACCCCCTGCTGAAGAAAGTAGTTGGATGAACTGTTATTTTTCTTTCTTTTTTTTTTTTTTATTGCTATTCGTATTTTTTTTTTTTAATAGCTTTTGGTGTTGATCTCTCATGTTTTTATGTTCTGAAATAAGATCACATGAGTTGTGTGCTAGATGTCTATGTGGCTGGTATTACAATTTATCATTGAGTGTCTGTTTATTTTATTTTGTTGGTCATTATTTATTAAAGGTATGCTCTAGGCACCATATCCTTTTCATCTCCTTGAAGTGACTATGGTTCCTGAAGTCTTCTGGTACCATCTCATTGTTTAAACATTCTAGATTGATGTGATCCTGGGTGGGGTTTCCAAGCCACCTGCAGTCCTGCACCTCTCTGCTACATCTGCGTTGGAAACACTGTCCGCGTTCAATCTCTGAGCCTCTCACTGCCGCCTGTTATTAGTAGGAGTTGGTATGGATTATGTGGAGTGTTACTGCATTATCTATACCCTCCAGGGGGTGAAGGGAATCCTCATTCACTGTCAAACTGAATGAAAATGGTTTGTCACAGAACAGTGGGATACCTGGGGGCTCAATTACAATTATTTATTTAGCGCAAACATATTCAGCAGAATTTCACAACAGGTAGATAAGACTAACCTTTAATTTTAACAAAGTATGTTTGACATAAGGGAACAGTAGGTTAAAAGAGCTCTGCCTGCAGAAACTAATTTAAAATGTCCAGTGAGATGAAGTGATTATGGTGCCATGACTGTCCCTTTTAGTGATTTATACTGCTTTTGGTGGTTTTTGGATAATCTTTTAACACACACTCAAATTATTATTTTTGACATGTATATGCTTCCAATGTATTTAGCAGCACTGCACAAAAATGTAGAGGGGGATTTCACAATAAATTAAGCAAACTATTACAAATTTTGACAGGAACATTAGGTTGGTGAGGAACCTGTGACTTAGCAGTACTGCTACAAACCGAAAGAAACATTCACATTTTATTGAATAGATTATGTCCTCAGTACACATGCGCACAGTTGGTTTTGCAGTCCACAGGAAGGTAATCTATATATATTTATAGATTAAATAGAAGGGAGCTAAGAATTGGTCATTGGGGGACTCCCCATGTGACTTTGAGTAGATGACCTGGCTGGCATTAAGGCTAAATAGCATCTTATCTGATAGGTATGAGTGTAACCAATTTAGTGTCTGCTTAGAATCAAACATATTGGATTGTTACCTAGTAACACACCTAATACATATTTTTAAGATCCATAGTAATGTGAAATATGCCTCTGACAGGATGTATGTAATGAATTTTAAGAGGATTGCGAATTAAAGTAAAAAGCACTACACGTGTAAGGGTAATGAGGCACACTTCTATTTTTGTGTTTAATTTCCTTTAAAACTCTGAATAAATTTGACTGTCAGCAGCTTAATACAGATTTATCCACCCTGCGTACATGTTTAATCCTCATTGATAAAACGGTATAGTACTTAACTTCTAATGTTTGCCTTCCTTTCTAGTTTCTCTTCCAGAGGGGCCTACACCACACTGTGTCAGTGAAAAGATTAATTCTTAAAATAATAATTCTAGTCCATTACTCCAACCAAACGTACTTAATCCAGTCTGCTTTATACATTAGTCATGTCTGTGTGAAAGGAGTACGCAAGGGTTTACAGCATAAGGAATCCATATCGCATACATTTTTTATGAATTGAATATCATTAAAGTGAATATCCAGGTTGCTGCATGGCATGCTTCCCCTGGGCTTCCTTTGGTGCCACACTATTCATTTGGCTTCCTCTGCAAGGTACATTTACTCAGTAGTTTTTCCATTCAGCAAAATCAATTTCACAAATGCTCCATTGTGAACTTTACCCCCGTGACAAATGGCATAGCTGTGAGATCAGGTTTTATACTAGCATGAAACAGGCATTTGGACATTTTCTTTGCACCCTTGTTTTGTTTTGTTTGTTTTTTACTGAATTTTATTGTACGATTGTACAGATTAGCACTGATGAAAATCGATTTTAAATGAACTCATGTGTCTTTTAACACAAAAGTATGTGAGAATCCCACAGTTATGGTACATTTTCTGTCATATACATTTTTTCCTATAGTTATATTCCTGTGATTTAGTTGTCCAATCTAGCTTTTTACTTAGGGCATTACTATACCATATATTAGCTATTTGCTATGTGAAAAAAAAGTGCTTCCAGGTAGCCATTAAAATGTCCATGCACTAGTCCTGTTGGCTATCCACAATCTAGTGACAGACATTGTGAATCTGTAGACTGGATACTGCTAACTTTGGCAAACCAGTTTCTGCACTAAATATCTTGTGATGTTCAGCCAGTAATAATGCACCACTCAATATGTAGCGTATAAGCAGATATTCATCTTGGTAAAAGTGATAAACCTGACAGATAAGAGATCAGACAGTCGGTTTCCTGCCATTCCAGATACTGTGGAATGCAGTGCACGAACATGCATATGCACATACACACAAACTCCATCGTACTGATTGATTCTTGGTGGAAAGATTGAGGGAAGGTCACAGTCCCTGGGAACAGCCATGAGTCTCCGCATTTGTCCGTAAAGGGACCCTACACTGCCCAAATAAAAACGATTAAAAAAGTTTAGAAGATATGCCCCCAAGGAAATCATGCATAGGTCGCCTCCACACAGTGCAAGAAGTGCAGATTTCAATAGACATTGACTTTTATGAATTTAGCTGGATACACCCCCCCCCCCCAGCTTTCAAACACACCACCAGTCATGTTACTTTCTGGTTTGGTTAGCTTCATGGAGCTTAACTCAAGAGGCCTCAATTGCTCAGAGGATCTGCCTTGGGAAGTCTGTGATTGGACAGCTACAGGAAGTGGAGGGCTTGCAAATGCAACAAGCGGTTTTATATATACCTCAGTGAAAAATGCATAATTACATTCATGCAACTGTTCATTGGGGGTATATCTACTAAACAGTGACTTGTATTTATTTTCTATTTTAGCAGTAGAGTTTCCCTTCAAACCTTACAATAAATACTTTGCTGTTTTGCAGAATTGCAATGTTTGCAACTTGTTAAAACATTAGGGGGTGGGGGAGACATGACACAAATACTACTTCATTGAGATATGGTAGACATTTAAAGGCCTGGCTAATTGCATAGGATTTAAATGTTTGTCGTGTGTGTGTATATGTATGTTTTATAATGAAAAAGAAGGTAGAGCAGTGGTGTGAAAAATGTAGATCCCCAGATGTTGTAGAATTACAACTCCCATGATGCTTTGCACATGTTTAGAATGACAAAGCATCATGGAAGCTGTAGTTTTAAAACTAGACTGTAGTTAGCACGGCTTACTTACCCTGTCCATTGCAGGTTCTGTCAGTGTATTCAGTTTACATTGAATAGAATTGCCTTTTAGGAACGCTATGGCTTGTTCATGGCTTTCAGTTCTGTGTTAATATAAAAACTGATGCATTTCTATTCCTGACTGTGTGACTCAAAGCTGTAAAAAGAAATAAAAGGCTGTAAAATAAGTGTAACCCTCACAGGACATTACGTGTGGATACCTTGCTGGATTTAACATTTTGTTTACATGGCATAATGATAGTAAACCCTTTTACCCATACTTAAAGGACCACTCTAGGCACCCAGACCACTTAAGCTTAATGAAGTGGTCTGGGTGCCAGGTCCCTCTAGGATTAACACTTTCTTTTATAAACATATGCGTTTCAGAGAAACTGCTATGTTTATAAATGGGTTAATCCAGCCTCTAAAGCCTCTAGTGGCTGGCTCGTTGATGGCCGCTAGATGCGTTTGCGTGCTTCTCACTGTGAAAATCAGTGAGAAGACGCAAGCGTCCATAGGAAAGCATTGTAAATGCTTTCCTGTGAAACTGGCTGATTGCGCGCGCAGCTCCTGCTGCGCATGTGCATTCAGACGAAGAGAAGGAGAGGAGGAGGAGGAGGAGAGCTCCCTGCCCGGCGCTGGAAAAAAGGTAAAGTTTTAACCCTTTCCTCTCCCCAAAGCCTGGCGGGAGTGGGACTATAGTGGTCCTTTAATATCCTAAGAGTGCAATTATTTATTTACCTATAACTACTTTTTTAAAATGTAATATTAACTATAACTTTGAGTGTTATCTATTTAAATGATGCACTACAGGAATCTGACTGAGGAAGGGCTATTTTATAATCCGATTCTTGCAGTAGTTTATGGAACTTGCAGTTTCTGGGGCTGTGCTTCCAAATGTACCTTACTTTTATTAGCAAAGTACAGTATTTTTTCGTGTAGAAGATTACCCTTTTTTTTTTTTTTTTTTTTTTAACCCAAAATTTAAAAAATACATATTTAAACATAGCACTCAAGTCCAGTTTGGCTGATCAGGATCCCCCACCGGTCCTCAGCCTCCTCTCACTCAAGTAGGTCACTCCCACAGGTCTGGACACTGGTTCCCTGGAGCGCCGTCCTGCTGTTGGTGGCAACGATGCCCTCTGCCTGCAGTACCCAATGGTGGATGGCTGGGCAAGGCCTCTTCCTGTGGCGTCTATCTGTGGTCCGGAGCCATGAGTTCTTGGCGTGGTCCAGAGTGATGCTAGGAAGCATGCGGTTGTGCAAGATCTCCCAGACCTGCGCACAAATCAAATTCATGGAGAAGCGCCTCCTCTGCTTCAAGCATGTCAGCAGGTCAGCTGACTGTTCTGTCAGCAAGTAGCCAAGTTTTGTGCCCAAATTGCGCTAGGTACCGTAAGTATTTGACTTAATAATTAGATTTTTGAAAGAGCGCCAGCCACATACGACTTGTACAGGGGATCTGACAGCCAACCGAGCTAGTGTTGTGTTTTTTTTACCTCTGCAATGACTAAAACATTTTAGGAAAAAAAGTCTTCTAAATGGAAAAATATTGTACATTTAAAAGCACAGCCCCAAAATATACATTTTAAAAACAAATTCTTTATACATTAATTTAGTAGATAGTGGCCACATATTACTTGCTTATGTAGTAGATAATATGATCAACAGTAGGAGTAAAATACATACATGTTAGCGGGATGAAACATTCGCAGCAATGCATGACACTCTAAATACGATGATGCATATTTCCCAGGGTGATCAGTTCATCAAATTATGGTTTGTACTATGGTACACTCCGGTGCTAGAACAGGTAATAAAACAAACCAGCGTGACCGTATTGAGGAAGCCTCTTGAATCGTCCAGGCATCATTGGACAGTGGAGTGTATATATCATGTCTGTGCTACATCACGCTGTATCATAGGAGTGCAATCTGTAACTTTGCTCAGCATCTCAGTGTACAGTATCTCCCAAAAGTGAGTACACTCCTCACTTTTTTGTAAATATTTTTATATCTCTTCATGTGACAATACTGAAGAAATGACACTCTGTTACAATGTAAAGTACTAAGTGTACAGCCTGTATAACAGTGTAAATTTGCTGCCCCCTCAAAATAACTGCACACACAGCCATTAATGTCTAAATCGTTCTCACTTTTGTGAGATACTGTAAGTCCAAGCAACTAACTGCATTCCAGTCAACCAAAAGCACAAAATGTTGACCTGTTAGACTCTTTCTAGACTATAACATCACACAGCAATGCTAAAGTTCCCTGTAAAATTAAAGGGCATTCTAAGCACTGTAACTACTTTAGGTCTTGTACTGGCTATGGGGCAAAGAGGTTTTGTGTTTTTCTTCTCTCAAACCCCATGAGTGGTTGGTTTCTCAAACTACGTGAGTGTGCCTACCTGTGTGCATAACATTACCATTTCCAGCTGCCATTTTCAATGGATAAAATCCCCAACATAAACAATAAACAAAGTGCGTCTTTAAAGGGTGCTTAGTGAAAGCAAAAATACAATTTAAAATTCTTTATTTTTATAGTGCATAAGTTTAGTACAGTCGCGCATGGGGTACCCCGAAGGCAATCCACCAGTGAATTATCAACGTTTAAACAGAGGTACATGTTTAGTCTAGCACGTTTTTATAAAATTAGAGTATATAATGAACATTAAAGGACCACTATACTCGTTTTCCTGGCACTATAGTGCCCTGAGGGTGCCCCCACCCTCAGGGACCCCCTCTGCCGGGCTCTGGGGGAAGGAAGTGGTTAAACTTACCTCTTTCTCCAGCTCTCCGCCTCCTCTCCTCCTCTTCGGCTGAATGCGCATGCGCAGCAGGAGCTGCGCGCCCATTCAGGCAGTCTCATAGGAAGCATTCATAATTCATGATTTTCACAGTGAGAAGCACGCAAGCGCCTCTAGCGGCTGTCAACAGACTGCCACTAGAGGCTGGTTTAACCTATTTATAAACATAGAAGTTTTCTCTGAAACTATGTTTTATAAAAAAAAGGGTTAACCCCAGCTGGACCAGGCACCCAGACCACTTCATTAAGCTGAAGTGGTCTGGGTGCCTATAGTGGTCCTTTAACGATTTTTGATGTTTAGGCATACACATAACCTAGCGTGACCTCGCTTCACTTCTAAAGATGAAATTAAGATGATGTGACAAGAGCTATTTAAACTTTGAGTAAAGAACCACTGGGGCTTGCTGTGTACAAGAGTAACTTCACTTGAACATGTTAATGTATGGCAGGGGGCCTTATTCTTCGTGGGGTTGCAACAGGGATTAGCCGATCACCATCTGGGCGTATAATTATTGTAGTGGCTAGGTGTGCTCTAGGCTAAGGTAAAAAAATTAATAAAAAGTCAGCGTTAACCCCTTCAGACCTGTGCTAGCCTGGCAATGTTGTGATCTAGTCATATAGAGCACCACCTGGAGTTGCTGGGCTTGGCTCTCGTGGGATTGTGCAGAAAATGTTTCAGCCAATGCCTAATGTTGGGAAGTCCCGGTCAGTGCCAATATGAGTCCATGCTTTGGAGCCTCCGGCTGTGATGTCTCCATGCCGGGAGTCAGCTCCGGTGGTGCCTTGAGGGGAGTGCAGTCGCTCCGACCTTTGTTTTGTAGCATCGCCCGTAAGGATCCGGATCATGCTGCTCTGTGTAGTATTGGTCAGGTCTGGAGGGTTCCCTGAGTGTGCCGTTTGTGGCATGGTCGCGGGTTTATGTGATGGTGAGCAGTGGCGTGTTCTTGCAAGGCCCAGTGCCCCTTCCCATCTTGAAGACCGCAGGTACCTGCGTTCCCGGTTGGTCGCTTTGGAGGCTCTGGGTGAACGCCTGTACTGGCTGCGTCGTGCTGCTGTTCGGATCCATGCGGCCACCATTAACTCTGGCGGTAGGTAGCGCCTCGGCTGTGCAGCGCCTCTCAGAATATGTTGCATAGCCAGTCGAAGGTCCCTTTTGGCGGTGTGGGTGGCTTATTGTGTGTTCCCCTCTCGTGGTATCTGCGCTGGGCAACCATATTGGAAGTACCTTGGTGGCCCGTTGCCCCTGCATACCGTGGGGTGAACTCTTCTGGTTTTTCGTTGAGGTTGGTGCTTCCAGTGTGGACCGGGATATCCCCCACCGGTCCTTAGGGGGGGAGGGAGGGGGCGTAAGCTGTATTAGCGTTGCTTGTGGGTCCTGGTGCCGAGGGGCCTTATGCTGATCTCCACTTTCCCAGCTTTGACAGGTCCCGGGGTTGTAACCTTCGATTCAGCGGTGCACCCCCGACGTGGGTGGTGCACGTTCAAAGGACCTTGGGCCATATAGCCTCCGTTTTTCCCCGTTTGTGGCCAGTCTGTCGGGCGCTCGTTGCAGGCACGTCTGCACAGCTCAGTGTCCAGGCTCCGCCCCCCACAAAAATACAATTTAAGCAGCTGTGTAACACATAGTGGTATCCCAACATCCACAAAATCAGAAATTGGAAAAGAACAAAAACATAATGTTTAGGTGATGAACCCCACCACCTAAACAAAGTGCAGCGCTTTTAGTAGATTTCTTACTTACCCTTCAATGTATATGGGGTATGGACATGTGAGAGAGAACAAAATCTATACAAATAGTGCGATATTGTGTGTGTTTGTGTTCCAGAAGTGTGTTAAAAAAAACTCACATTTATACATTTAGGAGTCCTTTCTATTTTAATAGATCATATGTATCATACTCACAAAGATGAATTATGGGAACTGAAGAACAGAACACCCATAGGTAGTTTAAAAGGGCTTAGTGGCTCCTCCTCCATTTTCAAACAGGAACCGGGAAGTTTCATCTACACCAATTGAAAAAGCCCGATCGGCGAAACGGGTCTTGGACATTTGGATGAAGGAAGGACTGAAGCTGCTTTTAATCTGTTTAATTTATTGATTTTATTATCTTTATTTTATAAATAAACCCTGGAATTTGACACTAAGCTAATATTTGGGAGCCAGTTATTAAACCAGCTCCTAATAAGGTGAGTGATAATTCTGTCGTGTAATGTACATACTTACCTGATGATACAGTCTGCACCCAGATTGTTGTCTTTGTTTCTACTTATATGTACTCACGAGTTGGAGGTGCACTCAGAATTTAAGATAACACGAGAAAGGTTGGAGGTGCCACTTCAAAAAGGCCCTGAGGTCTTCAATGTTTAGAGCCTCTATCGATAAAAATGCTCTAACACTCACTTTTGGAAAATATATATATATATGTCCATACCCCATATACATTGAAGGGTAAGTAAGAAATCTACTAAAAGCGCTGCACTTTTTTGTTTAGGTGGTGGGGTTCATCACCTAAACATTACATTTTTGTTCTTTTCCAAAACTCTCAACATACCCATATCCGTTCTGTACGGCAGTGGTAGAGTACTGGACCATGCCTATGGCATATTTGCATCATAACAAATATACTGAACTCTAGTGATTATGGTGCCCCTTAAGCATCTTCCATTTTGTTATCTTTAATTATTTTTTGATCCCAAGGAAGGGAAAGGGACAGTGGCGTACCTACCATGATCGCAGGGGTTGCAGCTGCGACCGGCCCCTCGCTGCAGGGGGCTCAGCCGTAGCCACAACCCCTGCGACTGGGACGCCTAGATTCCGCCCCCTCGGTGTTCCCCATTCCATAGGGGGGACCCCAAGAGGTGGCGAATTGGGCCCCCCCTGAACACGCTTCAAATGAGCCTTCTTATAGCTCTTATGTAACTGCATGTAGGGCCACAAGTATCTTCATTCATGAAAAATGGTTAAATAAGCTGCTCAACAAGCTCCAGAAGAGGTGTGGCTTCACAAATGAAAGTATTTGCAACTGCTGCAGACATGTATGTACCATAAACTGTTAGGAGTTTATGGCATATGCATTGCACTGATTGTTGCACACAGTCCCTTTTTAGGTCTCTGCAAAAACTGCATCTCTGCCAAACAAGAAACGTTTAAGTTTTAATTCAATATTTTTCAAGTATTGTCATCCTTCTAAGTTCTCCATTCAGTTTATACAGAATGTGAAACTAGCTTTGTATTGTTTGCACTGAGGGATTAAAAAAGGTCTACTACAATAGTTTGCTTAAATATAACCATGCCTTTTACGTTTTAATTAAAAGGGCCCTGAGGATCATACATTGGTTTGCATGCTAGTTAATGGGTAAAAATTGTGTTGGGGGAAAAAAGGATGGCCTGTAGGAGAATTAACACACTGTAAACTTTTTCATTTAAATATAAACATAAATATTCAAACATGTTGTATATAGGTTGCATTAAAAACTATGGCTATTAGGGACACTCCAGTGTATATTCTACCATTTAAGTAAGCTAGGTTTTTCTTAATTGTTTTAAAGGAGAATTCTTTTGACTTTTTCTATTGTAGGGAACACCCAGCTAGCCTTGCAGATCATCAAAAGGAATCAGCTTCTGCCATCCATCAAAATGATGTCGGATCTTCGAAAGAAGCCATTATTTCAACCCATCCATCAGCCCATGCAGCCAATTCAGATGCCAGGTTTCACCACTGTTCAAAGAAAATGATGTATGGTTATCCTGGGACTGACAGATGAGAAGGCTTAAAATCTATCCGTACATTAATAAATGGCATACTAGACTTTCTGGTCACATGTAGTATTTTGTTTTATTTTTATCCATCTTTTTTGGGGGGACTTTGGTTCCCGGAAGTGAAGAGATTTAAAACCTTGTCACTGAGCCACCTATTTTTTCCAGATCTCACCACATTTTCTTAAACCAGATTTAATCTGTAAACGTAAAAAAGCACTGTGCAGGAGTGTGGGGTTTTTTGGGGGTTTGCAAAAAAGGTTTTGGGAGTCTTTGTGCTCCCCCTTTGGCAAATATTTTTACACCATTAATACATCATCATCAGCAGATATGATTGGATTTTATCCATGCTTTTGTAAATGCTGTAATGAATAAGAGAAATGATTGTTTTTATATAAAAGTGTGTGGCCTGAGTTAAGGTCAAACTAAGGGAACACGAATATTGTGAAAATAAATATTTTCATGTTCATTTGTGTACTTCCTGGCATTTTTATTTTGGTGTATACAATACTGTTTATAACATTCTCTGGGCTGTCAAAAAGAAAAGTAAACAGGTTTGTGTTAAATATTGAATTTATTAACATAAATATTCGTGCAGTTATTCACTTCGTTTATTATAGGGACACCCCTTGTTTATCCTTTGTTCATCCTCTGTTCATCCTTTGGTGTCTCTTACTCCCCACCTTAGGCTGGTTGGTGTGTATGACTGTATCACAAAACACCACTGCAGTACAACTCACAGTAGGACTTATTCATCAAACCAGACTTATGATGCATTATGGGAATTTATCATTTTGAGAGACTAGAAACAAAATGTAACCATTATCTACAAACGCTTCACTAGTTTTGCCTAAAATGCATAATTCCCATGTCCTGCTTCACAATTTCCAGTTTAGTTTGCCTAGTTACTTCAAGGTGCAGTCAATGTTACATAGTCACCTTGTTGAAAGGGAATGTTGGTTTTATTTTTGAATAGCTGCCCAGTTATATAAATGGTTAGCAGCATACCATAAAGTTACCTTAATATTCTTAGTAAATCAACCTTCATTAATCACAGCCACTTTCCCAAAACAAAGGGTGCTGTAGATAAATTCCCCAAATTGTTCATTATGGTGTATGTTTAACCCCTTAAGGACACATGACAGAAATATTCCGTCATGATTCCCTTTTATTTCTGAAGTTGTCCTTAAGCGGTTAAACATTGCCTTAAACATACGTGACAACTTCAGCGATTTTGAGTTGTTATGGTGGTAGAAGTATGTATGAGTAGTGTTTCGGTTTAAAACACTGCATATTCTGAGTAACCTGCACTTTTTTGCTAGGCGGATAGTTAAACCCCTGGCACACGTGACTTAGGAAGCCTGGAACTATCCAATTCTATGGATATTTTACGTCTGGTCGGGGCGCTGGCTACACATGTGATCTTCTCCCTTGCTGACCGGGAGTGGAGATTGTTCTTTCCCTTGCAGACACTCTAACAACCCACTGTGTGCTCTCATGACTCCCACAGTTGCTCAAATAGAAAAAAATCCTCCCTCCCCAGGCTTAGTGTGTGTGCATGTGCGCGCGCTCTGAGCCTGCAACACGGTCTAATCACAGGCTTTTGTATGAGAAGCCTCTGATTGGACCTCACACTGCTGTTCACAAAGCAGTTGTGAAAAGCAGTACTGGGAGCTTCCGTGGCGCAGGATTCCAGGTAAACAAAAACAATTTTTTTTTTTTTTTTTATAAATGTGAGCATTATGAGCTTACAATGCTCAGTGACAAAGGGTTATAGGTTCATGTTTAATTGCTGAAAATTAGCCTTTTATGCCAATTGCAACAGTTTCAGGTTTCCATATTACCCCAGCCCTCCTTATTGATAGTTATGTTCTGACATGGGTATTGTGTATCTGTGCAATTATAAACTTTCCAGATTTCTCCTAAAAGCTAGCTTTCAGACCCACCAATATTAGTAGAATTTAGATGCATACATGTGAAGCTAATGATTCTTAGTTTAAATTGGTTGATTTAATGTTGCATCATGTGCTGCAGAAAAACATATTAAAGGATTTCATGATCCCTATGCTGGGAAGACATACATGCAGTGTTATTTGCATTCAGGGCTTGGCGCCCTTCATAGGGTCACTAAATCTGCCCCTGCTGACAGACGGGAGCCCCACATATTACCTGGATCTCCCTGGTGCTTTCCATGCAGTCCTGGAAATCATGGGTTTTAAAGAGATTAAGGGGATAACCAGGAGAGACCTGAGATGTTTTCTTGTAATCTCTCAAACTATAATAGACTCACTGATGACCTTCAAGTGGGTGGGCTGCTCTCCAGTTATTAACCGTCACACAGCCATTTGTTTTGTGCTATCTGTGTTTCGCCCTGATTACTGAAACCTTTTGTATGTTAATGGTCAACAGGCGTCCGTTCTGTTTAGTTATGATGGCTTCTATCTGATTTAATGTGGTAATGGTCGTATACAGATTCGGAACCAGATTAGTTTTATGTTCTGAAATTACAGCACTCGGGAGCCACCTACAGAGGCTAAATTTCAAGGAAAATGTATTTCAATTTGAGAACTCTTATTAAAATCACAATTTGTAAATAAAGTATGTGGTATTGCCTCGTAAACTGCAGTGATTGTGGTGCTTAGATTGCCAGCTTAACATTTGAGTACTTGACAAGTCAGATTTTTAAGGATGGGTCCGTTCTGTTCAAGGAAATTACAGAACATTATTCCACACTGGGGGACAGGTTGTTGCATTTTGAAAAAGAAATTCTAACTCAAAAGATTGATCATGAGTGTTAGGAGTTTTCAGGTCTAGTCTAAAAACATCTGAAGTGGCCATAGCAGGAATAAAGTCAATCTTTCTAATGTTTTCCAAACTATCAAGTTTAGGAGTCTTTCCAATTCTCCGTTAAGAATGCTTTTGCCAAGTAAAGTGTAAATTTATCAGTATAAGTATTGAGTATATAAACTCCAAGATTAGTGTGTTAGGGGGACACTGTGATTGACAATTATTAGTAGGTTGGTGTTTTAGTTTACATTTTTAAGTCCTGTTTCTTGGTTGATTTTAGTTATGGATGATACATTTTTCAATTAAGGCAAATTAAGGCAAAATGCAACAAATTTGTCTGGTATGAATCTGTTCCAGAGCTACCAAGAACATTATTCTTTATTCTCTACCTAGAGAGCAGAGAGGCCCAACTTTAGTCTAATGCTCATAATTCCACTCCTTAACTGAACATCTCAAGTGTATGAAAGACCATAGAATATAGTGTTGTAAGGCTGTTTCTCTACCAGGTTTAGAGGTGGCAGTATATTGTATCAGCCAGGTTTAGGTTATGTCGATAGATGCTTGTGTAAGTATCCAACAATTATTTGGAAAGTTTTATCAGTGACCGCAAGCTTAATGGAACACTGTAACCACTGCAGCCCACTGAAGTTATAGTGCCAGTGCAATCCCACGGAAAGTAGTCAAACCTTTTTAGTAACATTTGACATTTTATCTGGACCAACTGGGTGCCCTACAGCCTTTGCATCTGCTCTTCTACTTTAAGAGAATCTGGTAAGCGCTACAGTGCTAAGCAGGGCCATGCAACACCTTGCTCGTTGGCTAAGTGATCACAGCCAATGTGAACAGTCCTGTATTGGCTAGGCAACTTTTAGCACCCTTAATGCTCTTACAGCCAAATGCTGGCAATTGCCATCTCCCTCCCTCCTTTCTATTACCTGTCAAAATTAGCCCAATTAGGTGGTGCCTTCAGCGGCTATACTGCCTACATGGGCGCCCCAAGAATATGCTTACTATACTTGTATTATGTGAAGCTGCCGTGAGCAGCCATTACACTGCTGATGGCCTGCCTGGCATCACACCAGCATGCGATGTTAAGAAGAGCAAAGGCTTAGCATCTACATGCTTTCGCTGCCTGTGAGGTGCCTGTGGGTCATCTATCAGTTGGAAGCATGGTAGCAGGACCTACTTTACTGATAAAGGGCACAAGGTATTCATGAGGGACAGCCTCAACAAACATTTTGAGAAGCATGAAGAGAATAAAAATATGGTAATGACATGTCTTTTAGATCCTCAATACGATCAAGTCTTGCTTTATCTTCTGATTACGTATTGGCCAAGACAAAAGAATTGCTGATAGAAGATATGCAACAGGAGGTGCAGATTCTTGTTACAGAAAAGTAAAGTCTGGAAGAGCATGCTACTAGGCTGTGAGAGCAGGATGCTACAGAAACATGCACATTCCCAAAAAGAAAACCCACAGAGAAGAGTCTTCATCATGGTAAGACTGACTTTTGGTACATAGAATCCTCCACGAGGCCCCAGTAAAACGCTGAACATGACATCAGTCTTGATGATGAGCTTAATTTCCATTTATTTATAAAAGAAAGGGCAATCCACCCTAGTGGTGGAAAGAAAATGAGGCATGTTTCTTATGCTAGAAGATACCTTTGTTTTCCACCCCCTTCTGTACGGAGTGAGCGTGTTTTCCGTAAAGTGATTGCAATATATGAGAGAAACAGAAGTTTAACAGGAGAATGTGTCGAAATGTAGTGCTTTCTGCATTACAACATAGTTCTACTCAACTGGGAGTATTATTGAAGAAATACAGTAGTGTTTAGTTTAGCATAGTTTTATATCCTGGCTAGCCTTCTGAACTGGAAATTGGATATTAACTGTCTCTTCGGTCTACCAAGGTTTGGTAGCCTCCATCCCCTAATCCAGAACCAAGCCTCCAGGGGCATCGGCTGACTGAGCAGGACTGTTATGGGAACTGGTCCTGTTCTGTGTCACTATCCATATGGTACAGCTATATCCGCCATAGCTATGACTTTCATCACTAATTGTTGTTATTATTAACAATGAGCATGGGCATGTTACTCCTATATGTTTGTAGCAGAGAGCACGATTACCTGACAAGTAAAAGAAAAATAAGGAGGCAGATCATTTATGACTTTTGCACAATTTTTAATGAATCATCTGCCCAACAATACTTGTAAATGATTTCTGGCCTAAGGAAACCTTAAACCTGCATCAATATCTATTATTGAGTTTTGCTTACTTACAGAACATGGAGCTATTACAATAAGCTATTTGTAAGTGTAGCTATAGTAATATGCACAAATAAAAGGTTTAAAGGCTGTGATTTCTTTTTTCTTTGCCCTTGTTTTCTCAAGGTCCAGCTTCTAACACTACCAGTGGATAATTTCTTCAGCCAAGCTTTGCACATCATGTCTGATGGGTTACATCAAGTAATCTGTTTGTGTGGTCTTCCTACTTGAGAAGTGAAAGGGTATGTTCCCTGTGTCTGCCATCCCCTCTCAGGAACGCTGAACATTCACATGTAAAAATGTGAATATTGTTCTATTTCCCTCCTCCTGGAAATAAGACATTGTTAGGCTACATTTCTGGGAAAGCTGTGAGCCCTGCAGTTGTTTTTGTCCTGTGCAGAGAGGCCCTTGAGGCAAAGAACCCTCCCGAATACAAGCAAAGCCTTCTCTTTGCAGCACTTGCATGGACTCATTGTATTACCAGCTACTACTAAACGAAAAGCTGTTCCTAGGGCTTATTCACTAAACACCAAATTGTAACTAATTAGAAAAATGGATACAAAATAGCCTGACTACACAAGCTTTTGTAGAAGCTTTGCAAAATGTAATTAAGAGGGAAAAAATGTTTTTGAACATTTTGGTGTATTCAGTAAATAACTTTTTTATTTTCATTTTTTTTTATGAACCAAAGTGAAGCATACTTTATAGGGTTTTGTCACGAAACAGTGCATTGTGGTGAGTTGACAAATTATCTGCAAGAATAATTGTCAAGATAACCATCTTGGAGATCAAGTTTATCGAACTCAACATCTCACTGTTTAGTAAATAAGCCACAATCTTTAGATGTTTTTATCTTGCAGAAAACATCCTTCCTTTCAATGGTCTTTTAATCCTGTACACGATAATTATTGCAGTTGCGTGTGTCTTAAAGCTTGGCCCTCAACTGTTCACACATCCCTTTCACACGCAAGGGGTTAACACTGCAGAATTTAACAAACCCCAACATAAAATGGCTTTACCCTGCTTGTTTCCTTTTTAATATTAAAGAGGCAAGGCATGTCTAAACAAGATATGAATTGGTAAAGTAAAATGCCTTAATGTAAACCACATCCAATGTGTTTTTGTACATGGTAAACTTCTATTTTAGCCTGCTCCTGCTATGTGTGAAATGTTTCTTCTAGCTGTGCGGCTCTCGTAAAATTAAATGCCTGCAGCAATAGGACGCTGCAGACACACACATCAGCCTGTAAAATCAAAACATCCTTGATATGCAAGCTATTTACAGCATATACGCACACGCTTGGCTTGCATTTTATGGTATTGTTTGTCTTCACTGCAAGCAAAATAAAGAATTGGGAAACAATCACCAACTCATTAACACAAATAATTTATGATATTGGCCATTAGTCTAGTCCTTAAACTAAACAGATGCATTTTGAATTGCATAATTTGCGTGTCTGTTTCACTTGTCTGTCATGTATAATGCAGGTTAATTAGAGCCTAAGATGAAGTCACTTTTTCTAAATGTGGCATACTTATTTTCATACATAATTTGTTGTATTTTATATCTCATTGTGCAAGCTTTACACCTTAAAGGGGGACTAATAGCTGGACCACAAATGTGTATTCCTGACATGATCTTTTTAAAACCACAGTTCAGGTGGTTGGCCCCCTCCTTACCTCGGATTAGAATACGGAAAATTAAATGACATACTTACCTAGTAATTTTTGTTTCCTGGATATTTATCATGGCAGGATTACTTATGGGTAGCTTTGCCCCTAACAGATCAGGACAGGATTAACTAATTAAAAAAAAAAAAAAAAAAGGACACTCTGGAGGCATAAAAGGTCCCTCCTCCTTCCATACTGCCGTCAAGTCCAAAAGCAAGGGAGGGTGACTGATGCTGCCATGATAAGTAGCCAGGAAAAAACAATTTCATACTTACCTAGTAATTTTACATTTTCCATATTCCTGGCTAATCATGGCAGCATCAATTATGGGTAATACACAAGCAAAAACTTAAGAACGGGAGGGGAAAAAAAAAAAAAAACGATTCAATATGAATAGACACAAAAACTCACATTGCTGCAAAAGGAATTACAAATTTATTTATGTACTTCAACAGTTGATAAGACACCTCTCCTAAAAGAAGCAGTCGTAGAATGAAGGTCCAGTGTGTAGTGCTTAATAAAGGTAGTAGTAGTGGACCAAGTAGCTGCTCTGCAGATGTCATCCGAAGGAACCTCTGCCCAATTAGCCCAAGATGTAGCCAGGGATCTGGTGAAGTGAGCTCTGATCTTGGCTGCAGGAGTCAGCTTGTTCTGCAGGTAGGAGTCTGTTATGACAGAAGCTATCCATCTCCGTAGAGGAAGAGGCCGCTTCTCCTTTACGAAGGCCAGAAGGAAGTACAATTTTTTTTTTTATTTTTTTTTTCTGAAGTCAGGTAACAGATAGGTACTTGATCAAAAGTTCTCTCACAGTGAACTCATGGTATCTCTCTTCCTCAGGTGAAGACGGGGAGGATGAGAATAGCCACTCCGTTATGCTTCCTAAGAGCCCTGGCTGCTAGAGTATTCGTGAATATGTGATCTTTAATGGTAATGTGCATTGTCTGGGGTAGGTGGGTTTCTTTGAACGCGATATCGGGATTTAGGTGCTTTAGTTCCCTCAATAGAAGGGATAAAAGCTATCTACCTCCCAGGGACGGAAAACATTCTGGCACGTTTCCTCAGCAGAACTCACATACTACCAGGCGAGTGGAGCTTGAATTCCAGAGTTTAAGTTCTAACAAAGAGGTGGGGCATACCCCAGGTGGACCTGATGGCCAGCAGACAGAATGCTCAAGTGGCAAGTTTTGTTTTTTTTCCTCTCCAAGGGATCACTAGCTATGGGGCAAGATGCCTTTTCCCATCCTTGGACCTTCAGCCTGGGGTATGTGTTCCCTCCCCTGCCGCTGATGCCCAGGGTACTGAAGAAAATCTGGAAAGAAGGGGATAGCCATTATTCTGTCTCTAACCTAACCTAGACTTCTTACAATCTCCCCGGACCTTCTAATCCAGGGTCCATCGACTCACCCCGATCCATCCAGCTGGAACCTGGGGGCCTGGCTGTTAAAAGGAGATCCCTCCTCATCCAGGGCACTCTAAAGGCAAGGAAACAGTCCACATCTTACTATTACAGGATTTGGGAAACCTTCCAAAAATGGGCAGTGATTAAATCTTTTGATTTTCAACAAAATACCTCCATGTTTTGGAATTTCTAGAAGCAGGCCTGGACAAAAGTCTCAGCCTGTGCACCATGAAGGTGCAGTCCTCAGCTCTACCTGCCCTATGTAATACCTCATGGCCATCTCACCCTCTCATCTCAAGGTTCTTTAAGGCAGCCTTACACTTACGCCCTTCAGCCAGAAACTCAGCTCCTCCATGGGATTTGCCATTAGTCCTGAATGCTTTAACGGAAGTTCCCTATGCACCTCTAAAGGATATCTCTGTTCAACCTCACTTATAAAACTGTATTCACCACGGCCGAGAGTATTTCGGAACTCCAGGCATTCTCTAGTGATGAGTCACGCCTTCATATCTTTCATGATAGAGTGATCCTAAGACCTAGTGAAGACTTCCTTCCAAAAGTCGTATCCAGGTTTCACCTGCTCCAGGAAGTGGTTCTCCCTTCCTTCGCCCCAAACACTCCTATTGCTGGTTACTGAGACAAATTAACTACGCTTCTGGAATCCCTACCGCGCAGAATCATAATACTGGGGGGAGACAAATGCGGTGTCATGTCCCCCTGCAGACAGGAGGACACATCCAAGGCTTCAGCGCTCTCAGGGCCTGGGCGGTCAGGATAAACGTCACCATTTCATTCGGCACACAGGACTCATCGACGCTTGGAGGGCGCAACACCCTGATTTATGAGACTTCACCTTTTATTCAGCTCTCTGTAGTACGTACTCCAGAATTGATAACTTCCTGACCTGGGAATGACTAAAGTCACTAGAACCGAGATTGGCTCAATCACGTAGTCTGACCATACGGCCATGACTATACACTTAGATAAAAGTGCAAATAACTTTCCTCCCTGTTCCCACAATGCCTCCTGTTAGTATTGCCGAACGTCCTGTCACTTAGGATGCAATTCGGCAGTTTTGCCGGCGTTCTGTCTAACAGAATGAGAACAGTTTCTCCATTCATGTTAGAACGCAATGCGGGACTTTGTTCGTATCGCAATTTCATTCGAATGAATGAAACTCCGATCCTATTCATTGCGGCGGCTGCATCCTGCAGCTGCTTAGTAGATAACTCCCTAATTCCCACGGTATTAGGGAGTTATCTAGCAAAAGGCTGAAAGACCTAAATTGGTCTTTCAGCCACATTTACTAATACTAAGTAACGATTACTTAGTATTAGTAAATTCAGCCCCTACTGGCATGTCTAGTAAACAGTGAGCAGCCAGCCCCCCTTACTCCCCCAAAAAAGCCTGAACGGCGGGTGGGGGCCCTAAAGTAAAATAGGGGGGCCTATTGTCCTCCCACCGGCCTCCACCCCTAAACGGTGGGTGGGGGCCCTAAATAACAATGAGGGGAGGAACCTACTGTCCTCTCACTCCTGAGCGGTGGGTGGGGGCCCTAAATAAGAATGACTGGGTGGGACCTACTGTCCAGCCCCCACCCCTGCGCGGTGGGTGGGGGTCCTAAATAAGATTGAGGGGGGCCGGACCTACTGTCCTCCACCCCCCCTGCCCACACCCCTGCGCGGCGGGTGGGGGCCCTACATAACAATGGGGGACGGGAGGGGACTTTCCCACGCTGTGAAAAATAACACAGAGCACTCTGATTGGTTAGATTCCAAGCCCGCCAATCAGAGTGTTATGAGTCAAATCACACAGCGTCTGAAAATTCCAAAGAACTTTCCCACCTGTGTAAAAGGCAAAGAGCACTCTGATTGGCTGTCTGCGCGGAGCCCTCCATGGGTGAAGATGGATTTTTTTTAACGTCATGTTTTTTCCTTTTTCGTCTTTTTTTTTTGCGCTCTGATTTTTTATTTTATTTTAAGTTCGACAGGTATTATGGTTTTTTTATTTTGCCTTTTTGGGGGCTGAAAAATGAAGATTTTAGAAGAAAGAAGACATCAAATGGTAAGTTTTATTTTTATTTACAGGTTAGTTGTTTTATTCCCCCATCACTATTTTTAAGGTGAGGGGGGTAGGTAGGGGATAACTTTTATTTGGGTGGGGGGTGACTAGGGGCTTGGGGACCCCTAGTCACCTTGGAGGGGCGGGGGATTTTCATTTAGGGCCCCCATCCGCCGCTCAGGGGTGCGAGCCGTGGGGAGGACAATAGGTCCCCCCCTTCATTATTATGTAGGGCCCCCACCCACCGCTCGGGGGTGGGGGAGGACAGCAGGTCCCCCCCTCATTGTTATGTAATGCCCCCACCCACCGCTCAGGGGTGGGGACCGGGGGGAGGACAGTAGGTCCCCCTCATTGTTATGTAGGGCCCCCACCCACTGCGCAGGGGTGGGGGCCAGGGGAAGGACTGTAGGTCCCACCCCCTCATTGTTATTTAGGGCCACACCCGCCGCTCAGGGGTGGGGGCCTCCATGTCCATTTTGCTTGGGGCCCCCCAAATTCCTTCAAACGGCCCTGCCCGCTGGTGGCAAACCCATGCTTTGAGTATACTCCATTGACTACTACCCGCTGTTGCCTGTCACTCAGCCACTGCCTTAACCATTCCACAATATTTGAATCCAAACAAAGATTGCAGTTTATTGATAAGCCTTCTATGTGCAACAGTGTCAAAAGCCTGACCGAAATTTATTTTTAAATGACTGTGCTATTTTCTCTTCTGTGTGTGATTTGGAAGCTCTTATAAGTTGTTTAGCCTCTTTCTGCCTAATCTTATAGATCTGTATCTTCCTCACTCTGGGTTTTCTATAATTACTAAATGCTAACTTTTTGTTTTTTACTATTTTGGCCACATCTACAGCGTACCACAGTGGTTTCTTACATTTTTTTTGCTGTTACTTAGTAGCTTAATGCAATTTTTTGTTGCCTTCAGCAGTGCAACTTTTAAATCCCATTTCTCTTGGACTCCATTTGAATTGCTTCAGTCTGATAATACAGTAGTGATAAAAACACTTATAGCAGATATGGAAAAGTGGATAGACAAACCCATTTTGTGGATCGGCCAAATCCACTCTATTCAAATGAACATCCTCCCCCATATTTTATCTTTGTTCCAAGCTGTGCCTCTTCATATCTCGAAAAAAGACCAAGCCTCCTTACAGACGGAAATCAACAGGTTTGTCTGGCAAAATAAAAGACACAGGGTAGCCGGCGACATCTTGTACAGACCCAAGGCTTATGTCTACCTCACCTACACTTTTCATTTTTAGCAACACAATTAGCTCAAATAGCTTTATAGTACTCCCCCCTCAGGCAAGGAGATGGGTGAACCTAGAGTTTCTGATGATGGGCATTGACTTACACCAATTTTACATATGGACCCCCAGGGAACATAGGGCGCTACTACGCACCTACTGCCCAACCATATACACCATCCAGGTCTGGGATACCATGGCTCAGAAGTGCGAGCTCATGTCTACACCATCCTCCATGATTCCCATACTTTGGTTTGCATGCAAGTAGAAAGACCCGATTCCTGAGTGTTTAAAGGACTCGAATATGCAGGGCTCCAATGAATTCACCAACTAATCACACCCCACTGACTTTTTACAAACAACTCTGCAACGCTGAAACCTATATACACTTATATAGTACACTTGGGCACTACATTATAGACTGGGGCAGATTAGACTATACGGACAAATGGGAGGCATAGTTAGGGGAGGTCCTTGAAGGTATAGAGTGGCAGGACATTTGGGAGGCCAACAGAAAAACCTCTATTTGCGTGACCCTCCAAGAACAGACTTAAAATACTATGTGCCGGTGGTATACCACTCCTGTTAAACTATATTGTATGCACAAGACCCCAAGTGATCTCTGCTGGAGACTGTGTGGGACCAAGGGCACATATTACCACATGTGGTGGAGCTGCCCACTGGTGCAGGAGTACTGGAAAGCCCTAGTCTCCCAAATCCTACACAAACAACTAGACCCGGATCCATGGGTGTTGTTACTCTCTAGAACGAAAGATAGCTGGACTAAAGCAGAACAAGCACTACTTCACAAAGTTACACTAGAAAGCAGACTAGCTTTAGCTCTAACCTGGCTTCAACCCACATTTACCCCCCATAGACACGGTACTTCTCAGACTGAAAGATAATTATCTCATTGATAAATTGACCGCGCAAGTCAAGGGGAACTACAAAGGCCTTCCAAAAGACATGGGAGGAATACACAGATCCAGAATAAACAAAGCAGGCGCAGAATGTAGGTCTCCGGGGTATAAGGCGCTCTAGAGAGTGCTCTGCCAGTGACATATTTCCTGCTGCCCGCCCCCAGCTCCCCCCAACCTCCTAAACAGACAGCCTTAACCTCCTGCCATCATCTCTTCTCTCTACCTTGTATTCTTTCTCACTCTATCCCCTCCTATGGGGTACCTTGTACGCAAGACACACCCATAGAGAGTGGGCACAGACATCCTAGAATATTGCAGCAATGTTCCCCTATTCTAATTTGTATGGGTCTGGCCGTTCTCTAGGATTATAGGTCCATTCTGCCCCATGTTTGCCACTACCCTATGGTATGGACATGCACGATGCATCACTTCAGGTGGTGCTCACAAATACAACGATATATTAAGGATGCATCCAAATCACAACCAAGAACAGATTCTGATTAAATCATTTCCTGGTGACTATCAATACCGGAAGTAACCAAAGAAGCCAAGTAAGCTCTTTAAGCAACACCTGACACTAATAATGTATTAAGACTTAATTTATATAAATAGAATTCGTGCAAGTTAGCACCATACTTCTGGTGAAACATGTTCAGTGTGGTTTTATAGCCTACTTTTGATATTAGCATAGCACTTTATATTGTTTTGTTTGTTTATTGTTTTAATGTTGCAAGAAAGTTCATTCTTTTTAGGTTACTTCCTTTTGAGTTTATTTTAAATTTTACTTTGCACTCTGCAATTACTGGTAGTGTTGTTCTAAGCTAAACACAATGCTTTTTCACAGGAAAGCATTGGATTGGCTGAGCTTGGCAAGGAGGCAGCCAGCACAAGCCAAACACAGCCCTGGCCAATGAGCATCTCCTCACAGAGATGCACTGAATCAATGCATCTCTATGAGGAAAGTTCAGTGTCTCCATGCAGAGGATGGAGACACTGAATGGCAGTGCTGCCTACTGTGCAGCACTGCCCCATGAAGAACCTCTAGTAGCCATCTGAGGAGTGGTAAATGGAGGTATCCTTAGGTTGTAATGTAATGTAAACACTGCCTTTTCTCTGAAAAAGACAGTGTTTACTGCAAAAAGTCTGAAGGGAATGATTATACTTACCATAACAAATGCAATGAGCTGTAGTTGTTCTGACTACTATAGTGTCCTTCTAAATTAAAATCCCACACAATACCAGAACAATGTTTCTTCGGCTTCATCAGGGAAGTTTGGTTATAAAGGCCAATTGCTTTGTTTGCTATGTGCCCTATTGAGTTTTATTCTCTGGAAAATCCATTTAAACAGATGCAGAGAGCAATGTTTTATGACTTTGCAGTATTCATTTTTCTATTACTACAACAAATATTTTGTGAATGGAATATAACCCAATCCTTATTACACAGAAATCTGTCTAGGACTACATGATAGTAGAAGTCATGCTCTTGGAAGCTGACTGGGGTATGTTGAACAGAGACTACATTTTGCTGTGGTGGTTGTACTGCCAAGGCGTCATCCCTCTGTTTAACATAAATATTGGATGAATTTATTTAATTTTTTTTTTTTTTTTTTAAATATCTCAGTGGAATATACCATGTCGAAATAATAAAATCAATTCTATACAATGGTTTAGGGGGAAAAAAAAGACACAAGTCAAGACAATTTGAACACAAAACATTTATTTTGAGCAAACAACATTAAAACTGCATAGGAATATTTTAAGGTCCACACAGTCCACAGGGACAACAGTGACTATTTTAAGGCTGCTGATAGCAGATATGACAATTTTGTTGCTACATCTTCCAGCCTTCCCTATGGACCATGAAAGACAGTACATTCAGAAAACTTCCTTCGGAATTTTGTCAATCCTTTGTTCTATAGAACACAAGCATGTATTTAGCCATGCTATTCCTACAGTGTGCGAGTTCTGTGCATCTCAACCACTTGTAACCTTTGTGACATAGGGAGGCCCAGAGTGCATTGCTTTGCAATATGAAGTCAGCTCTCGACAACATCACAAGGCTACAAACCACTGAGTGGCAGGTTCTAGATCACTGAAGGAAGAATTTAAGGAGAAGGAGGAAAAAAAAAATTTCATAAAATAGAGGTCATTATTTCTCATCCACATGAGAGCGCAGATGTCAAGATTACAAAACCCATGCAATTTTTTTTTTTAACGTACACTATATAAATACATATGTAAGTAAGGAGTTATTTTTCTTTTCTCTGAGTGTTTAATGATCAAGACACAAAACCAGTATGTACCAAAGGAAATATTTGTGAGTCACAGACAACTGTTTTTTGTAGAAATAATGGTTCCTAAATAAGGGTCTGTATTACATTTACCCACCCTCCGGGATTAGTGGAAGCATAACAAAATGATAGGATGTAGGGATAAGTAACCTGTGCCATTCAGATGCTCTGATTTAGGACTTCAAGGCAGCTAACAACAACACAACCTGGGAATTCTAAGAACCCCAGGCCATTGCAACTACAGTTGGATAAAACACACACACTCATACTCACTTTGACACAAGGCACTCTTAATGAAAGATCGTTCAGATAATCTATTTCCCTAGCTGCCTACTGTTCTTTCACTCTGGTTAATGACATACAGACAGAGCAAATACAGTACAAAATACATTTGTTTTGTATGAGACAAGTTGAATTGACACTACATTTCCACATACACAAGCAGTCACAAGTTTAGAACTTTAATTCCAGCTATTTAGAAGGCCCAATACACAACAAAACAAGTTTGTGACCAATTAGGGAATGACAAAATTACATGGAAGCAAAATATATCCAAATACAGTATTTATAGAGACTTATTTCAGAATTCAAGAGCTACAGGACTGGACATTAAGAAAACAAAAAACAAAACCCAAACTTAAGCAGGTTTTTTATTTGTTACTTTTTTTTTTTTTTTTTTTAAGGTCCAAGTCTGAAAACCTGTTTTGTGCTCGTTTTGGGTAAATTCTCGTTTTACTTTTTTTTTTTTTTTTTTAAAATTTTACCAAATTTAACTGGGGTTAAGCGGGAAAAACCCTTAAATAAAATTATTACATTGTTATTAATTGCTATACAATTAAGAAATAGTACAGAGCCCCAGATATGTCCTCCTCACTTCATGTGAATGCTGTACTATCTTGACCACTTGATTTAGTACATTGTGCCCATGAGATAGTACAGCGTGTGCATGAGATGGTTAAATCACTTGCACACTAACTATATTGTACTCACAAAAATAATCTGAGCACACAACCTAAGTTGTGTGCATGGTATCATTAACTAGTGCACATGATCTATTAAATTGCGTGAATGAGATAACTATGACATGGGCATGACGTATTCTGCTTGCTCTGGAGATTCTCCTACCTTAGGCATGCCTGTCTGAGATCTCTTAAAATTTTACATCACAGACCTACTCGGTGCTCTAGCACTTGTACAAATCTGAATCTTTCACTTCAGCAGCCTTAGGTCATCGAGGGAACGCCTAATGCAGGATGACTTCTAGTGCAAGTGGGCTACTTTGTGCCCAAAGGATGACTATATTATCGGTCGTGCATGCAAACTATTTAGTTATTTTCTTCATACTAAATAGTAAACTGTGCGCATAATGTAAATGAATATTTTATCTGAAACCTCTGGGTCTCTGTATAATTGTGTATTTAATTAGGGGTATAAAAATTTAATAAAGTCATTGTTAAATATTATGCTGCTGGTACTATACTATTATATGGTAAATATAAAATAAAATGTGAGATTACCCAAAAATGCACAAAACTCTGATGTATAGTTTACATGTTGATCTTGAACACAAGACAGTAATAGGAGAGAAAACCCAAGACACCCACTTTTGCACAGTGAGCAGTTATTTTTCTTGGCTGGATTGTCTTTGACAGTTACCCATTAAATGCAGATGAATAAAAAAAAAATTATATATATATATATATATATATATATATATATATATATATATATATATATATTTTATGCAAACACTGCACAGAAAAAGTACAAATATATTTTGGAAAAAAAAAATATTAAATTTATAAAATAATCCCACACGCAAAGCCATGGGAAAATCTGACATCTACAAAATAGACAGAAAAGAGCTGCAGAATGGGGAGGGAGAGGATAAGAAAAAAAAAAAAGCACATTTTACATTCAGTGATCAAGCACCTCCCCCCAAGCCTATTACTATGATTCACAAAGATGCGCTGAAGTATAGAAGGAAGCACAGATATAATAAGATTTCTACCTGAGTTTGCCGTAAGGTAAATACAATCATTGAGAAGGAGGTCTAAGACCAATTAGAGACAAACACACAAAGAGGTATATTTTCTTTAAAAAATTTAAAACAAACTCCATCTTTTAGAACCACTAGCGGTTAACCCCTTCAGTTTCTGAGTTAGCCAGAGTAACTCCAGCACCAGATTGATACAAACCAACATAATGTCAATCTGATACTTGAACCCGTACATTTCAATTTAATCCCATTTTTAACTCCAAGAGATAACTTTCCCATGGGTTGTTGGTGGGCAGTTATTTTTTTTTCTTCTTTATTTTACCACAACTATGATAAAGATACAACCCCTCCCCACTTTCATTAAGTTTATAATAGGAAAGAACAGGAGTCAATTAATTTAAATAATTCAGATATCATTTATAGGTAACCACCTATTACCTACAGAAGTAGATCCCATTCTGAACTGTGCATTCAAATAGCACATATGCATTAGGTAAATTATTAAAATTATATTTTCTATAAAACAAAAAAATCCATCTATTAGTCATGAAAAAAAAAAACAATCGACAAAGTAGGTTTGTTCATAAAAATATAAAAAATACAATCACAATGTCATACATTTCTTTTGATCCCTTCACACATGGCATAGCCTTGTGGTTCTGTAACAAAAATTATACCACTACATGTTTTAGTTTAAGTGTTCACTCATACATGCATGCAAACTGAATGTTACAAATCACATAAAAAAAATATATATATCTCTTGCAGAGAAAGACCTACCTAAAAGGTCTGCAGTGGGTATAATAATTCTACAATAAAACCTCTAGGTGCCAAAATTATCCCAACAGTAGATACATATAATACTGAAGAAAACACACCTTACATCCCCCCCCCCACCCTCCCCAACATTTGCATAATATCTAGTAGACACTATATGAAATCTTCTCTGCAGATTTATTTTCTGTTTTCCTGAGTACCTACGGGACATTCCGGGATTCTTTATGCAAAAAAAAATAAAAAAAAAATTTTTATTAAAGCAATACAATAACTAAAAGTAGACTACTTATAAATAGCCTCCCTGCCAATATGGTAATTATCCTATCCAGCAGGAAATGGTAGTTTGAAAAGGTAAATACTAACGTCCTTGGTTCCAGTCTTTACACATGATGGGCACTGTGCTTTACGAAAAGAGGAGCATGTATATAATTCAGCCTCTTCTGTCCCATCATGTAAAGAGTGTGGTACATGAATAGTCTATGAACACAGATGGATGATATAACCTTTACAGTGCATGGAGTAATTTGTTATTGCATTGAAAAGGTTACAAAGACAGGAAGAGCTAACTGAGGTAGGAATGCAGGTTCATAATTTGTCACAGATATGCAGGTTCATAATTTGTCACAGATCATCCTATCAATCAGATGATTTCCCGACAGCACTGCAGTAGTCTCGATCAGGTTTGGGTTTTTTGGAGGGGGAAATTTAATGAGGAAGCATGGTCATCTAAAACCTTTATCCCAAAAGATTATAAAAAGGCGACACTTTGATAATCCATGGGGCGAAAATGATTGAGAAAACAAGACAAAACAACAATGCAATTTTTCTTTAGACATAATTGCCAGTGGTTTGTTTTTTTGCAGAATTTTTAACGGTTTAAAATTACCCTTTGTATCCAGAGTAAAAGAAAGGAGTTCAACAATGTGAAAAGAATTGCTCTACCCTTCTGGCACTCAAAAGGTTAAACACATCTTAATACTTAATTTTTGGCACCTATTAAGATGATCTAAAGATTTGGCAGCACAAAAAAGTTTAATATTTTATCTTTTGCATTTTTCAAACATACCTTATTGGTACTAAACTCTGCTTTAGCTAGACATTAGTGTTTAGTGACAAGAGTAATATGTCACTATCTACAGCCAAAGGCAGGACAGACCCAGTACAGTCCCTCCTTATAGAGCAAAGCTTCTATACGGTTTGAAACAAGAACCACAACTAATAACATGGATTTTATATTGGCCCAAAGGTTTACTCTCCCCATGTCTTCCTAGGACGCATGGGAAACCTGCTAATTTAAGCACCGGATTTTAATATTCTTTAGAACAGGTCATTGCACGCATGGTATTATCAACATATTGGCAAATGTAACATGCAATGCACCAATACGGGCTTATATCGCAAGGATATTAAACAGTTCTATAGGAATCCATTTTATAAACCGTCTGCAAACACAATTTCAATCTAAACAGCTGTTCATATATTTATGTTAGCATACCAATATCTTGCCTATGCAATACTGTGGCTCTGCTAATTTAAAAAGATCACTTTTATTGAAATTATTTGATCTGAAATATTACTTTAGAGATTTACATTTTCTTTCCTTTTTACAATCAGTCTTTGGATTTTGGATTTTTTTTTTTTTTATCCCTTTGTTCCAGTTAATCTAATGATTTAGTCATTGTTTAGTTACAAAACTACAAAAAAAAAAAAAAAAAAGACTGCAGAGCGCATGTGATGCTAGCAGGAAATCTTAACCTGGGATGAGAAATGTATCTCCCAATTTTACTTCACAAGGGATGAAATGCAGTGTTAGACTTCTAGTGGGATTTCGGCGTTATCAGGCAGTTCTAAATTAATCCTGTTTTTTTTATTTGGTAAAACCAAACCAAAATGCTGCTCAACAGATTAAAAACCAGGACAGTTTGTTTTCTTTAAAGTGCTATATGGTGGTGCAAACTAAATTGCTAACTACAGAGCCACATTAAGCGCGGAGGTATCAAATATTTACTTTAAATCTGAAATTACATATTAGAGGGGGAGTGGGGAAATAAAAATTATGGGGGAGGGGCAAATATATATTTTTTAAAATTATAAATTATATTTCCTTGAAAAATAAAAGGCTGAGCTCAATTTTACTTTTCTGTTTTGCATGTAGAAATGTAGATTTGTTGTTTACGAAGTTTCAATCATAGTTGATTTACTACTTATTTGTAATGCATTATTAAATGTTCGGATTATTCCAATTGAAGAAAAGTGGGATATGTGACAAAGGGGGTGTTGACAGGAAGATAATATTATAAAAAAAAAAAAAAAAGAAATTAGATCTTTGGTATTTACATCAATCTGCCATCTTTTAAAAGTAAATACAAATCACTGTAGAAAGAAGAGATATAAAAATAAAGTATATACACAGTAGCCATGCATTAAAATATTTTGTGTTTGTCAACCCACTCGTTAATTGGCTAGTGGGTTAAGCTATATTAAAATAAGGTGGTAATATAAATTGTATGAAAAGCCTGGAGACAAAATCACTTGTAAGGCAGAGATATCCAATAGCGGACTCTGAATTCTACCGCATAAGTAGAATATAATTTACAATTCCGCAATTCTATTTTAAAGACGCTATTTTACTGCTAAAGAGGTTTTACAGATTCCAGATTAGGTCAATTGGGGGTCAAGAGATACAACTGTATAAAACAAATATAAGACAATCTAATACTATACACCGCTTTAAAGGCTCGTGGCTAATGGATAATAGCCAGAAATGAACCCAATATTCCACCTATCATTTAAAAAACCCAAAATATATAAAGTATAAAAACTCCCCGTACATCTACACATTTGGGTCAATCAGTATTTGATCACATTTTTTGTTCTTTTGCCGTGAACAGGATCTGTTGTGGGTTTTGCCGATTACAGCTATGCACCAAAACTATAAGGAATATTAAATTATTAAATATAGTTCGATTTGGAGATGAAATAGGTATGTGTTTTGCTTCTTTGGGAAGAAATACCACAACAACAACGGTGCACACATGGTATGGCTTTTAAAGGGGGCAGTGTTCAGCATGTGCGTTCTGATCAGCAAGCATCAAACAGCTGGCCACAAGAACAAGATTAGAACAGTTTCTTTGAAATGAGCACTTGGGAAGTTTGTGAAACCGTAAGGACACAAAAAAAAAAATGATTTTTTTTTAGCCAGTAGGAAGATCAACAAGGTCAATTTCAAAGTGGTTCTTAAAATTGGCAAATAAGTGTGTGAAATCTGTGCTTCTAGAAGCAAAGTCAAAAGGCAGTGCACATTTTTTTTTTTATATAAGTTATCGTATTTAATACAATTATTGTAATCATTTAAGTGCTAGCGGGTTAGAGAGCACGTTCTTGCTCATTTGGTGCTTAAAGGATTAAGTTGATGATTTTGTATAAAAAGGAGACGAATTCCAATGCGAAAATAGGGTGGAATTTTGAAGCTCAGACTAACCCTGGATACCCTTTGACACAAAAGATTAGCAACACTAGGAAGACAATATCATAAGAGACACCACAATTTTCCACTACAGCCAACCACAGATGCAGCACATTAAAGATGCACCAAGAGGTGTGGGTTCACTTAATCATGATTTAGGGAAATATGGAGGAATGTCCCCGACCTAATTTTGTTTAATTTCTTAAGGTTCGGTCTGGGGATAGGCATATACCTTTCTCTCATCACATGACATTGATCACCATTATTCCCAAGACAATATTTATTGTGAATGCTGGTGAATTGATGGAATGCAATAGTAAGGTGAGCTAATGGGCACTTTATGAATCTCATGATTTGTTCACTAGAACATAAGCCAACTAGACGGGTAAAAAATAAAAAAACAAACCACAAGAAATAAAAATGAAACCTAATAAGGCGGAAAGCTTTTGCAAACGCTGTTACCAACTCCCCATAGCTCGATGTTTAATGAATAAACCTCCCTAAATTGGAAAGACGAAAACCCTACACCTAATGCAGGAAGTATTTCGGAGTATTTCAACAGACAAAAACTCATCTATGAATAAAGAATTAAAAGCAATGAGTTAAAGAATGTTAAAGTGCAAATCAAGTGGAACACAAGGGGTTATTCTGAGAAGGGGTGTGGATTACAACCAAACCACGCAAAAACATTCAAATGCCCAACAGGACAAAACAAGTATTTAGGAAATGAGGCAGACGGCACCACCAAAGACGAAACCACATGTACAATTTTGCAGACCCGAATTAGGACATTTTATATCCATTATCTGGACTGTATCTTTGGTTGAAGAAAATTATCTACGTGAATGGTACGTGGGATGGGGGTAGAAATCTGAGTGCAAATTTATTTTTTTTAATGCATGAGAATTCAAAGTTTAAAAAAAAAATTATACAAAATATATATATTCTTCACATTCATGTTTTCACTTTGGTCTAAAATTTGAATTTCACACTTTCATGAATAACCCTGTGTATGTTTTGTCTTTCTTAAGTAAATGACAAATCATTATGCAGATGCCATCACTAAAAAGCACATGCTTTAGATTTGAATCAGGTTTGGAATGAAGCATGTCTGCAACTCTTTATGCGTTTGCTCTGGGGTGGTGCCAAAGTAAGAGACTGCTCATTTCCAGAAAAGGTAAATAAAGTATTGACAGATCCGGTTGTAGCTTTATCTACAGTTACATTTTCTCCCCCAAATTGTCAGTTATTTTGAGGATTGTGCATGTAAAACAAAGCTTAAAAAGTATGGATTAAAGTATGGGTATAATGCGGAGCTTCCCCATGCTTGCAAATTATCTGCATTAAAATATCTAGAGAAACAAATAAAAACCTTCCAACACTACTAAAATACATGACTAGCGTCAGCTCCGATATCTTAAGCATAGATGGACAGAAACAAAACATTAAATAAACATTCAAAATGCAACAAGCATTGCAATGCAAGGGTCTGCTGTGCTTAAAATGCAAAGGAGCATATAGAATACTATGCTGTTATCAGCTACTGAGGTATGTGATTATAGCTAGAAAGTTAAACCACTTTGTATAAATGTATATTGAGGTATTTACGTTTTGAAAAGTATTGAGGTATTGATAATGTGGAGGACGCCCTCTTTTGCAGCAGCACAGTTAAAGGAGAAAACCATTAATTTGGTTGTAAAGGAAATGGGTGCTTAAAACAAACAGAAATTTTAAATGTTTATAGCCCTTTTTGGCTTCTTCTGTTTGGATCTCTAAGAATTCTCTTTACGGGTGTCAGTACTGCTTCAAGTCAGTTTGCTTCATTCGAGCCTGAGGTAAGCAGTTATTAATAAATTGTGCAGGTTCAGAAAAACAGGTTGTTCTATAACCCTCTTTCCAAGAGGTTTTGAGGTAGATTTATTTTCTTCCCAAACTTTGTTTTTTTAGATTTCAAAGGCTCTGTTTTTGCAAATAACAGTATATGTGTTTTCTAGACAAAAAAAAAAAAATTTAAAAAAAAATGAGGTAGTTGCTTAACAACGTTGCACATTATATACTGGATAGGAATTCCCTGAGACAGTTTAAGGTTGCAAATGGATTAGAAGGCTTGAATACGGTTATTGCCAAAATCCACCACAACTATTGTGCCATCAGGTGCTACAGCTATGCCAGATGGCCGATCCATCTGGCCAAATCCGCTTCCTTGGGTGCCAAACTTGCATAGGAAGCTGCCATTTGGTTCAAATATCTGTATACGGTGGTTTCGAGAGTCTGCCACAATGATCCGCCCCTCAAGGTCAACTGCCACTCCCTGTGGCCGGAGAAACTGCCCATTGCCTGATCCTTCAGAGCCCAAAAAATGTGCAGACTGGCAGTCTGGTTTGATAATGAGCAGCCGGTGGTTGTTAAAATCTGTCACAATTAGGTATCCATCATGGCTGAAGGCCACACCACGTGGTGAATCAAAGTGTTTCCAGAGTGCTCCCTCAAAGCCATACTTATTCAGGAATGTCCCATCTGGTCCAAAGAGCTGGACTCTGTGATTACGCGTGTCTGAAACCAGGATCTTTCCTTCTGAATTTACAGCAACGTCCCAAGGGTAGTTAAATTGACCATTCTTTGTCCCCTTCTCTCCAAACTTTAGTATGAATTGGCCTTCAAAAGTGAAGACTTGTACTCTGTGGTTATCCTTATCTGCCACAATAATTCTACGGGAACTGTCACAAGCTACTCCTGCAGGCCGATCAAACTGACCTTGTCTTGATCCCAAGCTACCAAACTTATAATGGAAGGTACCACATGGCTTGAATATCTGGATACGATTGTTACTTCTATCGGCTACAATGATATACCCTTCCTTATCCACACAGACACCCCAGGGGCGGCAAAGCTTTCCATCGTGATCTCCCTCTCCACCAAATGACATTGTAGGAAGCCCAACACCCACATAGCATCGGCCTGATTTCACATCTACTTTAAATGGACTGTTCTCAATATGTTGGTTGCACACCATTACGGAGAGAAGGTGTTCTCCTTCAAGCTGAGGCCTGTAGTTTACCAAGTAGGTACCATTCATCAGATCATTGACCTCTGCTCCAAACAGACTACCATCAGGACCCATAACAAGTACAGTTATTAAGTCACCACCAGACACCCGTGGCTCCCCATCATGGTCACATCCAATAACTTTAAAAGAGGCAACTTTGCCCTGAAGAGCACGCATCAAGCCTTCTCCGGTGGCTTTTGTAAGAGCTGCAAAAGATCCACTGCTAACTAAGCCCAAAGATTTTATGGCAAGAAGCAACGCTTTGTCAGGAGGGGTAAACATGATTCGATCATCCTCCTGAAGCTGCAGGAGACCCCTAGCACTCTTGACATCTTGCACCTGGGCTAAGAAACGATTCCGAGCAATTAGAATATCCATTGTACATCCATCCTCCAAGACCTGTTCCACTGCATTGATTGTACTGTCTAGCTTGCTCAGAGCCTGATGTAGCTTCTCAACTTGGTGGTAGAGAGACTTTGCTTTCACCTGTCGAATCTTTTCAACCTACCAAAAAAAAAAAAAAAAGAAAAACGCACAAAAATGAGAATGTATAGAAACCACCAACATGAATAATAATCTGGTATAGTAAGCCGTTATTTAGCAGATGGTTACATTGCAATCCATATAAACAATTTCAGAACTTCGTTAGGGATATATTGGACCTGTATCTGATGGATTGTAACTGCTTTTGATACGATTTAAAAAGATTCAGTGAGTTGGACATGAAAAATAATGCATCTTCTAAAAGCAGGTAAGAAATACCTTGTCTCATCGGTTTAATTATGAGATGTATATCCTTTGTAGCTCGCACGACTTGTTCCATGTGATGCAGACGCAATCATTTTTATCACTAAAGGTTTTCATACATGTCCCCTTCTATATTTTAACCCTTTAAGGACCAGAATCATTTCTCCTTAAGGTTTGGTATGGAATGTTCTGCTTCCATAACAAACCTTAATGTTTTGCAACCCTATACATTCCTGCATTTGTTATACAAGTGGGACGTTCTATTAGGATTTCGGATCTTTATAGGCTAATTTGTTATGAATTGGTCTTTAAACTGTTTCCCCCCTGCTTTCTTTTTTATACATTCAGAATGAATAACAGAAAGTTAAAGAGGCTCACCAAGTAGGAATTACATTGATCTGGAATGCTACTTCAATGATCACATGTGAAATGAATAAATGATTTGAGACTCATTTTTGGAAACAGAATTTTCCTTTACAGATATAAAATAACTATACAACTTGTCAAACTGTGGTGAAGACTCAAACTGTTAGAAGATTTCTAATCCATTTCATAGTGGAGTTAAATCTTTTTTTACAATTTGGAGTATGAAAATAATTTATTATTACTATGTACAAAGGCAAAGGTGCCCTTAAGCGAGTCACTCTCAAGAGCTTTAACATGATCTGAACACATAGTAGTGTGTTCCGCTCTACTTGGGCTGGATATTGGGGCAAAATATCTTTAGTGAGTAAATAAGAATCCTTTTCACCTTAGCAGTCACAAACTAATGGAGAGAGCTGACCGGAGTTGAAGACGGAATTTTACTAACCTTCCAAAGCAGCTTGCATTCCCTCTCTTCAAGGGCCTTCTTGTGCCGGGCTGTGACCGCTTTGATCTCGGATTGCACCACTTTGGCTTTCATCTCAACCTGCTCTGCCAGTGCCTGGGCCTGCTCTAGGCTCAACTGCAAAATGAAACAAGACACCATGCATACTATTAAAAAGTGTGTTCTGTTACACTGCAAGCATCTCAGTTAATGTCCCACATACAAGCCCAAGCACGTAGCTCAAGACTTTCACAGGAGCCTGTAAATGGGCCACTAAAGAAGCCAAGATATGCATGTTTCCCCATTGCCATCTGAGTCGCCAATACATTGCACTTCAGATTTTAACGCAATGTATTTACGCATATCACACAATACATTCAATTTGGTTTTAAATAAATACAGGATATTAAAGGAACACTATAGTCACCTAAATTACTTTAGCTAAATAAAGCAGTTTTAGTGTATAGATCATTCCCCCTGCTATTTCACTGCTCAATTCACTGTCATTTAGGAGTTAAATCACTTTGTTTCTGTTTATGCAGCCCCTGTGATTTTCACAGTGAGAAGCAAGCAAACGCCTCTAGTGGCTGTCAATGAGACAGCCTTTAGAGGCTGGATTAACCTATTTATAAACATAGCAGTTTCTTTGAAACTGCTATGTTTATAAAAAAAAAAAAAATGGGTTAACCCTAGCTGGACCAGGCGCCCAGACCATTTCATTAAGCTGAAGTGGTCTGGGTGCCTAGAGTGGTCCTTTAAAAAGATAAATAAATAAAAAGTGGTATAATCCCTTCAGGACGGAGTCAATAGTGTTTGTGACTAAGTGGCTACTAAGAAACACTGGACATACCCCACTTGCAATACCTTGGGTTGTCTACTTTTGCAAATGGTACGCCATCATGGGGGTAATTCTCATTCCTGGGCTACCATACGCTCTCAAAGACAACAGAACCAATCTGGCAAATTTCAATGTCCAAAAAATGAAATGCAAGCCCCCTTATATGTGACTCTCTAACTTTCCAAAACACCATAAAACCTGTACATGGGGGCAGGGCTGGCCTTAGGCCATTAGGCGCCCTGTGCGAAAAGTCTTCACGGCGCCCCATCCCCCCAGTAAAAAGCTGTATACAGTCACACTCACAGGCACAAGCAGACAGTTACACAAACCGTTACAAGCAGACAGTCAGACACACTCAGTTACAGGCATGCAGACACTCACGCATGATGATGGGCACACACACACTCAGTTAATACACACTGTGTATTTTTTTAATTCAAAGTTTCTTTGTAAAATATTTTCCTTATTTTAATTTGCTCTATATGTACATTAGAGCGTTTAACCATTAATACACATACAAATCCACAGATCACATGTTGCATATACATAGATAGACACAGTCACATACAGATAACTAACATTACTAACATGAATTTTTTTCAGGAATTCTAAGCGGATTTCATATTTGGCGCCAAAATAGCTGAATTCGAAGCACAGGTGACTTTGAAATTCACTGACAATTGTCGTTTTAGTGAAGAAGCTTGTCAGATATGAACACACATGATGTACACAGACACATCATAAAACGCAGTCACAGATATACACACACATTATCACAGTTAGGGTACAGATGAGGGTATATGACAGACAGGATATGTAGGTAGTCTTACACCAGCAGACTAATGCTGATGTAACACCACCTATACTCAGCATCTTCTTTCCCTGTCACAGACTGGAGGAGTTTCTGTGGCTGGGAACTCAAGGCTGTATTACAGTCTCCTACCTTGTCCCAAGCTGCCAATGCTTTCATGCAGTGCCCCTTCTCTCTGGTGCCCGATCACAAGTCTCCTCTGTCCCCGATCTCCAGTGCTGGCCTCTGGTGGGCTAGAGGTGAATAGCAGGGAGTGCTGATCATAACTTCTCCCTCAAGGTTCTGGCGCTGTGTGGAGTCAGAGCGCGGGCTGGGAATCTCTGAGGCTGCGCTCTGACTCATTAACTGAGCGCCAGAAGTGCGAGGGAGAAGTTATGATGATCTGGCTGCAGCTCCTGCTAGGTGCACCACTGGACCATCACGGAGTCATTTTTCATGTAACAGGATGGACTCAGCTTGTGAGCCGTGTCGGCTGCCAGGGCGCCCCTTGTGTTATGGCGCCCTGTGCGACCGCACAGCTCGCACACCCCAAAGGCCGGCCCTGCATGGGGGGTACTGTTATTCTCGGGAGACTACACTAAACACAAATATTAGTGTTTTAAAACAGTAAAACATATTACAACAATAATCTAGTCCATAAAAGTGCCGTTTGTTTGTAAAAAATGCAAAAAACTTCACTTTTACTTAAATACAATTTACCAGTTGTAATACAATTTACCAGTTTGAAACACTAATATTTGAGTTCAGCGAAGGCTCCCGAGTAAAACAGTACCCCCTATGTACAGGTTTTATGGTGTCTTTGAGAGTTACAGGGTCAAATATGGTGCTTGTGAATTAAATTCTGTGCACTTTCTCCCTGTGTTGTCAGGCATGTCAATCAAATTTTAATTAATCAAATCACATAATTATGTTAAAAGATTACTTAAATATACATGTAGAATTTTAATATATATGCATTTATAGGTACTTAAAATTCTACGTGTATACTAATGTAATTTATGTAATATATTTGCGGTTATTTGTATTTTATATATAGATAGATATATATAGAATGTCATTCTAAGTGTATTTTGTTACATATATAGTAATAAAATACAGTTAGAATGAAGTTACATATGAATATATAATTTATATTAAATTTGTTTCAATATTTTATGTATATATTATTGTAATTATACGTATATATATATATATATATATATATATATATATATATATATATATATATATATATATATATATATATATATTATATATATGTCATTCTAAGTGTATTTTAATACTAATATATGTACTTATATTATTATTAAAATACATTACATTATATGACGTTACATATATATATATATATATATATATATATATATATATATATATATATATACACACACTTATTTTATTTTAAAACATGTCTAATTTTTTTTTTTTTTTTTTTTTTTTTTACTTTCCTACCAACTGTCTGACATTTCAGACCCACAGCCAGCTATAGGGGGCCAGGTGATCGCTCTTTGAGAGCGATCACATGGCCCCCGGAGGCTTCTTTTGCCGGGGGAGGGCTGCCTGGGCTGTGAGGCAGTCCTCCCGAAGCGGAGCGCCTGGTAGGCAAGTATCCCGGGCGCTCCAGGGCTCAAAGCCGTTACGGTGTTAAAACCCAATTAACGCGGGACGGCATAGAACGCTGTAACGGCGTTAAGGGGTTAAACAGATTTACATTTCTTTAGCCTGCATGGTTGCTTTTTATTTACAGAGCCGATTATGGTTACATTGTGATGGTCAATTTTGCAAGGAAATCTATATATATTTTTAATATTCTTGCCTTTTTTGTTTTATTGACCAAGTTGTCCTCAGGTATGCACCTGCTTTTAATCTGCACACAATGGAATTGTATACAATGTCAAGAATGAGTATTATTAGCGTTATTTATATAGTGCCAACAAATTCCGCAGCGCTGTACAATGAAAGGACTAACAAACACGTAATTGTTACCAGACAAGTTGGATGCCCAGGAACAGAGGGTTTGAGTGAGGTAATGTGACACAAAAGGTAAAATCCCTATAGGAGTTGTATTTCTGTGAAGCCGTGTGGCATACTCAAAAATCTAGTGGAACTTCAGTGTAGGAGCTGGGGGGGACAGATGTAGGTGGGTCCTATAGAGGGACACTTGGGAAATATGATTTGTCTATAAATAGGAATGTTCTGGAATGTCAATGCATGATTTTTATCACTAATCTAATCTACATAGTTGCAGAGCATGCAATTCTAGTGTGAGCTGCCAACATTAGCCATTCTATTTACACCAGCCTGTCTTGCTTTCCAGCAGCTGAGAATTGGCTTGATCTGCTGTAAGAGGAGCTGCAACCCCTCTAGCACAGCACTTCTTCATAGTCCCACCAGTTTTATCATACCTTGGCCTGAAATGTCTTTCAGTCCCCTTTGAAATCTCAAAAAAATAAATCCAGTTTACGGGGACATTAAGTACCAAAACTACTACATTGTTTTGTAAAATTTAATATTCAAGTCCTCCAGTTCTGGTTATGTCTGAAATTAAAGGGACACTTTAATCACCGAAACAACCTTAGCTTAATGGAGTAGTTTTGTGTACAGATTATGCCCATGCAGTCTCACTGCTCAATTCTCTGCCATTTAGAAGTTAAATCACTTTAAGCAGCCCTAGTCACACCTCCCTGCATGTGACTTAATCGGCCTTCCTAAACACTTCCTGTAAAGAGTCATTTAACGTTTATACTGCCTTTATTGCAAATTCTACTTAGCTTGGAATTTCTTATCTTTGCTCTTTTTTAATAGTTGGTTATACCCTGCAGGTGTGTCCTGTGTGTGATTCAAGTTTAATTTACAGGGCAGGAGATGAAAACTTTAAGCAAGTAAACTAAAGTTAATTCTAATTAAAAGTAAAACCATTTGTTTTCATGCAGGTTGAGTCAGTCACAGCTAGGTGGAGGTGTGGAAATGGCTGCATTAACAGGAAAAAAAAGTGATTAACTCCTAAATGGCAGAGAATTGAGCAGTGAAATGGCTTCAGTAAGCTAAAGTTGTATTGGCATCTCTAGAGTTCTGCTGCCAGCCAGGTAGGACGATCTTTAAGATAAATAAAAATATACAGTATAAGCAGGCCATCACAGGAAAAGTACCCCCCTCTCCCCCTCCCAATAAAATAATATTTTTTTATAGTATATATGTGTATATACATACATACATACACATACATATATTACATTTGTGGTCGGGGCAAAAGCCGTAAGAAGAGCATATTAGAAGTAGATATGTAAGGTCCCTATATGAGACCTATAGTAATATGAAAGTTAGTTGTGGTGTGCCGGAACCGACAATGCGGTGGGCCTGTAATAAAAGAGGGCAAAAAGAGTATACCATATAGAACAATACAGCCAAATCAAGCATATTACAATATATTACCTATACATGTTATGGAAGACTTGGTGTTTTTAAGAAAAGGTTGATGTATATATCTGGAGTAAGCTGAGGCCTCTATATTCTCAATGTCCCATTAAAGGGACACTATAGTCACCCAGACCACTTCAGCTCAATGAAGTGGTCTGGGTGCCAGGTCCCTTAGGTTTTAACCCTTCTGATGCAAACATAGCAATTTACTGCTATGTTTACATTTGGGGTTAATCCAGCCTCTAGTGGCCGTCTTCCAGACAGCCACTAGAGGCGCATCTGCGACGCGGGAGGCGTATTTCACCTCCATCGCGCAGAGCGTCCATAGGAAAGCATTGAGAAATACTTTCCTATGGACACTTTGAATGCGCGCGCGGCACTTGCCGCGCATTCGACTCCCGTTTCGTCGGACAGGGAGGAGAGGTCAACAGCGCCGAGGGAGCCCGGTGCTGGATTAAGGTAAGCTGCTGAAGGGGTTCTAACCCCTTCAGCGCCATGGGGGAGGGACCCCGAGGGTGGGGGCACCCTGAGGGCAATATAGTGTCAGGAAAACCGCTTTGTTTTCTTGACACTATAGTGATCCTTTAATATGTACTGAATGTTCCTGGAGATATGGTTGTCAATACTGATGTGGAAGGAGTGACCTGCTTAATTAAGACCTTATCTGACCATGCAGTAAAACGTGGAGATAAAGTCTGAAAATACTTGTCGTTAGAGTATTGTCGTGTAAGGCTAGTAGAAGCAGATCAGGGGAACCTTGAACAGAGGTCAGGTCGTTATCCAGCATTATTGCTGACCGAATTGTCAAATGTCATTTAGTAGTGTTAAAATATTTAAGTAAAAGGTGGCAAAAGAAGTGAAATTGACTGCTGACCTCAAGAAGCTTTAGCACAACATAAAATCTAGCCATAACCAGATTAAACTGTAGACCCTCAGCAGAAAGTCTAATGGAGAACAAGATAAGTGAGGGATATGATCATATGTCGATAAACTAGTAATTAGCAGCTCACCAAGTCAGTATTCTCACGAAGTGCATATGACAAGATCTGCTCGAGGCACATGCAGATACGTGAGAAATGCTATAGGTGAGTCAAACAATTAAACGACCCTAGAGTTATGACATAGGAACCGAGGATAACATAAATCGCATATACCAACATAACAGTGAGAACAATAGTTTGAAATCATGAGCCGCCAGAGCGTGAGTGAATACACGCGAGCACATGTATATACATATATTTGCGTACACACTACCCCCTAACCACTATTTACATAGGACGATATGCATGATCTATAGCATGGTTATCTATGATTTGCGAGCCCGGCATCAAACTGATCCTGTAAGTAGCGACACCTGTTAAGGGAAGCTAAGAGGAATGACAGTATAGAAAACGATAAGTCTTAGTAAGGGCCTAATACCGTAAGCTAAAGGAGGCATGCTGTGATGCTACGTTTAGATGAGAAGCTGAATTGTACCATTCGGAAAATCGCCCTGAATGAACATAGCTGCTTCTATGTACGAGGAGGGAAGTGGTTCAACCTAAATATTGTCATAATAAGATATCCCATCTATCTGCGTGGAATGCATGTAATCTGGATCCTAATTTACTTGTGATGTAGACAGATAGTCAATATCCCGTTGGATATCTTGAACGTACAGAAACATGCACTGAATATTGAGTTATGGAACATATGCTCGAATGCATATGGAGGATCCTGCGAGGGTCAGCCATTTGTAAAAGTCAGAGTTTGAATGTATGTACAATACGTAAAGGAGAACCGAGTGAGGTCTTGAATTGATATGAACATGAAAGAAATGTAATATTTAATACCGGCCATCCAATTACATAGGGCAACCTAAATATATATTCCTACTAACCAGCTAAAGGATTCTACCTGACAAGTATTTGCAAATATGGACCTATACTTGTTACTGATAACCAAAATTACTGTGTGTACCTAATATTTCATCAAATGATGTTCTAATCCAGTATAATTGGACAGAAGGAATTTACCAATACCAAATAGTACCAGCCACGTAACTTACACACATTTAATTCTACAGGCTCCACATAGTTATGCATGATATAATTAAATCTGCTCGATATAATTATACAACAGGGTAGGTTTCCAATACTAGACAGTTCTAATACGAAGCAGTCATTTCCCTACTAAAAGCATGGTTAGTGGTACCTATATAAGTAAAAAAAAAAAAAAAAAAAAAAAAAAAAATGTATGTATGTTTGATAATTGGTTTATATAGCTGTGCTGGTACATTTTGTGCCATTCCTGCTGTGATGCAAGGTATAGTCCAAGAACTGATAGAAGTAGGAATAGCCATGTCCCTTGTGTGACGTATCAGACCTAGTAGGTGTGCAGAGCAGGGACAGGACACTCCACCTTCCTGTCGCAGAGATGTGTTCAACAGCATGGAGTAGTTGTGTGTACCCTTACAACATACTGGTATACTAGCTATTGCCAAGTGTCGAAACCATTAATTAAACAAGTTGGGGACGGGTGAGGCTCTACTAGATGCCAAGAGGCTTGAGAAGCTCTATGTGTTGACCCGAGGGGATTACGTGGCCACCGAATTTGTGGCGGGGTGTCAGCCTCTCTGACTTTTAAAGCATAAGATAGAATGGGCGTGACATGTGAGGTCCTCTCTACGTCACCATGCGAGGCGACGAACTATGAGTTGGGCCGATGGGTGTAATATCTCAGAGTATGAGGATGGATGTTGGCCTTGTGGGACCACTAACGTAATGCATAGAGGCTTGAGAAAGTATACGCTATCGGGCTCCTGGTGCCCTGCCAGCAAGTAATTAAACTAAGAGAGGCAGGGTAAAAGTTTTGAATGAGTATGTGTAATTTGACGTATCTGAGAACGAGTAGTCAGAAATGCGATAAAACCAGTGGATTGGTGCAGACCTACAGGGTTAACGAGATATAGTAAGAATTGTGGCATGTTATGTAAAAGTAGATATCCTGTTCCGCCCAACAGGATATGTAGCGATGAAACGTTCAGTCATAAGTAGGAGGTTATGCAGTAAATCGTAGATACCTAGCACCTAAAGATACGATGATGTAACGTACTTGAGTGAGAGGTCACACGTGGATCCAACCGAATAATCAATAAAACCTACCTAATGAATGTAGTATAAGGGGTATGATGAGTAATGTTGCCCTAAAATGCAGAGTACTCCGTCACCTGTAATAACCATGTTATCAGTAATGCCCTAGATACGAATATCCGACCCTTATGGAAGAAAAAAACCAGATACATTTGAAAGCAGCAGTCCTAATCATGAACCTAAAGATATAATGAATTATGTGAGAACTATGTGCGTGGCCCTGCCCGGGACATCTTTGAGAGTAGAACAGATGCAAGATAAAACAGTAATGCTGTTAAGGGACATAAAACGTGGTTATATATATATATAGTCAAGAGAGTATTCTATGCACTTGAGTAGAATTGAGACAAGCAGTGAAGTAAGCCACCATAACAGGTGAATTAGGATAAGGATCCTAAACTTAGTTAAATAATTATACACCAAGGCATTAACTAAGGTAACTTACTATACAGAACTAGTGATAACATCTAATCCCCAGTTAAATGTCAAAGAAATATATTAGAAATGGAATAGTAGTAGCTTAGGTGCAGGTTATACAATGTTGATGTTGGACATTGGTTAAGGAATTGAGCTTTAGTGACATGAGTATAGGAATGCACCGGGTGAGCATTTAGAGGCTTAGCTGAGTGAAAAAGTGTATCGTCAGCATCTACTGACAAAGCATGGAAAATGATAAGCAATGCGTTTGCTTTACCTAAATTAAATACCATCTTCAACAAAACATAAGAATAAATTAAAATATCGACATGTGCAATATCAATACAGACCAATATAGGCAGATCTTTAACACTCCATATTTACCGAAACAAAGAATTTATAAACATTCCGTAAGATTACGTGTAGAAAATAAACATTAAGGACTAGACAAACTAATGAGGGCCATATGTGGGCCGGAATAACTGCAACCACTAACCAAACGCACAGTGAATTGTGAATAGTAACAGTGATGTTTTGAGTCGTGCCCGAAAGATCAATGGCCTTAATGTAACTTTAGTTAGAAGGTACATAACCTCCCTATGGTTTGAACAATAAGAACTGGCAATTAACCTGAATAACACAATTGAGTCCCCTACAAAGAGAAACATTCGTAACGTCAGAATATACGGATAAGGCGTGAAAAAATAATTAACAAACAAGTGTTTCATCACTTTAAAATATCAAACTTCAAATATAGCCCGTGCAATATCATTTGACCATCAAATTGACCATTAAAGGTCGACATTAATTAACTGAAGTCAGGTAATTACTGCATGTTTAAAGTCCTGTGCAATATCAACTGACCACTAGAGACTGACCTTTAAAACAGTCATTAACTGAAACAGTGAAGTAAAAATTTGTATGAAATCGTGTGAAACCTAGTACTAAAATAGGGCATTCGGTTATAAATATACAAACAACCCTTGTGGTGGGCTAACTTTCGGATGTAACCAAACATTCCGAGATTAACGAAAACTATACGAAATAATAGTTCGAGAAATACAACAACTTTGTGTTCGTATGTTTGAGCCGAACAAATGCGTTCTTGCGCATGCTCCCAAAAGCCCACTAAACCTATGTGGGATACAAACAGGCTGGAAATAGCTGAAAGACCGAACTATAGCCTAACCGTTCACGTAGCCGCGAGAAAACAAAAAACAATCAGATGTATGCGAAAGGAGATAAAAGCATAGAGCCGCCCCGGAATGACGCTGAGCGCCTGCGAGTGAGGTGTGACAGGCAGCTCGACTCACGGTTTTTACGATTCAGGCAACGAAGGGAGTGGAGCAGGTATGGGATTCTGTCGAGTTGGAAGACAGCGAAGCGGACACCAGCTAAGCAAAATGGCGATTTGCACAGACCAGAAGTCACGGTATGCAAATCGCCAGACTGAAAATGATAATGGGGAGCGCTCTGGCGTCCCTTAAGAAGGGAAACCAAGCCTCGCTATATATACAAATACACACGCTATAGTTCGTTTTTTCTATACAGAGTGATTGCAGTGCAGCAAACCATACACAGCCAGCCACATTATCACAGTCACTCAAATAACACAGACAAAACACAAACATCAATTTAAATTACACTAAATAATAAATATATTTATAAATATTCACCATTAATTAATTAAGAGACACATACAATTACACCCTCAAAAGCACATGCACATAAACTTATCACCTTCTTAGAAATACAAACAGATGCCTGTTGGGAATGCACTGACAGTCAGAGGGCAAGTTACACTATCATTTTAAGCAATCACTTTATTTTCATCAATAAAGGAGAAGGAACAGTGTATGTAGGTTCCCTCCCAGGCCAACTTGCTTTTTAAAATGCTCTTTGCTTTTTCTCAATCTTCTATTCAATTTGCCTCTGGAAGCCAGGGGAAAGGGAAATCTGAAGCACTAACACAAATAGTTCACCATAACCTTTGGGGTCTGACAGCCCTGTATTAAAATTCAGAGACTATGCCTGTTGGATGGAGAGGGGCTAAAAAAACCACAGTGAGGGCATCTTCACAGCCTCTCACACTTTATTAGACACGCAGATCTTGGCTCAGACCCTTTATTCAGCACTCTGGGGTCAAGAGCAAGACGTTAATATGTGCAACAGAGTACTAGGAGGCAAGTAAGGACAGAACACTCTTGGTCGGTGAAGATCATCGAATATTCTCCCTACCTGCTATACCAGCACTTACTATACAGCCTCAAATACCGGTTGTGTAGGTAAAATACCAGCCAGGTGATAATCCTACACCCAGGCCCAGCCACTCTGCTGTTACGAATACTACAAAGTTTGCTCAAGTCTAAAAGGAATGATAAGCTGCGAGCACTCTCCTAAGTCACATTTGTCACACCAGTGCCAATAAAACGTGTTGTAATGGTGCTGACAATGTCCCTAGAAACCCTTTAAAGACCTTTGACCAGCTTAATGTATTGGCTCTGGTGTATAGCCTATGCTTGGATCCTGAGCACTGTAAAAGCTGCCTTTTCAGGCAGTGTTTACATTGGTGCAGAGGAACAACTCTAGTGGCAGTCAAGCTGATGCTGAACGTTTCCCATATGATGCTGATTGACACAGCACAACATTTTGCCACACAGGAAAGCATTGGATTGGCTGATCTCATCAAGATTGATTATTTTAAGCCATGAAAACATGGCCAGCCGCAGCGAGATAGGAAGGTAGCCAGTCACCTAAATAGCCACTTCTGGACTATAGTGTCACTAATGACATTATGCCTTGTCCTGAGATGGTTAAAACACACACACACACACACACACCTTGCCCATAATATGCAGGGGGCCAAGAAGGGATTATTTGGGCAGAGGTCTGATTATCAGGCTTAAGAAAGAGTACAGGTTGATCCTTAGGGCAATTATCTGCTTCAGGACTTACTACTCAAATATTAGATTTGGGAGAAATAGAAAATGTACTATTTTTTACCTTGTCTAACAACTCATCAACTGATCACTTCAGTGGGAGTCTGAAATAGGTGTGGTTCTTTCAGAGGCTCACATTATTAATGCCAAACAGGTAAAGTGGGTTACATGTGATCACTGGCAGTGGCACACAAGAGAACAGAGAAACTAGAACAGACTGAGCAAAGAGCATAAGTACAATTGACAAAAGCAAATATAAAAATACCATGGGATAGGAAGCCTATAGTGCAGGGGTAGGCAACCTATTAGCAGCACTGTGCAGATATAAGATTGTGATGTCCCGTAGCGTGCCGGTCCTATTTTTTTAAATTGAGGTGTATATGCTGCCGTATTCTGCTTGTGTTATTTTTACTGTAATTGCTTTGTATCGTTGTATTTGTGCGTATATAAGCTATTATATTGTATATGTTCATTAGTAGTTTATGGTATTGTGTATGATACATATGAATGTGGGCTGTGTATGAGGGCTGCTTGTGGAATTGTGTGTGGATGGATATTTCACGTTGTGTGTATTTGTGGGGCTGTTTGGGGTATTGCATGTGGGGTTGTGTGCATGTATGTGGATTGTTAGTGGTGTTGCGTTTGTGTGGAATGTGTGTATGTTTGTGTGTGGGCTGTTCATATTATTTGAACGAGGGAGGGTTATTCTGAATTTCTGTGTATATCTAGCAGTGTGGGTGGCTTCCCTGGGTTCAAGTGGGGACCAGGCTGGCCAGGTACAGATCAAGGACTGGAGCTGCAATAGCAGCTGCAAGGCTGCTCTCCTCCAGTGTGGATACCCATTCACAAGTGCTGGGAGGAAGTGATCTGTGATCACTTCCTCTACGTGCTGCAATGTATAAATTGAGAATTGTCCTTCACCACCTCTTCATATTAGCAGATATCTGAAGTTTCACAGGGACTCATGATAGGCCAGGGCCTATTTGGCTCTAGCAGCCTTGAGTGCCGTGCAAAGACACCTTGAGTGCCGTGCATGGCACTAGTGCAGTAGGTTGCCTACCCCTGCTACAGTGTATCAAACTTCAACCATACGGGGTAGATATCTACCAGGGCCAGTTTTATAGGTCATGTGCCTGTATGCACAGAATTCTAAGGTTCCCCCCCGCCCCAATAAAAGGCAGATAAAGTTAATATATGTATGCACATACATGCATATTTCTACTTTTAATGTATTTTGTTTGAATTTAGGAGTATAAACCGTGTATGCAACTGTGTAAATGCATGCAGGGTTAACAATGTTAGATGTGGTTAGTTAGATTATATAAAAGAGATAATGTCAGAGTCAGATTACCTAGGGTGCTTAGTGATGCAAGGATTAAAAGCTTGACAGGGGTTATAGTTGTGGCACAAAAGGGTGTTTAAAGGACCACTATAGTGCCAGGAAAACATACTCGTTTTCCTGGCACTATAGTGCCCTGAGGGTGCCCCCACCCTCAGGGACCCCCTCCCGCCCGGCTCTGGAAGGGGGAAAGGGGTAAAAACTTACCTTTTTCCAGCGCTGGGGAGCTCTCCTCTCCTCTCCGCCTCCGTTGCCCGCGGCTGAATGCGCCGCGCGGCAAGAGCTGCAGCGGTCTCTAAAGCATTTACAATGCTTTCCTATGGACGCTGCGTGCTCTCACGGTGAAAATCACAGTGAGAATCACGCAAGCGCCTCTAGTGGCTGTCAATGAGACAGCCACTAGAGGATTAGGGGGAAGGCTTAACCCATTCATAATTATAGCAGTTTCTCTGAAACTGCTATAATTATGAAAAAATGGGTTAACCCTAGAAGGACCTGGCACCCTGACCACTTCATTAAGCTGAAGTGGTCTGGGTGCCTAGAGTGGTCCTTTAACCCCAATCTAACAAACCCAACAATCCTAAATTTCGTATCTGGGTACATTTTTTCGACTTAGGTTTCTCACCCAATCAGCGGCTCCTCTTCGTAGATTTTGCAAAAGTAAAGGCAGGGTGCAGAGAGACCCGACGCTGGAGCATAGACTTTGGGGCTAAACAGTTCATGAATGGTTGAACCCCTAAAGGTGAGCCAGCACCAGAGACCTCCTGGCACTGTAAAAAATGTCCTTTTGTTAAAATTATTAAAGGGGCCCAAACTGATCCTTTAATGAAAAAGGGGTGTTTAGGTTACATGCATGCAGAGCGTAAAGGTTTATTTGCAAAGTTCTAACTCTCCAATGACTGATAGTAGAACTGCAGGAGCGGTTACACAATGTGCATCTCTCAGTACAGTCCCTCCGCCTCCTACAAATCATTTCCTGGGTGAGAGGCTGTCAGTGGGCAGATGGGAAATTATCCATTCCACTTCATATCCAGACACACACAGGAGGAGATAGGACAGCACAAAGTTTTACACTCTCTATAACTGTTCCTGCAGCCTTGATATCAAGAATAGGCAACTAAATAGCATGCAGGGGACAAAGTAAAGTAAATTACAGACAACTATTTCTAATGACCAAGCAGGTTTATAACCATTAACCCTTTAAGGGTCAGTGGGTATGCAATCCAATAATATATTGTAACATGTTGTACAGATAATCAGTGCATAGATAGAAGTGGAACACAGTAGAGGAAGGGGTGCAAATGTAAGGGAGATTAGGTTGATTGCCAATTTGTTCTGTTACTTGAAGTCCCAGAATTGGCATTTTCGAACTCTGTCTTCAAGTTACCATAAAAACTAAAATGTCAACAAACAAAAAGACATAGGCTGTATGCAAACTTTAGGTGCAAAATTATTGTGTGTCAACAGGTTAACCCGTGTGTCAACAGGTAAACCAAGATTGTTAAACTCCAGCCCCCTCAGATTTTGTTGGGCTGCAACAGACAATCCTCTGCTCATCTAACACATTAAAAAGAATTTGTGATAATATGGTCAATTAAGCTGGAGCGTACCGCCCCGTGTTAAAAAGTCTCAAAGTGAATGACAGCACATGCTGCGTGTGGACAAACTGTATCAGCAAACATGAACTGTAAATGCAACAGTAAAGACACTTCACAGGGTCACAGAGTAACTTTAAAATGAATACAATTTCCTCGCTAACTTTTGTATTTGTCTTACTGTTCGTTCACCAACTGTACAGCACCGTGGAATACATTACCTCTTCAAAATTAAAAAGAATAATTGACATCATATAGTCAGTATGTTAATGGAAACCTATTAGCAAACCAAACCTCTATGGGAAGCCGAGAAGCACCATGTGTGAGTTAGTATCATGTCAATTTCTCAAGTCCAGAAGGCTTTTCTTCTTGAAAAATGCCACCACACACTTCATAGGGCTTCACAGCATTCAAATGACAAATGTTAAATACTGACAATCTTTATTAAGATTAGGTCCTGAATATAAATATATGCTTAGGACATTTCTTTATTTTATAATTGTACATACTGGTGTCTACCATGGTGTGTATGTAAGTGAAGTAATTTACTGCCTGTCCTTAAAAATAGCTAGTTAGCAAGTTGGCCTCAAGGGCCCCTCAAAGACTTTCCCTCCTCCAGAGACGTATGAAGGTTTGTAACACTTCAAACTCCTTTATGATCCTTTTGTGCTGAACAACAAGAGTGGGCTCAGCCCACCCATTCCATTGGTTTTCAAACCTACTTTCCCAATGAATTCATCTGCAGCTGGAGAACAAAACACAGCTTGTGTGCCCTGGATGACCCTTCTATGGAACCAACATTCTGACCCTTTGATGTGCAAAGATAACCAAATTACTTCCTCTGTTTCTACTAATGAGAAGCCCCTGCAGCTTTTACTAAAAAACAGAAAAAGGCAGAAAAGGCAAAAAAAAAAAAAAAAAAACACAACACCACCATACCTCCCCTACAGGGGAAGTCATACAAAGGTGCTAAATTACCTCATTTATTACATCCCATTCAAATGTGTTTACTCCCCCACCCCTTTTTGGAACTCTAAATGCATCTGTCCTCACTACTACTGCATGCACACAAATAATCAATAAGGCCAGTATAGATCACAGATGGCTTGCCATCTTCCACTGAACATATGAATAGGACAGTGGAGAGTCTAGAATGTCCTTTAGTCTTTAAATGAAATTGAATTACAAGCATGCTCTGTTCAGGCACCTTGTTTATATGTACAAATAAGGTCTTCTTTTATTTGTAACTGCAGTAAAATGAGGATGAAAACATTCTGGCATTTGATACATATAGAAACACCCACTAAAACAATAACATTTCTATAATAGCAGCAGATTAGGATGCCAATGTAAAATAAAATACATACATCCAATACAATGTAATAAAATAATTTAGGAGTCATAAAAAAAATAAAATAAGTAAAAAGCACTCCAAGCACAATAACCACTACACTCCACCATAGTGATTATGGTGACATGAATGCCTTGGAACCCTTCCCCACAATGTCATTTGTCAAACAATTTTAGAATGGTTTGACAACTTACTTTGTTTCCATGAAGCACCAGCGACCACTTCGTCTGCAATCCAGATTCTCCTGGAGGATGCTTATTTAGCATTTACATCTCCTCACAGCCCTTCATTTATTGAATGAGCGAGACATTACATCTTTACATATTGATAGAGGATATATAAAGCAGCTCTGTCATGGTCTTGGAGTCTTTGCATAATTTGCCAAGAGCCCTGACATTGACATAACTGCTGGGAGCCAAGTGGCCATTGTTGGTTGGGGTGGGGGCAGAGGAAGTTAGGTTTTATGCCACCATCTTGTTCCATCTGGTCCACTTCATCCCCAGGAGCCAATGTCAAAGCTGTACTCTTGCGCATACTTGAGAGTGCAGCATTCAGGTCTATGGAGAATCCTGCAAGATCGAGGGATCCTCCATAGAAAGATCTTTATTTCCCCTACAGCCATCACTGGTGACCTTCGTCTTTTGTCCTCCCCAGTTGGATAAACCTTCATTTAAATTAATGATCCATATTATGCTGGCAGTAAAATATGCATAGCCAGAAATTTGAGAAAGCAAGGACATCAAAATTGGCATGAAATAACATCTCAAACTACCAATGCTCTATGTAAAAGATTGTTTTTTTTTGATGAATAAATCAATTGGCCCTATATAAAAAAATCTGGGGAAAATTGGTAACATCTTCCTATACGAATATGCTCTAGATAGTTTAATTGAGATCTTTAAACTGTGAATCTCACGCTCAACGGTTTTAAGAGCTAATCCTGAACCACCTACCCCACGGCCATATGAATGATGTACGTAGTATGAATGTGGATAGAATGTTGAATGAAGCATTGTGCTAAAATATATATATGTATTTAAATGTCAAGTTCTGTTTTGTACCCTATATGCTTCAGACTTTAATAAAGAATATATATATTATATTCAAACTCAGGAGACTAGAAAAACTCCCACTTCCTTTCTGGGGATGTAACTCAATAGATTGTTATATTTCCAGTCTACTGTACATTTTGAATATGCTTCAGATTATATTTATATAAAATTGGATGGGAAATATCTTAAGACAATTTTAGAACTTCATAAAAAGTCCAAAATATCTTTAGTGGAGTTAGAACAATCTGCATACTTAGATGAGATACATTTTATGTAGACCAGAACAGCCTAGTTCAACAGATTTGCTTCCGGTTGGTACATTATATGACCACATCTTAACTACCTTCTTTATACTCAGCATTTACAATAGATGGTCCAAAACCCATTGTTTGCTAAAAGAATGTTAGCTTTCAGACACGATAGGCCGTAAAACAATCTTTACCCAATGGATTCATACAACTCTACTAAATTTCATTCCATTCACATTTCTAGTAATTTGACCACCTAGTTTTACTATAACTGGTCAGAAACTCACTTAAACAAAGAAGTTCTCCAAATAATTCTTTGCAAAATGGTCTCCACTAGTTCTTTACAGATCTTAGTGTCTCAGGGTTAAACATAAACCCTTCTTCCAGTATGCGTGGTATTCCACTGAGATGTCAGGAGACATCCCCCCATGTAAACTGCCGTGCTCTTTAAGGGGTCCACAAAAATTTGGAATGTAACAGAGGACACAGACACTTCTGCCATGGCGACAGGCCAGTATATGGGGTGACCGGTGAATATTACACTTAGTCATCATTAATATCTCTAGTATATTTTATGCTAGTTTGTATGAAAAACTCTAATATCATTATACCTGTCTATGTGCTATATTCAGTCTCTGTGTATTCTGATTTTACGCTGTTGATGTCTATATCTTGCCTGTCTTGAATATAAAGATATTTTAAAAATTATAATGAAAAAAAAATTAAAAAGATAATCTAGTTTTATATAGTACTTTGTTTTCATCTGCTGATCAAGGTAATTCAACAGATGTTTTCAGAATATAACTGATTGACTTCAAAAGATCATAATAAAAGAACAGTGAAAGGAACTATCCAAGCACCATAACCACTATAGTTTTTTTTTTTGTGCTTATGGTGGTAGTGTCCATGCGCCCTCCCACTGATGGGAGTCAAACCACTTTTGAACAGTGTGACTTAACTGGAGTCTGACATGTTCTGTTTCCCCACTACCACATTCCTCAGCTACGTTCTGACAGCTGATAGCGGTGTTCGATCAGGAAAGCCAAAAAAAGTTCTTCCTGAAAAACTTCAATCTCTCGGGAGATGGTAGTGGAGGCGAGGAACTGCGCCTGACAAACCCCAGATAAAACGTCAAAAACGGTGAAAAAATATTTGGCTCCTTAAAAAAGTGCAACTTTGCAGTCATACATTTTTAAAGAGTGCCTCAATATTGTCCATATGCTTCAAGGAGCACACTGGGCACAATAACAGCTTCATAAAAATCAAGTTGTTAGGGTGCCAAACTCAAATTCATCGGGGGCCGCATCAGCAGTTTGGTCACCCTCAAAGGGCCGGTTGTATCTGTAGGACTATGTGTCCACTCTTTATTATCATAAATTATTGTCACTGCATTCAATTATTACTGTTTTTTGTAATAATGTAAGTAATAACTAGCTCTGAAAGCAGAAACATAGTGTGTATATAGTGTGTGTATATGGGGGGCAGTATGTGTGTATGGGTGGCAAAATGGGGGGCAGTGTGTGTGTATGGGGGGCAGTATGGGGGCCAGTGTGTGTGTGTGTGTATAGAGTGTGTGTGATATAAGGGTAGGGGGGCTTTTATATATTATATATATATTATTTTAATTAAAATATATATTTATGTCCCCCCTCCCTTCTTACCTTTACTGGGGGGAGGTGGTACATTTCCCTGGTGGTCCGCTGGGGGATTCATTGGTGGTCCCAGTGGGAAGAGTGAACTCTAGCCCACGCTCCAGGGCTAGAGTTCACTCTCGCGAGATTTGGAGCATTGCCGTGGTAACCACGGCAACGCTCCAACTCCCGCGAGAGGAGGACCCGGAGGAGCTGCAGCCTGAGCTCCGGGTCCTCTATCCTTCCCTCCCCCGCCGGCTGTCAGCACTGTGCCTGCGGACCGGGGAGGGAGATCTGTGATCTCCCCTCCGGTCCGCAGGCACATTGCTGGGCTGGCAGGAGAGGGAGACCGTCGGTATTCTCGGGGTTGCCCCCCCTGGATCCGCCACTGGGCTGGCGGCCGGCGGCGGCTACACGGGCCACATGCTGAGGTCTGGCGGGCTGGATTCGGCCCGCGGGCCTTGTGTTTGACACCCGTGCTTTAAGGGATAAACGGTTTATGGAGTTTCCTCATCAGTGCCATTTTGCTCTGCCTACTCAAACGTCTGCAGTCTGAAAAGTATGCCACAGGCTGCTCACTGTTTAGTCGACATGCCCCTACTCGCGGTATAGAGAGGGGCATTGGGGAGATTTTAATCTCCCTTATGCTATTATGTGGTGGGGGGACCTGGGGGGGCTTGTGAAGTGGCGGGGAGCACTGCTCCCTGCCGCTTCTATCTTTACATATTACAAGGAGGGAGCTGCGCACCGGTAGCTCCTCCTTGTAATAAACTGAACGAACAAACAAACACTGATATTCAATGTTTGTTTGTTCGTCTGACATTTCCATTCATTCATTCCTCTGTCTGATGAATGAATGGATGAAATTCCCGTTCGCATGTCCAGGTGTTTCACTGGGCATGTGCGGGAATCTCACAGTCTATCTAGTGTGGGCAGATGATGTGTCCCACAGGGACTTCCTCTACCCACACAAAGATGGCGGCGCCTTGAATATAGATCGGGGCAGAAAATAAAGATTAAAAAATAGGTAATATGGGGGCTTAGGGGCATTTGGGTGTGACTAGGGGGTGTTAAAAAAAACAAAAAATGGGATTGGGCCATGACAGTGCCGGTTTAAGATATCCTGCTGGAAGTGAGCTCTGCATTTAAGAGAGTGCTTTAAAAAAAAAAAAAAAAAAAAAAAAATGTACATACACCATTCATGAAAATGTGGATGAGGATTTTAATTTCACATAAGGCTATTCACCAATGTGTTAATTATCAGAGATTTAAGCAGAATTTTAGTCTACAATAGCGGAATAGAAAAAATAATTTTAAAAAATCCAAGTCTTGACTATTTTGGCATAAAATGTTAAATTTTCTTTGAATGCCAAGCAATTCACACTTTAGTGAAGAATCCTGACAGATGTAGGTTTGTGCCTTTAGGTACACCATCATCATTATCCCCCTCCCCAATTTCTTAAAATGTGTCCATATTGCAGCAGTTCGGTTTAAGGTTTCATAAAATAGGACACTACATTCTTTGCGGTTTAGGACCACAGAGTTAAATCGTCAGCATCTCTAAGAATATTTTCAAGTATGGGTCACCTCCTGGCTTACTGGCCCTTCCGTAAAAAATAGGCAGAAGTCATAAGATGAAACCTTTGTGGTTTCAGCAGAGGAAATAGACACGGGTCACGTGATTGGTTGGCAAACAAAAGAACAGATGATTACAGCAAGCAATACTTTTTCTTTTGCAATACTAAACAGTATTAATATTCATAAAAAAAAATAAAAAAAATACGAATCGCTTGTAAGGAGATAAGCACAATCATGTTTTCATTAGATTACGGACACCACCCTTAACCGTAAATCTCGCTGGATTATACATTTAACTGCTTGATAACATTCCACCCCCAATCTTGAAGACATTCCACTGTTCTAGGTGGGAGGCCACTGTAGCCACACAAGAGCAAGCATGGCACATGTTGTCTATTTTACAGCACGACTCACAGCAACAGACTTGTTGCAGGGAAAACACATTGATTTCTTTATCGTCAGTACAAGAGGTTTCTATGGAAACCCTGGACTGCAGTGGACCCAGGGGAAACATTCATTTTTACCTACTGGACACTTAATATGTCAGCTGTTCATTTCACTTGAACTCTTGGGACATGGTTACCGCATCATGTAAGTCAAGTTTTACAAATACGCTGAATGAAATGGTTATACTTCAAAAGATCAATGCATAAAGCCAATTTATATAGGACAGTATGCAGATGTGGTCATTACGGCTACACTATAAACAAATATGCATTAAATAAAAAAAATAGAAACCGAGCTATTAGTTAAACTCTTAATTGTAGATAGTTTGAATCTGAATGTCAAAATGCGAGTTAAAATATTTAGGAAATTAAAAAGAAAGCAAATTTTTATATTTTAGCTTAAAATTAGAAATTCATGTTAAATTTTCAAAATATCACACTTTAGTACTTTATTTTTTGTCATAGTGACAGTTTTTTTTTTGGGAGGAGGAAAAAGGGGGGTGGGAAAATGTGATGCACAATAGACCCACAGCTTCATATCCTTCTTCCCCTTTGCCAGTGGAAAAAGGCAACAAAATAGGAAGCTTCCATCTGTTGCGCTTCCATAATTTACTGAACAGGGTTCTTATTGAATTTAATTAAAAGAACATGTATGCCTAGAGGCTTATAATGCATTCTGAGAACAAGTTGTTGAATTGAAAACCGCTTGCACAAGGGAATGCCATGCATTGATGCTTACCTGAATAGCTTGGCGACCTTGCTGAGCGTCTGCTAACAGCTGGATAGCCAATGCCCTTGAGTCTTGGAGGGCATCCTGGAGGTAGATAAAGTTGTGTCCAGCATGATGTCCCATAGTGCAATCACGACATATAGGGATAGAACAAGAATCACAGTAGAAATGGAGGACCTAAAAATGAAAAAAATAAAAATAAATTAATATTGTTTTTTTTTTTTGTTAGCTGTTTCAAGGGAACACATGTTCATGTTGTATATAATTTTTTTTTTTGAGGTGGCACAATATGACATCAAAGTTTGAGAAATAAATATAGGATGGGTTAAACACAAACGGTTTCTAGGCAACAAAAACACATACAGTACCAGAGGTATTCAGTATCTCAAAGGGTAGCGGAGCAGCACTGCTTTTTAGTATTTTGTATGTGTGTAATGGCTATATCCTAAATATTAAACACGTTCTCAATGCTCTACAGAGAAGCAGCTAAGCATTCTGCATAATAATCCAAAACTATACAAAAAGATTATTATTAAAGAGAGTCAAGATATCCTAGTTACCCAGAGACCGCTGACACTATCAGCCACCACTGTCTAATTACACGACAGGACCCGACGCAAGAATAAACGAGACAGAGAACTCATACCCAGAGACTGACTGCCTCGAGACAGGCACAGGCTTAAAGCAACAAGAAGCTTTCCTGCTAACTAATTCGGGTCAAACCCAGGCCAAAGCCCAGGAGCTGGCATCATCGGTAGTCGGAGGGGAGGGTCGACAAAGGCCCATGGTTTAGTCAAATGCAGTATTACCTATATGTTTTGCTACCTAGACCCAAAACGCATCACCTTTTATTGTAACATTTATTGAAATAATGATATACAAACAAGTTCAAAGCAAAAGTCTTGCTACGTAAAACTAATGTTACACCCTGATGTTGTACTTTGATATTCTAATAATCTGACCACTGTTCGTATTTCAATAAAGAGAGATGGACCAAAAAAAAAAATATGATATCCTAGTTAGATATATGAACTCTCCCTATTATCTTCTCAACTCTATGCATTTAGATGAAGTTTTCTAACACACGCACTTGTTACCTAAAATGACCAGTTTTGGCATCATAACTTCACCAGAATGAAGTTATGGTGCCATGCGGTCCCTGGTGCCCCCGAACACTTTAACGTCAAAGTGTGTTCCAGCTCTGAAACTCCATGCCTCGGTCCTTCCATTTTCTAAAAATCTTTTAATTGGATGGCAGTGGCGCTACTGATTGGCTGAGTGTGGTCAGCTGAGGCTCTCAGACAATCAGTGACTCCCCATTCACAAAACTGGCTTCAAAAGAAATCCTCATTCATAAAACGTGCTTGGAAATAAACCTTTTACTAACCAGTTTTATGAATGGGGAGTCACTGATTGGCTGATGCATCTCAGCCAATGAGCAGTGTTGCTGTCTTTTTAAGAAAGATTTTAAGAAAGAAAAAAAAAAAAAAAAGGAAGAAGGCAGTAGCACTGGCACCGATGCACAGACTTTGGAGTTAAACCATTGGAGCACGCGCCAGGGACCTCCTGGCACCATAACTTGATTTTGATAGAGGTTTTATGGTGCCTGGAGGGTTGCTTTAAAAACTCCCGATTTAAAAAGACACATACTGCATTTGTGAAAGTAGACAGCACAATACACACCAATTTAACTAGTATTTAAAACAACTTTTGCTTAATATAACTGTTTTGGTATATAGCTCATGCCCCTGCAGCCTCATTGCTCATTTCTCTGCCATTTAGGAGTTAAAGGGACTTTATAGTCACCAGAACAACTACAGCTTAATGTGAGTATAATCACTGCCTTCAGGAATTTTCATGCAAACACTGCTCCTAGGGACACCTCCAAGTGGCTGCCACTCAGATGACCACTGGAGGTGCTTCCTGGCTCAGTGTTGCACAATAGGCAGCACTGCCGTTCAGCGTCCCCACGCTGAATTTTCCTCATAGAGATGCATTGAATCAATGACCAAAATGGTGTTTGGCCTCGCCCCTTACAGATTTTAGCCAATTCGATTGGCTAAAAATCAACAATTCTGATGTCACCAAGGGGGTGGGGCCAGTGCCAGCAGACCTGCATGGCCCTGGAAATAAGGAGAGTTTTTCATGCTTTTAATGGGGGAAGGGTGTGCGGCAAGCCACCTTAATGGTGGGTTTTGCACTATAGCGTCAGGAAAGCAGATTTAAAAACATCATAACCTTGACTGTAGTTATTTTATGCATTTAAAAAAAAAAAAAAAAGAGAGATCTACACACACACACACACACACACACACACACACCCCTTTCAAGCTAAAAGGACCTCTTAGAATTGCATGTCAAGTATTTTGAGGTTCCTGATTTTCCTGAACTCCAAGTGAGAATCTTCCCAGGCCGCTTTGGAATCTTTCCACATCTGTTAAAACCGACACATTCTTCCTTCACCATGAAGCTAGCGTACATGTTCCTCCCGTACCCATCTGACAGCTCAAATAGTCAAATTCCCCAGATCTATTTAAGAGGCATCTGTCCGTCAAGCTGATTTCCTTACTCAGTTTTTCCCATCTTACACACGATTATAGCACACATTAGTCGCCATGAACTTTTCATTAAAAAAAAAACGCAAGCCTGTTTTTACACAACTACAAATGACTGTATATTTTACTTATGTATGCTACAGGAACTTTTTTTATTATTATTCTTTACTGTATTTTGGTTGTGCATAGAATATACAGGTATGCTTGCATTGCCACAACAGCTGGTGCAGGCTTTACAGTAGACAGATAAACATTCGTCAGGAACAAAATTTTAATAACCTTTAAGCACCTGACATACAAACGGATAATCAATGTATGCAATGAATGATGCACGCACGCGCACACACACACACACACACAAACAGCTGGGCATGTGATCAGTAAAAAAAAAGTTAATATTGATACGTTGGTGTGAAAATGTGAAGCCCTGCAAAAAAACAACTAATAGTGATCCAGGCATCATTCACTGAAAATAAAATGACTATATAATTAGTCACAGAATAAGTACAAACAGCAAATAGTAAAATGAGCAATGGTACAGAACAGTTCGGGTGTCTGTCTCTCCTATTGTTTTTTCCCCCCCCCCTTTTCTTATGTGCGCGTGTTTGCTATGGTTTGCGCATTTTCTCTATTTAGCAAAAGGTGCATAAAAGATTTATTTGCATAGTGAATGGTGTGCAGATTACTATTATGTTATAGTACTTTGTGCACCAAGGGATGCACTCTAATCCTGCACCCAGAGTATTATACTTAAACATTAATTGAATTAGTGACTGGTGTGCAATTCTATCCAACTGTTAAAGACAACATTAAACAGTTAATCCATTCTATAAAATTGGGTGAGCAGAGGAAATAAAAATTCACTAAAAGAATAAACCCGGAAAGACATGGAAAGGATCACATCCGCTTTCCTAAAAAGTGCAAGAACCCAAGTGTTTGTTGAGCAATAGTTGCTTACAACAGTTTCTTTCCTGTTTTACAGAGGAAATTCCTGGGTGGCATTCGGCTCCATCTTTCTTGTCCATCTGCTCCCCCAGGAGGGGGGAGTTGATGGAAATGTCCCCTGGAACCATGTGGCAATCAATCAACATGTGATGAATGGTCACTGGAGTTAAATCCTGACCTGACGCGGTGACCCTACTTGCATCACTAAAGTGGTTTAATCTAGCCCTTCTTCCTTCCAACATAAGCCAGATAGCCAAGGGCCAAACAGGAGAGGGAAAAAAACCTATGGCCATCAACCAAGCCTCTGAAGTGAAAAGTGAGAAAGTAGAAATTCTTGGCACACCAGTAACATTTTGGCAGATCGAGTTCATTGATTGTGTGTACATGATAGCCTTCTTGAAGACTAAAACTGGTCACATTTCCTGCTAAAAGTCCAAATAAAACACCAAAAGCGGAACAGTATTTTGTATGCGTATTAAGAAAAATAATATATTTAATTGTATACTGCTTCATCAAAATACACTACTGTAAATTTGTAGGCTACATATACCATACATCTTAACATTCATTTTGTGTTTTTTGTTTTAAAGACACCAAAAAAGCAAAACTAGAATGTGTGCATGAGGCTAGATAGAGTGACAGACACACACAGCACAAATAGAAACATTTTGTTGTTATGCATCACCTGAATCTCTCAAGACTTTGGAAAATCCTCCTTGGGCACAAACTCAAGAAATCATGTTTTCCCAACTATCTCATGAGTATGATGCTGACAAGACCAAGAAAGTCCACTACATGGCACATACATATTTAAACTATTTCAGAATAGGATTCAGTGGTTCCGTAAGCAGTAGTAATTTAAACAAAATAAAAACACTCGCCCCCCCGTACCTCAAAGAAACAGCATCAGATACCTACACATGCATTGCTAAAGTTTTTCAAGTTGTCATGCCCACGATAGCACTTACCAATCAATTCAATTGCACACAGCGTCCATTGATACAAGATCCATACATCCACAACACCTATGTTACTTGCACCAATCATTAGCAGTTTATGTAAAAAAAAAAAAAACTGTAAGGAACTTCTTTAAAAAAAAATTAAACACTTCTTCTGACAAGCAATTCAAAGCTTCTCTTACAAATTACTGCATGTCATTGTTCAATTCAAATACTGCTATTCACTAAAACCTTTGATGGCCAAAGAAACTTGCAATGCAATTGTGTTGCCACAAAACAGATCTGTTACCTAGAACAACAGAATGCCTGCATTAGTGGACAAATACAATCCCACGTTCCTAAGAAATGCACTTGTAAAAAGTACATGCAAATTAATTATTAATGAAAAGTATCCAGTGTACATGAAAGATGCCAGTAAATTGGTCTATTTTGAGCCATTACAGTGGTACTAAACAAAAGGAGTGTGCAGAGATCCTCTGAGTTTCTCAGAGTTTAGCCCAGCAACAGAGAAAAGACATCTCAATCGTCAAGTATATAACCTGCTTCCAGAGTACAGTCACCTCTAGTGAGAAAAAGTAATTTAATGAATACCAAGTGTAACATCGTCTTATCATAGAAAGATCATACCTATGTAGAAATTATATAAATAAAATGTAAGGCTAACCATTAATTGTCCATGTAGCATAATAGCAGAAAATATTTTTAGCCTGCTTATGTCAAATATGCATTTTACACATAACAAAAATATGCCAAGGAGACACATTGTGTTCTATTGAATAGGAAGACTGATCAATTAATAATACAGCGCTACATAAATAATAATATATAGCAAAAGTCATACCATCACTCATATGTCAAATAGCCTTGGCAGTTAACCAGAAAGCATGCGGATGGGTGTATTACACCTTGGATAACTCAGCCATGACTGTAAAAATCTATTTTATGAACCAGATTGTATTTAAGAAGCACATATAGATGAATAAAAGTGTGGCTCTGATAACATATCTAGACAGCACCAGGATGGATGGACATATACAGCATTGCCATGTAAACCATTTGTGCAATACCTAGCACTCGAAAAAGTTAACACACGCGTATGAAAAAACCCCAAAAAGAATCCTTGTTGAAAAAGCTACTATTTCTTCCATGACTTTGCTAATGTTTTAGGTTGTGGGTAAGTAGTTAAATACAGCCAAGGGATCTACCTGGTTTTCTTTGAATGGGGGTGGGGGGGGGGAAACAAAACAAACACAAAAGCAATTAAGATTTATTTCTAATTCCATCAATCTGTAATTGAATTAACAGTTTCTTAAACCAAACTAGTCCAGCCTGCATCTCAGTGTAGGTGTAGCTTGTACGTGCAATATCAAGAAATTATAGAATGCAATGCCCCAAGCTTGAAATTATATTAAGGATACAAAATATTTTAAGTGTTTAGGGACTTCTCCCATCATCTGTCACAGTTTGACAGCAGCATTACTGGTCTTTCAGGAAGAAACTAAACAGGTCAGGCTAGATTGACACTCGTAGGAAGGTCAAAGGTTATGGCAGTTTGAAAAATCAATGGGCCCAGCTGCCAGCATGGCGCAAGCGGACCCAATTATGCAAGCACGGGCTCACTCACTTGCACACATTTTATATGTATGCTGCTTAAATATATTTTAGATAAATTAAATTCTAATAAAAAATAAATAAGTAAAAATCTTTGCACCCATGATTTTACCCACAAAACCCAACTCACTCTGCCAGCAACAGGAGTCATGTTCAGGCAATGGAATCCATTTTAGGATTTGCTCTTTACAAGAGAGAACAATTCAACACATACACACTGTAACTATATTAACAGTTGGCTGACTGTCGCCTATGTAAACCGGGAGCTTATGTCTCACTTTTTAAATGGACATAACAGCTTCTTATGTATAAGAAAATTGATACATCATGTAGCACATTTAAATAAATGCGAACACCAAAACTGGCAATTGTCTGGCTTCTACAGTCACTACCTGAGTAGCCGTACACCACAGTTCTTTACTGCAAAAGATAGTGTTTTCTTATATACATATTATAAACATTTGTATTTATTTTTTTTAAATCTTTTCCAGTGTATTATGGAAGACAATGAAGTGGTTGTGGTGCTGGTGATAGCTGTTGCCTCTAGCGCTAGAGTGACGTGATCGGTTTTGTACAGGTGTCGTTATTTCACTTCAATGTATTCTCTTGCAAAGTTTTTTGCAATAACATCTTAACCTGCTAATTACCACTGTGTTCAGAATAATTTAGTTTTCTATGATCATCTGCCAGGAAATGTATGTTTACTGCTTACTAAACTCATAAGTACAGGGAACATCTGCCAACGAATAATCATTTCATAAAAAGACATGACATTTAAGCAATGTTTTTTTTTTTCCTGTGCTACCTGCTTTACTAATCTTTTTCTGCGGATGATCATATAAAAACCCTCCAGTCACGCATCTTTGTCTTCCAATCTATTTCAAAGAAATGTATTTTACAAGCTGAATAATCAGGAAACTGCAAATAGCTTCTAAACACGATTAGAGAGTTCCATCCTCGGCAATTGTCTCTAAACTGGTGGGATTGTCCTTACTAAGAGAATACAGGCTCTTGAGTTCCAAGCTGGCCCGCAGCAGAAATTTCCACATAAACAGCTAAATTGAAGTATCACAGATGCACAACTGCTTCTCCTTCAAGTACTTTGATTTGAACTATACATATGCAATTACAATGGTCATCTTTATTCAGAATTACCTTTTTTAGAGGTTCCAAACAATAGCATACCCATTCATGTGCTGTTCTTGTTAGGAATGTTTTCGGCTATTTATCACAGGCTATTAAAAAGCCACCCAGGAAAACCTCCCATGAGAGAGAAGCAGACAAATGCCTAACAAACAAAAGGAGTACCGATCAGGTTTATACGTTCTCACTCATTATCCCAGTTACCTGCTATTTTGGCTATCCGATGGGATAAAACAAAATGGAGTTACAAAAAAAAAAAATTCTCAAAGAGAAACACTATTTTGGCCATATTTGTTTAAAAGTGCAAAAGCAAAAAAAACAACCTTTGTGATTTGTAACATTTTAGTGCCTGAAGTACCCCTGCCAAAATATCCATTTATTTAAATTTACACACAAAAATTTTTTAAAAAAAAATTAAAATAACCAAACACTCAGCAGCCACAACTGCATACTAGGAGTCCCTCGGTCCCTCCCAAGTCCAAATACGGTGCATGTGTGCTGTGCAAATTTCTATGAAACAATTCGTACATAGTAACATAAGCTCCTATCATGCGTTTATAACTCATGTACTACAGCCCTAGTAGGACTCCCATAAAGATGACTAGAACTGCAGGAGTTCTAATGGTGCAAGAAAGCAACGTAACAAGAGACAAAGAGGAACACTTTAATTTAAGGTGTATGGATGGGGTTGTGGCCAGGGATGTTCTGAAACATTTTAGGTGACTTACTAAAAACAATTTATGCAACTAAAAGGTAATTTAGAACTATAACAATGTATCTTATTCATACAGACTGATTTCTGAACAAAATCATTGCTGTTCAAAGACATTATTATTGCTGTGGAGTATGGTAATACATGCATGCCCGCCAACACTTGAGGGACTGCATCCACAGCTCCGAGCATTATTAACTACTGCAATGAACTGCAGAGGTTATCTAGCCTGGCATGTCAGGCTACATAGCCTATTTATAAAAGGGAGTGACTTGTTAACCCAGGTATTGAGAATGGACACACTGCTGGCAGTAGCAGACAGGCGTGTTTTTCATTTAGTACAATAAAGCCATGAACACCTCTTAAACTTTTTCTCCCATCGATATATGAAGCTACCACATTTCACTGGTATGTTATTCATGATTGCATTACTTAAACATGAAGTACAATATAAAATACTAAAGCAGGAAAGCATCTGCATTAATAAACTGTGAATTCACCATAATGTAAAATGCGAGTTTGCTGTATGACTGGATTTTTTATATTTATTTATAATGGTTTTTTTCTTAATGTATTTTTTCTTAAAAAAATAAATAAATAAAACATAAAAATTACCTATGAAAAATCCCCCCCCCCCCACCCCATCGATGGAACAGAATTTGTTTGGCCTTTTCCCTCTTGTTAAGACAGAATGCCCATTAAGATTGATGGTAGTAAAACTCTAGGGTACAATCACGTGTCCTGCAGCTGGAAGGCTTTTCCTGCACAACACAAGTCACCGTGGTACAAAAGGGATCATTGTCTAGTAATAAAAGAAGTAGGCAGCATCCTGTGTAATGAACATTAAACGGAGGACGCAGAGTGGACGAAGACTTGCAAATATTTTCTTTTTAACATACTTGTCAGGGCAGCTGGTTTAAAGCTAGAATGGGGGGACCCTCTGTGAAATCCTATTATTGCCATTGACACAAAGACAAATGGTGTGATGTGCCCGGCACGTGACATAACTGGGGTCATGTCAAGAGACTTCATAGTCCACATACACAGAGCTTAGGTTGGAAAGAGAGAATAGTTAAATTAAAAACAAGTATGCATTCAATAAAAAGCAGGCCATGATTTCATCTCATTATGCCACTTCCATTTCAGGGACTCTTATAAATCACCTGCTACTTCTGCACCAGTTTAAAAACAAAAACCACAATTTAAAAAAAAAGTAAAAAAAAGATGCAAAATATAAAAAAAAATTAAAAAAAAAAAAATTTACATTTATTAAAATAGCACATAACACTTTATTTTTCTTTTAGTATCACTCAAATAAGTTTAAATTGTATGTGATTTTATGAAATACTTTAGACTTCATTAAAAGCAGGATGCTCTGAAAAAGTTTCAAAAATAAAAATAAAAAAATGGTATGCCCTGATGATACCTGGATTACAGATTGATTTACCCATATACATCTGTGAGCTGCCCTGCTCACCAACGATAGCTGTGTCTGTACTGTGGCATCTGCAGACTTCGGCCTTGTCAGAGTAGTCTGGTATGCTGACATTTGTAGAAAGAAACTGTAGCGGCGATCTTACAATTGACCAGGTCATTCCTCTCCCTAGCATTAAATCAGAGATAGCAGCTTTTCAACAGGATACTGGGCCTTAGAAAGTTAGACTTGGATGGAGGACATCAAATGGTGGACTGGTATTCAATGCTCTTAAAATGCGAGGTGCAGCAGCCTAGGTGGACCTCCAGTTAGAGGATGGTGTATTAATGCCTAGAATACTATCCTCTATATCCACATGCATACTCACACATTTCCCTCTCTCAAAGTACCTCTTTGAATGATCCTACTACTAAAACCACAATCATCATTGCTGTGGGCATCTAAGTATTATGAATTAGAACAGCACTTACATCATGCATAAACTTTAGGTGAGAACCACACTAGTTTAAAGGGACACTGTAGGCACCCAGACCACTTCAGCTCATTGAAGTGGTCTGGATGCTGTGACCCTTTTGCACTTCGTTCCATAGAACTGCAATGTTTACATTGCAGCTCTAAATCTGCCCTCAGTGGCTGTCTACCAGACCGCCGCTGGGGGCGCTTCTGGAATCCAAACAGACTTTTGGTCCGTTATCTGAAGCCCTTACACTCTGCATGAGTACTCCAGCGTCACATTTTTCCCCATAGGAATGCACTGAATAATGCTTTCCTATGGGGAGGTCTAATGCGCACGCAGCCTTTGCCACGCACACGCATTAGACCTCCCCCGCTGATGTCGGCAGAGCCTGACCCAACACCGAGGGACATTGGCGCTGGATTCAGGTAAGTGGCTGAAGGGATTTTAATGCCATAAGCACCGCTTGGGGGAGACATGATTTATTATAACCCCTATAGTGCCAAGAAAAGCGGGTTTTGTTTTCCTGGCCCTATAGGATCCCTAAAACGGGGAAAAGGATAATGTTTTGGAAAACATTTTTCCAAGTAAAAAGAACACACTGGGAACCATAATAATACCAGTGAAATGCAAAATATGTTTTTTTGTTTTTAAATAGTAGAAAAGCAAAACTAAACAACATGTGATAAAGTAGAACAAATACTATAACCACATTGAATAGGTTAACAGGGGAATTCCTGGAAGCAAATTCCACAGTAAATCTACTTCTTGAGTAAAAAAGAATTTCCCATTCTCAACCTTTTTCTGACATCCCCCTTGTCGCATATTATTTGGGTTTGACTAACAAATTATTTGTTCCTATATATACTTCATTTTCTACTTGCTCACCTCCTCAGTATCCAGTCCCTTTCCTCTTTGAAACAATCAGAGTTCCTTTGAAGGATCCCTCATACTTCCAGTGCTAAAAATCCATTTCCCTCTACCGCAGTATGTGAATTTCACACAATAATAAAGCAATTGACTTGTAGAGAAGAAAAAAAAAAAAAAAATTTCACACACCGTTGTTATTGTAAAAATTAATACAGTACCTCCCAACATTTCTGATTTTGGTGAAGAAGTCACAATTTTAGGGTCCTGTCCCATTGTCACCTGGTGTTCCACTTTAGGGAACAGTGCCTAAAAATTCATAGCAATTTAATTCATATCATATCATGAGAAAGGCAGAAAGCTTTGTGTACCCCAATCTGACCTTCCAATTTTTGCAGACCTCGTTTCCAGGGACTATACCACCTCATTTGGGAAGCACCAAACCCGGGCTTCTTGGGATGCAGATGTCAAGGGGTGGGTGTGATGGTTATTAATCACGCTTATTCACAAGAATGATACTAACTCAAGTTAATAAATACACACACACACACACACACACACACACACGGTTAGTGTATGTTTTATACACAAACGCCGCAACAAGCAATTCCTGCATGTATTTCACACCCTTCCAAATAACTATTTTTTTTATTTATTTTTTTACACTCAAGGTAATATAAGCCACACCAATCACCTTATCATAGCTTCATTTATGTTTATTGGGGAATGCATGGAGTGTATCCTATAACAACTTCTCAGCTGAAGGGTGTTCTAGTAACATTAACCAACACTGTAAAAAATAAATTAATTCTGGCCTTTAGAATGGACGACTGTATGTACAGGGTTGTGGACAGTTCAACAGAGAGGGGATAAAATGAAGGCATCCCAGTGGATGTCAGACTGTACACAGTCCAACAAATCATCTGCATGACATTTATAATAATGCTTCCCACTAAAGGGTTAAGCACTTACTCGCTACCAAGCACCTATGAAAATGTTCTCAATATTAGTCAGGCTCTCTTCACAATTTCAAAGACAAAATGATTTAAGAACGGAAAGATCATGTTGCACTGGTGCATGGCTAACTTGAGCTGAGAGTTAATCTAAGCATACTGTAATAATGAACAGAATCTAGCTCCTGTTATAAATTGGCTGGGTTTCATTGCATGGATCGTGACACACTAGGGGAAGAACTTCTCTTTAAAATACTAAAGTAAAAACCTTTTTAGAACTGGTGGTCTTCAACACAATCTCCTTACATTTACTGCGCGGACATTACAGCTGATTTTAGAGTCGCATATGATCACACATCGAGATGGATGTTGTCTTTTCTATTTTTAATCTATCTTTTGTTGGTCACTGCATACAAATAAAACAAAGCTTACCATCGCAGATCATACCTTCAACGTAAAAGACATTTCTGCATTTTCACGTGCCTTACACAGTGCCAGATTATCCATTGGGTAAATGTGGCATTTGTCAATGACCCTAAAAATGTTGTTTGTTTGTTTTTAAATAAAAATTACAAATATCTAGACTGCTCTTATACAATATATATGTATAGAGATTATATTTCTCGCGAAATATTAAATTTTGGTAAATATAAAGGAATTAAAGCTGAACAACACTGTACTCACTATAACTTCATACAATTGAAGTTGTTACAATGCCTACAGTAACCCCCTTCCCTCTTAGTGGCCCTGAGAACTTTAGTTGTTAGAAGACAGATTTGCGGTTTCAAGCAACGATCCCGCCCTCTGGATAGGAGAGCCAGGACGGTTACCTACCGCTCTCATATAGCGATGTCACAATGCACATGAGGGACTATTATTCTGGGTTGCACTGGTAATCTAATCCACAACAACCTGGTGTGCCAAACCTAAAAAGAAAACTTACAACCGCTCTGAAAAGTAACACACATGTAGGAGTCAGTCTTCTCCAATCTGCAACTGTCAAAAGTCCATCTTAATGGATTACATGGTTTTTAAAAAGTGGTCATGGTGTGTAAGAAGTCTGTATGTGCTGTACTTCTGCTATACAGAGTAATCTGCATTTTTACCAGGGCTCTATAGTTACACCAATCGTACATGTGATTCTGGTCAGTTCTAATGTCAATTCTGTGCAACAGGATTGTAAATGATTTTACCAAAAGCAAACTCCATGTCACACTAGAAAATGTATTAAATGTTCCAGCACCATTACCATGTAAACTGCCGCTGATATCACACACACACACACACACACACGCTTATAAAAATAAAGATTAAAATAAAAATAAACTGCTCAAAGTGTTTTGCCTTTTTGGGGGTTTTTCTTGTACAATTCTAAGAAAAATATATTTTTTCCACGGAATGCGTAAAACAAGCCCCGGGTAGTCAAGATATCAATAATGAGATTTGTTGACGCTCCATTCTCATAATTGATTATTATCGATTTTAGGATTTGTCCTTGCAGCTCTAGAAATACATGGAAAGGAAAAGAGATTCTACACTGGGGGCCTACTACTTCTACAATTGGCTAAAAACGCTAAAAAGATTAACTGAGAATATGACCCGGATATTAGCAGGAAATTGGAAATACCGCACGTTATAATAAAATTTAAAAAACAAAAAAAAAAACACACCTTTAATCTTTGTATGGGCATTCATGCAGTTTGTTAATCAAAAGAATATATGTTGTAACAGGCATTTTTTTGATAGGTTCAGTAAGTACCGGAAGCTACATCACAAGTAGTGGAGAACTGATTTTACAACCAAATTAAGAGACAACCCTTAAGAGGCAGATGAAAGGGGGGGAAAAAAATTATCAGGTACATAAAAGTTCTTTAAGTTATATTTAAATCATTTTAAACATTAGGGAGTTTAAATGTTATTGTAATGTTACTGTTATATGAACTGTTAATTTTCAAAAATTTAATCTTAAAAATACTAGTTTTAGAAATTGCCAGTAAAAAAAAAAGAATTACTAGCCCTACTGAGGGTAAAAGAACACATAATCACACCAAGATTACTGGAATTATTAAGTCATTGGAGTCCCCCCACCCCCCATGCACTACTTCCAGGAATCGCCCATGACTCCACTACTTCAAAGTATTAGGACCAATGTAACTACTAAAAACCATAGTAAATCCTAACTTATCACATTGTGCTTAAAATTACAATGTGCCTTTCTGAGAAAAGAAGAAAAAAAAGAAAAAAAGCGAAAAAGTCAGGAAGAAACAGTCAGGTACTCTTATCCATTGCTGAAAAGTCAAATTCAAGCCATCACATGAATACAAATGTGCCTAATACAGAGATGTGCATTGAAGAGTTCAGAGCATTCTAAAAAGTACACGCTGAAGAAAAAAAATTACTTATATTTAAAAAGACACAAAGAATTTGCTATGACATAAAATATTTGATGATGCAATTGTACATGTATGCTTCTGACTTTTTTTTCTCCCCTTGTTATAGTAAAGCATACATAGATGGTATTTATTGGAATAACTCACAATATGTCTGGCTTTTTTGGCAGAACAATACACATCTCCCTAAAAATCATCAGGCCATTGTCTACCTTCCCAATTGGTTCCAGGAACCCTAGGGTTCCCGTCGTGTGGTGCCCCATCCAAGATGGTAGCCGCACTCCCCTGCAGGTTGGAAACAGCAGAGATCACACACTTTACGCATGCCTGTCCCCGGTCAGCCTCAGCCTCCATCTTCATTTAAGGTAAAAATTCCTCCCAGCCCACTATTCCTCATTCCGCTCCTCCCAGGATTCGCTTACTCCCTCTTCCTCCCTGAATATTTTACCCTCTCTCCTTCAGTATTCTCCCATTTTGCTCTCTCCTAGTGTTAAACTGCCTTACACTGACTTGGCATATTAATCCAAGTGCAAAATCCAATTTATTTTGATAAATGCTCCATGTAGTTCCCTTCTGTTCTCTCACAAAAGCAGGGGGTTTGATCTTTTGGTTGAAGTGAGGCTTGCTTCTGGTAGTGCCATAGTGTTCATGGGAGTAGCTGCAATTTCAGATAATTACCAAAAAATTGCAAGAGTATCCACATAAATTTAGCAATTTTAAAAATAATTTTTAAATTTATTTTTACACACACACACACACACACATTTATTTCATGCACTATCAGTAGAAATCTGTTATATACCAAAAATGTTAATTCTAAATGCTGTTAACAAAACAATGTCCTTTTGGTGAAATCTGTAGTAAAGTGTTCTCTCTTTACTCCAAGATTGAGCACAAATCCTGCTTATGTCCATTTCTTTCTAAAAAGCATTATATAATAAAATAAAAAAACCAAAAAAACCATCATTGTAGTCAGGTAGTGAGATCTTATTTTTTTTCAGGTTAGAGAAGTGTTATTTTTTTCCAACCAACCAACCACCATGAATTTGGACAACTAGTTAAAAACAAGAAACTACTATCAAGAGAAGAATTACTACTACTTTCCGAATTGTTCGACAATTTTAGAAACCGAGAAAACAAGAAATCAAGAAACCAGGTCCTGGCAGTTGAATCTACTGTTCCTCAAATAGTCGAGACAAGTCAAAAAAACAAAAAAACAAAAAAAAAACACAATAATGCTACCCAATCTTCTTCTCAAACAAAGAAAAACAAAATATGAGGACAGCTACTTAAAAATTTGATTCACAAGTGCCAGAAATAAATTATACCTCAAGCACAATGCTTAGTTTGCAAGAAAAATATTGCCAAACAGTTGAATTTAGCACCTGCTAAATTACGCCAGCCATTTTGAGCAAAACCACGTTAGAGTACAAACATTGCCTTTTAACAAAACAATATATGAAATTGAGAATAAAAAGGCCACTTATTAAAAGGTTTGTGCTACGCTAATTTTTTTTTTTTTTTTTTTAAAGGGTGTTCCATGATGTTGGTATATACGATGTTAAAAGGATTCCATGGGAAAAATTAATTGGGAACCCCTGGGCTAATGAATTTCGTCTGATCTCAATTAGGCAGTCTCCCATTACAATGTAACACTTACTAACCAATCAGACAATCCCTACTTTAGGGATCACATGAATTCTTTATTTTTTCAAAGTAAATGTGAATAAGTGTATATGTAGCCATCAAGTACACCACATCTGCATTGAGGACATCTGGCACTTTAAAAACACAAGATGCCCCTATAGTGACTAACTAGATCAACATGCTACAAAACAATTCATAATGGTCTTTGGGAATAAGGTTTATTCAATATACACACACACACACACACACGTTGTAAACATTTCTTTAAATTTGTCTATATAGTCTGTCACCATAGAAACTCTAAATCCTGATGAAAGTACAGAAGGAATAATCCCCTTATTAATCATCGATATCCTGGTTTCATTTACAGGACCTCCAATATGACAGCACACAGTGAAATATACAGCTCTAAATCCCTGATGCCTGTACTGTCGAAAATATCAAAAGCTGTTTAACTGATACAGATGCGTGGAGATTGTGAAAAGTTAAAATACAACGAAAGTTTAAATGATGCTCTTACATACAGAGCTGAAAAAAAAATTTTTTTTTCACGTTTCTAATATTTATGTGTTTGCGTCACAAATCTTTGATCTTTTGTTTGGCAAAAAAAAAACCAAAAAATGTATAAAATGCATTCGAGCCTCCAAATCCTGCTGCACAGCATAGCAGACTAGTGTAACTGAATAGTGTGAGTGATCCTTCAAGCTTATATAGAGTGTTGCTCTGGCCCAGGGCAAAAATGTTTTAAAGGCACAGGGTAAAGAAAAATCAGTCAGCCAAGTGTCTAAATGGCTGTGATTGCATCTCATGCATAACAGGACACTCAAAAACTATATAGTGTATATATAAAATTAACACTAAAATATAATAATCAATGTCTGACTATATTCCAGTCCTTTCCATTTTCGGATTTCATCCTCCTCCCCAGACCTATGCAATAAGGCCATTATATCTCGTTTCAACTGTGCAGATGGTTAAGACGCAAGAGCTTATTTTTTATTTTAATTTGTTTTTGGAACTCTTGTATATTTTGCAGAATGGATTGAGGGCATCTTAATTTTAGGTTCCATGGCAAATAACATGCCACTATACATAACCATGTATATTCTCGAATCAGAATTACTACAGGAGGACTTTAACATGGCAACAGGTTGTTAGATGCTCTGGCATTAAGATACCAAAGTGATTGAAACAAAAAACACATAATAAAACTTGGCAGTTCCAGTAAAGGGGTTAAAGCCCCCTCCCCCAAATGCATTAGGGCTCCTATCTGGCAACAGAAGTAGGTAGGAGGAGGTCAGAGTGGGGCCACAACATTAAGCTACAGGTCTTTAATTGAATCAATATTTCAGGCTAGTTGGAGAGGAGGGAAGTATACTTAATTTTAAAGGGGAAATAGCTGCCATTTTTTTGCTACACTCTAAAGCCACCACTTATGTTATTTGTTAAAAAAAAAAAAAGGCAATGGCTACGCGGTGTTTAAAAAAAAAAAAAAAAAGTGTACAGACTGCAAAGATATGTAAAGAATTTAAAATACTTGAGACAGAATGAACCATCAATGTCCTATGAATCCATTTCCTTTGTTAATGCTAGATATTTCTCGAAATTCTCTCATTCTATAAATCAGAATTTAGACAAATAGGCAGTCATCACTACATATAGATTATATTTACTATTGTCTGCGTTGGCCAAGAATCTATGAAAAACTGTCAGAACAGCTGCTCCACTCTATATTCAATAATCCCCTTAGATATGAGGGATCCATTTGACTTTAATGCCCACACCCAGAATCCTTTTGTTCAAACAATATTTGACAAAGTGACACAGACAAGGGTTATGTGGTGTGCAACACATCAGTTATGGACAGATAACTCAATGACCTCATATATTAAAAAAAAAAAAAAATTCTTAACACAAACAGGTTTGTAATGTCTGGCTTTGCCATCAGATTGAGTGGTTAAGAAGAAGATTAGTCAAACTATTTTTTTTAAACCACACACACATTCTTAAAATGAACCAACAATATAGACCAATAGCTCATCCACCTGGAAAAACATATGTAAAGTTTACATATAATTTTTGAGACAAGGAGAAACAAAACTATACCCATATTGGCTGCTATGCTATGGATGTCAGCATGAGGAGGAACAGGGCAGCGCCGCACACGCATTAGGCCTTCCCCATAGGAAAGCACAGACACAATGTGTTTTCTATGGGGATTTGCAATCTGTTGGACAACCAGTGTCATTACATGGAGTTGAGCTCCGTGAAACTGCAGAAAGAGCCTCTAGTGGCTGTATGAGAGACAGCCACTAGAGACAATGTTAACCCTGCAATGTAAAAATTGAAGTTTCTCTAAAACTGCAATGTTTTACTTTGCAGGTTTAAGGGGACAGGGACAATGAGATGAAGTAGTTGGGGGGGGGGGCTATAGTGTCCCTTTAAGTCACATGTTACGACAAAAAAGGATTGTGAACCTAATATTATTGCCATTTTTATAGCGCCAAAATATTCCGTAGCACTTTACAGTATTATGAGAGGGGGGATTTAACTATAAATAGGACAATTACAAGAAAACTTACAGAAATGATAGGTTGAAGAGGACCCTGCTCAAACGAGCTTACAGTCTATAGGAGGGATGGAGATTATCATCACACCCTGTTACCTCTGTTTAGGTCACCTTTTTAAATTTGGGGGATTTTATTTCAGTGAATGCTCATAATCTGTACCAGAAGAAATAAAGGAAGAGGGACCAAAAAAATAAATTAAAAAAATGTAACCATACTAAATCATCTAAGTTGAGCAACAATCTCAACATTCTGTTTGTTGCTTGCTAGTTTAGACTGGACAAAGAGACATTTTGTATTTACTTAGAAGAGAGTGACGATGCAAAAACATGCTCGAGGCAACAGTGGAAGCATTGCAAATTAGAAAAAAAACAGTAAGGTATCAAAGTCTGGATTCAATTGGAGAGGACTCAGGTGGAGGAGATGCATCCAGCTGCAGTGTGTTGCATGGCCCACTGAGGGGTGCACAGTTACAGACCCTCCTGTTCATAGGGGTGACCGTGCGGGTCTGGAATTCGGTTAGGACGAGGCTTACGCTATACACAACAGCAGGCCAATTAACCCCGCTCATATATAACTCAGAGATCGCTGGCTGCCTTACACCTAGAGACAAAGGCCTTCGGTGAGTCGGACTGGACATACATGCACCAGTGGTGCACATCTGAGACACTAAGGCCACTCCCGGATTTACTGCCAAACAGGACTCCAATGGGTCTAGACAGATTTCACTACTTCCAAGTTAAATCTTTCCAATATGGGCGACACCTATTCCACAGGAAGCTAATGGAGTTAGAGTAACTGTGCAGGGCGCCAGCACACCTCTATAAGGTAATCTTGGTGATATACACACTGCTTCCATCATCCGACCTTCCCGAACCTCTGAAACATAAACACATGATGGGAAAAGCCACCGTGGTCATGCTCTCGAATGCTCAGTGGATGGAAATCCACGTTTTGACAAACTAGAGCTCCATGTGCTCCAAACAAGAGCTCAACTACAAATTATTGACGGGGTGAATACATTGTATGCTCCCTGAGGTCTCAAACCTGTTGGAGAGGCAAGGAGGAGGTCGGCTCTGATCTCCACATTTGGCAGTCTTGTAGGAAACTAATCCCTTATTGGAGGGAGGTCTACACAAGCACTTTGGTGACTGCAATAGTGCGGAACGACTGAGATGGATCTAACTTCAAGCCCATTGGCGAGACAAGTGGGTGGGTTACATTACATCGCGCCTCTTTGACCGCTAACATCTTCCACCCTTCGCCCCGGCCCTTTTCTCCCCCCTCCCTATCTCTTCTTCCCAAGCTGCTAGGTTTCCACACCCCCTCCCCCCACCAAGGTTTACTGATGAGTAAGAGGCATAATTGGTCTAAGCGATGTGTGTACAAAAGTTGACACACCGTATTGTCTTCCCCGACATCAATGGTACATGCTGCATACTTTATTCGGCTGCCTGATATCTCCTAATATGTTGAGGATAAAGACCTTATTGCCTAATGTTGATGGTCTATGCCAACACAGCCCATGTATCTTGATCTCATCTACTCTTGCAATGCTGTATTATACAGTATATCTATTTTTCGGTGTAAAATATAAAACCGTAAATAAAAATTGTACATTAAAAAAAAAAAAAGGAACATTCCCCCGACCCACCCCACCCTGACCCACACCCAGTCAGCACCACGACACAATGACAACTGATGACACCTGAGACGAATATACCGCCTACAGACACGACACTCGCGAGCCACACACATAGCCACCTATGGGGCTACAACCACAAATAAAGACAACTAGCCATATAGCTATTACACTAACGGACGCCAAACACCACCACGCAGGACCACAACCTAGAACTAACACCACACCCAACTCCTTGACACACAAGACAACAAAACCAAAGCTATCACAGTAAGTGCGATAATGGGTACACAACAACACACGTAACTAAAGACTACAAAACAAGTCAATACCCCCAAATACCTCTATGAAGGCAACAACATGATCCCCCCCCACATGTACAGCTGACTACGCCCCTGCACAGACACCTATCTGCTAAACCACAAATACATACACCATAGATCATATACTGCAAAACCAATAAACATATTCTAAACAAAATCGAGACACACACACACACACACTGAAAACCAGACATCCAGGCAGGCAGCAACGCAATAGGACCGAGGGATACCCAACACTTAGAACACACAAACCATCGAAGCCCCCTACAATATACGCCGGCGCACCCTAGCTCACTAAACTGAATAGTCACGCCGAGTACAAGGATAACTACCGAACAGAAATGGATACGCACGACCATGAAACACCAAGATACACAAGGCAACGGATACAGAGACGCAAGGGTAGTTAGCAGGCACACGTACCAGAGCACGATAGGACTTAAACATCAGATAAAAGCCCAATAGAGGGGACACAAATAGGAAGCTAACTGACCGAATGCCATTAGCAGAGAAGCAGGATACAATAAACGAGCCGCTAAGGCACCCCGGGTTTAGACACAACGCAACACATCAACAAAAAGTCACGGAACCCGCAGGCACAGACAATTAATATGCCCAAAGCAGGAACACTCAAAACCACATACGCCTGTGCAAATGCAATAAAGACACACTACTAGCCGCATAGCTATACAATACGAGCAAATACATATGCATATATACGCTGTACCATACATGCAACGACCAACCAGCCTCTGCGTAGGCGACGAGAGGCAAACAAATGTACCCCTTCCTTAATGTTTGAATGTCTGATCATTGCGCTATCTCTATCATTCATACCCAACATAAATAAGTCTTGCATATGCCTCCCTTACCTAACATCACACATAGGCAAATAGCTCAGACCTAGGTGGCATACACACAAAATAGATACCCGGATGAGGAGCATAGTATTTACGGTTTATAACGTTATGATTAGGCCTCCTCTACCTAACGTATTATACGAACACGAGGCTTTAACTATTGCGGCATGCACACACACACACAATAGACGATTAGTTGCTGAGAAAGGCATACCATTACCCACACTAAAACAACTGTATCTACGGGTTAACACTCAGTGGTAGAACGACTACTTTTCGGCCACATTGCCTCATTAGGCCATAGGTTAACGAAAATCACTATCAACTTCCTAAAGTCATCATATAGCTATTAAGATATGCTGACACACACGGAAATACAGAAACTAAATGTGACAAACCTAGATGATCTGAAAGGCATGCCTTAAAGTAGACGACCATCTGCTTTTATGTACACAAACCGTTAAACACGCCTCTGCGCAGGCAAATATCTGCATGTATACAATTGTTCAGACCTGCAAACCTCTGCGTAGGTGATTGTTCGCATTAACAGAAAACTGTTTGATACCTGCAATGCTGTTGTAATAATAAACATATTTAATACAAAAAGGAACATTCTTTTTAGTAGAAACCATAACAAGAAGAATTCACTTGAAAGGTGGTTGAGGTAGGAGAGACCAACAAGCTTGGTCTGTGCCCCTTCTACTCTATTAGGCAATAGAGAAATGTTACAAACTATTAGCCAACGTCAAAAGCGGAGAAGAAATATCATGAGATTAAGAGGAAGTTGGGAAGAGCGATACAATGTGCTTTGTGGGCAAGATAAGGAATTTATCCCACAAAGTCTGCTCAGATGATTCAGCAGAAGTCATGACTGCATCCCATTAGCTGGCAGTAAGCCCACTTCCCACACAGAAACTAATAAAATATTCAGTCTTATATGGTGGAATGCAAGCCGTGCATTAAATGCCAATTTTTTTCGTTTTTACATCTGAACAGGAGACACATTCAGGTGGTTCGAGCAGCAGTACAAGTTGTGTACATAGGAGACATTACCATATTAGCAGTTACACAGTGGAAGTAAATGCATATACATACATAACCCTAAAATTTAGACTCCAGGAGTAAATTCAGCATTGGAAAATTCACACAAACTAGTGAAACATGACAATATCATTACACCACAGAAACTTTAAAAAATGGGTCACTGTGGACATCTAAGGCAAAAAAGAATGAATTTGATCTAGCATCCAAGCAATGCTTGATGAATTTCTGCAATAAAATAGAAATTTACATAATTGCAGTAGTTCGCCTACTCCTCTGACATTAAGAGGATTAAAAGGATATACAAAGCTCTCCTAACAGCCAAACCCTATAAACCATGGCATAGGATATCCAAAGCAGACCCACTACAAATAATGGGAGGACCATGACTGGATGGGAGATCAGTTTCTGATCCTTGCAGAAAATGCACATCTTGGGTCTTTAAAACAGGGTCTTTAAAAAAGCTAATACAGGATGGCCAAAATTCAGAGTAGGTTTTGACAGGTAAATAATGTATTTGTTAGCAGTTACATTTTTTCCTTCAGGTACACATGATAACAGATTGGGTAATTTCATTTTTATTTTTTTTATATAGCGCCATCAGATTCCATAGGGCTGTACAATGGGTGGACCAACAGATATGTAATTGTAATAAGACAAGTGGAGGGCCCTGCTCAATGAGCTTACATTCTAGAGGTTCATGCAGGAACAACAAGTAAAACTGTAATTAATGGATAATTTCAAGAAATTGGCAGATTTGTCCACCATATTCATCAGACCTTTCCGCTCACAATTACTTCCTGTGGGGATATCTGAAGGTGCAGGTGTAAGTGAACAAACCTTGAACATCTGAGCAACTCAAGGAAAATATCTGTGCAGAATTACGAGTGCTAGAGCCTCATACATTAAATGTTGTGAAGAACGCAACGAGAAGAGCCTGACTTTGTGAGGCGGCAAATGGGACTCATTTAAAAGGGGGATGGTGTCAGCAGATGAGGATTGGGCGGAGGTTGGCCTCCGCGTTGAAACGGGTGTAAGTTTTAGCAGTGCATACCAGTAAAGCAAGAGTTAATCTAACAAAAACTATTTAATGAGAACACTTTTGGTTTATTGTAATCCATTTAAAAAAAAAACAAAAAACAAAACAAAAAAAAAACACTTATTTCTTTTTTTTTTTATCTGCTATATTTTAAACAAACACAACTAGATTAAGATTAATACAATACTACATAGGTTTTGTCACTAGCATAGCGCTGCCTTTCTACTTCGAAGATATACAGATGCAATACATGTGCATATGTTTCCGAATCACTTTATATAGTCACCACAACAACTACGGCTTATTGTATTTGTTCTAGTGAGCATAATCATTCCCTTGAGTGCTCCCTAGGGACTCCTCCACTGGCCACCACTCAGATGGCTACTAGAGGCGCATCCTGTGGCAGTGCTGCATGTAGACACTGAACTTTACACTAGGATATGCTAGGAAAGCCATAGATTGTAATTACTGGTACCAGAGACACAAACACACACCAAACAGGAGTTTCTCATAAAAAAGGTCATTATTTAAATGAGATTTGCAACAGGAAGATACCCTGCACAAATCTTTGCCAAGAACAATATGTGTTTGGGTTGAGAGCGCTGTGCTGTCATAAATGAAGGAACATTCATCACAATAAGGTTTCCTTCCTATCCCAGGAGAGAAGGATGCTGCTAATACGCAGATCCCATCAGATCAGCTCAAGAAATACAAGGCAACATTTATGGAGAAGCCCCAACATATGTCCTGTAGAAGATGAAACTTCTGCATATTACACACTGAGTTGTGGACATCCGTTGGCTACATTTGTTCCCAAAAGAAACTCAATCCTCAATCACAACAAGGTATTATTACTTCCTGCATGATCTAGTAATGGCTATCCATCCATTGTTAACCAATTCTGGCAGGGAGACAGAGGACACAACTTTACAACTGCCTGAACAATTGTGCTGTCAAATCAGGATGAACTAAAAGGCTACTTTTAGCTATTGTGCTTAGGATTTCTATATAAACTAAGTTGTTCCAAACATGCTTAATTATGTCACTGTATTTTTTTTAAAGAAATTACAAAGACGCTAAATTTCCCTTTTAAGGTTAAAAGAGACACTGTAGTCACCATTACAACTACCGCTTATTGAAGGTTTTCTGAGCCTGCCCCTGCAGACTTTTTAATGTAAACACTACATTGAGAGAAAAGAGGTTTACATTACTCCCCAGTAACACCTCTAGTGTCAGTCACTCAGACGGCCACTACAGGTGCTTCCTGGATGCACAGTGATGTTCAGCGTTCGTGTGGGTGTTGACTGTTATGGGATACATAGAACTTGACAACATCCACTTGTAAGTACCAAGACTGTGTTTGCAGTATGGATGGAGAGTAGCATTTAACAGTTCAATATAAAGAGCTCTTATGCAGAGATGTAGCAAATTATCCTGGATAGGGTTACAGATATGGGTGTCTATAATTAGACAGATTAATACATATTGATATTGATTAAAGCCCCACAGGCTTCAGTCTAACTTTTGCAAAATGTATTTTTATGCAAACGTGCAGCCCACAAATACACTTTTATTTAAAAAAAAAAAGTATTATAAAAATGTATTTTATTGTTTACATGACTTTAGGAAAGCCTCTTTTCGATGAAGTTTACAACGACTTTGGTTAACTATTGACTTTGCCACTCAGGCTTCTCCTAAGACATAAAGCTACATCCTTCTTTAGATTTTTAAAACCGGTCACACCTCACGGAGTGGAAGCAACCCAAAACATCATGACTATTTACAAATTGCAGTGCTTTTATTTTAGGATTAAGAAAAAAAAAAAAAAAAAAGCAGCAGGCTAAAGTTATTTTCCAACAACCTGAGCATACCACAGTATACCAACTAATGGAGAGGTGCAAATGCAGAGCAACCAGTCAATTTATGTATCAAGAAATAAGTCCAACTTATACAGTAGAAAGGAGAGAAAAAAATAAAAAAAAAAAATTATAAAAACAAAACTACAAAATACACTGCCATTTTAAAATGTTATTTAAATCATAAATTAATTCTAAAATTTAAATAAATAAACCTGCTTTATCACTTCTGAGTACTGTATATATAAAAGTGATCTATGGAGACTCCGGCAGTCTTGTGGGATACTCGATGGACATTAGTGTTGTGGAATTGCATCCACAAGGATTAGCACAGACGCAGCTTCTGGCAGATGAAGCGCCAGGAGTTGTAGATGGTCTGCCGGAAGAACATGGCAGCAGCTGCGAAGAAAATGCAAGTATACCTACCTTCCAATGCGTGGCCACTGAAACCCAACAAGAGGTGTAACCCCACCAGGGTTCTTTGCGACAACACAAAAATTCCACAAGCAATAAATTATTTACAATACACTTGTTTTAAAGAGTGTTGTAAGAAGTCAAGTTTATAAAGCATTCTTAAAATAGATTTATCCCAAAAAAAAAAAAAAAAACCTTGATCCCCTTACCTGAATCCAGCGCTGATGTCCCTAAGTGCTGGCTCAGGCTCTGCCCACGCTCCTCCCTTGCCGACGTCAGCCAGCGGGGGAGACCTAATGCACAGGTGCGGCAATGGCACTCGCATTAGGAGATCTCCATAGGAAAGCATTATTCAATGCTTTCTTACGGGGAAAACCTGACGCTGGAGGTCCTCATGCAGAGCATGAGGGCGTCCGATAACGTACCAAAGGTTGAGGCCCCTGTTCGAATGAGCTTACATTCTAAGGGGAGTGGGGAGAAAGAGGCAAGCGTAAGATGCAATTCATGTTTGGGAAAATAAGCTTGCTAAAGGACTTTTTTTCTTTATATGATACAGTAGCAAGAGAAAAAGCAAGGTGGATTACCAAGGTGGGGGCAGAGAAAGCGGTTAAATTCATGGATATGCCTTCCTCAAAAAGTGAGTTTTTAATTATTATTTTTTTTAAAAATGTAAGGAATTGATACTGGGTGAGAGTCCAATGGTGTATCAACAAGTATCTTTAATAAGCTGTTCCTGAAAACTACAAAAAAAAAAAAAAAAAACACATACACCTTTTAACATACTTACAGACGAACAATGCATCTCTCACCATTTACCAAAAGGGAGCTACAAGAAAAAAAAAAATAGCAGGCCCTATAACCCTCAAGGCAGCTTTCCAATTAACTCTACAAACAGGGAAGGCTCTGTAAAAACAAGATAAGAGTTTAATTGGATTCCACTCTGCATTTCAAAGTCTCCCACCCAGCAAAAGCTTTCCACCCAAGCAACTGTTAATAATATAAAACCAGGGAATTCAGCATCTTATGTCACATTTACGTCAACTAAATAAAAAGTTTTATTTTACACAATTAGCCCTGCCCATTTACTCATATCAAAAGAATACTTTGTATATCCTTTTCACGTTCCCCTCCCGGTGACCCAATTATCTCTTTAAATCCTGACCCATTACCTGCCTTTAAAATGCAAAAATTTAAAAATGCACACAAAAATTTCTAGGAATTGCAACAAAAAAAAAAGACATGCAAATACGGAGGTTAGATGTATTAAACAAATTCTTTGAAAAGGAGGCCGAATGTTTAATTAAAATAGATTTTAACCAACAGCCTTTGTTATTGGCGGTGTAAGTGCAAAGTGGTCATTTGTCCCATTTCTCATGCATTACCATTTGCAAGGCTTTTTCATAGAGGATTAATGAGCAGTTCCGCTGAGCGGCATTAGAAGGACCGGTAATGTTGGATTTAAAGGATCAGTTTATAATCAGTAAAGAATTTCAAAGAGCCAGAATCATAATTTACCAAGTCTTGAACATTTTTTTTTTTTTTTTATTCTGCAAGGTGGCTGCATTTTTCAATAAACATAAGCTTGACAATAACCACTCTTATCTAAAAGTGTTATGGTGCAAACACACCAAAAAAAAATACCATGACTTAAATTTTTTTTTTTTAAAAATCAGTACTTCATGTGGACATGCTGAAAAGAATAAAAAAAAAAAAAAAGCTTCCAATCAGAAATGTTACTTATTTTAAATTTCGCCCATCAGTTCTTAAAAAAAACACACACCTTAAATGTGTTTGTAGATTATTTGTGTACAAATGGATATATTTGCGGTCCTCAATATATCATTTGCTTTATTTGGTGGTAGAAACAATTGGTAACGGAGGACAATGCTTCAATTTATATTCCCAAAAATAAATAACACGGTTTCAATTGAGCTAACAAAATTAACTAGCAGCATGAAGGTATTTTAGATTCCTAATGGTTCAACAAATACAGAGTACAATGGGAAATCAAACCAACACAACACACCTTACAGACAATATGTACATTTGTTGAAATACTTGTCCTATGACACAGTCACACAGCTTGATACCAAATCTTGATCTACGGCCAATACGTTTCAGTCTCTTAGTAGTTTGGGGGATGCACAACAGTACGTGCAAGTCATAGGGTGATAGCACAAAATTTTTATATATATATATTATATATATATATATATATATATATATATATATATATATATATATATATATATATATATATATATATATATATATATATATACACACATACACACATATACACACACATACACACCACCTCAGTAGCGTAAAGGGGTTCTCTTAATATACAGATTTTTTTTTTTTTTAATACAGCTCAAACAAACTCCATAGCGCTGTACAATAGGTGTACATGTATGTGCAACAAAACGAGCTGGACGCACAAAAACAGAGGGTGTTGAGGGCCCTATTTAAATGAGGTTATATTCTAGATACCAACACAGATTGGGCAAACCCTGTGCAAACATAGAATGTCACACTTGTCATAATCCGCTCTATGCAGTCCAAACGTTGCCACATGTAGCACAGCTTGGTAATGTTCAGATTGGTTTGACGTCATTGGCTTTGAATGGGTTAAGTACAAATGGCATCTTCGGCAACACGTTTCCCACCCAGAAGCATGAGCCACACTGTGGGGCCTGTGAGAGGACCTGGCAGCTCAAACACTGTTAAGGTTTATCACAGCAGGGAACAGGAAGGTCAATATTTGGAATGTTTAACAGGAGGGAATGGGATTAGGGACATTTTAACAGAGTAGGGATGGGGCATAGTGGTGCTGAGGAATGCTCCTCATTGCAGAGATATAGTGCAATAAATAAGCACAGCCATCCAGGGGTAGAGCCAAGCAGGCAGCAGAAGGAAGCTAGTCCTTATATGTGATGCATAACTAGGAGCAGACTTAAAACCTCTGCTTTCTGTATTATTTTATTGTTTATAAAGCACCAGCAAATTCCATAGCGCTGTACAATAGTAGACGTAATTATAACCAGACAAGCTGGCTGCATATCACAGTATCCTATGCACAGGATTCATTCAAGCTACTTCTTGTTCCACTAAATATTTCCACCCCCATCCTGTACGAAGATGAGCAAGGACTGAGTGATTTCCCAGGTATGCATGTAAATATAAGACCGCGATCCCACAGACAAGATGCTTTACAAAATTAGTTTTTAGGATTACAGCTTCGCATATGTATGTAAATATTGGTTTCTCATAAATTAAACAGCATACAATGTTTTCTACACAATTCCCATAATGCTTCAGGTATTGCGATAGGGTGCACTTTAAACAAAAGTGTGAAAGGAATCTTTGCTTTTTCTCTGGTATAAAAAGACGGATGAGTTCTAGGCGTGGTGTTAGGAGATGCTAAATGTCAACTCATTAAGTGGCAGATTCCTGTGAGAGTGTAATTAGCAGGAGCTTTTCAGAGACAGTAAAGATTTAAGTTTTGCGTCATCGACAGAAGTTAAAATAACAGTGCCAACTGAGCGGTGTGGAACACATGTTCTACACTCCTTGCTCCGGTCTGACAGCTGATCAGGCTGGGGGCGTGTACAGACAGCTGCTGCCGATTGCTGCTGTCAACAGCTGAGAGCAGTTAGATTCTGGTATTTACATGCAATAGGTACAGAAGATCGAGTTAAAAGTTCTTTAAATCTTTCACAAGAGAAGATACAGAAAACGGGCAGCAGCCAGCCTAGCCTGCGTTTATCTTAAAGTCATTTTATCCCAGAGATGTCATTTAATTTTTTCGCCTAACTCTCCCAGTTTTATAAAGGGGACGTAAAGCAATATAGTCTTGTCAGTGCTCCAAGCCCTCCTCCTTGTGTGTTATCCCTGCAGATAGGCAGGCTGGAGACACACCACAACACTCCCACAATTTCCATACAGAAGCACAAGAAAACAGCAGATCGAGCTACTGGCACTTGCTTAAAAGGGGGTTTATATAAAACAGATACAGATGGAAGATTCAGCTTTATTACTGTTAGGTATGCAGTTCAGGAAAATACTAGGAAAAAAATAAAATAAAAAAGGCACCATAGTAGATTTATATTGTACATGAATATTCTGCTTTGACCCATAAAATATAAATCGTAGATCTGTTTGTTTGTTTTTTACTCTGGAACAGATTAACTCTGTAATGCTCCATTTTGAAGATATATCCTGAGAACATGCCTATTGAGAGATATAGAAATGAATAATACAGATACACACTCCTGTATTGCTGGGCAACCAGCCAGCTCCACACTCTGCCTCAGCGTGTGTACCAAGGAGGAAAGTGTGTGGTATCTCCTACCATGAATGATGCACAATTTTGTGCTACCTCTACTCCGAACATGCACACCACTTTGAGTCTTTTATGTCATCACGGGCAGTGCGTGATGAGACACTGGACATCACTACACTTTGCATGAGGGCAGCCAGTTTTCAAACCCCCCACAGGAAAGCACTGATTCAATGCTTTCCTATGGAGAAGGCCTAATGCGGATATACCGCGCATGCGCAACAGTTTCCCCCCTCTGCGCTGACAGAGGAGGCAGAGCTTGAATAAGGGGAGTATTTAACGTTTTGTTTTTTTATCCCTGTAACTGCAAAATGGGGTGGGGAATAAGGTAGCGAGCAGTAGGACACGGTCAGGTTTGTATTCCTAACACTTTAGTGTTCCTTCAAGGTATTTGAGAACCAAATATAAAGTACAGTATACTCTGTATAACACTGGATTTACTAGCTGGTGTCCCTGCTTTCCCATTAGAAAAAAACCTGTAGGTACCATAACCACTGTAGCTGATTGAAGTGGTTATGGTTCCTGGAGTTTGTGGACGCTGGGTCGCATATCAATGGTGAATGGTTTAATCCCTGAAGCGCAGCCTCCAATGACGATATGGCACAGAGGATTCCTCCTCGTGCCATACCAGGGATAGAGGCAGTGGTTGGCGGAGAATGCCAACGCTCCCAACCTATCTCTGCCAACTATGCAGGTAAGGTGTGAAGACATCAAAGGCAGGGCTGCTAGGACATCTGCTTAACAGCATTGAAAGTGTTACGCAATGATGCACCAGAATCAGGTGCCCCAGGACTCCAGGCACCATAACCATCTCAACCGATTGAAGAGATTATGGTGCCTTCCGTGTCCCATTAAGCTAATGAATTCCTTGACAACAGAAGGCCCAACCGGTAGCAAGATAAACATAAATAAGAACAGACTACTGTACACAAGCTCATGTGGTTTTCAGATCTCGTCTTGCAACTCCTTTCCCCATTCACTGAATTGCACTGGTTTACACTTAACCAGAGTAGACCTTACCCAAATGGTGTGGGGGTGGGGTGGGGTGTGGTGTGTGTTTAAACACTTTTAGAATACCACAGGTAGTAGTTGCTGAACTCTCACCTTCATCTTACTACTAAGTATTTTTTATGGATTTCTTTCTACACAGAATATATGGCTACTTTTTTAGGACAGTCAATGGTACCATATTCAGTTAATTTCTACGTTATTTTCAGTTCACCTGATTGCTGTAATATCTCTTAAATATATGCAGTAAGTAATTTGAGAATACAAGTCACTGTATTAAAGGGACACTATAGTCACCAAAAAAACCTTAGCTTAATGAAGCAGTTTTGGTGTATAGAACATACCCCTGCAGTCTTCCATTTAGGAGTTAAATCACTTTGTTTATGAACCCTAGCCACACCTCCCTGCATGTGACTTGCACAGCCTTCCTAAACACTTCCTGTAAAGAGTAATCTAAAGTTTATCCTTTATCTATTGCAAGTGCTGTTTAATTTAGATTTTCTTATCCCTTGCTAAGTTAAAAGCTTGCTAGAGAGCCTCCTGTATGTGATTAAAGTTCAATTTACAGGAGATAAAATTGTTTGAGGTAAATTACATAATAATGCTAAATTGTGTTTCAGGTTTTAATATTACTTGGCAGAGTAACCAGTGGTCCTGGTAGAGGCAGCATTTACATCAGAACGTGTGTGGTTGGCGTTCACATGGATATATATATATATATATATATTTATTTTATTTTAATTTTTTTATCCAGTGTAGATGGAAAGTGATTTTTACATCTTACACCCACAGAACCAAGTCAAGTGCATGCCTTGTGTGACATTCTTTGTGACAATGATGTCCTCTCTCCATGTGCAAGGACAGAAACAGTTCTACACTGCCTACCGCGCAAGGGTGTAAAGGATAGATTGGTACATAGCTGAAAACAGTAATGACATTGACCAGGGCTATTAAATTATTTCTAAACAAGATTGCGTGAGCAACATTTGCACATTAAGGAATAATAACCTGTTTGTTCTTGACCTTTTATAAAAAAAACGCAAACTATTCCTGATCTCTGACTTGCTTCATCCCAAACCCTCATACTCCAATTACATTTACCTACCTACTCCAGACTAGCCCAGCCAGGTCTCCCACTTTTCAAAATTTATCTACACTAATCTACCTGGTTACAATGCTTTATGTGCCCCTTGATACAAATTACTAAAATCAATATCACTAATCTAGTAAAGTACCCTGAAGGCACTCTACTAAATCTTATATAAACATACAGCAGAATAAAAATGTGATGTGAATATGCTAATGATATACATCATTACTTTAGAAGGGGAAGTAAATATCCGAAAACGCATTGTTGCATTTGCATCACCTTTTCAACAAAATAGTCAATAAGCCTAAATCATAAGAGTACCAAACAATGTTCGCGAGGGGGAAAACAGATCACTCCGTTTTTAAGCACTTATTTTCCAAGAGAAAGTTATGATGTTTCAACAAAAATTAACCATTTGGAAAAAATGAAAGAAATACAAATTTTCAGGTTTCGTTGTGACAGATTATTGGAATTTAAACACCGTGAATATTATCAAATGGTACAGCGAGTACAAAAAGAAAGTGAGGCTGTTCATCCTGCTCACAACATTTTTTTTTTTTTTTTTTTTTTAACATGTGGTTTCAGAATGTCAAAATTCCTAAGTGTACGCTCTGTGCAACCCACTTTCAGTTCAGTCACACTAAAAAGCGACGTGCAGCTTTTGTGGCTCAGATGTAGTGACCACACGCATGTATTTTCAGTCATGAGACAACAATTGTATTAAGGTTTCTTAAAATATATTACATGGTTCATGACATTTGGATACTTTTAACCCTCTCTATTTCAACAGATGACTAATATGATGAACACATTGCTTTATATTAAAGCCATACAGCAGCTTAAAAACGACCATATAGTTTAACTTTTATACTTTAGTATCCATTATATAATTTCTAGATTTCAATGACATTTGAAAGGCAGTTAGAATCACTTCTTGTGTAAAATAGGTTTTTAATCATTAGCGAATAGGCATTAACAAGGTTGGATATGATTAAATATTTAGAAAAAAAAAAAATGTTTATACAAGTAATAGACTTGATCTGGTTGAACGAATACGTTTTGTTAACAAAAAAATAATAATTTTGCCGTCAAGTAGTATGTGAAGTGCGAGCACCCATGTAGCTCAGTGATTAGATTCCTCACAGAATATTAACAGAACCAAAATGTTTGTTTAAGAAATATAGTTTAGTGAGCAAAATAAAGTTAGCAGCAAAAGTTGCGACAATACTAAGATGATGAACTGTGAAGTAATAAAAAATGCAAAGACAATATCATGTTTAACATTAGGTGTGAAAAATAAATATATGAATAAATGGTCTGAACTATTACAGATTCAGATCTATGAGAAAGATTGGTTAGCGGCAATAAGGAGATTTAGCCGAGATATCCACTGTTTGAATATAATGGAAAAATCAATACAAAGTGATACATTTTTGGTATCTGGATCCTAAAAAAATATCTAAGTTCTCTCATAATAAAGAAAATAAATGTTGGAGGTGTGATAAAGGCGAGGCAGACTATATACATATGTGGTGGAAATGTGAAGTAGCAGCCAAATTATGGGACTTGACTTATGAAAAGTTGCAAGCTCTAGGGAATTTTACAATTGATAAAAGAATTGAAATAGCATTATTACATCTTAACTGGCCGAAATTACATCCTAGACAAGCTTTAATGCTAACTCACTTTTTCAGCCACCAAATTACTACTGGCTAGAAATTGGATGTTTTTGTTAGATGGCCAATATTAAAAAAGCAAATTGTCTTCCAGTGTAAAATGGAACAGGGTCTAAAGTGGATCAATAAAAAGGCTTAGCAGAATAGCAGGTGGATAACTGAATGGATAGATAAACTGATTGATCTTCAGTGAATAGGAGATCAATAGTAAGAGAAAACATATTTTACAGTTAAAAATTTTTTTTTAAACTCAAGTAATAAGTATACACTCTCTTGGGTTCTTCCATTTAAGTTATAATTGAATGAACTTCCTATAAGATGAACGATAAATTCTAAGATGACTGGGGTAATGTTATTTTAGTATGTTAAGTTTGTGATATTGGTTTCTGTGTTTTTATTTTCTTGATATTGTAGACCTACTTACTGTACTGAGGTATTTGGATGATTTAATTGGTAGGGTCTATTAATATCTTTTTTGTATATGTATGTCTGTAATGTCTATGTTTATAAATTATAATGAAATAAAGAGAAATTAAATTTAAAAAAAATAAAATGCAAAGACACCACTTGTCCCAAAACGTGGTAACATGTACTAATGAAAGTTCTAGAAATTGAACAATCACAATGGAAACAGCAGGATTGTCCCATTGGTATCCATGGTAAACTCCACTTTTAGAACTTTGCCCAATTTTTTTTTTTTCGCAACACAATTTTCCCCTCGCATTCTCCACTTACTTTGCCGCTTTGTACTAGAATTTGTGGCTCTCTCGGGCACTTAGTGGTAATGTAGGTTATGAACTAACTGGGAATACGACTATTAAATTAGTGTTTTTCCTCTGGAATAATTTATTCGAAAAGGGCACAGCAGCTCATTCCCAAAGTTTTAAATTGCTTCGGCACTCATGTAAAACATAGAAATCATGATATATCCTATACGCAATCTGTTATTTAACCAATTAATGACCAGTGGTATTTCATGCCATCATCACAATCTGATTCCTAAAGCAGTACAGAACGTCCTGCTTGGTTGCAGCTTTATTCAACCCACACCCCCTTTTGAAATGAACAGGACATGCGGCATAGGCTCTCTAAAGTCTGGTTTGTCAACACAGAATCTTCCCATCATTGGTTCCCATCATTGGTTCTAGAGTCAGGGTTTTATAAAGGTACCTTCACGGAGCCACCCAGGGCAGTAGTTGTGGGTGAAGTAAAGCAGCACTTAGAATGGACACAGCTTTGCAACATGTGCTTCTATATTCAACTTGAAAGACAGAAAAAAAAAATGTGTTTAGCGAGCTTCAGGATACTGCCGCAGATTGTAATAAAAAGGAGATGATGGCAAGCTGTATATATTAAAGTCTGAAGGAGAACATGCCAATAAAGATCACTACATTCAGCAGAGACAGATTTGTAGCAAAGTGAGAAATATTATGCATCTCTTATCTCCAATTTGTCTATGAGCACATGTAATTTCCATGTGGAGGGAAGAAGGGGCAGGTTCCTATTGCATTATTTTCTAGCAATTGCTTCACATTTAACCCCCCCCCCCCAAAAAAAAACATTTATTTCATTTATTAAAGGACCACTATAGGCACCCAGACCACTTCAGCTTAATGAAGTGGTCTGGGTGCCAGGTCCAGCTAGGATTAACCCTTTCTTCTATAAACATAGCAGTTTCAGAGAAACTGCTATGTTTATAATAGGGTTAATCCTGCCTCTAGTGGCTGTCTCACCGACAGCCGCTGGAGGCGCTTCCGCGCTTCTCACTGTGATTTTCACAGGGAGAAGACGCCAGCGTCCATAGGAAAGCATTGAGAATTTAGCTGAGGAGGAGGAGGAGAGTCCCCCGCCCGGCGCTGGAAAAAGAGGTAAATTTAACCCCTTCTACCCCCTAGAGCCCGGGGGGCCCTGAGGGTGGAGGCACCCTCAGGGCACTATAGTGCCAGGAAAACTAGTATGTTTTCCTGGCACTATAGTGGTCCTTTAATTGCACCCACACTACTTATACATCATTTTGTTCAGGAGAAACAGGGCTTTTGTTTCACTTGAAATATGTATATATATATGGAACAAAATTTAATATGAATAAAAAGTGAGAGAAATTTTGTTATTTTCCAAGTTAATTTAAAAAAAAAAAAAAAAACACATTATGTAAAATTATATATATGGGGGAGGGGGGAAATGTGTGAGAATATATATATATATATATATATATATATATATATATATATATATACACACACACACACAAAAGGTGATTTTGCGCTGGCTCTGCTTTCATTTCTGAGAACATCAAATGTGATCATCTCAGTCCATCCAATACATTCCTATAGGGAAGCATTGGGAGGCTATTGCGCATGCATGGCAAAACGCTGCATCCATAAACATCTCAGAGATGCACTGAATCAATGCATCTCTATGGAGAATGTTCAGGGCCTCATTGAAATGCCTACAGGGACAGGCTATAGACACCAGAACCACTTTAAGTAGTAGGGGTTCTGGTGACTATTGTGTCCCTTTACGTCTTTAATTTCATTACAGTTTAGAGAGAATTGTTCGAAGACTAAAATTGTAGAAAAACACTACAGTATCAAGCGAAACATTGCTTTTTTACACAGTTGCAGGGAGGCAGCGACTGGTTTAAAACCAAATCGCAGTTTTTTTTTTTTGGGGGGGGGGGGGTTTATCTTTAAAAATAGTTTACATGGAACACTTTAAGTACCTACCTGACCTATGATCATGTACCAATTTTTAACCAGACATTTCCAAAATCACATTTCAAAACATTTCGCAAGCATATAATAAATATACCTGGCAATAAATATTTAGTCCATTATATGGCCACCTGCACATACACTGTAGCCAGTCATGGCTGTATAGAACACGATAAGGGCCAAAATGTAAACGGGGCTTTTGGTTTGATTACTGAAGTGATCACAGGCATATGCTAAAGGAGGGGAGAATTTGTACAATGTACCATTTAAGATAAAATCCTTACATCTTTGAAGTTCTGTACAATTACCCCAAAGAAATAAAAACCCTAGAGGAATTTATTGACTCTAGGACAATAGACTTTTGAGCTCATTACTCCAAATACAGAGACAGTGATCAGGGAATGTTTGGAAAACAGACACTCTGGTGCCTACTATCACAACAATGGAGGGCTATTTAGGGTCTTCAAAAGGAGCTGCAAACTAGGAATCCCAAGGCCACCTAATCTTAACCTTTTCAGGTTTTTCTAGTAAAGAAAAAAAATCACTGACCAGGGCACTTTATATAGGGGCTGGGCACATATATCGGGAAGAAAAAGAAAATTGTTTAAAGAAGTGCTATGCATCGAGCAGGTTTTTTTTTTTTTATTTTTTTTTTTTTTTTAAATGCTAAATAACTTATAGAAGAACTTTGTACTTTTCAGAATTTAGTTTAAAAATTAAGGCCCCCCCCCCCCCCACACACGGCACAAAATGCTAATAAATGCATTGCATTTTATTTTTTTATTTTTTTTTAAACTGTTGTGATTTTTTGGGGGGCGAGTGGGGTGCTATTTTAAACCAATATCGAGGAAGTACAACTTATCCCAAGCAGACAGATGTGTCTTTGGTTCTCACGAATCAACTGGTTTTGTCAAATATTATGGTGGGGGAAAAAAAAGTGACAAAAACCTTGGAAACTGCACCCATTATCTCTTTCCACCAAAACTACTACAATAAGATGTAGTCATTAAAGTGCTTACAATAGCCCTCTAATAACACTAGCTTGATGCGGTTAGATTTTTAAATCCCACACAAGGTCTAGTACAAGAGTCTGGACTTTTGTCCAGTGGCATAACAAATTATAATAAAATAGCACGTCATTACAAAGACATCACACAGAATGGTGGCTTTAAGTTATGTGCTCAGTTGCCTGGGCCATTTTAATAAATTGTGTGTGGCATTCTGGAAGTTGTCATATATTTAAAAAAAAAAAAAGTTTTTAGAAAATAGATAATTCAAAACTGCTGCAGCTGAGATTTTTTTAAATTTATGTTGTGTATTTATTTTAAACCAGGGGAAGGAATTTATCAATTTAATATACAGTGTAAACCTACAGACATTGTGAATATTTTAACACTGATTTGTGGCAAGACGCAAAATTTTATTCCAAAAGTTAACTGAAAATGATAAATAATTCTAAATCATATGATAAAAATATGTGAGAACTTGTACACATCAAATGAAATATAAAGTTACACTTGTTTTTATAAGGTTTATAAAAAATTATTTCTTTGTTGGTACATTTAGTTTGAAGCACCTATTAAGTTATTTACATGATTTAACAGTCCTGCTAACTAAATAGCAGGACATTTTGTTAAAAACCATGGTGCACACTTCCGACTGTGCATTTTAACCATAGAATCATGTTTTCCCCCTGCATTTCGAGCTTTTTTTAAAATAACAAAACACACAAACTGGCTTTGTAAATAAAAATCAAGAATATTGCAACTAAAAATTATTCTGAAAATAGAAAATGTGTAAAATGAGCCACGAGTAACGAAAAATGTTAAATGAAATGAGAGAGGCTGACACTATAAAGTCAAACTCATTTAAAATTTCACTGGAGTGGGTAAATGCAACTACCATAAAAATGGTCAAAGTATTTATGTGGAAAATATGGCAGTGCATTTACATAGGAATTTGTTACTCTATATTGAGTTGCAATTGTATATATTAAATAGGACCACAATTACAAAAAGAACAATATTGTTTAGAAAGTGGTAAGATATCTAGACAGTGGTATAACAGATCTCCTCAATGAAATTTTTTGCCATATCCAATTCATAAAAAGTGACTGGGATAAAACACATTATGTCAATTCACTATTGTTCAAGGTGATTTCTAAAACTTAGCAATCTCTCAAAATGTATACTGAATGCACTGAAAAAACCAAGAAAACAGGCGTAATACACATGCATATATATTCATTTTTATTTTTTTTATTTTTTTTAGTGTAAGTAGTAGCTCCATCGTACAAAGGCCAAAAGTGATTCCCAGTACTCAGGATAAAAAGTTAAGTTTTTGTAAAAATGTGAAAAGTACCATAATAAAATAAGTTGTTTTAAATAAAAAAAATAAAAAAAAAATTTAAAAAAAAAAATGTAAAAACACCCCCACAAGTGATTCAAGACCATCAAGGGTTATATTAAAATTTCTAAAGACTGACTAAGCACCGTAAAATATCTAGATAAAAAAAAAAAAAAAAATTCTAAATGTTTACAAAATTATTTCTCTACTTGTCATACCCCTTCCAAAATAAAAACAATTTATAAATAAAAGAGGTGGTTCACTACATTCTATACCAAGTACTTGGGCATATTAAACAAAATTCATTGGGAAAATGGTATTTTTAGAATTCACCAAAGTTTGTACTGTATTCATGTTATTCTCAAAAGCAATTTATTTTCCCTTATTTATGCTCATATACAGCATAAAAAGACATGTCAAATAAGTGTTGTAGCTACAATTCCATGCTCTTTGATTGTACATTATTTAGTATGTTATGTATAAAGCATAGAATTTTAAAAGGGTATATATGCAACATGTTTAACTTATTCCCAAAAAAAAAAAAAAAAAAAAAAAAAAGCCTTTTAGTGAATATACCAGAGAGAAAGGTAACATGTATAATGCATACCTTTCCTCACAGGTACACAAACGTATACCAATTATTTTAATCTACCTGGGTTCTACAAATACTAAGCCAATTATAGACATTCAACGGACAGTACTAACAAACATGTCAGGATTAATTTAATAGTGCAATCACTCAATATAATTGTACAGCACTACGAAACCTGATGGCGCTATATAAATAATTAAAAATTATATAAAACTGAAAGAAAAAAAAAACCCTAATTTTTAAATCCAAATTGTTTTTTTTACCAAGTATTATATACTCCGCATGACAAACAGCCAACTCATTATGAGACAGGTGAGCATTTATTTTTCCATGTGCAATTGGAGGAAAAAAAAAAAAAGTTAAAGAAAATGTATTTAAAAAAAACAAAACCCAGAGACAACAGGCAAACACTATTCAACACCCACAGATTCACGTGTCAGTGTACAGTACATATGTGGATACGCATGTTCATTGCTATGGTAGCAGAAAATTAACCAATATAAAAACAAGATCACATACTGTAAGAGGTGTAAAAGTGGAAGCTACATCATTTCATGTGTAAGGTCTATATTGAAATAGGAGCTACAATAAATATATTTACAACAAATGAAATGCTCATATAATACATATCTAAGGCATTTACATTACAAAATCTAAAAACAAGAAAAGAAAAAAAAAAGAAAAAGAAAAACAGTTTCACAAACCAACAACAACAACACATAAGCTACTTTAGTACAAAATATTTTATAAAAAGCCAACATATTTCAATATGCTGATGGAGTGTCACAAAAATAAATTAGGCATGTGACTGTACACTATAAAATACATATGTCACTCTCTTTTGTTTGATTTCATTATTTAAGTGAACTCTTTTGTAGTTTGGCATTGTTATAGAGTATATTTAGTCACAAACAAAATTTAGTACAGCTTGCTGCTTTAGGGTTTTACACAACAAATTCACCTGACCAAAAAGGGATATTAAGAATGCTTTGTATTAAATTTGGTATACTATTTTGCACCAATGCAGAACACAAAATATGTGTAGTAACATCTGACTCAACAACATAAAATCCTCCCTTGTTTCCCCCACACTCGAATCAACTGATTGATTACAGGATAATGATTTAAACAGATTTTCTTTTTTAAAGGCTGCTATACAATACTGAATAAAAATCTTTGAACAGTATTTAAACATTTTGAAAAAAAAAAAAAAAAAAACTTAGCATGTTATCCCCACTTACAGTTCATTTTATTTTTTGCAGAGCAATATGGCACTAAAAGTTAATCATTGAAGTCACTGACATACGTTGAAAAAAATAGATAAACATAAACACGATTCAAGTAGAATACTCTTAAAAATGACCTATTTGGCATAAATTAAGATTTAAGGACTGTTTGACTGTCAAAAAAAAATAAAAAAATAAAACACAATTCTATATCACAATAAAATGCAACACTCAATAAAGAGTACTTGGGGAGAAAAGTACAATAAAATAAAAGAAGGTAATGAAACATGAAAGATGTGGAAGTGAAAATAACTGGTTTAAGTCTAATTTTTTTCTCTGCACAGTAACAACTGGTTAGCATAAGTTTTTTCTCTTTTGTTAATGTGTTCTTTGTAATTAAAGAAAATAGTTTTGCACTCTATATTCAGGGAAAATAAACAATTCGCAAATACAGTAAATTGTGGCAGTTCAGACATGGACAGAAGTCTCTGTGATAGATCATTACAGGACAATGTTAATATAAATACAGTATAACTGCAGGGGGCTATCATTTTTATTTGTAAGCCTGTGTGTAAGAGGCATTAATAACAATAATATCTCCATACAGATAGGCTGTGCACATAGACACACCCCCAGGTGTAATGTACACACAAGCATGTTATGTAACAAAGGTACCAGAAGGCAACCCCCCTCCACTGCAGCAGAACTACAACTCCCATCATTCTCTTCCAGCCTAGAGACTAACCAAGACATAATGGGAGTTGTAGTTCTACATCAGCTTGGGGGAGATTCCCAACATGGATCCTTACAAAATAACATGCAAACCTAGTTATTACTATAATTATTAGTTCCTGGCACTGATTGTTCTGCCTGCAAACCATGGCAGCCGAGAGCAGGGTTATCAGGTAATGTAGGACAGACTGGGTCAACAGGTAACGGCGGACAGACCGACAGACTGGGTCACAAATAATGTAGGACAGACTGGGTCACTGGCAATATAGGACAGCCAGCCAATATAGGACAGACAGACTGACTGGTAATATAGGACAGACTGACTGGGTCACAGGAAATATAGGACAGACTGACTGGGTCACAGGAAATATAGGACAGACAGACAGACTGACAGGTAATATAGGACAGACTGGGTACCAGGGTAGTATGAGACAGACAGGGTACCAGGGTAGTATGAGACAGACAGACTGGGTACCAGGGTAGTATGAGACAGACAGACTGGGTACCAGGGTAGTATGAGACAGACAGACTGGGTACCAGGGTAGTATGAGACAGACAGACTGGGTACCAGGGTAGTATGAGACAGACTGGGTACCAGGGTAGTATGAGACAGACTGGGTACCAGGGTAGTATGAGACAGACTGGGTACCAGGGTACCAGTTCACTATCTATCAGGGGTACCTACCTCGCTGTCGTGCTGCTGGCAGTAGCCCAGTCTCTCCGGTAAGGCGGACAGGACGGAGAAGGCGCTGCCCTGGTAAGAGGACGAGGTGGAGGAGGACGAGGTGGTGGCGGCGCTGGAAGCCACGGATCCGCAGGGGGAGGTAGGCGCCCGGCTGGCCGGGAAGCGTTCGATGAAGTGGTCCTTGGTGAGCCGGACCCGCTGGTGGGCCCGCACGCAGTTGTCGCACAGGTTCTCCCGGCACTCCAGGCAGTGCGAGCTGGCCCCGCTCCCCTCGTCACAGGAGGAGCAGCGCGGCTCGGGCTGGCTGAGCGGAGCCCGGCGGAGGAGGCTGGAGGACGAGCAGGATGCCGAGCGGGAGCGGGGGGGCGGCTGATGGTGTCTCCGAGCCCCCCCGGCAGCCCGACTCCCATTACTCTGAGGCGGCTCCTCCGCCGCCGCCACCACCGCATCCAGCAGGTTACTGAGCCGCAGGTAGGCAGAGCTGGGCAGCGCGTCCATGCCGCCCTCCGACATCAGCACGCTGTGATCGCACACCGGGCAGCGCAGAGAGTCCCCGGGGCCCCTGTGGCCCTCCAGACACTGCCTGCAGAAGGCGTGCAAGCAGGGCAAGACGTGCAGCCGGCGGGGAGCCGAGCCCAGGCTGCTGCCGCCACCACCACTGCTGCTGCTCTGCGAGGAGGACGAGCTGGACGAGGAGATGGGGGCAGAGGACACGCACATCTCCTTACACAGGGGGCACAGCTGGAAGTCGGAGTCCGGGAAGGAAGCCATGGAGCTGGGGAGAGGGGGCAAAGCCAGACACAACTTCATGCAGGAGCAATCAATGAGCCTTTCCCATAGTAAAGATCCAACACCTTAATGCAATGCTCCAGGGCTCACTCCAAACAAAAAAAAAACTAGCTGCTCCACTGAGGGCTGGACACAGGGCTGGGTTCACACACCCCCTTATCCTCAGGGCTTGTTTACACTGAGTAATTGTATCGACCTTCCATGTGTAATCAATAAGTGACACAGTGCCTTCTCTTCCCCCCCGCCCCCCCAACCACTGTCAGCAGATCAGTCTGTATACCAAGCACAGGGGCCAACAGATCTACAAAACACACAGCCAAAGGGCTTCATGCAAATGGTTATGGAGCCTCTCCCTGGTGTTCTTCCAGCATGCCAAGTTCACACACACACACCCACACCCAGCATTGTGGGTGCCCCCTCTCCAAAAAACAAATCGTAGTTCCACAATGTGTTCAGGGCTCACTGCAAGCCCCCAGCTCCCTGCACAGCAGCCTTCAATTATTCATCTCATCCCCTGCTTGCTCCACACCCCCCACTGCATCAGATCACCTTTCCACTGTCATCCCTTTCACAGGGTTCCATTCTCTGGCTGTACATTCTAGAATTCTATTCCTTTTTTATGTCTATCAATCAAATCACCCTCTTTTCAATAGCACATATAGTCCAGTATGAGTCCAGCTGATGAGGTATATATAGGTATAGTTACTGCAAACTGCCAGGGAATGCCCAATGATTCTTCGCTCCAGTGAGCTGCAGACACCCCATGGTGGAAGGCTCACGTTGTTGTGTTTATGTTGCAGAATGCACGCTGGTTACATTGTTGTCAGTGCAGAGTGGGTTGTCTGATTGCGCTGCTCTCGATGTTTGTAGCAGAGCCAGCTCTCTCTCTCACTCTCTGCACGCGTGCTATGAATGCTGCCAGCCTACCCCACTCCTCTAATGTACAGAGCAGCAGCGCCCTCACTTCCGCCACAGAGCAGGGGACTGGGGGGGAGCTCTCACAAAAACAGGAAACGCTAAAGCAGCCATCTACTCAGAGCTCATGACACTGGTTCAAGTAAAGTGCACGATGGCAAAAGCCTCAAGCATAATAATGCATATGACAAATTACACTGCTTCATTGAATGATAGGACTATTTTCAAAAGGAGTTGGAGATGAGAGCTTTGTGAAATAATAATAATATATATGAAAAATAAGAAAGCTTGGCACTCTCCTGGTTACAATTACAAAAAGTAGTACTTGCCTAGGTGCCACCCGCGTTAGGCATATATCAAAATAGTAAAAACCAATGAAAAAAGTTACCTGCGCTCTCTCCTTAATCCCTATGTATATTTAAACAAATGGAGGTCATTTAGTTACTACAATGGCCACTGGCGAGAATGCTTGGTTACAATGCTGCCGCCCATCCCATGTGTTTCCTATTAAGGGTTAATAAGTATATAGGGGTGTATATAAAAAAATACCCCTTTCTGCCTCATTAGAGATATATTTGCCAAAAGCTAAAGGAAGCAAGGTGAAGGGGTCAGAGTAGGACCCGTCTAAGGGGGGGGGGGTCTGCCTTGATGTTGGCAGGCGGGCATTCCCTCCAGTGGCCATTGGAGTAACTAAATTACCTCCATTTGTTTAAATATACATAGGGATTAAGGAGAGAGCGCAGGTAAACTTTTTTCTTTGGTTTTTACTATATATATTAGAGCTGATGTATACTGTAGTCGTTGCTGCCACCCAGGAGTGATGGGAGTGAGCGCATGACTTTTCTTTTTGTATTTGTATTCACTTTTTGTATCACACAGCTAGGTTACAATGCTGCCGCCCATCCCATGTGTTCCCTATTAAGGGTGAACAAGTATATAGGGGTGTATAAAAAAAATACCCCTTTCTGTCTCAGAGATATTTTTGCCAGAAGCTCAAGGATGCAAGGTAAAGGGTCAGAGTAGGACCTGTCTAGGGGGGTCTGCCTTGACATTGGCAGGCAGGCATTCCCTCCAGTGGCCATTGGAGTAACTAAATGACCTCCATTTGCTTAAATATACATAGGGATTAAGGAGAGAGCGCAGGTAACACTTTTCCTTTGGTTTTTACTATATGTATTGGAGCTGATGTGTACTGTGGTCGTTGCTGCCACCCAGGAGTGATGGGAGTGAGTGCAGGACTTTTCTTTTTGTATCTATATATCAAAATAGAATCAGGGGTGCACTCACAGGCCTTAAGTGGAAACAATTGGGGTTTAATGGAACAAAAACTTCAGTTACATCTGTGATATATAATCGATGTTTCGACCCTACGGGTCTTTTTCAAGCATGAGTTGTATAGGGTATGGGGCTTTTCCCCTCTCAATGTACTACATTTTCTCCAGATACACACCCTCTTAAGTTCAGACGAAAGCACACAATCACCCGCTTTCTGTTTGGGGATAACCAACTATTTGACTTTGAGATGTTCGCAAAATACAAAGTCCCAAGCGACATGGGAAATGGCAGACACAGGTTTATGGGAGTTCTAATTCACGAATAGCTGCAGCTCCTGCATTTGACCTTATTGTAAATTTGTTGGGGGGGAAAAAAAATACATAAATTATTGTTACATTGGATAAAATAACGAATCTTGATTTAATGCTTTTTACTCCTTCTGCATATCGGTGCAGATGTGAAAGACTAAGAGAGCCGGGTACATTTAAAAGCATTCCTAGACGGTTTGTTAGCTGACCTTGGAACAGTGCAAGGGGACTCCTGACACCATAACAGAGCACTGTAGTGGTTATGGTGCTTAACCCCTTAAGGACACATGGCATGTGTGACATGTCATGATTCCCTTTTATTCCAGAAGTTTGGTCCTTAAGGGGTTAAAGTACCCCTTTATTTATATATAAAATATTTTACCAGGAAGAATACTGTGAGATTTCTCTCGTTTTCAAGTATGTCCTGGGCATTTTAAAGAGGAACTGCTGCTAGTGAGATTTGTTTTCACGGGCCAATAGATAACAAACAGTTAGCAATGGGATGTATTGTTTTAAATCTCACTAGTTTCCAAATGTGATTCACCCACTCCACCCTTCCCTATTCTTCTCTCTCCTGCATTCACACACTCTTCCTCCTCGATATTGTACTTCTTTCTCTCTTTGTGCCCTTATTCTTAGTTTCTCGATAATTATGCAGAAGGTATTTACTGTATTTTTGCATTAAATGTTCAATGCTGTCTGTTTGTCATGTGTGGTGTCATCTTATTGGCAATGACGTTCTACTTTGCAAGTCACGTTGATGACAACTGTGGTACTGTGTATTGCTGATTTCTTTAAATAAAGAATTGAGAAACAAAATATCTCACTAGGTATTATTTAGATTTATAGGGCAAGTAAGTTGGAATGTGCTTTGAAGCATGCTCTGCGCATGTGCATGTTTGGCATTACTAAAGGAATACCCAAGTGAGCATGTGCCTATATGGTATTTCTTTGTAGCTACAGGAGTTTGCATGAGCACGACCAAGATATTGTAAGACACCCTGACCATGGAAGTGCCGTGGAGGTATGTGTATTTTCGCCAGCCATGACAAATAAATCAAATGCCCTTTTATCTGCACCCGAACTAATCTATCTGTCTGGGATTTACCCGTGGAGTCTTATTCACTGAATTTTTTTTCAGAGGTCTAGTTTTTACTTACCCTCTGCTGTTTTATTACCATGGTAAAAGTTTTAATAGCAGGGCTCAGCAACCATTTCTACATGAGGGCAGGATGGGGACATTGATGGAGAATACAGATTAAGGAGTAGTGCGCACACGCAAAAAATACAGTTTTAAGATTAACATGGCGACTTAGAAATCAATATCTTGGCAGACGAATAAGGGGATTCAGTTATACCAGCGGTTCCCAAACTGTGTGACGGGCACACAGGGACACACGCAAAATATTTCCCCAATGCTATGATCATATGATCATAGCACCGGAAACTGTGCTGTCCCCTGCAGGTCCGGAGGGGAGATCAGAGATCTCCCTAACTGTCCCGCTAGCACTGTAATGCTGGCCGCCGGCAGGGGAGGGAGGGAGGACCCGGGAGAGATCTAACCTGCAGCTCCGCTGGGTTCTCCTCTCGCAGCTCTGAGCAGTGGCGTACATACCAGGGTCGCAGGGGTCGCGGCTGCGATCGGGTCTGGCCGCCCCTGCGACCCGGTATGTACCCACAGGGCCAGCCTCTTCCCCTGTGGGGGCCCAGGGGGTGGCCACCCCAGGGCCCCCCGAGGCTGGCCCTGCTGTCACCCGGCAGGCGGGTGGCCGGTCGGGCAGGCGGGCGCGCGAGGGAGCACTCAGTGCTTCCTCTTCAGCTCCCTCGCGCACCGCACTGATGCCGGAGCCGGAAGATGACGTCATCTTACGGCGCCGGCATCCCTACGCGGCGCGCGAGGGAGCACACAGGGGAAAGTGCTCCCTCGCGCGCCGGCCAGCCCGCCCACCCAGTGACCTGCCGCCCTGGAGCCCAGCAGCACCACTGGACCCCAGGGAATCCCCCCAGCACTCCAAAAGGTAAGGAGGCTGGGGGGATTAAATTTGAAAAAAAAGTGTGTGTTAGAGTGTGTGTATGTTAGTGTGTGTGTGTTAGTGTATGTTAGTGTGTGTGTGTGTGTTAGTGTGTCAGTGTTTGTTTGTGTTAGTGCGTGTGTTAGTGTGTGTCAGTGAATGTGTCTGTTATTGGGTGTGTGTCTGCTAGTGAGTGTGTTACTGTGTGTGTCTGTTACTGAGTGTGTTTGATGTCTGTTAGTGAGTGTGTGTTTGTCAGTGAAAGTGTATGTTTTGTAAGTGAATGTGTATGTATGTCTGTCGCTGAGTATGTCTCTGTCAGTAAATGTGTGTGTCTGTTAGCTAGTGTGTATGCGTCTGTTCGTGAGAGTGTGTGTGTGTGTGTCTTCAGCATTTACCTTTCTCCAGAGTCGGACTACCAAGTGTCCGCCACTCAGCTCCAAAATGCACATGCGCGGCAAGAGGCGCGCGCGCATTTAAACCGCCCATAGGAAAGCATTACTCAATGCTTTCCTATGGACGTTCAGTGTCTTCTCACTGTGATTTTCACAGTGAGAATCGCGGAAGCTCCTCTAGCAGCTGTCAATGAGACAGCCACCAGAGGCTGGATTAACCCTCAGTGAAACATAGCCTCTGAAACGGCTATGTTTTCAGCTGCAGGGTTAAAACTAGAGGGACCTGGCACCCAGACCACTTCATTGAGCTGATGTGATCTGGGTGTCTGTAGTGGTCCTTTAAGTGTGTGTGCATACCGCGGTCGCGGGGTCGCAGCCCTGCAACCCATGCAACCAGGTGCCCGCCACCATGTGTTGCAACCCCGACCCGCGCCGAGTAAGCGTGGGAGGGGGGGGGGGGCACGGATCAACTTTTGCACCAGGGCCCCATGGGTCATGTGTACGCCACTGGCTCTGAGCATTGCCGCGGTTACCACGGCAACGCTCCGAATCTCGCAAGAGTGAACTCTAGACGCTCCTGAGGCTACTACAGTTCACTTTCACCACTTGGACCACTGGACCACCAGGGATTGCCTTGCCTTGACACACTGCACCACACACAACCGGTCTTATATACTTACCACCACTGGACCACCAGAGCTGGCTGTGTCCCCCCCCCCCCTTCACCAAAGGTAAGAAGAAGGGAGGGGGATACAGATTTTATTAATATATTTGCAGCAACCCCCACACACAGAGTACCCCCACACACACACAGCACCCCTCACACACAGAACTCCACACACAAACACATACACTGCACCCCTCAATGCAGTGTGTGTGTGTATATGTATGTATTCAGCAGTCTGTCTGTACTCAGCATTGTGTGTGTGTGTGTATTAAGCAGGTTGAGTGCATGTATTCAGCAATCGGTGTATGAATGTATTCAGCAGTCTGTGTGTATGTATTTTATGTATGTATTGCATTTGTTGGAGAAACTAATAAATATAAGCCTAATATGATTTATAATTTACATTTTTATTCCTGTGAGTTGTGTGTAGGCAGGGCCCCAGTGCACTGCTTTGCCCAGGAGCCCGTAATGTTGTGGAATGGAGGGCAATGAGGGAGCCCTGACTTACATGCTATTCCAGCACTGCTTCCTCCGCTGATGCCGCCGGGAGACAGGAAATGACGTCAATCGGGCGCTGCCGCCTAAATTAAGTAATTTCCTGTTTCCCAGCGACATCAGGGGAGGGAGCAGTGCTGGAAGCAGGGCCGGCGCTTCCTATAAGGCGAACTAGGCAGCCGCCTAGGGCGCCATATAGGAGGGGGCGCCCTGCGCCCCCATCGCCGGCCCTTTAAATTCTGCAGCCGCCTGAGCGCTCTATAGAGAGCGCTCAGGCGGCTGCCGCAGTGCCTCACCTCCCCTTCCCTGTAGCGTGGCCGAGCTCCTTTCCGGTCCGCGATCCGGCGGGACTCAAAGGAAGTGCACACTCGGTGTGCACTTCCTGTCAGTCCCGCCGGGTCGCGGACCGGAAAGCAGCTCGGCCACGCTACAGAAGGGCAGGGGAGGTGAGGAGATGATTATAGGGGAGGGGGGAGATTATTGGAGGGGAAGACATTACAGGAGGGAGGGGGAGATTATGAAGGAGGGAGGAGGAGGGAGGAGGGAGTGTGGAGGGGATTACTGAGGGGGGGGGAGGGATAACATAGGAGGAGGGGGGAGATTATTGGAGGGAGGAGATTATAGAGGGGGGAGAAGATCATGGGGAGTGGGGAAGATTATTGAGGGGGGAGGAGATTATTGGAGTGGGGGGAGGAGACAGAGGGGGGGAGAAGATTATGGGGAGGGGAAGATTATTAGGGGAGAGATTATTGAGGGGTAGGAGATTATAGGAGGGGGAGGACATTGGAGGAGGAGAGATTATAGGGAGGGGAGGGGGAGAAGATTAGGGGGAAGAGGGGGGAGAACACAGGGAGGGGGAGGAGACATTGGGGGAGGACATATAGGGAGGGGAGGAGATTATTGAAGTGGGGAGGAGGATTATAGGAGGGGGAGAAGATTATGGGGAGTGGGGAAGATTATTAGGGGAGGAGATTATAGGAGGGGAGGAGATTATCGGAGGGGAGAAGATTATAGGGAGTGGGGGGAGAAAGATTATAGGGGAAGATGAGGGGGGAGAAACACACAGGGAGGGAGGGGGAGATTATAAGAGGGGGGAGAACATTACAGGGAGGGAGGGGGGAGTGGAGAAGGTTATAGGGGAGGGGGGAGAAGATTATAGGGGGGGAGAAGATTACAGGGAGGGAGGGGGAGTGGAGAAGGTTACAGGGAGGGGGGAGAAGAAGAGAAGATTACAGGGGAGAAGAAGAGGAGAACACGGGGAGGGGGGAATAAGAGGAGAACACGGGGGGTGGGAGATGAGAACGTAGGGGAGGGAGAGACCACTAAAGGAGGGAGGGGGCGGTGGAGAGACCGCTAAAGGAGGGGGGTGGAGGATAGACCACTAGGGGAGGGTGGGGGGAGAGGAGTGACCACTAATGGAAAGTCGGGGAGAAAAGGAGACCACTAAGGGAGGTGGGGGGGAGAGGAGAGACCACTAAGGGGCGGGGGAGATCTCTAAGGGAGAGCTCTATAGGACAGGGGGCAGGACAGGGAGCTCTTTCACACCACGCGCACACACACACACACACACAATGCATCCCTATACACACAGAAACACAACATGCTTCCCTTACACACAGAGAAACACACAATGCAACCCTTAGACATAAAGACAATGCATCCTTTGCACACATACACAGAAACACACAATGCATCCCTTACACACATATGCAAACACACACTGCTTCTCTTACACACACACAGAAACACAATGCATCTCTTACACACACTCAACGCACCCCTTACAGACAAACACACAATACATCCCGTATACACAAACACTCACTGCTTTCTATCCCTTACACACAAACACACTGCATCACCTACACAAACTGGTATCCCTATACACTACATTCCATAAGCACACACATTAGATCCTCTACAGTAACACATAACACATCCCCTACACACTCTACTCCCTGTGAGCGGACTCATGTAGGTGGACTTATGGGTGGGCTTTATGGGCATACTCACCGTCAGGCCCTGGGGCCCAGACCTTGAGCTATGTAAGAGGCCCCACAAAATTGAGCTGCTTCCCGTTCTCCCAGAACATTGAATTTTGTGACCACAGTTACAAACAGCCTCCAGAGATCCTGTTCTACACCAGACCAGTGGAGCCAGACTGCAGCCACAGCCCATCATCATCCTCATCTGATTGTAAGTAGGCAATCTAGTATATTATTAGTGACACTAATCTCTAATTTACCTCACAATAAATGGACACTATAGTCCCCAGAACCACTGCAGCTTAATAAAGTTGTTCTGGTTTCTATAGTTTGTCCCTGCAGGCTTTTTAATGTAAACACACACACTGTGTGCAGCACTGGCACTAGTTCATATGGCAGATCATATGGGTGGGGCATTGCGAGGCCCCGGCGGGGGGGGGGCGGCAAATCTTTCTTTTGCCTAGGGCGGCAAAAATCCTTGCACCGGCCCTGGCTGGAAGAGCACATAAGTCAGTTCACCCTCGTGCCCACACCCCCTCACAGCAGCGGGAAGGAGTCGGATCCACCAGGTAGGGAGCCTGGGTGGACTTCAAACCCCCACCCGCATAAAAAAAACAAAACAAAAAAAAACCTATGTGCTGGGAGAGATACTGGGGGAGGGGGGGATATGCTGGGGTAGTGAGGGGAAGATGCTGAGGGGAGAGAAGATGAAAACCTTGGGGAGAGAAGAGGAGATGCTGGGTGGAGAGAAAAGGCAAATCTGAGGGAGAGAAGGAGGAGATGCTGGGGGGGAGACAGGGAGGAGATGCTGGGGGGGAGACTGGGAGGAGATGCCGGGGAAGAGGAGATGCTGGGGAGAGGAGGAGATGCTGGGGAGAAGGGAGGGAGGAGGAAGATAGAGAAGGAGTGGAGGAGGAAGACATGCTGGGGGAGTGGAGGAGGAAGATATGCTGGGGAGAAGGAGGAGGAGGAGGAAGATATGCTGGGGAGAAGGGGAGGGAGGAGGAAGATATGCTGGGGAGAAGGGAGTGGGGAGGCTATGGGGGGAGAAGGGAGGAGGAAGATATGAGGGAGAAGGAGTGGATATTATGCTGGGGGCAGAAGGGGAGTGGAGGAGGAAGATATGCTGGGGGGAGAAGGGGAGTGGAGGAGGAAGATATCCTGGGGGTAGAAGGGGAGTGGAGGAGGAAGATATGCTGGGGAGAGAAGGGGAGTGGAGGAGGAAGATATGCTGGGGCAGAAGGGGAGTGGAGGAGGAAGGGGAGAGGAGGGGATGCTGGGAAGTGAGGGGGATATGCTGCGGGTAGAGAAGGGAAGATGCTGGGGGAGAGAAGAGGAGAATTAGTTTGGACAATTGTATGAGTTGTTTTTCCTAAACTTAAACCTTAGTTTTCAGGTTTAATTGCCATGTTGGCACTTTGAGGAAAAGAAATTGGCATATATTACAGTTTGGGCACTCTGGCTCAAAAAATGTTCGCCTTCACTGATCTAGGTGGTGTTGCAGTGTTTGGTTGTCCTTTTTGACAGTGGAGGGTTGGGAGTGGATTGTGGGGGTTTGTATGCTATCTATGGGGTGGTGTGTGTGTGTGTATGATGTTTCTTGGGTTTAATAGGTGGTGGTGGTTGTTGTTCAAATTTTCACTGAAATATTGGGCCTTTGTTTTTTTTTTTTTGTTTGTTTGTTTTGTGCATTTTGTACATGTATACAACCTAGAAATTTTTTTGACTTGGGGTGCTTTGGAAAAATATTGAAATATTAAGGGCACCTTGAACCTAAAAAGTCTGGGAACCACTGAGTTACACCATATGGCCATATAGTGTTAAGCCCATCACTCTGTGACAGTCCCCCAATATCGGTGGGTCCTAAGAGTGACAATAACCCCCTCCCACCTGGGAGATCCAAAAGAATCTGGTCAGGATTCCAAATGTACATAGAAAAAAGGGAATTGTGGGCACCCCCGGAACATATATATTTATATTTTTTATTTTTTTTTAGGAGTGGTGATGTCCTAAAAATAAAAATGTATACAGATTAAGGAACAGTGCATACATAGGATAAATAAAGTTTTAATTTCAACTATCTTTATTGCAAGTAAATATGGGGATTCAACTACTCCATGCGGTCTTATTGTGGTAAGCTTACCACTAAGTCACAATACGCCACTAGATCACAGATAATCTGTAAGTATTGAAGTTATAAAGTTTAAATTAGTTTAGGACCCTCCGATATTGGGATACGGTGACGTAGTGGTGGGCTTAACACAATATGGCTATATGTTGTAATATAATCCTTATACAATGCTGCCATCCTAGACCCAGACCCCCAGGCAAGAACAATATCACACAACGAGATCTGAGTCTAAGTTTGGGAGATATAGGGGGAACCAGGCACATACTCACCCACTGGCCCTTCACGTTCTAAAAAGGGCAAAGCACCCACAAAATGCTTGTTTACCCACAATAGAAAAGTTATGTTAAGTTTCTAATGTTTATTTTCCAATGCCATACTCTGCCGAGAATGAATGCTTATATGCGAAAATTCAATAAAAATATAAATTGAAAAAAATTTAAAAAAGGAAATCCCGACCTCCTCTCCGAGACACCACGACACCACACGACAGACCCTACCTGTACATTAGATTGGCTCCGGGACCCTGCTCCACTCTAGGAGGGGCACAGACCGATCCTGGGTTATAGTCGTCTTCCCATACTTGACAGTTCCCTCCCATCCCACCCTCCCCCCCCGAGAGGCCCTCTCAGGCATACAACAGCCGACAGATGCGGACGCTCCCGCTCCCCCCTCTCACCCACTCCTTGTTCCAAGCTCCCATCCCCACCTCCCCTCCCCGCGGCCTCCCCCACCCCCCCTACCCTTCTTCCCTGTACCCCACCAACACACACACAACATGACAATGCCACGGGGATTCCAACCAGAATCTCTAAAGCTCTGGTCTAACAACTCTAGAGGCCTTAATATCCCAGAAAAACGTAAGCAGTTCCTGCAGACATTGTGGTCCCTTCAGGTATACAAAGATAAATAACAGTGACCCAATGTGTGCTACGTGCAACTGTGTAAGAGACTCTAACACCCTGGTGAGGTTCCCTTAACCTTCACCAAAAAAGAGATACAAACACCACAAAATATAAGGCGGAGTATCTTACATGCACTTTCTTAGTAGTCCTTTGCATAGGTACATTTCTTATGGTATGCTCTAAAGAAAGTAAAATAGCAAAAAGATAGTGCAATATTGCTAGTACTCTTATTTTTGTAAGTCCAATCAAGTCTTTATAAATGCACACTCACAAAGGTGGAGCCACTAAAGATTGGGCTCAAGTTGTTCACTTTATGGGATGTAAAGGGTCCCACTCCCTCCTCTGTGCTTCAGGTTCCTTATGCAGGGTAATCACAGGTTCACAGGCAAAATATAATAAAATTACATTTATTAATATAAACAAAATAAAAAGAATAATATTAAAAGACCTTACAAGCTCTGTTGAATAGTCTTAGTAGCAAAACGCGTTTCGCCCCTTCATGGGGCTTCCTCAGTTACTAGCAATATTGCACTATCTTTTTGCTATTTTACTTTCTTTAGAGCATACCATAAGAAATGTACCTATGCAAAGGACTACTAAGAAAGTGCATGTAAGATACTCCGCCTTATATTTTGTGGTGTTTGGTCCCTTCAGGTGTCCGTGGCATTCTTACAGGAGACTCTCTTTGCTGAGGGGAACGCCCCCACGCTCCGTGACAGACTATACCCACAAGGGTATTTTGCAAACCACCAAGAATCTAAACGGTCGGGGGTGGCGATTCTCTTCGCGCAGACAGTCCCCTTCAAATGCACGGCCACACAGATAGATCCGCTCGGAAGGTATCTCTTTGTGAAGGGCACGATTGCAGATCGCCCATACACACTAGCCAATGTGTACTGCCCCAACAGAGGCCAGCACACATTTCTAGCCAGAACATTGTCTCGCCTCGAAAAATTTAGAGAAGGACTCCTGATACTTGCTGGGGACCTAAACCTACCCCTGGACCCGAGAATGGACTCCTCACGAGGATCCAGCACTATCCCCGACCACTGCATACGCTCGGCCAAGCAAGCGCTGAACAGACTGGGGCTGGCTGACTGCTGGCGGGCAGCACACCCAGAAGACAAGGATTACATCTGCTACTCAGCTGCTCACAACCAGTACAGCAGGATCGACTATATCTTCATCGCGCAAGAATACCTGCCCCTGTTTATAGATGTGGAAATAGGGATTCATGGAGACTCCGACCACGCATCAGTATCCGCCCGGATCACGTCACCCCTATTCAAGCCAAAGGAACGCCAGTGGAAGCTCAATGAGTCGGTGCTGACCAACACCGAATGCGTAACAATGACCACACAGGTCCTCACACAATACTTCGAAGCTAACACTACGCCTGATGTGCCCCCGTTGATAACCTGGGAAGCACATAAGTGTGTAATCAGAGGGCACTATATCAGCTATTGCACGCAACACCAAACGCATCCTGGATTTGACCAAACGAATAGCTGAACTGGAGAACAAACACAAAAGTGAACTAACAGATGACGTGTACCTAGCACTGACTGACTTCTCAATGTGATGCGCAGATCTAACAGATATTCCTACGAACACTCGAACAAGTGCGGGAGGCTATTGGCCAGGACCCTCCAGCAACAGCGGAGGCTTAACCACATCCACAAAATCAACACCCAGGAACGGAAAGAAACTCGACTCCCGGCCAAGATCATGCAGGCGTTTCGGGACTACTACGCCGGCCTTTACAACCTGGAGGATACACCCAGCGCACTCACCCCGGAGCAACACCGACTCAAACTCGTGGACTTCCTCACTAAGAACGTCGCCCGAAAACTGACCCCGGAGATAACGGCAGGTTTAGAACAGCCACTAACAGCCGAGGAATTGTACGCGGCACTTAAGCTAACCAAACAACACAAAGCACCAGGCCCGGACGACTACCCGGTGAGCTATCTGCGCACCTTCAAAGATATCCTATTGCCGCGCCTGCTAGAGGGACTGAACTCCATACTGGAGGGTCGCCAATTCCCGGCAGACTCACTCAGAGCCATAGTCACAGTTCTCCCAAAAGAGGGGAAGGACCCGGCATGCTGCGCGAGTTACCACCCAATTTCTCTCCTCAACGCGGATCTCAAACTGTTCGCAAAGGCCATGGCCCTACGCATCTCCAGGACAATGCCCGACCTGGTTCACCCAGACCAGGTGGGCTTTATACCCGGCAGAGAGGCTCGAGATAACACCATACGGGCCCTTAACATCATCCACTCGGCCCGAGGGCAGGGAGAGGGGTTGGCCTTCCTGTCCACAGACGCGGAGAAGGCCTTCGACCGGGTGGACTGGACATACCTCAAGGCCACGCTACAACATATGGGCTTCGGACCTAACGTGCAAGCATGGATCTCCGCCCTATACACAATACCAACAGCGGAAATACGGCTCAATGGCGCTC